TTCTATAAAAAAGTTAATTAATTAGATTAAGTATATATCCTTCAATGTAATATATAGAGTATAACTTTACTAGCTATAGTAACTATAATTATTTAAGTAACCTTAGATAGTTATAATCGTAAGTGAGTATAATTAGTAGTAATAAGGTTAAACTTTTATTATTATATTTGGAGGGTACTATAATATCTATATAGTTTATACTCTATATAAAAGTTTTCTTTTATTAACTAAAATATCTTATCCTTTAGTATTAGACTTTTAATAAGTATATCCAAGTAGTAAAGATTTTTATATATTCTTTTATAATGTTTACCTATCTTATTCGTAATAATTATCTAGTCTTTAAATTTATTTTTGATATAAGGATATAGTTTACTATAGCTATAGTAATAAGAATAGCTTATTCTTATTCTTCCAATTCTATATATAGTTCTATAAATTTAAAGGCTTCTTTAAAATACTCTAGAAATAGAGAAATATATAATTAGTTAAAGTAATTCAGAATATTCAATATGTTTACGTTATTTTCTATTCTTAATTATTAAGGCTTAGGAAAATTTCTTTAAAATAATAAAAAGTACTGAATAATATATAAGTCTCCTAAATATTATTTAAAGCCTCTTAAAGTTAATATAAAAGTTCCTTAAGAAATAAAGAAGCTACAATTATTTTTGAAAAGTATTTTATAGATTCTGGTATATTTTCTAATATTAAAACTCGGAGGTATTTTATACTTATACTTAATTCATTACTTATTAAGTACTTTCTACTCGAATTAATATTTAATAAATTGAATCTTTATAACTCTACTCTTAAATACTTTTCTTACTAATTTTTATTTTTTCTAAGTTTCCTTATTATAAATATAAAGCCTTACTTACAAGAGAGCTAGGGACTAATTTAAAGATAATATATTATTTATTAATTAGATACTATATAGATAAGGTAACTACTTAGTTATTTTCGTAATTTTTATTATTTTAATTTTAATTTCTTAATATATATATATAGAACTAAGCTAGTCTTATAGATTATACTATTCTTTACTTTTTAGATTGTTCTTAAATAATTAAACCTTCTTATATTTATAAGTATTAATACTACTTAAGTACTAGTTCAAACTATTTATACTTATTTTATACTTATTTCTTAGTACCTTAAATATAACCTTAAGCCTACTCTAACAATAGACCCATAACTAATACTAACCTCTTAAAAAAGATATATTATATACCTATAGCTTCTAGTCTATTAAAGCTTAACTTCTATTAATATACTTTTTTCTAGTACTTTACTTGTTTTATATTAATTATTTCTCTTTTTATATAACTTAGTAAGTAACTTACTATTTCCTTTTTATAATTTATATTAGTATTTATAGCTTTTAAGACCCTTTTAATATTAATAAGAAAGCTATATATAAGCTAAGAACGTTTAGATTAAAGAATCTAAACTTGAAATCTATATATTACTTATATTATTTTAGTTAGTACTTAATAATTTTAAAAATAAAACTTAGTAATAATTAAAGTCTATTTACTTCCTTTTGTAAATTAAAGTAGTTTTAAATAGAAAAAAATATTAGAACTTTTTTATAGTTCTATTCTTTTTAATCCTTTTTGTAATTATATTTATCTTTTCTATCTAATTATTTTAAGTACTATTTCTATATAGATACTTCTATTATTAATATAGTTTAAAAAGTATTTTATTCCTAAAGTTTAGAAGATAAAGGGTTTAAAGTTAGTTTTCCTCTATAGGCTTTCCTTACTATTATCTTTTATATTAATAGTAGTAAGTACTTTACCTTTCTTTTTACTTTTATAGTATTAACGAAATAATTATATTATTAAATTTTAAAGTTAACGTAATAGTAATATATTTACCTACTTTACTAATTTTATTTTAGTTTTATTTATATCTATTAGTTTCTTTAAGAAAGTGAAAGAAGTTATAATAATATTCTAATTCTTATTAATTCTTAAAAAGCTAGATTTTATACTCCTAAGACTTAATTTTATTTCTTAATATATCTTTATACTATTCTTTTTAATATATATTTAAAAGTAGTATTTTATAATAGAGTAACTCTTAGAGTAACCTTTAAATTTAGTTAAGAAATTAGTTCTTTATAAATATAAAGAAAATAAGTATTTAAGTAGAGAGTAGCCTCTAAAACGCCTTTTATATATATATATATATATATATATATATAAGTTTAATCTTCCCTATATTATACTTCTATAACTTTTCTTTTAAATCTTCCTAAGGATTAGCCTATTTATTAATAGTATAGCTTATTTAGAAAATATGTCTACTCTACTTATCTCAAAGTTAGAGAAAAAGTTAGAGAAAGTATCTTTAAGTATGATATCCTAGTTAAAATACTATATTATAATAACTAAAATAGAAATTTATATAATAGAATTTTTACTAGAACGATATTTTTCAAATTATATCTATATTTATTAAAATCTATATACTAGATACTATTAAGAAAGAAATTTTATTTCTACTCTCTCATTATTTAATTCGTTTAATTACTCTAGTAACTTAATAATAATAATAAATATAATTTATATCTAATCTAGGACTCTATTCTAGCCTATATAGATAGTCCGTCTATAAATTGTAATAAGGAAACCTATTAATTAAGTAAAAACCTCCCCTTCTCTATCTTTCTTACTATTTAATCTATTTAACCTATTAGTTATATATATATTAAGGCACCTACCTTTTTAATACTATTCTCTACTTATTCTACCTCCTTTCTACTTTTTCTTCTATCTATTAGATAAGTTTAAATTAACTAAGCTATCTCTACTTAATATTCTACTAAATAATTCTTTTTAAGTATTTTAAGTTTATTAGTAGAGTATATATATTAGTATTCCTTGCCTATTAAAGCTATTTATTTCTTCTTTAAGTCTAAATAAGATAGCTTAGAATAGTATACTTAATATTCTAAAAGTAGTATCTATAAGGGTGGGTTAGAGATTTAAATCTAGAGACCTTTCTTTAAAATAGGTATCCTACTAGGCTAATATATTCTATTCTAAGTTAGGTTACTATACTACTTTAAGCCCTTATAAGACCTTTATAAAAAAGACTTAGTATCCTCTAGTATTCTCTTATAGGCTTAACTCTCTATTATAGGTTATATACTAATAGAAGCTATTATATATTCTTTATCTTAGTAGACTTCTAATATATTTTAGTCTACCTTTCCTTTTAAAGGTCGTTACTTACTTCTTTTACTAACTTATTATAGTAGTATTTAATACCTTATACTCTCTAGTTTAGTAGTTTAGTCCTTTTAGGTCCCTTCCTAGCTTAAATAGATCTCCTAGCTCTATTTATAGTATTAGTAATTACTACTCTAGTAACTTATTAAGAAATAAAAGGCCTTAAGAGATATTTTTCTATCTAGTTTAAATTATCTTTATTTAAGATACCTATTTATATTTCTCTTACCTTCTTCTATAAAGACAAGGCTAAGAAAAGAGGTAGAAGAGAAAAGAAGCTAGTTCGAATCTATAATCTTTTGAATAGAGTATACTACTTTTAAATAAGATAGAATTTATAGAGCTTATAAAAGCTATAGTTCTAATTTCTATTATTCTTTATTACTTTTTTAAAATATATAGAGTTCTAATCTCTTCTTATGTTAGTATTTAAAGTCTAAATATATATAGAAATAAGTACTTAATATGTATATACCTTTAGTTAAGTAAATCTTACTATAGAATAGTAAACCTACTAGAGTTTAATTAAGCTAAGTTAGTAGAAATATAAAGAAACCTTAGAAATATATTATACGTCTAGGCTTATATTTATAATATATTACTAGATCTAAGTCTAATTCTAACTTCTCGTAATAGAGTTAATAAAGCCTCTCTAGAAGTAAATAAAGTAGCTTTAGGAGTAGATAAGGCTTCTTTTTTAAGTTTATTAAGAGTAAACGGAGACTAGGCTTTTCTTGCTTATAAATAGAGGGGGAAAGATATATATATATCTAAGAATTATTATATATTTTATTTTATTTATATTCTTATTTTAAGTATAATAGCTTAAAGATAGTAGTATTTCTAGGGATAAGATATTAAGCTTTTAAGAAGGTACGTCTTTAGAGTAGAGAAAGAAGTTTTAGTCGTAGAATAGAAATAAAGGAAATAGTATAATACTTAGGTAGAAAGTAATATAAGATATTAAAGGTATAATTTGTAATATACTCTTATTATTAAATATGTTTTATTTTCTAATATATTCTTAAGTTCATTATTTAGAATAGAAATCTATTTTGTTAAAAAGGAGTTATCTCTAGAGGTAAGGAAGTATCTTAAATATATATCTAGGGCTAGAGCGCGAGTATAAGTAGACAAATAGTAAGACCTACTATAATAGCTAGAATAGGCTAAGATTTGAGGCTATATAGCGTTATATAAGGAATAAATAGGAATCAGTTATTATTTATCAAATTAAAGATAAGTATTTATAGAAGTATAGAAGCATATATTAGCTCTAAAGATAAAAGCCTTCTAGTAAAGCCTTATATTTATATAAAGATACTAAATATCTATATTTTTTATTAATTAAAATAAGTATAAATAAGATAAATTTTATTTAACTTTACTAATTAGAATAAAGACTCTAAAGCAATATATAAATTTCTATATATTAGGAACCTTATATAAGTAATAGAATTTGACTATCTATATAAATATATAGCCTAAAGTCTTATATATATTAGATCTTATTATATATCTTTTTATATATATCTATAGGGATATATTTTTTATACTTAAAATAATATATAAAGTTAAATATATATTCCTAATATTATATAAATAGCTATAATATCCATATAGAAATATTATTATTATTATTATTATTATTATTATTATTATTATTATTATTATTATTATTATTATTATTATTATTATTATTATTATTATTATTATTATTATTATTATTTAAAGAATAGGTCAGAAAGCTATAGATCTGAATTGTATATTTGAGTATTTAATATTTAGTCGGATTCTTCAATCCGCGCGCCGTATCGTAGTAGACACAGAACAGCGTCCTGTGATCCCCACATTCGAGCAGTGTTCAATGGGCTACTATAAGATGGATGATCATTAGGATCTGCCCCTCGCTTGAGAAGCAACTCCATCATGTCAAGATCCCGAGTGAAGACAGCGACGTTCAGCGCCGTGCCGAAGTTGCCTGCTGGGTCATTCACGTTGGCTTTCGCATTCAATAACATTGTTGCAAGCTGAGTGTCTCCTGTTAAGACAGCAGCTTGTAAAGGAGTTCCAAAGGACAATGTGTTCTTGGATGTAGCGGGTGTCGGCATGTTGTCGCTTGTTAGCGATGGCCCCCGCCCAGTCGCATAGAGGCCAGACAAGGCGTGACTCCTTGCAGCATTCCTGACAGTCGCTGAGATGCCGCGGCGAACCTCGTCATAGCACGCTCTCCTTTTCTCGTTATCGGCAATGGGCAGCTTCGACAGCAAATACTCCATGATTGCCAAATGAACGGTCTTGCATGCTGCTGCGAGCGGACTGGCCCATCGGCCGCCTTGGCATTCCGCATCCGCTCCATGACTGATTAGCAGTTCAGCCACGGCCACGACTCCGCTCGTACATGCTTCTTCCAAGGCATTGCCAAATTGAGGGTCTTGTCTGCTCACGGCTTTGATATGGAGGATCAGTGCCTCTGTTGACTGAGCCAGTCCTGCTCGGCAGAACAATTCTAGCAATGAAGTTCGCTGCTCCTCATTGAGCAAGGCCAACTTATCACTTAGCTGTAGTGCTGCCAGAAGTTGGCAACATAGACCATCCTTGGCAAAGTCGCTCAAGCACACAAAGATCCGCAGAATGGTCTCTGACTCGTGAATGCTTTCAACAAGCATCTTTGAGTATTCCGACGAAGCTTCCTCAAAGACCGGTCCAAGATAAATGTCATCTAAGATTTCCAGTCGCCAATGATGAACTGCGCCCCGGTCTAGGAGTTGACGAAGCACGAATCGGCCGGTACGACCCGAAGTAAGAGCAGCCGCCAGAGCCGCTTGGTCAAGTGCAGCTTCGGCATCCAGAGCGAAGCCTGCATCGAGGAGAAGGTCCAGTTCCATCGCACGTTGATTTCGGATGACGTGGCGCAACATATTTGAACCAGTGAACCGAAATGTGTCTTGATGCTGAATTAATGTCTTCAATATTGCAAAGCGAGAATCACCACCTATTTCCCGATCAGTGAATATGTTATCCACAACATCGTCAGCATCGGCAGTGGACTGGGTCTGACTCAATCTCAACAATTTGTCGATCACATCTCTTCTGCCATTGGCGGTGGCGGCCTTCAGCGCAAGACAGTAGAAACGAGCGCTTCCGGTCATTGGGGTAGCGTATTTTATGATGAAGTCCATGGCCAAGACGTCACCTGCCCTTGCAGCCAGGATGAATCTGGTCTCCATCTTTGGGGGCCGCGTCCCCTTAGCAGGCTTGAGAGGAAACATGCCATGGGATGTGATCGTACTGTCGCGTTGGGGGTTCCATTCCGCGCAGGATGAAACTACATTTTTAACCTGTTCAAACAGCTCCGGCAACGTTATTCGGTAGTCGGGCTGCAATTTTTCTGCTTCGTTCTCGTCGATCAGATTGAGTAATGCGTATATCCTGTCGTGAAAATCCGAGCATTCGTGTTCTGCGCACTCTCGGAGGCGAACAAGTAAAGGCAGACGATGGTTCATCCCGCTCTGTTGGGCTCGCCAGGCTTGATATGGAACTCGCAAGTATTTCAGAGCAGACCGCATGGCAACGCATGTTTCCTCATTGATTGGGTAGTCCGGATCGTTTCCAATCGACTTGCGATTTTTTGCAAAATCCTTGTCCTTCAATGGAATGCCATATCCCCTGTTTTTGCCCGCCGGCTCGAAGAACTTCATTGCAGCCGCCCATCTCTCAATCAAATTTCCCAGCTCGACATCGTTGGCGCCGATCATCACTTCAGGGCAGCTTTTGGCGTATGCACATTCCTGTAGAATCCATAACCTTGTCCACCAAGGATAGTCCACTTGGACCAGGAACCAAAATAGTGCCGAGTCCGGTATGTTCTGGTAGTCAAGGTCATGGAAACCAAGCCAGACTTTAACGTGTCGAGCCTCTCCATAAATCTGCGCCATAATATTTACTTGAGCAGCGCGCTCGACAAAGTTTTGCTGATCGATACAGATAGCATCAACCCATACATTCGTCTTGGCGTCTGAACGACGCATACGGCGCAGAGCTGCCCATAGATGGAACGAGATGAAGAATTGCGCTTGACCATTGCCTAGGAGAATATGTGATGTACAGGGAGCGGCACCTCCCCAAGAATAGGACAAAGCATCGTATGGAGGGGCATCAAACAAAGGCCGCCTTATGAGATCACAGCAGATGGGATCAGTCCAGTGCCCAGGATGGATTTGTAGCAGCCTGATCCATGGCCCGTCTTGGACACCAACCACGCCTTCCAATATCCCGGAGTCTCGATAAACAATCCAGTTGTCCTGTGTGTCATTTCCTTGAGGTGATCTGGTGATGCGGCTTTGCTCGACGGGTAGAGGTGTCTGCCAGAATGGAACAATGTCTGCTTTTCTGTCGTTCGGATCATCGACCAAGAAGCTGTCGTCTACGTCGTCGCGATCTTCATCGCTATCGAAAACGACATCTTCCCCGATGGTGTCCGACTCATCCATTGTCGTCCATGATGACTTGAGGTCGTCGAGAGTTCGACTGAGATCTTTGCCGCACGATAGAGATGATCTTTTCTGAATCAGGTGATATTGGGTTCGTGAGGCGCGGCTTTCATGTTACTAAAATTCGCCTGGAATGCGGGGCTGTTGCTGGTGAACATGTTGAGGCTCACGGACTCCCTTCACACAACGGGATGATCAGCCAGGTGCACCCTCTCCTCTTTGAAGGTCAAACTGATTGTATGATGACTACACAACGATGACAAGTATTACCATTGCTCCCCGGGCCTCCTTGCTCTCTCGAAGCAGGTGTTGCCGTACGCGTCGTGAACCAGCCAAATGATGTGCGTTCACATGCTAAATTGGCAAGATTGCAGGGGAGGTTTCGGTCACACTATATGCTGTACACAACGATGACACGATCAACGCGTAACAGCATGGGCGAGACTACAGCACACATATCCAGTCGATCGGCTGGACCTGACCTCGGGAGTGAAGATCCGGTCATCAAGACGGAGTAATACAGTATTCTCGGAAAATGTCGTGGCGGGACTTCCATAGATTAAATCCTCGCTAGTGCGCGTGCGGCGGTGGTGCGGCGCGTGAGATTTGACGTACGACGACGAACGACGAGTGGACAGTAACAATACCCGATGTGGAGCCAGCGCCGCGAATTGCTCATCCTGTACATTACTTGAATCCTTCGCATTCGATACTTGCTGACGACAACTCAACTCGCACATCCTCCTCATAATAAGATCGCACCCTCGTCCTCCACTGTGCGCGCCTGTCCGCGACTGTCATTCCCACCGTTGCGCAACCAAATTTCCCGAAGATCGGCACATAGCGACGACCCGCCGAGTCTGGGACGAACAACACTCACATTTGCCGCCCGCGCCGACATCGCGAGATCCCTTACTTTCTCAAAGCGCCGCAAACACGTTACGACATCTGATATCCATCGCCCTGACCGCTATCGAATAGCTCGCGACCAGCCGTCACATCCCGGCTCATTCTCGAAGTAGCGTTCGCTTTGCGCCTGCTTATCGCAGAGTTCCCACGGACCTGCGATCACCTTCCGAGCAATCGTCAAAACTCACAGCATTCTGCGACGCATGTAGCTCAGAAAGAATATTGCGGTCGACAGTGCCGCTCATTACACATTCACCAAGGAAGCGAAGCTGTGCGTGCCGTCGCATAGTTTGTTCAAGAGGAGAAGAAGGTTCACAGACGTCTCCAGCCTACGAGGGTGTCAGCACCGATTGTCAGGACATATGCAGACAGAAACACGAAAAAGCCTCAGTTTCGTTTGCCCTGAATCAGTCCCATTCCATCTGACTCCGCATAAGTCCTAGGCCTTCCACCACAACTGCCAGAATGTTGCGACCGGCAACGCCTCTCTCAATCATCTTCCTGATTGCATTTGTTCTGGCCTTGTTGACTACACTTTCAACGCCGATCATCAAGCAGATACCGCTGGGCAGCTATGAAGGCTACAATTTTGGAGTCTTTGGTTGGTGCAACCAAACTACCTGTTCAAAGTTCGGGATTGGCTACCACACGGATATCTTGTTCCAGCAAAATGGCGAACAAGACCCTTTCACATTGCCAGAAACAACACGATATGGGATATCTGGCATTCTAATCGTCCACCCGATTGCTGCACTTCTGATCCTCATCTGCTTCGGCTTGGCTGTGGCCGCCCATTTCCATGGCCCTTCGCATTCTCCACGTTATCTATTGGGACTCTTAATCCTGACTATTCCTACACTAATCGTGACTCTGCTAGCTTTCTTGGTGGACATCTTACTGTTCGTCCCTCATTTAAACTGGGGAGGCTGGATTGAGCTGGCGGCAACTATTCTGATCATCGGCTCGACCATCGTAACTTGCGCCATGCGACGCACAGTCGTCAGCAGGAAAGCGCGGAAAAAGCGAATCGAAGAAAATGCAGACATGAACGGATCGGCCTACTATGAAAGCCTTGCTGCCGATCAGCGCTCGCGTGTGGCCACTGCACCGTCGGTTGCGGACGATCGATCCTATCTGGCCCGCGCAGAGAGTCCGCCGCCGATCCCTGGTCCGTCCTCTACAGACATCAACGATCAAAAGGGCGATGCACAGTACGCGACATTTGAGATGAAGCGTCACGATACTGCTCGAAGTCAGGATGGTGCCGCAGGTCGCTCAAGTTTAGATGACCGCACGCCCTTGAACCCGAATGGTGCTCCGGATTTGCGGGTCACAAGTCCACAAGGTTCCTATCAGCCAGTGCGCGATCAATACGGCCAGCCTGTCTACTCGGGCCCGATGAGCCCGGGATCTGCTACGCTCCGGCATCAAAATTCACAGGGATCGTTAGGCTCAGGCAATGGGTATGGGCCGCCGCGCGGACGTGGCGGCTACGGACCGCCTCCCTCTCAGAGAGGTAGCTACGGTCCGCCCGGAAGGGGATCATATGGCCCTCGTGGTGGTCCTGGCTATGGACCCCGTGGTGGTCCAGGTTACGGCGCGCGAGGTGGATATCGAGGTGGACCAGCGCCTCCGGGATGGAATGGGCGCGGCGGTAGAGGCGGGATTCCACTAGCGGGGACGATGATGGGCCGTGGAGGTGGCCAGGAGGGTATGCAGGGGCGAGGCCAAGAAGGTGCCCCGCCTCCCGGTTACGTTGATCAACATTACTACAACAATAACAACGGCATGAGTGACAACTCAGCAACGATACCTCGAGGACAAGATTTGTACTATGCCAGTAGCACTGATGCTGGTGTGGGAGCAATTGGACAAGCAATCGAGATGGATGAGCGCCATGGCTTGCCATCCCCAGAGGATGAGAACTTCGCGCGGCAGCCACAAGCACCATACACGCAGCACGAGCGGAATCAAGGGCATCCACTCCCAAGTGCATTGCCGAATCATTTGCAAGTTGGGGGCGACAATGGTGAGGCGCGCAGTCCCACGAGCGTCTATTCAGGCAACGGAGCCCATCACGAGTAAGTCACCATCTTTCAAACACTCGCCTCACAGGCAAATGATTGAATCAAATGATGCGCCCTGCTTAACCTTCTTCAATTGCAGAAACAACGCGGACTCAGCACAACAGTTGGGCGAACGACCAACTCACAATCATTCAGAATCTCAGAATTATTATGAAGATGTCGACCCTCGGTTCGTGGAAGAGCCGCGCACGGTCAGCAACTTACCTTCAGCACTGATGCCTGGAGCAATAAGCTCGACAGCTCGCGCGCCTCCATCGACATCTCGATCACCATCGGCACAGCCGCTGTATCAACAACCTTCGCATCAGTATGCCTCTCGTATGAAACCCTTCTCTTTTTTCGTATCTGTCCATTGTCTGAGCAAAATCTTCACTTGCACGCACTTTCTTACCAGTCAAAACGTTTCTTTATCTCGCTTCGCTCCGACCGTCTTCTTTAGGACGTGAGCCGCTAACATACCGGCATTTCATAGACCCTTCTCCACTGCCCCACCCGCGCCCGATGCAACAGCAGAACGAACCGCCGACGCAGCCTCGCCATTACTACAATCCCACGAGCGATCCCTCAGTCTCAGTTCCGCGCTGATTCCTCGCGATCCGTTCGAAGGTGAAAGTCTCACTGACGACCGACCGAAAAGCCGAGCTCCTTCAATAGCTTCCTTCAGCGACACCGCTTCCCACTTTACGAGCATCTCACAACGCGGCGTCAACCCTCGATGGCGCCCAGCCAGCGTGCATAGCCGTGAGCACTCGGGTCCACCTCCCGCCCGTGGACATCCACCGTCAGCCTCCCGCCTTGCGCAGCGGTCGTCGGTGGTGCCGAAATCATCGCTGGGCCGTAACAGAGACGACATTTTGTTGCAGGGGAATCCAGACTTTGCACTCCCGAGGAGTTTGACTGTCGCCGCAGGACTTACTACGCCATCGACTCGAGGCCGGGGTGGGTGGCAGCATCCCTAGGCAGGTCTGAAATGGGCGTTTGAGAAAGCGAAGATGCCGTACTCGCCTAAATCAGGTTGTGTTAATTGCAAACCTGGTCTAGCCGCAGGGCAATTCGCTCTGTCCAAGCATAGATGTCGGTTGCTTGCTCTGATGGATATTGAAAATACACAAGACAAAATTAGGCAAGTGAAGGAAAATCGACTGATATGTCGTGCCGTTGCGATGGAGCAGTGCTCGAGGCAGGCACATGCGAATCGACCTGTAGCATTATTGACGAGCTTCTGTCCGAGCTAGACTTGTACTCCTGTAAAAGTTCAATTTATGAAATCCCGGTATACCTGGGTAGTCTTGTGCGTGTCTGAGATTCAATCCTGGCGTTCTTTCGAACCGACTTCCTGACACTGTTTCACCATTAGCTGGACCGGATGTATGCTTGATCATCCGTGACCTACAGTATCGTCGATTGCGCTGCTAATGTGATCGAGTCCTCTGGTTCTCACTGCATGAGATCTTCACTAATGTGGAGACGATGAAGGGAACCACCATTCGTGCGGGTTGGGGAGAAGAGTTCATGCAATGTTCATGTACGCCGTGTGGCCGGGGCATTGCGGCTTCAAAGACATTAGGGTTCGTCGGTGCACTAAGCTCCAGCTCAACCCCAATGTGCCGTCGCGCCATTAACGACCATGGGAGCGGCTCGCAGGCATCGACGACCCGCCATTGTGATGCACTTTTTTGCCCTGCAGCTGGTGGCGAGACAGATATGCGCGAATCTTTGCGACGTGGATCTCTAGCAGAGTAATTACAGGAAAGTCCTTGCCTATATCTCCAGGGCGACTACAGTGCGCGACCGGACTACACCTACACAGGGACCACTCATCAGCAACAGTTTGAGCTTCGCATCGGGTCGTTCACATACAGCATGCTCGACTGGAAACTGCCCGCTTTCAGGACGGATTTTGACACTGCGCCATCTCGATAGTACTCGATCTGTGCTCGTCATCGAGGATTTGGCCCCAATCGGCCCTCACGTCGCGAGCATCTTGACAAGGTCCACTCCCGAGGTCTCCCGTTCTCCACGAAATCATCGGTGTTTAGGATGGCGACTGCCTTGAGAATGTCCAGCCAGGAGGCCTCAACGCATCCAAGAGTCTCGCTAACGGCATCAGCGACGAGCGGGATCGGCGAGGTGGGTATCCATCGGCAGCGAAGTAATGCTTCGCGGCGCTTCCGACATCGCGGAGAAGCTACACGGGATCGGGATGTTTTCCGACATCTCTTTACCTGGGCCGGTATCTTCGGCGCAGACTTTATAAACACTCGCGTTTTCCAACCTCTTCAGCTGCAAACTTCGACGCCACAACCACAAGCTTGTCCGGATACATCGCTTGTCGCCGTAGCACAGTTAGCTGCCCTCCGTCTGAAGGCTCGGAATTGCCTAGTCACACTGTGTTGTAGGAAGAATGAATATGTCTTGGCCGATGTAACTCAGACGACCTCACTACAAACTGATAGATATGATGATCCTTCAGCAGAAGCACCGTGGATCGGCACGTCCTTCTTCGACAAAGCTCATGGTCTCACAAGCTACGCTCTCGAGGAGTGGCAAAGGGCGCGACGGCCACGTGAGTGTCCGGACGAGCCTGACCACTACTATACGCCTCAGCTTTCGGAGCACTGTTACGTTATTAGTGACGTTCGCAAGAATGCGCGATGCAAGCAGACCGAGATGATCCGGAAAACTCCGTGGATTCGATTCTATTGTTCTGTGCCGCTTAGAGGAGGCCAAGGATCAGTGATAGGCGCATTGACGATCCTGGACGATCAGCCACGTTACGGCATTAGCCATCGTGACCTTACATTGATGGAGGCTCTCTCAGATACCATTGTGGAACAATTGCACGCAACCGTCGTTCGCGCACAGCAGCAGCGGAGTGAACGTTTGATGCAGAGCATGTCACTATTCAATGATGGCGAGCGAAGTATGCGAGACTGGTGGATGTCTCAGGATGACGCAAGAGTACACAACAAAGGACGTATGCATCTCGTCAACAACGCTCGACATACCGTGCAGGGCTCAAATAGAGCTGTCAGGGCTGATGCGGAATTTGGTCGACAAGGAACCCCTGTGCAGCAACAAGATACGGCGAGCCACGCCTCAGACAACGTCCTCTCAGTAAGAGCTCCAGATCGGGTGGCAGCTGTTGCAGAATCAACTTCTCAGCCCCAATCGCGCGCCAATGTCACGGATGTCAAGGAAGCTAGAGCTGGTGAACGACGTACGAATCAACAAAAGCGTAGTGCTGAAGATGGAAACGATCTTGCCACAAGCACATTGGCGGCATACAGCCGTGCCGCCAACCTCATGCGAGAAGCAATGGGGATTGAGGGCATTGTTTTCATTAATTTGGATCACTCCGCAGGTAACATGAACCAGTTTCCCACTTCCAGCGAAAGTGGGGACAGTTCAGCAAGCGGCGAGGAGAACCAGAGTTGTGATGTCTACAGCTCATCAGTGAGACACTCGTCGTCGGACGGCCGCATTGGAATAGTGAACACAATCAAACTTCGCGCCAAGCAGCTTCGACGCATGATTCGCTGTCATCCCCATGGAGTCGTGTTGCAAATAGAGGCCGATGGAACGATTCTGAATACGTCCAGTGATGACTCTGACCAGTCTGGTTCGAACAATGAACGAGAACGCCTAAATCGTCAGGTCAAGCAGGACATGCAAACACTCGGAGCCCTGGTACCCAACATCTCTTCAGCTGCCTTGTATCCTCTCCGCGACGACAGCAATGGACAATGGCGCTCGTGTATATTCGCGTGGAGTACGAATCTGAACCGCATTCTTGACAAAAACCAAGACCTAGCTTACATGCAGTCCTTTGGTCACTCACTCTTGTCAGAGCTCGCGCGGCTGGAGGCTCTAGCCGCGGATTATGCAAAAGCGACGTTCATCTCGTCCATTAGTCACGAGTTACGCTCGCCTCTACACGGCATACTTGCGGTATGTACTTTCTTCTGTAAGCATGATCGGGAACATTCTGATTTTAGGTGCTTACTCAGGGCGCCGAATTCTTGCACGGGACGCATCTCGACTCGTTCCAGTTGGAAATGACTCAAACGATTGACACTGCAGGCAAGACTCTTCTCGATACGTAGGTCACATGAGCTTCTCTCCCCCTCTCCCTCTCTCTTCAGCGATAATTTACTAATCCAAATTTGCAGAGTGGACCATATCCTTGAATTCTCGAAGATCAGTTCAAATTCGCGCGCATCACGAATGGAGCGCCAGCGTCGAAATCCCGTCTCCACCTCATATCTTAATTCCAAGAACGAGCAGGTAGTCCCAGTCGACTTAGCACAGCTCACCGAAAAGTAAGCATTCTCAATTTCAACAGCCTAAACAGTTGCTGATCGTAACAGCGTCGTCGAGACTTGTGTCTTTGCGTATAGATCACAAACGTCCACAGCTCCGCAAAGCGATATTGTAATGACTGGAGGCTCCAGCCCACTCACTCCACGATCCCCTGTGTCAGGCCCGCTCCTCGCATCATCTGGCGACGTCGCCATCACCTTAAACATCAGTCATCGAACAAGCTGGCAGGTCAGAGTCGACTCAGGCGCCTGGACGAGAGTTCTCACCAATCTGGTGGGAAATGCACTGAAGTATACACATCGCGGGCACGTTCTGGTTCATCTAGATGCTGTCGAGCCGGTGTGGCGTAATGAGGATTCGCTATCACCGAAAGGCCCAGCCTTGGTTCATCTAACAATCGAGGACACCGGAGTCGGGATGTCAGACGTGTTCCGCAAGAGCGGCGCGTTCATGCCGTTCAAGCAAGAGAATCCTCATTCGTCGGGAGTCGGACTTGGACTGAGCATAGTCAAACAGATTGCACACGACATGAATGCTACTTTAAGCTTGGATTCTAAGCTCGGCAAGGGAACCAAAATTACCCTTTCGATTCCAATTAAATTCTCCCCGGAAAATACGACAGTGAATTCAATTGGAGCATCGCCAGGTAATGGCGAAGATGCCAACATTCCAAACAAAGCGAACATCTTTCACATGCTTGCACCGCCGTCCACTTCAGGCGTTGGCAATCCAGGGTCAGATGATAGTCTTACCAAAGCAGCACTCGAACGTAGTCTGCTGGACAACGCTGAAGCGTGGCTTGGCTGTAGCGTGTCTCCAGTGACACAGCTCGAGCCGACGCATGCTTTGACACCGGCCTCTGTCTGCGCCATCACTGAAAGCGCGTTCAAAGCATGGAAGCAGCAGCAGCCTCAGCGCCTGTCGAGATTTGTCGAAATAGTCCGAGGGAGTAAGGCTCATCTTCTGATCGTCGCTGAAACCATTCGATCTGTGGTCCCAGATCCAGCCTCTGCCAATCCGACATTGAATCAAGTATTTATTCATCAGCCCATCGGACCTGCAAAACTCCTACGGGCGATTGCGATCGACAAAAGTAGTACGGCGTCAGATTCTATGGCGTATGACTCGCAAAGTGATTCGTCCACTGCAAGCTCACCTGTGCGAGATTTGGCTTTGCCGGAATACTCTGTCAAGTCAAATTGTACGGAAATTCGACGCCCAGGAATGGGATTTCGATCCGACTCCAAGGTACACAAGGGTCAAAGTAGGACCTCATCCCTCATGTCGGTCTCGAGCTTGGGCCATACCTCAGATCGTGGACGACTTTCACCTCCGCCTTTTACCCTCGCGAGCATACCTTCAAATTATCTTGGCAACGATGTAATGCAGGACAGCCGGGACACGGTTCTGCTGGTCGAGGACAATGAGATCAACATGAAGGTAAGCAAGGTCAATTTGAGGGAACGTTTACGTTGGCGCGCATTCCGTGAGCTGTTTTTATCGATAATGACGCTTACCCATGTTCACTCTAGCTCCTGGTGGCCTTTATGAGGAAACTCAAGACTCCATTCCACTGCGCGGCCAACGGTCGGGAAGCCGTCGATATATTCCGTCGGACTCCACGAACAGTATTTCTTGTTCTGATGGATATGAATATGCCTGTCATGGATGGATTTACCGCGACTGCGAAGATTCGCGAAACCGAGGAGAAACTAGGCCTTTCACGGGCGTACATCATGGCACTAACAGGTGGCACAGATGATACAAGTAAGGCTCGAGCCTTTGCGTGCGGCGTCAATGACTTTTACTCGAAGCCGGTGCGGATGTTGGAGCTGAAGATGGTCCTGGAAAAAGTCCGGCAGGGTACGACGAAGTTGGATGAATGATGTGTCGATGGGTATGAAAACGAGATATTTTGACTAGCGAGATACCCTGGTCGCCGACATTGTATTATTTGTACACAAAGTCCGATGCTATGGACCAAATTATGCAAACATATCGGACACTTTGCGGACGCAAACCTGAGAATTGCGTATTGAGGATCGGCAACAATCTGATCTATGATGACCCTTTTTCAACGAGCATTCTCCTGGTTGTTCGAGGTTGTCGAAGGTGAGTTTCATCGGTCTGATCAGTCCGGTGCAGGTCGTTCCAGCACAACAGCCTTTGGCCGCATACGTTCTTTTCACTTTCGTATGCTTCGCCTTTCTGCGTTATAGTGGTGCGAAAACACCTTTAATCGCGGCCAAAGATTCGCGCGCACCCGGTTCAGACGAGAACAACCTTCTGCGTCGCATATTCGCTTGTACATTGGAAGAACGCTGCGTGTTCTGTCCCTCGGGGATCCAGAACGCCCACGGCAAACGAAGGTTGGCGAGGACGCCACTCTCGCTTAAAATCCGCCGCTACGGGGATTAGTGTCCAACGGTTCGCGGACAATCTCGTCCGCAAGCACGACGACATACAGCACTTAGGTGAGCAAAAACAAGAAATGCAGCTGGATATCGTCATGCTGCATGGCAGCCCGCGCCATGACCCTCAACCGTTTGCAGATCACCGCGAATGGACGAAATACACGTGCTTCATAGATCTATCTTCGTAGCAAAAAGCCCGCCCGAGAGCATGTCATTCGCCGGGACAAGGCGCTTTCGGCGCATTAGTTGACTCTACAGGCGTGAATCTCGAGCGTTCTCATCAATTTCGCCCATCCTTATCATGAGCAGATCAGCGCTCAAGACATACGTTAGACCCGAGCGTTGTCTGATGTTCGGGTTCTTGGCGAAAATGTCTCTGTAGATCCGCAAAGCCTCATCGAACGCCCGATGAACGGCATCCCGCTTCACAGCAATGCGCAGTCAGTGTTATGCTCGCAATGGGTATATCAAACTCACTCTGACTCATCATGAGCGGCATTGACTCTGCTCAGCTGCTGAGTTGTGAGCGAGGTGCTCCACTTCCGTCGGGCCTCGTCTCGGACGTCCTGCATGCCCAGACATGACAACCGCTAGATAGAGGGAGTGCTAAGGGCTCATATCTCTTCGAGCCATTCCTAACCTTTCGACATCGCTTCATTCAAGGTTCACTTATATCCTACCTCCAGAGTCATCATTCTCAGCAGTGTTCTCGTTATCATTTCGATCCGGCCTAAGAACATTGACTCTTCATCGTTGCGTCTCGGCAGATCGGATTGGAAATAGGGCTTACCTCTCCCTAAGCTCGACCTGTCCTGCATGTCCTTCCCGCCGACCGATGAACAGATTATAGCATACTTCGACTGCACACATGGCGAGCCTACCTAAGCGGCTTCTGCATGTGGACACGCTCACATTGGTGGAACCTCAACATGACAAGGACCTCGAATACGTTGTTGTGTCGCACACATGGACCGACGATGAGCTCACATATGCGGACTTTGCAGACAATCGTCACAACGAGTCATTTCTTGGTGAAGTAGCAGCAGGACTAGAAAACAATGGCCGACTCAAGATTCTGCGACTTTGTCAATTCGTGCGCTTACGCATTCCCAGTATCAAGCATTTATGGATCGACACTGTCTGCATAAACAGGAAGGACAATCAAGAGTTGCAGGAAAGTATCCCTGCCATGTATCATTGGTATTTATCAGCATCCGTTTGCCTTGCCTATATGTCCGATGTCGAGTTTGGTGCAGACGTCTTGAGCAACTCCGGCTATCCTCTATGGGAGCAACAATTCCGAGGGAGCGTGTGGCACACGCGCGGCTGGACATTGCAGGAGTTGCTCGCACCTAAGCTTGTCCTATTTCTGGATGCATCACAGCAGGTCATAGGCTACAAGGGCATGGCAGACAGTGCCCGTGATCTGAACCTCCCATTGGAATTGCGCGATTGCCTACATGGGAGATTGGCCGATGCAACGGGAATACCTATACATTACTTCGAGGACCCGGTGCATGTTGAACGAGCCAATGGTGAGCTCATCGGACAATGGATGAGCCAGAGGCGAACAGCCCTACCGGAGGATATGGCATACTGTCTGCTTGGGCTTTATGGACTGTCGATGCCCATCAATTATGGAGAGGGTATAGAACGAGCGAAAGAACGACTGCGCGAGACTCAAGAACAATATTCGAGAACAAGAGGACGAGGGGGAATTCCCAGTCCGACGCACCGAGCAGACCGTGCCCATCGAGAAGCACGCCACGTTTCGATTCTCAACGATCCCGTCGTCGAAATCATCCCTTCCAAATCGCCCAGTCCACCTGTACGATCACCTTCAACTGATGCACTCAGTCCGCTTGAAAGCCCGGACAAAGTGAAGGATTTCCAAGATCTTGAAGCGCAGCGTAGTGAAAGGGCATCGATAGCAAGCAACATTGTCACAGCCACTTCGAAAGGAGCGCGAAGGCTTGGTCGTGATGGTCGCATGTGTATTCTCGAAGTGATCATCGTCTCCTTGATTGTGCTCTGCATCGCCATGGGAGTGCGATTTGGGTTCCGCAGCACGAACCCGAATCCGGATCATAGTTGAAGGCGATCGTGATCCGGTCGCATATGAGAAAATGTGATCAAGCGGCCATCTCCTGTCTTGTCAGAATCATTACCAAAGCTTGAGCAGTTGAAACTCGGGTCGCACCTCCATGCCGATTCTCGCGAAGGAACACAGCAGCGATCTCTACTGATGATTGGAAGATGATCGACACACGACTTCTCTTCTCTCTTAGACCGCAACGTCAAACTTCGAGCGATCACAAGGACCCTCAGCATCTCATACAGTTCACCCTCCCCCAGACGGTCGTCGACGATATACGACGACATTCCAAGTCCAAGTAAGCGATCATGTCAATCCGAAGAGCCGGCCGTTGTCGCTGCGAGGACGTGGGTGATTCCGATGGGCATTTTTGTTTTTAGTGAAGCTGAAGTGTCGGTCTAGTCACCGTAAGGTCGAACATCTTCGGGCATCGGAATAGCTCTGTCGACGCCTCGATGCTCAAGTTGGCGTCGAGTCAGCGAAAGTACGTTTCTCCTCCTGCGAATTGAGATGCGAGACATGGAAACCATCTACCGACGTACCAAAATTCGCCCAGCTCCAATATAGACGCCACGACCAACAACTCAATACTGATCCGACAACGTCTCCACCGTGTTTCAACACCACATCTCAGCATCTATAGTTGGCAGATAACCTGGGTCTTCTCCATCTCGACCCGCATAAAAGGCCTGATTATGAGCGGCGGCCTTTACACCTTCGACGCCGCACACGTCGTTTCGCCGTATTTCGGATGTTACATGAGCGCTGAAGCTCTCGCCGCAAGTTTTTCTACATGGCCGGTGGCGTTGAAGTTTGCAGTCAAGGCTCTGGTTGCTTGGTCGTTCACGTTTGATGGGTCGAATGGCTCGAGGCACTTGTCGCGAGATGCCGCGATGATCACTACCAGCCAGGTGATGCGAACTGGTTGGGAAGTTGTGGCTTTGAGTCTGACGGCAGCTTTGGGACTTGCTTTGATTCCATCCAGAGATGGCACTGCCATCTCTGATCGATACAAACAACAGTCATCGCCATCGATGACTGCCTAAGTAGTGAACACTCTCATGGTTGTTCAAATGACCACTCAACATCAACATTTCAAACCCGACTCCTCTCTCCTCTTGTAAATGCAAGTTTTACCACGACCCACAAGACCCTCTTCTCTTCCACAAACATTCCCCGGATCCGCCCCATTATGCCAAGTCTCGACCACCTTCTCAACCGCCGGTCCATCCTTTCCCACCTCACATCTGTCCACCACAATCCCATTCGTCCCGACTGACCTCGCACACTCCCAACCACCATCATCTTCCTTCAGAACAACAGTAGCGTTATTGTGATTCCCAATCTCGTAAATGTAGCCCTGCCAGATATCGAGTGCGAAATCCCCAACACTGACGAAGCCTCCGGGAGATATGCGGGCGAAGTAAGCTCCCGTCAGGGAATTTGGATCGCTTGATGAGGAGGAGGAGGGAGGAGAGCTGGAGCAGGGTTGCCAGCAGCTTGGTGGAGGGGAGGGGGCTTGCCTGATGTCAACAAAAGGAAAGCGAGGACCGTCAGTTCAAGGAGTGTGACGACATGTCCGGATGAAGCACGATCTCACACGGGAGGAGATACGAAGGTTCAATGAAACACGCAACATACCAATAAACATCACAATAGACCTCTCCCCTGCCGCCCTGTTCCCAGACCGCATCGGGGTTAGAAACGGTGAAGGTCACGTCGTAGTAGCGTTCACTTGGGCTTGCAGGCGATGGTCGCGTTGCGTCTCCATACGTTGGAGGATCCGATGTTGGGATTGTGGTAAGTGATGCTATGAGGGGGTTGAGGCGGAAATATAATGCGTCTGTGATTCGAAGATGGAGAAGAGAGAGGGAGAGGAGGATTGTGACGAGGGTGGGGTGCTGGTGGAATTGCATTTTGGTAGTTTTTGATTGATGCTTGATTTCTCTCGAATTATGAGGAGATTGTGTGGTTGATTCATTGAGGGAAATGGAGAGAAAGAGAAGAGGGAACATGAGATCTTATGAGGAGTCTTGGGAGATGTCAGCTTACAGGTTGTACATGCTACCGAGGAACACAGCGTCGCCCTCGAAGAAGCGAGAAACTTGTACATCCTCAACCGGATGCCTTGTCATCACGAAGGAGCGTACACAGCAGGCTTCACGTCATCATGTTCTAGAGAGGGAGAAACGAAGTAGGAGGGAAGGAAAATCTGTACACGATCAAAATGTACACTGAGCAGCGGAAACGCTCTGATCTCTATGTCGTCGTCCCGATCTTCGTCCCCGCGGCAAGCTGCCCGTATCATTCGTGAGGTCATTTCATAAGTCTCCGATCATGCCCCATCCCATATCCAAAAAGGCCTCTTGCTCTACGATTTCTGCTGAGTGTGGCCCTTGGGCAACAGAACAAAAACAACCGGCACCACCACCGCCGCGGCGATGAGTAACCCCAAAACAACCATCAATATGATGAACCACTTCAATTCCATCCCACAGACCCTCCTCTTCATACTCTTCTGCCTCAAACTCTCCGCATCGAAACCCGAAAACGGACCCTCAGATTTCATCCCATAAGGCCCGATCATTCCCGGCAGAGCCTCCGAGCTGCCCAGGATGAAGCTGCCGCGGGGGATATGGTTTCCACCTGGACGGCGGGGGAGGAGATCATTGCGGAAGAAGGACATGGAGGGTGTCAGGGTGAGGGACGAAGAAGGCGCACGGCCGCGGGCTGCCAGAGCACCAGGGCCAATGGCGGCGGCGGAAGTGTGATTGGGAGGGGGGAAGGAGGCGATGATATCGGAAGTTCCGGCGGCGGACTGCGAGGAGATTTCCGAATGAGCTTGCAGGGAGCGATCGGTGGGGTCGTCCTGAGCGGAAGTCGTGCGAGAGACGTCGGGTGCAGCGCTGAGCCAGTCCACCATGCCGAGACGGCTGGCGGTGCGGCCGCGGTCGAGGTTGGAGGCGAGGCGGCCGGCACGCGCGATGAGGTCGGGAAGGCTGGTGAGGGAGGCGCGGACTTCGGTGTCTTGGTGCGTGATGGCGATAGGGGCTGGTAGAGGGGCAGTATCCAATGGGGAGGCGTCCGGGGTATCGAAAGGGGAGATGGCGGTGGAACTGTGGGTGCTCGTTCGTCCTAGGGTACCACGATGAGAGCTGGACGCTGTGCTTGAGCTGCGGATGGTGTTCATCCCGGAGAGACGTTTGAGAAGAGAGAAGCGGCCGGATGCTCGTTTCTCAACAGGAGGCGCCAGTGTTGATGTCGATGCACGGGTGCTCGGGGGTTCCTTTGGTGCCGTTTCTTCGTCGACTTTCGATATGATCGAAGCGGAAATTGACAATGGTCGCTCCATCTGCCGGACAACCGAATTTGATCGCGGAAGAGGTGTCACAATATCGTTGGCTTCCGCTACAGACACATCCGGAATTCTCTGCCTTGGCTGCTGGACTTTGATGACCTTCGCCTTCCGTTTGAAGGAAAGGGCTTTCAGGATTTCAGGTTGATTTTGCATGTCTAGTGGAGAATCAATCTTTTCAGGAGATGTGGGAATATTGTCTTCTCGCACGTCGACCGCGGCCGCAATTGTCGGACTAGATTTCTCCGCAAAGCTGTCTTCGCTGACGAGGGGTCCTGGTCGCTCCAGAAGAGAACCGGCACTGGGCGTTTCATTCTGCTCAGCCTCAGTGTTTCGTGGCCGGCCATTTGATCGCTCCCGTGCACCCTGAGGTGCTCTTTTGTTCGGCGTTGCGAACTCGCCTTGTTGCAAGGGCCCTCGAGGGACCCGACGTGCGCTTCCCGCCCGTTGTCGTGAACGGGGATCGACTGGCGATTCTGCTTCCCGATTGCGCTCGTACTCTCTTTGGGCCGTGTAGAGAATGTCGTAAGTAGGTGAATACCCTTCTTCCCGATCGGAAGGTCGCCTGCGAGGACGAGATTTGGGTGTTGCCGTGTATCCGTTCGACATGGCTTCCCCATCGTGTAGATCGCCACGACCGGACGGCTGATGTGACGAAGGTGGAAATTGAGGTCGACGAGCGCCCCGGTAAGAATCTGGGGAAGTGGGTGATATGGAATCGGACGCTTTGCGAGGGCGTTGTGGCGGTCCTCTGTTGCCCATCGATCGGCCAATTGAAGCATTGAAAGCTTCACTGGGTCGAGCGGAAAGCACTTGCCGAGCTTCTGGAGTTGCCCGGAAATGGCGTTCGACCATCTCCATGCTGCCCTGCGTACCGGCTGACCTCGGACTGCCTATCCGCTGATCGTCATAGTGGTCGTGTTGCTCCGGGTGCCCACCAGTCATATTTCCTTGGCCGTATCCGATTGCGAATGCGTTTCCTCCCGGCTGCATTGCACTGAGGCGTTGCAGGTCATCCCATTGTTGGACCTGGTTTCCAGCGTTCCTTCCGCTCTGGTCGTATCGCTGGATGTGTTCTGGGCCCATGCCATTGCCATTGCTTCCACCTCTTGCTCTGCCATTGAATCCATTGGGTGAATCTTGCTCAGGGCTATGCCAAGCCGATCGTTCGAATCGATCATGGTTGTAGTTTCGTGAACCAGGAGATCGCATTGTCATCTCCCCTGTGATATTGCCGCCAACGGCGAGATCATCCACGAATGTGCCATCGGTGATGATTCGGGGTTGCTGCCGCGGCCGAGGCCGAGACTGGGAGGCTTGTTTCCGCGGTTGATATTGCTGTCGCGGTAACGTTGCCGGCGGTGTCGGGAGGGCTCCGGTGGGAGGCGGAGGAGGTGGCGAAGAGAGGATGGCTTGATGTGCTCTCTGCGGTGTATGCATCATGGCCGGTCTCGAGCTGATGGTCAACCGCTGTGCGATGTGGACGTCGCCGTCTTCGATGCCTGCTGCTGGATGATATGCACCGCCTTGTGATCGATACTCGACAGGGTCCATGGTGGAGGAAACGTTTTTCCTGAGATGTGGTACGAGAGACCGATAAGAGAGCGTTCAGTTCTTTGGGACCGGCCCGTCCGAACCGAATATTTCAAGTGAGGAAAACTTCGAAGGTAGTGAAAGTTGAAAGAATATTCGGCCAGCGATATTCCTCTTTGTGGTGAGTCGGGAGGTATTTCAAGGTTAATCAGAAGTGAATGATTGCTATTGAAATCGAATCGATGGGGCTCTGCAGAGAATTTACGAGGAAATCCAGCGAGCTGATGCGATCGATCAAAGGAAGGTTATCGTGTTGGTGTCGGACGCATCGTGGACGTTCCGCGTGCTTGTGAAAGGAATGCCGCTGGATTGGAGTGGCCTGCCGATCGCAAACGGCTGGCTGTGTTTCAACGACCAGCACGTTTCGCTCTTCTATCGCGAATAGCAAGACTCGTTCGTCGTGATGTTTCTACTCCTTGCCGTCGTTGTATCGAGTGTATATCGTGACGCGGATATTTGGCATTCGTTCCGGGGAAAAAGTCGTGTCGATCGGAAGATTTATGACGGAATTCGGGCGATCGGCGGCATTGGCGAGCGACGATCCTCGTTGTAGAAATGTCCAGTGCACACACACGCGCTTGCGGGGAGAAGTGTTTGCGCACACTCTGGGTTTGTGAGGGTCGACGGTAGGAAATATCGTGATGAGTAGGAGAAGGTTGTACAAGGAAGCAAATGACAGCGAAGACAGTGTCAGAGAAATGGTGATATGACCGAGGCGAGAGGGAAGCGGCAATGCTGCACGCGCACACTCCGACAACAGGATTTTACGCCGACGCGATACACGACGCCCGCCTTGAATCCTCAGCCGATGACCATCATTACGCTTTGATTCTTTCAGCCCGGTATTCTAGGCGGTGTTCTTTTTTCTTCTTGCTAGCTGAAACGATGGTGCAGAAGCTTACATTGGAGGTATGTGCCACTCTCTCAAACACGACGGAGTCTGTCTCATGCATTCTACTGCCTGTCGGAGAGAACCATCAGGCGGGCAAGCATGGATGATTTCCAACGGGCGTGAGGACGAGGAGCACGAGGAAGAGGACGAGGAGGAGGGGGGCCACAAACGTTCCGTCGTGTGATGAAAACAAGAATAAAATCCTCCAACAGGCCCAGCCCGACACACAACAACCCAGGCTGAATTTAATTACATTACATGCGGCGTATTCTCCTTGGCCGCCGCATCCGGAATTGTTATTATTACTTGCGCAGACATTTACTATCCACGCGATATAATATATATATATATATATATTCATATATAGGCTGTGGACATCTACCCTCTCTGCGGAATCATGAGGGAGGCTCGGTTGCCCATATCATGATCTGTTGGAAAAGGGAGGATGTCAGGCACTATACGTCCATGCAGGAGAGAACGCCTCTTCTCGCTTCTAGTCGGAGATGGCTCCCATGCTCTCGGGACCCGACGGTCTCTGATCGATCGGCAGAGATCGCGTCTGTACCTGACTACGGTTTGCTGCACGCACACTCCGAGGCATTTGCACCGCTATGTCACGCTTCGAGATGCGCTCCGCTTCGCTTCAACAGCGGTCATGCGCATGTTGCCGTACTGAAAATGCGCCCGAGTTCAAGTGTACGCAGAGCAGACAATCCCGGCGTTCATCGCGACGATGCGACAGAACCCACACACACACACACACACACACACACAATCTCCACCCATCGCGATGGGAAAAGACGAAGAGGCGCATTTCTTCCGAACAGTAGGGCGACAATTTAAAATGAATGTGGCGTCATTCACTAACGGTTTCGTCCGGCTCTGGGACGCGGCGATGGTGTCGCTGCAGACGCTTAAGGGTCGCACTAACCTAGTCGAGGTCTCCGCGGATGGCACTCTTTCCTGACCAAAGCCTGTTCCTTATAGCATAGAATTGCCGAGTGAAGAATATTTAACGAATTTTACAGCTATACCTCTGTCCGATCTGTTTGGGTGAGCAGGAACAGGACCTATCAGACCAATATAGGCGATTCCCCAACGACATCTTGTTCTCCGTCCATCTTAAGAAATCACCGGATCGCTTTATCTTGTTATTATCCGCTGTGCAGACGCAGCTTCTTATCCGCAGACGATCTTGTAACTCACGTGCTTTACCACGGACACATCTTCGCTAGGATCACCAGCGGGCCACCTGCTATGCTCCACTGTAAGATTGCGTCTTGCTAAGGGAAAGAGTTCGAAGGCCTGCTGCAGTGGTGGAAGCATATCGGCAATAATGAAGTCAAAGTCTGTCCGTATCGCGGGTGTAATAAGACCTTTCTAGTTCTAAATGGCCTGCGACAGCATACAAGACTCTCCCTCCAGATCCAATTACACATGTGCATCAAGGAACTGGACGACGGCTAGGGATTGTGTAAGCAAGAGTTTCGAAGCCGCGATAAGCTTATCACTCATGAACAGGCGCTAGAGGCCCACGAACGGAAAGTGCTGCCAGACCTCAGCGCATTTAGCATCACTATGGAGGAGGAATAAAAGGGCGCTCACCTTCTATTCACTGTCCCACCATAGATCAGTCATACAACCTGACTCCTTCTTTCGTCGTGCTTATCTCACTAATTCGTGCAAAGTCGAGCAGCACGCGCACATACACGGTCACTGCTTGTACTGCAACGTTTGCAGTCGCAGCGCAGGTCTTTGACAGCCATGGCAGCCGCATCTATCATGTCCTTGTTTAGCAAGTAACGTTCGGCGACGACTAACAGAAGCTGATCGATCGAATCGCCGATATGTAGCGACACAGACTCATTTGTAAGAAGCTGGTCCTCCATCGAGCGAATCAAGCATTTGAGACTGTCAGAAATGCAAGTCTGGTCCCAGAATATACCGCCAACCATAGCGCAGGACTCTACCGTTTGCACGGCGTGTACAATAGAAAGTCCGGCAGGCATGATGAAGATCTGGCCGGGATGAATTCACATGGCACAAATCTTATCCTTTGGCGGTATCCATGGGGGCCAATATCTCGCGAAATCCTTCCGATACGCATCACCCATATCTTTGGGATGGATCCACGGCCATAGCTTGTTGTCGGTGATATTGCGGATCCAAGTGCTTGAGAACGAATCACAATGTGCGCCGGAGAACGCCCCAGTACATCCGAAGATATTGAAGCGGAGGCGTTCGTAAATATCGAACCTTTAACCTAAACCTTTAAGTCGGCATGCGAGGACCTCGAGCAGTTTGAAGCGGCGATCGCTAAGAAATTCTGTGCCTGGAATGGAAGCAGTGACATCACTAAGTTCTAGCACATTCAGACCAAGTTCGGGTGTGGTAGTCAGCTGCAGAATCTGCTCAGAGCTCCGAGTTTCTTGATTCTGCGGGTCATCCTCGATCGGTCAATGTACACCTACCTCTCCGTGACCTCAACAAATAGCAGGATCATTCAGGTATTCGGGGAGAGTAATTTCATGCTTCCTGCCTGTTCCACTCTTGATCAGTATTGGTATCCTCAAACCAGAGGAATTGGTTCGAACAAATTCGGAAACGTAGTCCGTATCGACGATGATGACATCGGATTCTGCATCGACATCAGGCTGCTGACGCGAGTCAGAGCAATACTGAGCATGCTTCATAAGAGAAATCCAGGAGAGGTTTACGTCGCATTGATTCTTCGTCCGGTATTCTTCATGACGGCGTGACGCGATTTCGTATGACTTCTTCCACAAGGACGACACATGGTCGGGCGGCTTGTAATTAGATCCCACACAATTACATTGTGTATGCTCGGATGATCTGGCTGGCGCCGTGTCCCTGGAAGATCTATCTGATGTGGTTTAATGTGACGAAGCGGCTGGTGTGGTGTGCTCAGTCTTATCAGTTCTGCCAGATTCGTCCACATCGCTGGTGCTGACGTGTCCCGGCCCCTTATCCAAATCCACGTCCTCGTCGTCACTGTTGGATTCGTCGTGTCGTATTCCTGAAGTTGCCCGCACGAGCGATTCTCGTTTGGAAATCCTTCCGGAGAAGGGTGCTACAGAAATGGGGTTCGACGAGGCGCAGCTGGCCGCTGGCGGTGAAGGTGTGATCTGTGCACGACCAGTTCAGGCAGGTATCACCGGCTCGTGCAACCCTAATCGGTGCATCGGGAACGTTTTCTCACGCTTAAAAAAGGCCTTTCATGGCTCAGGAATGATAAAAAGACAACAGACGAAGCAGCAATCGGGTTGAAGCGCGAGATGCAGGAAGAGATGGAGGTTGAAGGGAAACAACATCACGAGAGGCGTTTCGGTATGGCAGCTATGTCATTTGGCAATCCCACGCTTACGCCTCAGGACATGCTCAAATGATGGGACCACCTGAGCTGGCTTCCGGGATGGGTCTCTGCATTCAGATACCGGAGAACGGCGGACGGAGGTGCAAGGCAAGGGTGTTCGGAAGCCAAAAACCAAATCTGGCCGTTGGCCACGTTCCTATGGAGGTGCCTAGAACCGAACTCTGATAGACTCGATGCGAAAGGCGCTCATAATCGAATGTAATACTACGCATAGTTCTCAACGTAATACTGAGTCGGAGGCTCATCCTTATCCTCAATTCACCTCCATAATTTTGATCAATAAATGAAATATCGAGCTCGCGTTGCTGGCCGTGACCGCAGTGATGGCCCTCAATATTCGGCTTTCTGCTGGGATGTGGCAGAAAACGCGTAAATGAACATGTGTTCATCAGCGATTTGTGCTCTTTCCAACCATCTCGACCATGATATCGTTTTCGAACCTCAATTGCTGACTCATGCCGCTGGCCGAGAAGCCCCAAAAACTATTCTATACGCCTCCGTAATATTGCTTAGCCCACCTGTCCATATCGAAGTATCGCCGCACAGGTGATATGCGGACACAGCTAAAATTGTATCCGTGCACTGCTTCAGTCCACTCGCTCCGCTCGTGCACCACAACTCAACGTCCACAACGGTTCAACGTCCACAGGCTCGTCGTGACCATCATCGCCATCGAGATGACGCTCTGCACGCTCGTTGCCATCAATATCCTGCATTAGACGGAGCCATACTGGCATCAAACGACGTTTGAAGCCATTAATTACCGCCTTTGAATGCCTCGAAGTCATGTCTATAACATTTAATACAAGATTCAGTCGTTTACGACGATCCTTTACCTTCTCACGAGCAAGTACTTTATCAGCCTTCTCTGCCTCTTTTTGACGTCTTTTTTGGATGACTTGACGTGCTTGTGCTGCAGTAAGGACTCCTCCATTCTGTAGATACTGGCGCTTCATCGAGCGACGCTGATTGCGTACGTTCTGGGCAACCGTCGTATGTTGAAGTTCATCTACAGCCTCAGCTCCAGCGATTGCTATGGCGTATGCGCCACGGAAGATCCTCTGAAGCTGCTGCGTCGCTATAGGCTGGTCAGCTAGAGCAGAAGCAATGAATTGGCTCTGAGTACGTGCCAGAGTCCGTACTGTACGTGGTGTTGTAATCATCGTCGTCTCTAACGTAGCCTGATCAACTGGAGTTGCTGGCCGCGCGAGTGTTGCTGCTTTCTCTCTAAGGCTTGAAAGAACAACGTTTGGATTGAATGGATAAAGGCCAGTCTTTGCAAAGCCAGCACGTATTGTATCCGGCTTCATAGTCTTCTGTCTAAAGCCCTCGAAGGCAGCGAGGAACTCTGTCTTATTGAAGTCAATACAGCCGCTGCGCGTAGCATAGTCAACTGCTTCTGAATGCCAGTGTTTGAACGGCTGAAATATGGCTACGTCAAGCGGCTGCATAAGATGCGACATGTGCGGCGGCAATACAAGAGGTATAATAGCATGTTGCTCACAGAACTCGACGAACTCGAGGGTATAGTGAGATCCATATCCGTCGAAGACAAGTAATCGCTTCACGCCACGCTGGAGTCTTCGCGACTGCTCCTCCCAATGATACAGCCACTGGAGCGTCAGAGCGTCTGTTGTATAGCCTGTGTCGCTCAAAGCAAGCATTGTAGCTGAATGGAGCTCTGTGAACCACGCGTCTTGAAGTCGTTTGCCAGGGAGGATCACCATCGGCTGGATTGTTGCGCCAGCTGCGCTAATGGCCTCAACAACCGTCACTGTCTCGCGATTGTTAGAGCTCGGCGTCCAATTACGCTGCTCCGGATGCTGCGTTAGCACGTGCTGCGTACGTGCCATACCAACACGAAAGCCAGTCTCATCCATGTTCCAAATGTCGTCTGGAGGTATGCCTTCGGTCCGGACGATCTCTTCGAAGCGAGAATACCATAATCCAATACGGCCTGGCTGCTCTGCTGCTGCACGTACTGCATCAAGTGATCGTGATGGACGCTTATACCACTCAGGGTGGCGTGAAATGAAGCGTGAGACCCACATCTTCGAGACGTCTGGCGCTGGCCCTTCGAGATTGTGGCATCTAGCTAGGATCGAATTGGCAGTCTTATGCACGTCGACAACGCGCGCAGACACACCTATCTTATCACATCGCTTTAGCCACGTTATTAAGGCCTCTTCTTGAGCGTTATCCAGCTTCCTATTAGCTGGTTGCCTTGTAGACTTGCTTTTCAATCCACGAGCGCGTCGTTGGAGTCGCTTGTACGAAACTCTAAACTCCTTTGCTAACGTAGTCAGAGGGCCCTCAAATTCAGTCTCCTCGCGCCAGAGGAGTGCAGCATTGATACGAGCCTCTTCTTCAGCGTATTCAGCCATGTTGTGATGGATACAAAGACGCGTTCAATCTACAATCCTATTAAGTCGCATCGTGGACGTTGAACCGTTGTGGACGTTGAGTTGTGGTGCACGAGCGGAGCGAGTGGACTGAAGCAGTGCACGGATATTGAAAGATCTGTGTCTCTCCTCATTCCCCATCTAGGGAAAATTCTATATACAGAAGAGAAAAGGGGAAAAGTTGATGCCTCAGGCAGCAGCAGCAGCGGCACCTGCCGCAGTTTGGATGCCTCAGGCACTATGCATAGAGGTAACTGTCGCATTGAATGTTGCGCAGTGAGACGAGAAATGAAGACAGTGTGTGTTGCGATCTCGAATCCTATTAAAAGCTCGCCCTCAAACCTGTTGACAGCTGTGTGGGATTCATTCTGTCCAGGTGAGATTGCCAGAATTACGGAATCATGCTATGCGCTCTGCGGCCCGCCGTATTCTGCATACCACCGTGGCAGAACTCTGCCGAGATGCTGCATTTCCTCTGCGCAATGGACAAGGAGCGCTCGTGCGTCCTCGTCCCGACACGGGATCAGCGAGGCGATCCTGCGTATGAGAAATCCGGCACTCTTCTGTCCATACCGCCGGACATACTCTCCGCCGACCCAAAACCGCGAGCGCATTACTGCTCCCGCGGGTGTCGGAGTAAGATGATGGCAAAAAGCTCCCAACTGCAGCTCACCCAAGACATCCGGGCGCCCATCAATCCCGATACTCCGTACGCAAACACAGATTACCGAACCATGGATCGTTTGTCTCATCGAGCACATTGGGATACTAGTCGATCTCACGGGCATCGGAAAATATTTTTGATTATATAACGACACAATAACAATAGTAATATGTGTATCCTCTTTGTTTGCTTGCTGGATCATTTTGAGTCGAACCATGAACGGTAAATTGGGGACCAAGCAAGTTCGAATTCCAGGATGAGCCAAGATTCGGAAGGGCCATGGATTATGCCTAGGCAGAATCGGCAGCCTCGGGTTAAAACCGTAGGGTCCAATCGAGGGTTTGGACTGTGTTAGTCGTGGGACACCACTAGCTGCAAAGTCATGACGAATGATGTATTGGATTCTATACGAGAGCCCAGCTCCAGAATAACAACGCGCACCTATCTGGTATCACAACGAGGCACTAAAATTGCCGCGGAGCTTAACTTGCCCGGCAGTGCTCGTCGGCAGTTTGGACTTTGTGGTGAACATCACCTGGACCACATTCCTGCGGCGACATAGTTCCCGCGCGATCTGGACTAGAAGAGCCCCTGGAGAATCGGATCTGCACCTTTCGCAATGGTCATATCCGTGTTCCGAATGCCGGAAAGATCGCTGTCAAATGTATCCGAGTCGGACCGCTCGCAGACGGACATCCGTCACACAAGCTGCGAGCGGCACGCATGTCTATCGTTCGACTTTGAGATAAAGATAACACTCCTCATTGTTCCTATAAATATTTCCATGGAGCAAAGCATGGTGGTCGCACCAAGCTTGCCCACTTCAGACCACGGGAAACCATGACTTCGTCGACCAAATTTATCCATCGGCTCAACCTAGAGGTCGAGTACCCACAGATCAATCCTCTGGCGGAGCAGCAGCCTCCAGCTGCCGACTTGCGCACGCACACCGAGTTTCTCGCCAAAGGAAGTGTCCACCAAGAAGGAGCGTTCGCGTTGCCATGCGACATCATCGTCGACTACGACCAGCCCCTTATCATGCGTGATGGCGTCACGCTCTATGCTGATGTCTTCCGGCCCGACACGAAGGAGCAAGTGCCCGCGATCCTGGTATATACGCCTTACTGCAAGAGAGAAGGCTGGTGGAACACGAACGCCCATCCAGTACGGTTCGGTGTACCTGCCTCCACCTTATCAGGCCTACAGGCCTTCGAAGCTCCCGATCCCGGCTGGTGGTGCGGACAAGACTACGCCGTGGTGTATGTCGACGCTGCGGGGACCTCGCATTCCGAAGGCGACCAACCCTTCTTGGGCACTGAGCTCGGAGAGCGCGGATACGACGCAATTGAAGAGATTGCCAAGAAGGCTTGGTGCACGGGCGCGATTGCAATGGCGGGCAATTCTCAGCTCGCGATGGTGCAGTGGACCATCGCAGCATTGCGTCCGCCACATCTCAAGGCGATAGCGCCCTGGGAGGGTCTGATCGATTTGTACCGCGAGTCGTCGGTGCGCGGTGGTATCCCTGATGGCGACTTCCAGGAGAAGGCGATCTCCTGTTTCCTCTTCGGGAATACCCGCAGCGACAGCCCTGCGCTGAACGCAAAACGCTATCCTCTCATGAACGCATACTGGGAAGACAAGCGTGCTCCTATCGAGCAGATTGTAATACCTGCATATTTCGTTGCGAGCTGGACGAGCCCGCTCCATGCTAATGGCACGGTGACCGCCTACCGTCGAGTTGCTTCCAAGCAGAAATGGATGCGTGTCCACAATACTCAAGAATGGGTTGATATTGCTGATCTCGACAATGCTCGCGATCTCAAACGCTTTTTCGATCGTTTCCTAAAGGGGATCGAGAATGACTGGGAAGCGACTCCTCCAGTTCGACTGTCTACTCTGAACCCTGGCGGTGTCGACCGTGTCGGTCGGGCCGAGAGTTCCTGGCCGCTCGAGCGACAACACCTTCGCAAATTTCACCTTGACGCGGCGCAAAATAAGCTTCTCCCCCAGCCTGCGAAAGATGCGAGCTCCATCGCGTACAATTCGGAGGACTTGAGAGCCAGCATTCGATTCGCGATCGAGGTCGAGCGCGAAATGGAGATAACGGGATACATCACTCTGCGCATGTGTGTTGAAGCCGAGAGCGCCAACGATCTCGACTTGTTCACCGCGCTCTACAAGGAAGACGCCTCAGGAAAGCGACTCCATCACATCACTCTCAGCGCCCCCGATAAGCGTAAATGGGTCGAATCGATGAAAGAAGACGGTAAGCTCCCCGCAACTTTGTCCTACACCGGTCCGACGGGCCGCCTCCGAGTCTCACACCGCGCTCTAGACGAGATGCTATCCACTCCCGATGAGCCCGTGATGTCGCATCGCGAGGAGCAACTCGTCGCGCCCGGCCAAATCGTGCCGGTTGACTTGACGCTGTGGCCAACCTCCATGGTCGTGAACGCCGGCGAGCGTCTCGTGGTCGAGATCGGCGGACATGAAGTTGGTCCGCTATCACCCAAGGCGGTTCCGCTCCCGGGGTCGTTCCTGTCGTTGGCCACGCGCAATCGCGGAATCCATCGCATCCATACTGGCGGCCAGTATGAGTCTTGGCTAAAGCTCCCCATTATTCCGAATTGACCTTTGTTCACGTCAAGTAGGAAATTATGTTGGTCGTGGCCAGGAACTCATGGATATTCATTCGAAAGCGAGAGAGTTGCTGAGCGATATCGTAATCACAATGTGTTCGGAAGTTATATATAAGTGTTGTGTCGGAGTTGTGCGATGGGGCACTTGGTGTCTTGCTACCGTACGTGCTCATTGGATTGTACAGGATGCTTATCTTCGTTCAAAAGCTGCAGCTCTCAGCGTGGAAAGTTTAAACGACCGATCCAGAATCCTTTGAAAACCAGATGGAGACACCAGCGTCAGAAACACGGCTTCAGAATGTGACATTTGATTTGAACCTTAGCTATGCCTATCCTACCACATCTTCCGCATACAACAGCCAATCCCTCGCGTCTATTTCTCTGATGACCGGCTCATGATTCCCCCTCAGCAGATATCACAAGTGGGAAAGAAAGCGCCCAGGCTGGGTTCACCGAACTGAGCCTCGCACTTGTACGGTCCGGAGCCATCACCGCGTTCGCGGTCAGGTCTCCGCTCTTGAACATACGATAACCTTGCTAGAAAGCCAATGCTGTCCCTGACATGACAATAAAGTTTTGTGCGGCAAAAAGCGCGCCAAAAATAGGTGATTGCTTGCATCCAAATTCTCGTGCCTCCTCCCACGTCTTGCCGTAGCGACGAATGATCTTGGCCTGCGCGGAAAATGCGTGGATTGTTCGTATGGAGCTCAAGACATCTCCCGCTATTACTGCCGCAGCAGGGTGCAAGACTACGGTCCTGCTTTCAATTTCGACAATTGCCGATATGGCTGGCCCGCTGGCCATATCGATAGCTGGGAGCATGCTTATAATAACGAGAGTGAGTTTCCATTGGACACTCAGAGCTACCACAAATGCAGAGACAAGCAAGGTAATTGCTTGAATAAGCAGACCTAATTCCTTAGCGATCCCTTGGTAGATTCGATTTCCATCTGCCGCAGATCAGCTACATATGCAATCGCGAAGCTCATCTTCAGCAGCATCCATACCTGTGGTGACTTGTGTTGCTGTAGACCCGTTGCTCAATTCATTAAAGTAGGAGACTTTTTCTCTAAGCGTCGCCTATATCACAAAATTTGACACTATTTTTGGGTCTGACAACCATGGTTGGTCGGGCTTCGTAATTTCTATCCATGAATGGCCAATGTCGTCTTCAACAGCTTCGAGTCTGTAACAAGCATTAGGCCTGTACTCTAGGTCTAGACCGACACGGTGGTACCAAGCCCGCATAATGACACGTCGAGGTTGCCCAGAAACACAATCAGGAGATTAGGATATTTTGTGAGTCTAGCTGAGGTTCGAAACAAAGCTGAAGAACCCGCTGCTTCACGGCAATTGGAGCAGACGAGTCCGAATATATGCAAGATATGATGCATCGGTGTCGTGGTGCACGTACTGTGAAGCCTTTCTGCGATCCGGAGGGTGCGTGTGAGAGTATCCCACAGCAGCTTTCGACACGGGTACCCTCCAGCTCAAGTACTCTTGCAGTCGCTGGTTCAGCTCGGTCAGCCGCCGAAGCTTGAGCTCAGCCACCGATTGTCTCCATGAACGGCCATTGTCGTCAGTACGGATCTCATACAGCGTAGCAGACATGATTGCGGCGTTGCTGTCGAAGCGTTGTTCCGCCCGACGCGAGGCACGTCGTTTGGGCGAATCGTCGAGGATGATGTAAGTGCGAGGATTCTGCTTCAGTGAATTTTGCTGATGCAGAAGAGGCGGTGAGAGCGAGTCCCTCTGCGGCGAAACCGAGGACCGAATGGTGATCATTCTTCCATCCCTACGATAAGAAATGCGTAAATGGAGTATTTCTAGAAGCGCTGCTTGTATTAAGCTTCCATATTGCTATCATAAGAAACACTTCCGTTCCCATCCCGTAACCCAAGCACATTCATGGGTCGGTATCAGATATCCTTGCATCACATGATCTGTCGAACAACTGTCTACTTGATATTTTTGCCCAGTCATGGATGGAGTAACCTATGTCAGAGAGATACCTCACGTTCCTGATGATGGCGGCGCCTAATTCCTTTTGGACCTGACCATCAATCTCGCAAGGCTCCATATTTAGCCCCCCGAGCACTTGGCCAAGGTTTTAGTTGGTTTGCGTGACCATATGGGATATGGGAGCAATAGGATGACGAGATGTAAGTATACTCGACTTTCCATACAGTTACTGTTGTCATAATTGTACAGGCTTTGGCGTCAGTTGAACGGCAAGAGCAGCGTTGATAGATTCACAAAATCTGCTTGTTCGTATCGTGAGCGACTTCACTGTGGTCATGCGTTCGCTGGCGCTATTAAGGTAGTCAACTGTATTCGCTGCGAGGCCATCAAGACTTGACAGTAAGGCAGAACTCTCGATTGGCTCCTCTGGAAAATACCCCATGGTCACGCAGCCGGCGACGATGCGCCATAGGAAATCATCGATATTGGCTATTCCTGTTGTAAGATTGCCAATTATGAAGCCGGGCTTCATGGCGAATACCGGACGACTCGTGCACTATTGCACTTGAGCACAATGCCACACTACATATTCCACAGCAAGCTTGCTGCAAGCGTACCCGCTCGACGCTTCGAGCACATGAAGCGAGGACGATTCCGCAGTATCCAGTTCAGAGGTGTCTTGGCATGGTGCCGTGCACACGTACACAAATCTTTTCAGAGAGGAATTCATGCTGAATTGACTGAAGAGCTGGTGTGTCGACATGAAAGTAATGGCACGAAGCTTGTCGTAAATGTGATAGAAATTGACCTCTGCGCCGTTGTGATAATTGCATTAATGGAATTGGCCACTTTCACGCCAGTCGATAGCTCGGGCAACTAAGATTTGGTTAGTCCGAATTGTGGTTCTTGGAGATTGCCAATCCAGCATTGTAACCTTTCGACTATTTTTTTGAACTCTGGCCTGTCACGATTTGTGATCGATCGGCCAATACAAGAATCGCTTACTCCTGTCAAACGATATTGCGTAGCACGGAATGTCGCGAACAGTACTACAAACGTCGACAACTACTTTGCATGACAAACCTCACGGATATGTTGATACAGCTCAGCCTCGATGGTGAACGGCACAACGCAGGCCTCGCCGGATAGTACATCTGGGCGGTGGTGGTATGTGAGCAGCGCGATCGGCGAGCTGTCCGCCAGCTGCCTTGTCTAGTACTCCAGCTACGTCTGCTGTTCGGTCAGCTGCTCGTCCTGCCTCTGCTACGCGGCAAAGTCGATACTGGATTGGCAGCCGGTCCTCGCCCCGCAGCACCGCCGCGTAGAATTGATCCAGCTCTCGACGCAGCACGTCCATTGACCATCTATCAGAGATGAAATGGTGCATAACAGAGGAAAGGATGCGGTTGTCGTCTCCCAATCGTTTGAGGGCTATCCTGAGCCCTGGCTCTCTTGGCAGGTCGAAGGGAGTGGTTTGTCCTTTATGCAGATGTGGAAAATAGTAATTACGAACATTCTTGGAGAGATTGATCAGTCTAATGTTCTTCTGGGTCCTGGGATGTAAAATCTGCACCCCCATGCCATCTCTCTCCTCGGAAGTCGTCCGCAATGTCTTATGTCGCTCCTCTAGGGCTCAGAGAGCAACATCGAGCGCCGCTACGTTGAGCGGACCTCAAAGTCGTGCCGCAGAGGGCATCAAATACCACGACGAGTTTAGATGCAGCTGGTGCAAAACTAAGGGCGGCCTTGCGCGTATGACTGGCTCTCTCCGGCTAGGTGCTTCGGTCTTGAAATCGGAGGGTACAAGGGAAGTCGACGAGCCAGCAGCTTTGCAGCAATCCGATGGATTGCTACGCGATCGATCATTCCACCGTCGGTGGTGGGAGTGTTTCCGACGCGAATAAAGTACGAAGGAATCATGTCACTGGACAAGTTCTCCTTCAGGCGGGCTTGCATTGTGTTGATCACATTGTTTGCCATGACGTACAATTCGTTCGCTCCGCTTTCGTTTTTTAATTTCTTGGTTTCACGAAACTTCCCATATAACACTGCCACAAGGATAGGATTACCGAGCCCAGTCAAAGCTTCGACTTCTGGCGTAATGTAGTCCTCCACTTGCTGTCGGAGGCTTGCTTTAATGAAATTGCGGTCGAAGATCCTCGAAGTTTTCTGAGAAGCATCATGCTCTGGCGAGTATTGGACGAGAGTCCCAATCGAGTGCTGGAGGGAAAGCTTCATCACTGACCCAAAGACTGCGTCTGCTTGAGGTCTATGCTGTGCTTCGTCGCTCTGCCCGGCCAATGCAAGCTCAGCCCATACGTCGCCGTGGTATATGAACGCCCATAGACGGTGCAGCAAGGCTGCCAGTGGATCCTTACCCTTCACCTGTTCGTACGACATCGTCCACGTCGTCAGCACGCTCCGCTCGCCGTGTTACTGCAGCGGAAATTTATCTTGATTCTTCATCAATGCCGTCCACGCCGTATCATAATGCTCGAGATAGTCCGCGACGCTTATCCCGGTCGTACCGAGGTATGCTCCTGCTTGAGCAGCAGACCACCGAGCTTCGGCAGCAATTGATCGATGTCTCTTTGTCATACATCAGTCATCATAGTCACTCTGCGGCACCGCCACACCCACGTACTCGTCACCGCTTTATTCGCGCGTGTCTCGACCATCTCTCTCGCGGACTCATCGTCGGCAGCATCTAAATGCAGGCCGAGAGATTCGAGAATGATCAGAAGGAAACATGATAGCGCTTGCACGACATCGCTGCCTTTCGATTCGAAAAGACGGTTGGATTGCGCCCAGATCGCTGCATTATGTGCTATTGGTCCGACGTAGTCGCCGTTGTTGGGTGGCTCATCCTCGAGAGCGCGACCCTGATTACCGACCGTCATTACGACTGTTATAATGACGGGCACTTTCTCCCTTAGCAGTCGTAACATATAGTTCCGGACGGGTGATAATCTACTCTGCTGCATAAATGGCAAAGTGTTGTTAACAAAGTAATCGAGTGCGACAGAATCATTCGTGGTCGAATCTCTTACAAGGAAAGTTGCATCCTCTAGTGCATCACTGTAGGTGCCTATGCAAGTAAGCATGTCGCCTGTGTCGCGCACACACTCGCGATTGCTACAGCGACATCGTTAACATGTCGGACAATTTTTATTACACTTGACTCGACGATCTCTAGTAAGGGAGTTGTTAGCATAGAAGACTATTATGACCGCCGATAAAATAACGACCAGGGCCACGAGGGATACTCCTCTAACGAAACGATGTCCCGATTGTGCCGGATTGGGCCTAGGATCTAGGTGATCGGGCTTCGCAAAGGATTATTTGGGTGAAGTACGTACTTGCATGTTTTATAACCATCACGGGACTTATAGTGGAAGACTCGCATTCGAGTTTTGTGAGCGGCCTTGCTTCGACCACGAGGCATGATATACTTTTACAGGTTTGAAAATGCTTCAGTTGCATGTGTTCAGACTCATATGCGTCTCTTGGGCTTGTCCAGATGGTTCGAAAGGCCATCGGCGACGATGGCCCTTGTGGATGACAACTCCTGTCTTCCCGGTCCAACTGAATCTTACAAGACAGTCCATGTGGACAGCCGCACCGTCTGCGGTACGTAGCGCAATCTACGGTGAAACGGTGGTTCAATCATCCGTAGTCATGGCTCGAAAGAGACTTCTCGCCGATCGACAAGATCGAGGTATGGAGAGAATGACTCAGCACGGTGCGAATCCAGCCAACTAACACGCAGAAAGAAGCGGAGGTCGGATTGTCCGATAAATCCGAAATGCCGCTGCGAGAAAACACGGCGAATTTGGGGGCCGGAAAGCGTTTACCACATGAAGCCGGACTGCAACGTCATTTTCCGTGGAGTCACATATCTGGCCGCCTGAGTAAATTTCAGTACACATATTGACCGTCCAATTCATTCGTTAATGCTATTTTCTCGAGTTCCGTGCTCCGAAGCGCGGTTATCGGGAAATTTGCCCATCCGAAAATATCCCAGTAGCATATTATAGAGACCTTAGCTAGTGCGTGGCTTAACATTAATTGAGTGCTTTTGACCCTCTTGGAAATAATGTTAGATGGCAACCTGAGCGGTTGCTTCCAAAGATTTGTTCTGCAATAATGATTCGACAAAATACTGCTCTCGTTATCCAGAACACGCAAAATTACGCTGTGAAGCGTCACGCATCCTTTCCCGTTCCCAGTGAACAGGAATTGTTGATTCAAGTTTTGTACTCAGGTATCAATCCTGCCGACGTCAAGCATGAAGACCTTGGAATCGACACGACTACCCTTGGATATGACTTTTGCGGCCAAGTGATGGGCGGGCATGACGTGGAAATGGTAAACATGCAGTTCAAAGAAGGCGATATTGTCGCCGGGTACACGCCGACCGGCATCGGGCGTCCAAGCAAATTCGGATCACATCAAGATTATCTGGTCTGTCCCGTCGATATGATGTTCAAGGTCCCAGACAATGTTCCCAGGTCCCACGCTGCATGCCTGACTGTCACGACGATGACCGCGGCAGACATCGTTTTCAATCTCTTCGGATTACACCTATCAGACGAGAATAAATTGCTTTCGCATGCTGATGCCATTTTGATCTGGGGAGCTGCAGGTGGTGTTGGATCTGCGACCGTGCAGTTCGCGAAAATTGCTGGATTCAAACATATTCTCGCAGTCGCATCTATCGCACGTCACCACGAACTGAAACTGTTAGGTGCCACTGCATGTTTCGAATATAAGCAGCCCGATGCTGTCGACAAGATCAGGACCCACGCGAAGAAGCACAATTTCAAGATCTCTTACGGTGTAGATGCTGTGGGGACGATAGGACAGAACAATTCTGCAGACATGGTTCGGAGAAGTTGTCATGCAGATGCTCAACTAGTGTCTACAGTTCTGCGGAGTCAAAAGACTTTCAAGTTGCCCTTTGCTATGAAGAACAGAGACATACAGCTGAAAGTCCACGCATTCGTGACTCCTAGATACATGAAATGGCTCCAGCCATGGGTTCCCAAGATCAAAGTATCTCTATCACGCAATGAAGGAGACCATCAGAAAGCCTGGCAAGCACTGATGTATGCGGTGGGGCATTATGGTCAGGACTTTCACAGGATGAGCTCTGTTCAGGAATGCTCTAGAGATGCTGAGCAGGCCTTGGATAAGGTGAAAGCGGTCGCGGCGGGAACTGGCGGGTCTGGTAAATGGGTTGTGCCACATCCGTTCGCATAGCGTCATGTGTGTGTGTACCCACAATCGCGTAAAGGACACCTGAAAACCGGTATCTTCGCATCTGCGTATCTTTTGACAAGTTCCTTTACAGGGTACCAATGTTGATATCAGTGTACTGCACGCTGTTCAAAACAGCAATGGTCTTACTGCCGGTAACAAGCCAAACGCGTTTGAATCAATGATTGACTTCACATCTTCACGACGACACATCAAGAATGGCTTTGAGGTTTAGGGTAGGCATTAAAGCGAAGCTTTTGCAGTAACTTAGATATCGACGATGGTCAAATTGTTGAATGTTAAATACATCTATCGTTCAATTTTGTTCCATTCATCCTCGGCAAGCGGCTCTGTGCTTGTCCGAGATTGCTCTCCCGCAACTGTCGCCTGGACATACGGGACAGTGATGAATGCATCTTACAGCATTTCGCGCATCAACAACACATGCCTTGCCTTCTTTAGGGCACTTGCGTCGGGAAATAAATGCATGGGATTCACTTATGCTTGTCGATTGAATTCGAAATTCGTGATGCGCACAGTGCCGGATGTAGTTTAGCCAGCCTATGCGACAATTGATCATGTGGGCGAGAAGAAATCGGAAAGATTGCTTATGTAAACGATTGAAGTTGATGTTCTGAATCATGCGATCGCGGCGTCGCAAATTCTATTTGGTTGACGCGTGTGACTCTGAGGACATTCGTACCTACACGAACGCCCAGAATTTAAGGTTATCAGCCGTCTGAGTGATAAAAAGTTTAGGCGGTACCGCTGAACGGGAAAAGCTTACCCAGTAGCCGCAGGACAGAAAATGACAAGCCGTACAAGCCCCGAAAGATGTTTAACGTGTGGATGCAGTGTGGCACTAGCGTGATTGACTTGCAAATGCGATGACGCTGCTTGAATGTCACAGCGTCGTCGTCATGGCTATGTGAAGCGACAAGATCGGATGCGATACGCGGAGTTCCATTTCTGTGCCAGGTCGGTGATGTAGTGTGCTATCACCGTGCCATGTTCAATTCCCGCTTTTGTGAGGGCTGGAGTTCGACCATTGCAGGATATTAGGGCCTGGCGATTTCTGTTCAATCCCTCCAGCACGTTTACGACTCATAGGAAAACCTAAGCGAGGTCAAAGGCTGACATCGAGTACAGGGGGCTGGTCTCGGAGCTCTTTAACTTGACCACACCTGGAGATTGGATTGATTTCTTCCGCTTTGTGTCTGAATCCGTCATGCATTGGCTTGTCAGTCAAGAGATGATGGAAAATCTGCGCCCTTGGTCGAGGAGGCGCATCAGTATAGAGAGGACCCAGCGAGAGCCAACCCGCGTCGCTGCACAACATTTATCCCTGCTCTCTTACTTTTTCATGCTGGTAGTTGGACAGGACTTCCAATTTTGAGGTAGAATTGACAATCTTATACCAATCACTGATAAAACAGAACACACTGGATCGCCAATCATTTGCGGGCCTCGAACAATGCGTCGCCGTCCTTACGAGGCGCTGATGGAGCCTTACCTATCTACTATCTGCCACGCTCTGCGTCGTGGGACTCTGTATATCGGAGGGCCCGTGTCGATGGGTATACCGAAGAATTTGTGACACTGCCGAAAGTGCCAATCAATCAATGCATCCACAATTCCTGTGCTACCTTGCTGAAAGCTTTCATGGGGAGCAAGCTTCTGTCGTGGGCCCGAATGCACGAGTTATGTGCTTCCATACCGTGATTTCCAAGTCTCGACACTTTGTACCTGGATCATGATTGCGGCGGGGCATCATCGACGAATGTGATGTGGCGTATCCCGTGGTTGTGTCTGGACTAGGGAGAGTGCCAGTATCGGGATTGGCATCATGATACGGATCCCTTGGGCTCGGCTCAACTTTCATGCATGATTCACGAAGATGCGGAAGCGATGGTCCAGGATTTCCTGACGAAAGCGCTCCCAATTCAGAGGGACAGTTCGGCACGGTCGCCATCCTCGCTGATCAGGCTGCCATGGGAAATTAGCGAGCTTATTGCTATGCAGCTGACCACAAATGATGCCCTATCGCTTCGTCTCTGCTCGAGTGTGTTTCTGCCGCTTCTACACAGTCGTTGGTTTTGGCGACCCCGTTTCTGTGGGCACGCAGAGCGGAGCTACTACTTTGAGGGTATAGAACTCCAGACACTACCTGACCTCATCTCGGCCTCCAAAAACCTCTCCAAGATGGAGATGGAACATACGGCCGGCGTACTGCAAAGAACGCGAGTCTGGAGCCTAGTCGCACAATTTTCAGACTTGGCGAGGCTTAAGCTTCCAAGCCCGATTCACATTCTACCCGCACCGCCCGATATCGAAATTGAATGGTTCCACGTTTCCGGTACCATTTGTCCCGACAAGCTACAATTGAATCTGCTGCTAGGCTGCAAAACTTTATTTGGATGCCAGGCTACGCTGAGACAAGAGCCAGCTAAAGTGACTGTGTTTATCTGCCTGCCGGGAAAATTGAATTACGTCTGTGGCTTACTTTTCCAATGGCGCGATGGGCCAACATTGATGATGGGCTATTGCAACTCGACGACTTTCACAACTATCGATATTCGTTCGCTTGCCGGTTTCGTCGTTGCTGTTGGTCTCAAGCGCATACATGCCATCAAACTCGTCGATAATGACGGCAAAGCGTCGCCATGGGCTGGTCGGCCGGGTTAAGCCCTCATCACGGAGCGACTCCTTCGTAATTTTCCTCCGGAAGCTCTAGAAGTAGACTTTGATGTGAGTCGATCTGCCCGACAGCAGAATCGCTTCCTGTCTGAGCTACACGCTGACTTTGGGAAAGGGTTTCAAGATGGTCAGGATCGGGATTGGCATTGCACGCGGCGGGACCAAAGAATCAAGCCCCCTCCGACAGGATGCTCTGTGGTACCCGAGCCCGCCTGCAGAGTCCGTGCAATTGAATGACCACTTGTTCACGGGCTGCGCGATCGATCGTGACGACTTTCAACCTATGCTATGGATTAACTTCGGATCCTGGAAGACTGACTCCGTTGTTATCGCATTCCGAGAATATTACCAGCAGCGCAGCCCAGATTATGTTAAATACACCTATATCGGTAAGATCTTGATACACAACGAGACCGAATAGCACGAGACTTTCGAAACAGGTCACATGCCGCACGAAGGATTCTTGGATAAGATGATATTGAGGATCGACAAGTCTGGGGGAGAACGGATTGAAGTGATCGGAGCTGCCGTCGCACCAGAGAGTGAATTCTATTACGGCAGCGGGGTCTGGTATACCACCTATAACATATTGAAATCTATCAAGGTATGAGAATTGTGTTCTCCCGACTGTCCTACAGCCACCGTTCTACATAAGCTGACGCCCAGTTCGATACGAATAAGATTGTCACCAACCACGGCAATTCTATTCGCATGGGTGAGCCGTTTGAAGACACATGGCACTTGAAAACATTGCGACCCAATCACGGCCACGTTATTACCGGCATCTATGCAGGCGAGGTGAATATGACATATCCCCGCGAATATACTGCGTGCAAGGCATAAAAACTGATGACTTTCCGTATAGTGCACCACGGGGAGAATCCAGAGTGTCGGTATCATCACCGAGCCCGAATTAGAGGTCTGGTATGCCGACTCTGGGCGGATGCATCATCACACCGCTTCTAGGGATCCCCCGAAGCAGATTCATGCCAGCAGCAATTCTTGACCTCCATCAGGATCCGAAAATAACGTCGACGGTCAGCTTTTCCCGGCTACCAAGGGATACAAAGCAGCCATTAAAATTATGTTCGGAAGTCGTAGAACATGTTCCACAATCACAAGCAGGATCTTTGCTCTTGGTTAATCACCGGTAATGCTGAAATGACGCGATGAGAATATGAAGATTATGGTTGATTGCCCGTGGAACATTTGGGCACCTTTCACTCTGTTTACTCACACGCAAACAGGCACGGATTGATGTTCCTTGGCGACTTTTTTTCCTCATTGTACGAATACCCATTCGTTTATGCTATGAGCGCTCTCATGGACTGTAGTTTTGGATGTCGTTGTGTCAGCCAGTGGAAAATCTATATTACGTAAGTATTGTTGCGGGACGAATGCGGAAAGGCTTGGACTACTGAACGCCCTTATCTCCGCCGGCTCTTACTCGATGCCGACGATGTCAAATAATCCCATCGGAGAAGTATTATCCGAAACCTTAATCAGTTGAGAGATTTGAGATATAGATTTGCTTGCATCTCCAGCTTTTGCCAGGCAGCGCCGTCGCGCTCTAGAACTCGACGGCTTATCTATGTCCATCCAACGCGGGCGAAACTTCAATTTTGGCTTGCGGGCGAGATGGTTCGCACTATCGTCGCCTCTGATGTATCTGTCTCCTAGTGCGCGGCGAATGGCGCCGTCGTGTTGATCTGTAGGCATTATGCCGGTAGCCGTCATAGTTGCGATGGTTCCAATCAAGAACTTCATCGCAGGCGATTGCTCTCTTCCTTCTGCAGACTTGCACATCGAGACATCAAGATGAAGGACGCAGGGACTTCAGGCGCGTTCGCCTCTGCGGAAAAGCAGACCAACGGCAGCAATACTCAAGATGTGCAAAATGGCCATCGTGCGATCGATCTGATCGCACAGCCTTTGACATTACCATGCGGTCTCACACTACCCAACCGCCTCGTGAAATGTCCCATGCAAGAGACCCTCGCGCAGCCCCCAAACTTCGACCCTCCGATCGACTCCTTCAAGAACCTCTACAAGAAATGGTCCGAGTCGCAATACGGTCTGATCATCACAGGTCAAGTCCAAGTCGACATCCGCTTCCTCTCCATCGCAGGAGATGTCTGCGTGCACGAAGGCAGCCTCGAGCCCGCGATTCTGGCGAAATGGAAGGAATGGGCTCAGATCGCGCAGGCGAACGGCACGCCTTGTATTGTGCAGATTGCACATCCCGGTAGGATGAGTCCCGCCGGAGCAGGTAATCGACCGAGGGATATGCCGCCTTTGTGTCCGAGCAGCGTGCCGGTGAAGGCCGGTGATACCTGGCTTGACAAGCTCGCTGTGGATAAGGTGTTGGGAACACCGAAGGCTATGACTATCGAGGAGATTGATGATGCGGTAGAGAGTTTTCTACGAGGGGCGGTGGTTGCGCGCGATGCGGGATTTGCAGGATGTCAATTACACGGTGCCCAGTGAGTTGAGCGATTCCCCCATTTCCTTGCCGAGAGATTATTTCTTTCTGACGGCTTGCTCCAGCGGTTTCCTTCTCTCACAATTCCTTTCGCCTCACACAAATCGAAGAATCGACGACTACGGAGGAACCCCCGAAAAGCGAATGACACTCCTAAAGCGACTAGTGAAAGAGATTCGCGATAAGTGCCCGCCACCATACTGCCTCGCCGTCAAACTCAACAGCGCCGACTACATGGCCGTCGGCGGCCTCCAAGAAGACGAAGCGCTCGAACAGGTCCGGTGGCTCACGACCTGCGGAATGATCGACTTCATCGAACTCTCCGGTGGCAACGCCGAAACCGCCACGTCCAAGCTCCACACCACATTTGGCGCCAGATCCATCTCCAAAGCCCCGCAAATGAGAGAAAGCACGCGCATCCGAGAGGGTTTCTTCACCTCATTTGCCGAGAAAGTTCAGAACCTGCACTCTCCGATTCCAATCCAACTCTCTGGAGGTTTCCGCTCACGGACCGGCATGGCCGACGCCCTGGACTCGGGCGTATGCGCTCTGATCGGTCTCGGCCGCGCCGCCGTATTAGAGCCCGAACTCCCGCGAAAGGTTCTGCTCAATCCGGACATTGGAGATGATACCGCTTTGGCAATGTCGCATATCATCCGCGGGCAGTGGTTTAGCAAATTGATTCCAGCGAAAATCATCGGTGGGGGATTGCCGATTCAGTTCTTTTATTATAATATGCGGAGGTTAGGGGCCGGGTTGAAAAGTGCGCCGGACGCGAGCTTGCCGTTTGTTTTCTTTGCTGGATTGGTTGGTGGGATTGTGCAGTCTGTGGGAAGGATTCTGGGAAGGCTTGTTTCGACGAGGGCGGCGGCGGAAGGTCGGTCGTAGGGGTCAAGGAGTCAGATGACGGTAAGCCTTAGATGAGGCGATCATGAATTTGTTTCGAGAGATGTAGGTGGATTATACAGAGTTCAATCTTACGGCGGACTTTCAAGTTCACTTAATTCCCTAGCAGGTAGGAGCTGACAGAGAAGGAGCTTTCGATGCCGTAAACGAGAAATAATTCACAATCAGACCATTGATTGCAAACCACGGCTGCTTCATCTCGATCATACGCAAATCTTCACTTGTTTTCCCTTTCATCTCACCTCCCATTGCCAAGCCTGCTCACACCTCTGACAAACACCGGCGACGGCAACGACGAAGGAGGAACATACGACCTCCCTGACCCAGTACTTCCAGTAGAGAAACCTCCTCCACCACTCGTGCTTGAATATCGACTATCCCTCCCGACTCTCGCCGGCGGCTTCCCCCATTCATGAATATCCCAAAAGCTCTCGTTGCCCTTGGGACCGCGATTGATGGCCCATTCGGGAACACGGTGGATCGATGATGGAGACAGAGGTGCTGAGTAGGATATGGGAGTTGTAGCGGGTTGCTGCGGAAGCGGTGCTGTGGAGTACGATTGCAGAGAAGAATCGACGGGCGAGAAAGGCGAGGCGGCTGTCCAGTGATTGTTGCTCGGACGGGTAGATTTCCAAGGACACCAGTAGTCCGCGCCAGCATGTGCCGAGGGCGGAGCGTAGGCTTCGAGGTTCTCGAAGACAGGGATGAGGATGCGCGTGAGAGGTTCGTTGAACGAGACCGGAGCGTCGGGTGATTTGGCCTGTTGATCACTTGGACGATTGGGAAGGGGAGAGCCTGTGTCGGTGGGAGACATCTTTATAGGTTTCTTCATTGAGCTTGGCGATGAAATCCGATGGGCAGCTTTGATGCGTTGATAAAAGTCTTCCTGGCGTTGAAACTTTTGGTCGCCTTCCCACCAGCTCCGCAAACGGTCATCGTACGATCGTACAGCGGACGAGTCGTGCGTGATGAAAGAGGATTTGGCTTCCAGAGACGGCACACTAGCGAGTTGGTGGCGAGCAAAGGGTATACCGGTATGGTCTGCGGACGCTGAAGATGCAGCTTGCGTTCTCCAAATTGATGATAACCCGTGAACAGGGTTGACTCCACGCGGATTATCATCTTCGGGAAAGCTGATGCCTCGCAAATCAAAGGTGCGAGCCGGGAGTGCGCGGCGATAGCCCGAGCCTTGTGTCGGCAATTGTGTATATGTCTCTTGACCGTGCGGGTTAAAATGCAGGCGTTGACCGCCGAACGTAGCGTCTCGATATCCATGCACATTCACCACTTTAGCGGTCAAGTCTAGAGGCGGAGCCGTTGCGGTAGAGGGCGCGAATGCCGGAGAAAAGTTGACAGCATGCTCACCTGCTACTGCTGGGCCGTCACGTGTGTTGATCAAGTCAGGGCGATGAGCCCCGAGAGTTTTTGGAAGCATGAATCCACTCCCAGGTGACGCCATTCGGCGATGGACAGAGAAGCCTGCCGAAGATCCAAAAACCTCTGCAGCGGGATCCCAGGATGTCGTTGCATTTGACCTATAAGGATCATGGAGTACAGTTCGGAATGGCGTCTTGGCTGGTGTGTCCTGACTACCTGTTGGCTTCTCCGTAGGCGTAATCTTAGTGAGAGATGTAACGCCTCCACTGCGCCCTTTTGCACTTTCCTCGAGACGTATCAATTGACCCCGCAAGGCGCCACGTACCTTGGCATCCGGCATTATCACAGACGGTTTATGTTGTGGTTCGGATCTTTTCTCGTCGTTGAATGGAGTTGGATGAGAGGCTTCGTTTCCCAATGAGTCAAGCTTCAAACTCTCGAAGAACGCCGCTGCAGGCGAAGATTTGGAGATGGTCGGCTTGGCTGGTGCCAGGCCTAAGTTGAAGAATCCTGGAGTAGTACGAAAGTCTTCGTTTTGCGGAAGGTTATCAGAAGCGAACCACTTCTCTCGCCCAGTAATGTTTTGGGAATTCTGTAAAGCATTGTCTGTTCTCGAAGTCTGAGCATTGAGAGACACCAAAGGAGGCACAGAGTTCGTTCGAAGAAAAAGGGGTGCTAGGTTGTGACTGCTGGCACCAATGTGAGCGATTGCAGGTCCGTCTGATCTAGCATCCGAGGGATGCAGTGAATCAGCAAAGCTCTTGATGGCATGCAGCGCGTTGTTTCGCGTAGTCGTGGGAGACCCAACAGAACGTAGATCACCAAACACTCCTTTGGTTTGACTAGGAACGAACTGCGCAAATGGGTCTTCTCTGGAAGACCGTTGCATCAGGGCTTTCCAGTCACTGCTATCAGTATGTTGCGAAACATCGCGAGATGCCTCAACTTCACTAACAGGCTCTGGCAGTAGTGCTTTGATGTCAGCTGTTCCGAACGGACCGCCAAGTAGCTCTGCCTCTTTCTGACGCGCAACAGCACGAAAGTAGGCAAGGCTGTTTTGGCGTCGCATTTGACTTGCAGTCTCGCCTTTGAGACGACACGTTGCTAATTGCCCTTCGATTCGTTTGCGAATGTTGCTGAATTGTCCAACATTTTCCCATTGCGTGCGTGACCCGCTCCAGATATGCGCCGACACATCACCGTTTGGATGTTGTATGAATTGCAATTGACCGCTCGATCGACCCAAATTTGAAGCGAGGAAAGAAGGTATGGGCAAGGGAGTACCGAACACAGCGAGGATCTTCTGCGGTGCAAGGTGACCTTCCACTGTCGCAGCTTTCGGTGGTGCGGCCACAGGATTGGTGTTGTTGACCGAGAGCGTTCGACGCGAACGGCGGCTGAGATAAACCTGGAATCCGTCATCTGGTTGCGGTCCGGCCGCATCATTGTGATCATCTTGTTTGCTGAGGCTCGTCACACGGGACGCTGTTGAGAGTGAACGGGAGAGCTCCGTGACTTGAGTTTGTGATTGGCTATCGTTGTTGACAGAGCGGTCTGGCGGTGCAGGGAGTTTCGTATCCGCCTCTTGACTGCCACTCAGGCGGCTTGAGGTATCGATAGATAGGTTCGGGTTCCTGCTCATCTTAACCTTGCTGTTCGAGTCTGAGCGCTGTCGCTCCATCGGAGCAGACACCAGAGCAGCTTCCGCCTGACGAATACGCTCATTCTGACGTTGCAATCTCGCTTCGGCCAATGATGCCAGAGAAGCAGCGGAATCGGTTGCTGCATCGGCCATGTCAAGCGGTTGTTGTCGAAATTGGTCATGAGTGGATTCCGTAGTGTCAGGCCCCTGCTCCAACTCGTCTGAAGATATTGATGCGTCACGACTCAAGTCACTACGCTGGCTCAGGCGCGTGGGCGATCGACTCCCGTCTTGTTGGAGTGGAGGTGTGCCCACAGGAAGACGACTTTGGTGTAACTTCTTGGCGATTGTTGTTGAATGAACTCGTGATCGACGGCGCGGGCGAGGCATTTGAAGAAGACTATCAGTCGTGGCAAAGAGTCTTGTGTGTTTGCTTATCTTTGTTGGCGGCGAAAGCCTGATGAGTTTGGCTTGATTGCCGATGAAAGGTGGTTCGATGTGTATGCGGCAAACAGCAAAGGTAGAGGAAGATTTAGCCAGTGGTCGACGAGAGTGAATGGAGCTGAGAGAGCAGTGAAAGGAGGAAGTCACCTCCCACAGCTATCATGAATGCCGAACAAATCGTCATGCTTGCTCGAACACTTCGCCTACCGCGATGGAATTGTGCCTGCACACAAACAACGCCATATCCGCCCACCTGCATGTTTGCTATACTACACTTGGGCCATTCACTCCATCGCCGCCATCGATCTCGTCGAAAATGATGATTGCCAACTCGCCCTTCGCAGATTCTCGCCTGCCAGCTACGTACATCCTCCCTCGATAGATCTTCGCGCCATAGTCAGCACCTTTAATGAATCTGACAAAACGCGGGTCGTCCACAGCTAATTAGTGAGTCGGCCACGCGATATCCGTCATGAGACGGGCAAAGACATCCATTCGCACTTCACAATTAGCAACAGCAAGTACAAACACTTCACAAATGGCCAATGTCGAATGGGAATGCACCTGCCAGGGCGTTCAGAAGTAACACATCGATCAAGGCCGCAAAAGAGCACTCTGCTCGGGAAGTCATACGTCGGCGATGTAATACTTGATAAATGCGCTTATGCGCGATGAAGCATGGAAAGCGTCGTCGTTTGTTCATGACAAAATCGAAATGCGATGGGCACCTGGCAGAAGGAGTGCTTAGGGTTGCAATGAGTTCCAACCTTGAAGTTCCTTTTCGTTAGGGTCAACATCACGCTCTTCAAAAAAGGGACACATGCTAAATCAGAAGACCTTCTACGTCGTTGACAGAGATTTCATGCATACGGTCAAACTGTAAGGCAGTGCCTCGTATTCGGAATCTCACGTTGGAAACGGGACCAATTTGCCGGTGGACATGAACAATTCGGGAACGTTTCGTGTGAACATCTCACGATGTCAAAGCTGCCGAAATGGGTCACAGAGTCACAGCTCTCCAAGATTCCCTATTTCATTGCCCCCAAGCGTTTCCGGTCAGCTTCTCGTACGCCTCCTGATATTTCCTCGCCGTCTCACGGACCACTTCCTCGGGAATTGTCACGCCCGTGCGCTTGTTGTTTGTCTTGGTGAGATAGTCGCGGAGGTATTGCTGAGAAGAACAAGAACGTCAGCATGATTCCCGCATTTCTCGGATGCGTCTTCGACATACCTTGTCATAGCTGTCCTGTCCTTTTCCAACCTCGTACTTGTCTGCGGGCCAGAACCGACTGCTGTCTGGCGTGAGGACCTCGTCCACGAGGATGATCTCGCCGGTAGTCTTGTCGATGCCGAATTCAAGCTTGGTATCGGCAATGATGATGCCGCGAGGCAGAGCGTAGTCGTGTGCCTTGATCGGTTTGTCAACACATGACCGACAGATAGGGGAATTCCTGACCAGACCGGATCGACCTCGTCTCAAGTGTAAACTCACCATCTTGTAAATCTCCAACGAGACTTGCTCGATTTTCTTGGCAACCTCCTCGCCAACGATCTCAATAGCTTTCGCCTTGGAAATGTTCTCATCATGTTCACCCTGTTCGGCCTTGGTGCTAGGCGTCCAGATCGCGCCGCCTTCAAACCGTTGACTCTCCTGCATTCCAGCAGGGACCTGCATACCGTGGACTGTGCCAGATTTCCGGTACTCGCTCCAAGCGGAGCCAGTAATGTAGCCTCGGACGATGGACTCGAGAGGGATGAGATCATGGCGACGTACCAGCATGCTTCGTCGTGAGAGTGTCGACTGCAGGTCCGCGGGAGTGTCTCGTGGAAGGGACATGGAGATGAGATGCGTTCTGAGCGAAGTGTACTTGGATTGAATAAGCTGGAACCAGTGCGCGGAGAGCTGGGTCAGGAGAGCGCCTTTGGAGGGAATGCCCTGTTGTGGAAGACATGGTCAACCTGGGAAAGCTTATCGACTAAAGCACGGCATCTAGATCTTGTGAAGAAGTGGACATCACAACATCGTTCCAATGAAGTCCAGGACAAGGATACACTTTTCAACCTGCTTCGGCAACGCCAGCTTCCCTACTTACATTCTCCATAATATAATCATAAGCCGAAATGCGATCTGTCGCAACGAAGAGAAGTGAGTCCTGATCGATTTGGAAAATCTCTCGCACTTTGCCGCTTGCAATCTTCTTCCAACCAGTGGATTGCGAGATGTCCAGCTTGGTCAGAGGCTCTGATGCTTGTGCCATGTTGTTTAATGGTGATCTTGAAAGAAAAGCTCGGTCTTAGTGCTGTTCAGTGCCGGATTTCGAATGACGGCGCCGCGATGGGACCAGTTGCTGTGATTAATCTAGCAGATCGACCTGATCACAGTGCTGTGATACCTGTTGAAATTTGGAAATACGAAGCTGAACCATGAGTCGTCACCATTGTGTTGATGTCGAGCTGAAGCTGTCGTGATGACTCAGCAGTGACGAAATTTTATAGCTTCCCTCAGGGTTGCCAATGTAACTCCACATACAGTGAGGCTGGCGTGACGTTGTCCTTCAGGGCTGCGACGAGCCTATGCATCAAGCATCAAGCATCGTCGCGCTCTTTATTTTGCATTAATTGATTGTACATCTCATCGGCTTGAGCAGTTGAAGTATCGTCACCGAGAACTCTGGCAAGTCGACCCTTCATCGCGAGACAATCGAGCATGCCCCAAAAGTCCTCCAACTCGGCAAAGGCTGTAAATCACTGTCAGGTCGGCTATACATAAACCGAGTTAGCTGACGAAATTTGACGTACCTTCTCGACCACGCTCGATATATCCTTGCGCAACTCGCAGGCATTGTTTCCGCTCGCTCGAGTTTTGTGGATGTGAATGAGAAATGCCGACGTATGCCTCACCTATCGTGACAAAAAGCTTGGCACGCAAGTCGAGATCATCGGACTGCAAAACCTAAATCAGGGAAGTCAACGTCTGCTATGCGGTATTGCTCATGATCTCGAAGCAACGTTTTGTACTATCGTACCTTTGGGAGTGCCGCTTCGCACAATTCTTTGGCGGCTTCATACTCGGTCTGGTCGAGCAAAATGACGACTATTCCGTGGACAACCTTGAACAGGATAGGCAAAAGGAAGTGCCGCTCAGCAATGGATGCTGTGCGTAGAGCAAGAGTAAATCCTTTGCTCGCGTGTCCGCTCTTGGCGTAAATGCGGATCTTCAAGTCGTGCAAAAGCAGACGTTCTGCCACGTCTAGAAACGTATGAAATGTCAGCAAAAAGCTAACGACCCGAAAAAATATCAAACGTCTGCCACTCACCAGATCCAGCGTCTTCAACTTCCTTGAGGCGCTTCGTGACCAGCTGCATGGCAACCTCGAGTTCGTTGATGCGAATGTGGAAGTCGATTTCGAGAAGATTGACCTGAAATATCATTTCTGGATCACCAAATTCTCTGAGTGGACGAAGCTGGAACAAGTAGTCTCGTGCAGACTCCCGATTATCCCTAGAAGCGGATTAGCAATTTGGGCGATTGTTCGTAAAAAGAGACAATGTACCGGTGGAGACTTCGTCTGAGCTGCACAAGCATCGCTGCCCCGAGAATATATTGCTCCAACTTGAGGACTCCTCTAGTCATGGGAAACAAATCGCTGAGGATATTCAGGGCCCGAGTGAAGTTTCCCATAAGCGAAAGAGAGTGTATCAAGCGACAAGTCGAGTAGACGAAATCTTTGACTGGCGCACGCGCTTTGTGAACGGTGTTTGAGACTTCATAGGTCCGGCGTGCGAGATGATTTTGTCCTGCATTTCATTAGTATCAATCGTGACAACGCTCAGCCAGCGACCTACCCATGCGCTCGAAGCTCGCGCCTTGTAACACAGCCGTGGCCAATCCCATGTTCAATACGTCGTGCTGCATGTTAACATAACGAGCCTGCAAGAGATGCTCTTGTGAGCGCCCGATACCAACACCCTGCGGAACCCATCAGTAACGTCGCGTGGTAAAATGGTCAGAGTGAGAACCCACGGTGCACATCTCAAGGCTTGCTTCCTGAAGCAAAGTTCCACTGAGTAGATTCCAATTCCTGGAGTCCTTGGCCTTTTGCTTCAGGAAGGCCATCTCGTCGTGTTCGTTCCCGCTTCCACCAAGGACACTGGACACATTACCATACGACGAACCCCTGTTAGGATGAGCGTGTCGCAGGTAGAGTAGCCATGAAAGGGCGAAATTCAAGCAAGCCGTGTCTTGATTCTCTCGCGCTACCTCACATTAGCGAATGTATGAGAGGCAGTATTTGAGCTCGTCATTGACCAACCTGTAGCTATACATTCATTCATCGCATCGATACTCTCACTCCAACACTCGAAATCCGCGTGCAGGACGCTCAAATGTAAAAGTGCATATTGGTAGAAGACTCTCATCGTGTCTGATCCGGTCCGCGCGGCGAGAGAGTAGTCGAAGTATTGGTGGAGGCTTTCCAGCGCCATAGTATACTGACCAGCTCGCCAATTCTCGAAGAAGGCCATGAAGTATTGTAATGGCTGTGAGCCCGGTTCACACTGTTCACGTATCCATGTCTGCAAGCGGCTCCTTACGTCCGTGGGCACGCGCGTACCGAGCTTTTGCAATTGATGAACTGCAAAGCCGAGTAGATTCTCCGTATCCAGCGCACTTACACAGGCGTGCTCGTTGATATCAGCATCTCGCATGCGGCGCAGAGTGGCAGAGTTCTCCCATGGTGACTTATCGTTCTCTAAAGCCATCGCTGCATGTGGGTTTCTACCTGCCCAATCATCGTATGAAGGTGCCCGATAATCGACAAACACGTTCCACAGGTTTTGCACGTCTGCGAATGGAAGTCGCGTGTACTCTACATAACAACGACGCACGAATTGTCCAAGCGGAGAAGCTGGCGTCAGTCGTCTACCCTCAGTCGTGATGCCAGAAGTACTCGCAACACTCGCACGAAGTGTTGTGAATAGTTCGTTGAGTGCATCAATGCCGTTTATCGCCCACAAAAATTGCAGGAGCACGTCGTTCACACTTCGGCCGGGAACCTCAGATGCCCATTGATGCAACTTTGCGGTAAAGGTAGACAGACAGGACTGTGCTATTGCGATGTGTTCGATGTCATCAATGTCGTCTCCCTCAGGGCTCGTCACTACATGCTGAGCGATGAAATCCAGCACGTCAAGGCTTGATTCTGAAGATGTTTGTCTTGATTGATATATGTGAATCAGCGCCAGTAAGCAGACGCGAGCTGGAGTCAAATAGCGTGGCATCTTGCTTGATCACAACCATCCCGCTGAACTGGCAATTCTTCAGCTCGCAGAACACGGTAATGATTTCAATGAAGAGCGTATTTCATCTGCAGCACATCATGCCGCGCGATATTAACACGCCGACACGTGTTGGCGCGGTGGCATCGGCGAAGTCTCCGCCGTGAACTTTCGGCCATGACCTCATGTCTTGCACGTCACCTGGGGGCGCTTTCACAAAACGCGTCACACGAGCAGCAATTACATTTCACAGCACTTGCGCACCTTGCCATTGGAACTTGCTGGCGGCATGTGTTGACACATAATTACGAGCGTATATTGAGCTCGATGGCTCTGCAGCACTGGCGAATGTGTAGTGCTTGTTGCAGCCTCAACATTCCTCCAAGATGAGGCTCACAACATGGTCAGTACGGTTTGATCAACTCATAAGGATGTCTTCTGACTAATTGTAGGAATGTCAATGGCATCCGCAATCCTTTCTCATATCCACCATGGAATACCACTGCTCGCACATTCCCGGCCATGTTTGACATACTCGCCAGCGACATCATAGTCATGCAGGAGCTCAAAATACAGCGCAAAGACCTCCGCGATGACATGGTATTGCTTGACGGATGGGACTGTTTCTTCAGTCTACCGAAACATAAGAAGGGATATTCTGGCGTGGGCATCTATACTCGAATTGCAACATGCGCGCCAATTCGTGCAGAAGAGGGACTTCTAGGCGTGTTGCCTTCTGCATCAGGCGTCGCATTCAGAGACTTAGAAGAGCAAAATAGCATCGGAGGATATCCCAGTGAAAAGCAAATCATGGAAATAGGAGTCGACCCTCTTGCGCTCGATGCGGAAGGACGCTGTGTGGTTTTGGAGTTTCCAGCATTCGTACTTTTTGGTGTATACTCACCTGCGAACAGCAATGGTCTACGAGATGATTTTCGATACGGCTTCATCAACGCATTAGACTGTCGAATACGTAATCTGATCCGTCAGGGGAAGAACGTTGTTCTGGTCGGTGACCTCAATGTCTCTCGGAACGAAATGGACACGGCTTCGGCTGCGGAGGATCTGCGCCGAGAAGGCCTAACCCATGAAGATTACGTCTCGACGCCGAACCGACGCATTTTCAACCAGCTATTGATCGGCGGCGACGTCGTAGGTCAGCGAGATGAAGGACGAGAAGAAGGCGTTTTATGGGATACGACACGTGCATTTCATCCTGACAGGCGCGGCATGTATACTCATTGGGAGCAAAAGATCAACGCGCGGCCTGGAAACTTTGGCAGCCGGATCGACTTTGTCCTCGTCTGTAGCGCCATGCAATCTTGGATCAAGGATGCGAACATTCAGGAGGGTCTGCTCGGTTCAGACCACTGTCCTGTTTACGCAGATTTTCACGAAAGCGTCCAGCACAATGGTCAAGAAGTGGAGATGTTGGACATCATGAGCAAGCCGGGTACATTTGTTGGTGGCAAGCGTAAGCAAGAATGGAAAATCACTAACTCTCCGGCCTTTTCCGCAAAGCGTATGCCAGAGTTCGACAAACGACGAAGCATCAAATCAATGTTTGCTGCACCCGCCATCAAGAAGTCCGAGAGCTCACAACAGAAGAACGAGGCCGCGCTGCATGCCACTTTCATGGCAGACACAGAAGAGCGTTCCTTATATAATCCGGAAGTCTTCGAAGTCACAGGCAGTCAGAGCGTGGCGACGCAGAGCACTCCGTCTCCGGTTAAGCGCAAGCTTTCGGTTCCATCCAAAGAGAAACCTGCGAAGCGACCCAAACCCGACATGTCAACTTCGTCAAACAAGGGTCAGCAGAGCCTCAAGGGGTTCTTTCAATCCAAGTCTAAGACATCGTCTGATGCGACGATCGAGGAGCCTCGGTCACCAGCAATGAATTCCGCTTTTGCTGCACCACCAAAAAACGACCAACATACTGGTGAGGATAAGACCATACTTGAACCAGATGCACATGAGACGTGAGCCACCTAGTCAGCCGACAGTCCTCCTGATCAGAATGTTTGCTAATATGAGCCTGCAGAACAAACATGAGCCATTCACATCAGGACTCTCAGCAAATCTCTCCCACAACACCTACCTCCTCAAGAACTTTCTCACAACCGACCAAACACCCTCCGGACTCAGCTGTCTCCAAATGTACCACATCTCCTCCTCCCTCTACGCTAGCCTCTCCTCCCTCGCCATCATCCTCCAACCTCCCCTCCCGCCTCCACACCTCCGCGAAATGGACCCAACTCTTCTCCAAACCCTCAGCACCTCTCTGCGCCGTACACAAAGAACCCTGCAAAATCCTGCTCACCAAAAAGAAAGGCACGAATCAAGGTCGAAGTTTCTGGATGTGCGCCAGGCCAATTGGACCCAGCGGGAAAGAGGAGAAGGAAGGTGGGGAGAACGGGGAGTGGAGATGTGGAACGTTTATTTGGTGTAGTGATTGGAGGGGAGCTGGTGCTGGAGGCAGTGGGAGAACGGGCGCTGAGGATGATAATGGTGGTGAGGACGGAGCTGATGAGTGAGGCTGAGTTCTTGTATAGCAGGTTCTAATGCTGTAAATTATGATTTCATGAATCTACGACTGCACTGTGTGGCGAGTGCCGCGCAATTCATGCTGGCATCGGACCGCGCGCATATTCTGCACAAGCTTTGGGGCAGGCAATAGGCGGGCGTCGTTCCTTCTTCTGATGGGCTCACACAATGCGAGATCTGTGTTGAAAATCAGAAGAAGAATGCGCATGCTGGAATACCTCAAATTTACTGCAAGAATTTCACCTCACTCCAGGCACGACATGCGACGAAAGAACATTTGCTCAACGACGTGACTGCATTTAATTGCACTCGTTGCGGAGAAAGGATCATTAAAGTACATCCCTGGTGAATATGACGACTGCCAGCGCTGCTCAGCGTTGTGAACGAAATAAGGATACAAACAGGGTATCGATGTGAATACGTAATCAAATCCAACCTGGGGCAAAAGTCGCACCCGGCGCGGTCATAGTGGTGATCGTGAGATGATGGGGTTGAAACAGAGAGAGAAGCACCCACGGCGAAGGCTACCAGCTCCTGGCCGTCGGCTCGCGGTGATGGTTGGTGAAGAATGTTGCGACGTGTATTGTGCTGGATTTGTTGTGACGTGTATGGTGTGGTTCGTGTCGATGTTCGCGAGACATGAGAGGAGACTTCGGACGGCGGGAAAGCTAGTGATGATCGAATTGTGCGAATGCTGGAAATTGGACGCTCCGTCCGCTGGCTCGGCCATGAGCGGTCGCTTGGTGAGAACGCTAAAGGTCAACGGGGAGAATTCTACATGTTGCAGTCCTCCGCCTCACCATAAGTTCGAGTTGAAGGATCATACGGGTAGTACTTCGGTCAGCGAATCTCCTCTCGATTTGAAATATTGATCAAGTAATCATGTGCGCCAAAGTTCTGTTGGCAGGACTGAGGTCAAAAGTAGCGTGAATGCTCAAACCAGGATCGACTGCGAGCAAACCTCACTGAAGAAGTCATGAAGAATTCCAAGTTAGTCGCTGGTCAAAATCATTTGGCACCGAAGACCAAAAGTCATCTGCCGGCGTCAAGAATACTTGACCAAGCTCGGCGTTATGTAGGTAGCTGACGTCTTGGAGGTTCGCGTTGTAGTAGTACGTGTTGACTGCATATTGCTGCTCCGCACCTCGAAAGATCTCGAAGTCATCAATGGGCATCTTGAAGTCCGGGTGGACTTGCGTCTCTTCATGCTTAGGAGGTTCCTCGCTTTGTGCGTTGTAATCAGCTATTATATGAGAGGTGCCAATGAGAGAAGACTGCCCTTCCTGTGAGGAAGTGAAAGCACGAGCGGTGGACGAAATCTCTCGATTTACTTGTGTGCTTGCTGTTCTCCGATTCGTCGGTCTGCGTGGAGTGTAACGGTATTGAGGATGATCGAGCCTATGTTGACGGGCTTCTGCTGAGGCTCTCTTTTTGTACGCGTCTCGTACAGCTGGGGTAAGACTGTGCCACTTCTCTGCAATAATCTTGGCTGGAAGTATATTAGCATAATGTCGAATGTTCTTTCATTCTAGGGAAACAAACAAATTTTCGAGGTTTGCATGCCAGGGTTTTTTGCTGCTACAGAGGCATGTACTTCCTGTCGAAATATCATGAAGGAATTCTTGGGACGCGGAATCTTTTTTACAGAGCTTTCAGCGATTGAGGCTCTGGGAGAGATGATGGCGGCACAGTCCTGGTCATCGATAACACAATCAATGCCAAGATTCATTTTCTGTCTAATGGTTAGGTCAGTACTTCGTTTGCATTATGGATGGTGATAGACCGGAACTTACTGCATATGACCTTCAATGACACTCTTGATTACGCTCTTTGGGAACGTGGAGAGAAGATCAGCAGAGAATTGCACTCGTTGTGATGATGATCCGCTTTTTAGTGACGCCGAGATATTATCACAATGCCCGACAAGCTCTAACAGCAGATCGCTGTTAAACTGATCGTCTCGTACCATGGAATTTGCCATACTGAGGTGCGGTGTAGCAATACTTCGTGCGGCTCTGCTTAGGAGTGTGTACTCTGTGATAAGTGAGAGGTTTCGGGCGGACAAAACAGGAGTGAGATCTTGTTGTCGCGATGATGCTGCAGCAGGAATCGAGAAAATGCTTGAGGGCAATGAAGAAAGTTTCAAAAGCAGGTATCAATGTGTTCCTTTGGAGGGCGAAAGGGAGATGCGGTGTTATTTGTACGGCAAAGAGATGTTCAGGTGACATTCCTGTAGCAAATGGCGATGGTTGTAAAGAAGAAAGAATGAGCGAACAAAATGTTTGTGGGGAAGGACGCGCAAGAGTAGAAGTGAATGTGGAATGAATTCCAGGTGTTGTCACAAAGTCGTGGATCATCATTCCGAGCGAGTGAAGTGTTTGGCATATCTCTCACAGTTCCTCCCTCTCCACCACCACCACAAATCCTCCCAACTTTCACCTTTCACTTTTTTCTTTCCCCACTACTACGCCTGAACAATACGACACCGTTCCCCACTTCCGGGCCCATTCAAGCAAATAGAAAAATTGAAGAGGCCGGTGACAACACCATCGTCGTCGCCGTCTTCGTCATCGCAATCAACCATTTGCTTCCTCTTCGTTGCTCCTTCTTCTTCGGCCCGCCCGTCTGGATCCAGCCCGACCTTTCACCCCTCGACCTTTCGTCACAAAGGCCGAACATCGAAAGGGAAGATCGAGAGTATCTCCACCGCCTGGTAAATCGAGAGAGGCAGAGAATTCAGGCTGCAACAAGGAGACGACATCGGTCGTGTCAATCACGGTGTTCACAGTCCGGTCAAAATTTGTGTTGATCTTCACTCAACCATTGAGACTCACGACAGCAGATTACTCCCCAGGTATCTGTATCCATGTCAGTCCTCGCGCGTTACGATCCAATCGATGGCTTCTGTGAGCTGCGCCATCAGAACTTGCAGCCCTCATCAGTTGACGTTAGTGATCTCCTGGAGACCCTATCTGAGAGCTTTTCTGAGGGCATTGAGATATGCGAGCGCAACATTTACAGTGACCTGACTAACACTGAGTCCGATTATCACTCTCGGAAGGCAGTACCATCCAAGATATCCTTCGGCGTCGATTCAGACGCCGGTCCAGATAATTCTGAATCTGTCCTTACAGCTCCGGCATCACCAACACATCCACCATTCGTGTTTCCCGCATCAGGGGAGATCTTTATTCCTGACTTTCTACACAGTCATATGCATGATCCAGAGATGCCGCGAGTTAATAAAAGTAGATTGGAGAGCTTGTTCAAAGGTGTGGACCACGCGCTGAAGCAACTGAGAGCAGCGAGACAAGTCTTGAACTCGTTCACTCCTTTCATTACGCCCTTGGATGTGAACTCTGTAGCGGACGGAGCTGTAGACAGGGAGAGCTACTCCGATCATCCGCCAAGCAAAATCGGACAGTGGCCCGACCTCGCGGCCATTGATGTTCAGCTGAAAGATGGCACCATCGATACCAGGCGAATTCATGGTGCATGTCTCACGTCTCGAGATCGTGACGTCCTCAGCTACGGCGTACACAGACACATTGGATTGTAAGTCCACCGCCTCCTTCCCATTCACATAGGCAATGATTACAGGTCACTGACTAACTCACAGCACCTCTCAACTCATCTGCTACTCTCGCAAGTACCTCACCACCCTCCCAACAAACTCGATGGTCAACCTCGCCATGTCTCCGATGCTCATCCTCGAGGACTTCTGGATCGCCAGCGGACGCATCTGGAGCGATGGCGATCGGACTCTCCTCACCGAAGCGCTTAAACTGGACCCAACTGGTATTGATCGTCCTCACCCTGACAACCGAAGGGACGATCTTGGCGGAGTGTATCGATTCTGTAAGCATCGTCCTCATCTCTTCTTTCTCTACCCCTTTTCTGGTTTTGTGGACTGACGCCATGTCCCACGACAGTAAGAACCAAATGCAGAAAGACGCGCAGCGCAATTGAGGCAGAAGATCTCCTCCTCAAGAAATCGCAGACAGTCTACAACGAAATTGTCAAGGATCTCAAGGAAGAGCGTCTGCGCTACGAAGTCCGCGAGGCGAAATACGCTCCTCTCACCAATCCTCCACCTCCACGCACCCATGATGAGGACGACGATGTCGACTGGGAATTAGACGAGAGGATCAATCCTGACATCTACGCTCTGGAGGATGCTAGAAGAGCTGCTATCGAGAGAATCACAGGCGGAATCGTAGATCCGCATGAGGTTGATTGGGAGACGGATTACCGCGTCAGTGGTCACTTGTGGGAGGATTCTGACGTCGACATTCGAGACGATGATGAGGATGATGGTGATGATTGGGATGATGATATGGACGATGAGGACTAAAGCGAGCAGTGTGTCGACCGATCTTGGGTAGATTCTTTGAATTTAATCGCCTGCTTCTACGGGACTGATCTCTTGTGCATGGTGAACGTCACGGTAATCACAGCATCTCGACAACGTACCATCGATTCTTTCCAACATCTTCCCTCTCAGTAAAACTCTCGAGATCCGCCGTCTCATCGTGACACTCCACGTTCTCCAAATATACACAGCAGTGATGGTTGCAGCGCCAGCCTCCTAGCGCATATCAGTACAAACAGAGGAGGAACCCCACGACCTGCTCATTCCAGCCAATTTGAAAAACTCCAGAACCACCCTCCTCGTGAATATCGCATCCTTTCCAGCCTTTCAGTCATGTGCTAGCTTCCCTGGATTTACATGATAGTGGTATATTGGTGCGCACGATAATGAAGCTGGGCGATAAAGTCAGGAGGCTGGGCGAGGAGGAAGAGGAGCGGGAACAGGGATGTTTCATCAGTAGCCTGCAAATGATCGAATTCTAGGGTGTCGGAGTAGGAACAATGGAAGCTTGACAATTGATAGTTTCGACAATAGAAGAACAATAGAACAATGAGAGGAAATATTCTTAGAAGCACGGTTCCTAGGTACTTAAGTAGGTACCTAGGTACCCTTTGAGTGGTAGCTTGGACGCAGACAGGGCGACAATGGGATTCACAATAAGAATTTGACAATGAGAATGCGAACAATTGACAATAGAGATGACGTGGCGTCATTCTATTCCATTCCACTCCATCTTCTTTGACATACTGCCACCCTGTAGCCAGGTATCGCGAAGAAACCCAAAATTCCTACCATCTCGTCTCAGGAATGGGCAGCAACTAGGAATAACAAACGATCCGTCGGCAGCGCATCCACTCTCTTTTCTTTGACTCGTGAACTCAGCGCTCCCCGATTCCAGCATTTCGGCAGTGAAACGAAAGTCTGACGCATTTCCCTTTCCGCCATCGATTTTCGGGGTGAACTACTTGAATCTGAGGCATATTTATGCTTAGATGAGGGATCCCTGCGCTTTTCAGTCTCCACGTTCCGCCTAGTTCATAGCCAGGAGTCGTTGATCATTGCTTCTGGCGCTTTTGGTGGGAACTGGAGACGGTCCTAGGAAGCTTTAGTTGAGACAATGAGTGAGGATAGATTTTGTACATGATCGCAGCATAATTGAGATCTGAAACTTTGAGCTAGGTGGCGGGAAGCAGGAAGAATCAAGGAGAGTGGCATGGGAGCGAGAAACGCCTGGATTTTGGTTGAAAAATAGCATCGTTCAGGAGGGAATAGATGACGATGATGAAGATATCAATTTCAGAAACAGACCATTGGTGCGATGAGCGAACATCACGATCGAGCTGTCTTGCCGGATAACATGGAACAATAGTGCGGCCGATGTAATGATCAGCATCAGAGTATTAATCGAGGGCAGGAAGAACGAGCAATTTTCTAAGCATCCATCACCTGTACCTCACCGTTCTCTCCATGCTCCTGTCCGTCCTCCTTCATCTCATCATCTCCGCCACCATCGCCAGCTACCTCTTGCGCATCCGCAGCATTTTCTGCGTTCAAAGCCCTGTTCTTCTCGTCTATCTGCTTCAAGATCATCTCCCTCTCCCTCCTGCTCTCTTCGAGGAATTTCAGATAAGCCAGCCTCTCCGCTGCCCTGAGAAAAGCCTGCTCTCGCATTCTCTCCTCCGGTGTCATCTTCCTCATCAGCATCCGAACCAGCCGACTGTTGCTCCGGCGGGAAATCGTACTTCTTGTCCCAAGGCCGGCGTATAGACGTGCTGCATCCGCGCCGGGGTTGTAGGCGCCGCGTATGACGTTAGTCGGCATAATGGTCGCTGGACCGGTGACCCAGATGAGATGGCTATCGTGGTGTTGGTTCGCGAGCTCTGGGAGAGGGACGGAGGTATCGGTTGGTATTGGTACGGAGAGAGTGGGAGGTGTCATGGATACGGGCTCGATTGTGTTGAGGAAATTGTCAAAGTCGGGCTGCAGATGAGATGACTGGTTAGTTAAATAGTCTCTCCAGCGTCGTGAGAAGAGACGATTATTTAGATCAATGAAAGGTAGTCGAAGACATAGTGCGAATCCAAAATCGCGTGATGTTGAAAACACGTCGGGACAGCGAGCAGGGGAAGGCGTCAACGACTCCTCACGATGCGAGAAGCAAAGAAAATTGGCACTCACCCGAAACAGAGCAGCCACATCCGCATTAGTCGAAACTTCAGTAATCGCATCCACCATCTTCTCCATCCCTAATCGCCAATACTCCGCCAACAAGATGCCCTGCATCGGCATGATCTGCATACCGAGAGGAACATACCCCTCGCGACGCATCTCATCCATCCGATTAAAGTACGGCTGCCAAGTCCGAGAGACAATGAGCGGATCAAACGGTTGATCTGTTTTCTGTAGGTATGTCTCAATCGAGGAGAACTGGAGCCATGACCGCCATGGCGTTATCGACACCTTGGGGTTCTGGGGAGAAGGTTGCGGGGGATTAACGAGGTTGTTTTCAAACACGTCGGCGTTGTCGTCGGAGGCAGCGAACAGGCGCCATGATTCCGTCAAGGTCTTGTATGCGGCAACCTGGAGGGCTAGAGCGCGGAGATGAGTGTGTACGATTCGCCAGAATGCCTGCGAGGCGGCCCTGTCGGGGAAGAGGTGAGGGTACGATGACAGACGGGCGAGGGCGGGGATCAGCAGGGAGACGTGGCGGACGGCGTTTCGTATGTGCGCTGTCGTGGTGTATGTCTCTTGACCAGGATTATCAGACTCTCGCGGACTCATTATAGCAGCAGTGATGCAGGCGTGGATCTCGTCGAGAGACTGGCGGAGTGCTTGTAGATAAGTTTGAGTGACTGGAACATGGCGGGACTCGTGCAAATATGGTTCGTCTAAGCAGTTGTCATCGTCAGTACCTAGGAGCGCGATCTCGCAACGTCGAGAATCAACATTTCGGAAATTTGTACTGACTTGCTAGACCTTGGTGGCCATGTACAGGTATTTCTATCTTGCGGGTGTCCAACACCTTGGGGCGACGTCCAAGCGGCTTCTGCGCGCATGGCGCATAGTTCGACTTGGGCTTGACTTTTTGCTCGCTGCTGATGCGGTGAGGAAAATTCTTCAGTAGTTGCTCCATGTTGTAGAATCGAAGCAGAGTAGGTATCACTATCGGCGCATATCACGTTGAGGATGTTGCGTGGTGGTGAAAATTGTGCGCTGGTGACCGTGGTGTTGACAGATGTATAATATTAATGCAATATTGCGAGATTCGGGAAACCAGCTCTGGGAGGAATGCGACATTCCTTCAGAGCGCGAGACATGACAATCGTTTCTTCGTCACACCGATCAGCACTGTGACAGGTACAAATTATGTACAAAGTTGTGCATTCCATCAGCACAATTATTCGAGGAATGCGCAATTAACTGCAGAGAAACAGGATTTTCGCATTCCCGAAGTTCGTCAGAATCACACGGTCGAGCACATCACGTTCAATATTCCTCAGCATTCCCTGTGCGCCTCAAAAGGGAGCAAGTGATTTCGCTCAAGATAGATGAATAAATGCTTCGGCATGTGCACGTGGCAGGCCGCCTCAGTGTTGCAGCAAGAAAGCGTCTACTTCAGCTCTAATCCTCTCCACTGGAGACGCTCCCATTCTGCGCCGCCGACCGAGCTTGTTCTCGTCGGAGAAGCACCTTCTTTTCTTCGCTCAACTGATACACGCTCTGCAGACTTGTGGTTTGTACTCGCCTTAGGGCAGCAATTTGTGATTTGAGTATGGCGTTCTCCTGCTCGGCTGTCATTTTACCGGGCTGTTCGTCCAGGGACATGAAATCTTCGCCGTGTTCGGCCGAGCCACCATTTGTCGACGCGGTCGTGCCGGTGGCATTCTGGCCCCAGGACGCGAGTTCGGAAAGACCTTGGTCTAAGATTGATGTGGGAAACGACGGTCCAGTGAGCGCGTTGTAGAAATCATTGGAGGTATCGGGAGCTGAGAGCTTGGTCGAGAGTTGTACGTTCAGCGAATAGTTTCCCGGCACCCCGTAACCTTCGTCTGTTGTGTGCGCGCCAAATTTTGGCTTTGTGATCTCTGACACTCGTGTCCGAGCAGATTGTTCGCCGTCTTGGTTGACGAATCCTGTCACTGGGAGCAATACCACATTTGTGACGGGTCCTGGCAGTGGTGATTGTGGTAGATCTGATAGGTAGCTCCCACGATTCGTGTCCCAGCTCAGCAGTGCACCGGACTCATGACCAGTGATTAGAGTTGTGCCATCAAAAGACAATACCATGCTTAATATGCCACCCAACGAAGCATCCTGGAGCTTCCAGCATGATGACGCTTTGGGTTGAATAGGGTTCGTGGCGCCGCTTCCATTCTGCACTGCATCGAACGATCCGTTCGCACTTCGGTACAGATCGATTTGCTGGACACTCCCATCCCGATACCCAAGATAAAATGCACGGTCTGCTGGATCCAGAGCTATGCATGTAGCAACAGCTGGCAATAGGAACGTCCGCAGGAGTCCATTGCTCTTGTAGTCCCAGACCAGACATGTCTTGTCCTCGGCGACCGACACAGCGAAATTGCACGATGAAGCGCCATGACCAATTGCTAATGCAACAACTTTTGACCGATGAGTAGAAAATGTTCGGACCGGCGAAGTGTCCTCAGCACTCGAAAACGCTAGCAGCTCCGGAAGACTCCAGACATGAATCGTCGAGTCTGCCGATGCGGACAAGAGAAAATTTGATCGTTCGTCTACGGTCAATGCTGTGACGGCTTGCAGATGAGCCTGCTTAGTCGCAACAAGTCGTCCCGATGCGACCTCCCACGCAAAAAGTCTTCCGTCATTCGTCCCTAGCACGAGGACGGAATCTTGACATGCTAATAATAATGAAGTGATACGTTCTGGAAATGGTACAGTGGCTTCTTGGTTGTTTCTCTCGCGACTGTAGACATGCACGACGGCTTTGTCGATTTGGGCAGCGAAAATATGCGATTCGCTTATGGCTAGACAATTTGCGGGTGCAGCGGACTTTTTAAAGATTCCTTGCGCACCGCCAGCGGGCTGGAATGTGTTGATGAAGATCGCAGCATCCTTCGCAATGTGCGTTCCTGGTGTCTTGAGCGGTACGCCTATCGAGGCGACCAATTGCTCGGTGAGCATCAGTGTATACCGGTCACCAAGGACCTTTTTATGTGTTTCGATTATTTTCCCTTGCAGACGGACCTGCCAATTCGACGATCAATTCTATGCCCAGAGCGATCTCCAAGCGTGGCCGGCTAACCTTCCTGCGACGAGAAATTTAGGGCTCAGTTCACACCGAGGGCACCACTGTTACGTCAGCATGCCAAGACACCACAAGCCCACACGATGCGGAACACACCTTTTCGCAATGCCGCTTGAACGACGCTGGAGAAATTGAGTATCGCGACACTAACTTTCACCTCAACAATACCAACCTTTCGCCAACACCGCCAAAATGAGTACGCATGCCGGAATTTTGATCCCTGGCGCAATTAACAGCTGTGCTAATACATAATAACAGCGAAGGGAACGTCCAGTTTCGGAAAGCGCCACAACAAGACCCACGTCTTGTGCCGACGATGCGGTAAGTGTTTACCAGAATCGGCGGACCGAGGAGGAAGAGGATGAGAATTCAGCCTGGAGGCTGCTTGCATGGTCGAAGGAGTCCCTGAGATGGGCATGGAGATTGAAGGAATAATATACTGACAAGTGATCCAACTCGACAGGTAGCCGGTCGCTCCACGTCCAAAAGCACACCTGCTCCAACTGCGGATACCCAGCAGCCAAGACCCGAAAGTGTATGTGATTCCACGATGCACGGCTCGACGAAATACAATCTGCCGCATGCCAAGGGGCGTCCCAACTGCACCTACTAACACCTTTCAGACAACTGGAGCGAGAAGGCCAAGCGGAGAAAGACCACCGGCTCTGGTCGCATGCGATCCCTGAAGCTCGTCCCTCGCAAATTCTCCAACGGTTTCCAGCAGGGTACCCCCAAGGGTGCTCGCGGCGCGACTGCATCAGCATAAATGACAGATGACGGGGGACCTCTTGACAAGCAACAACAAATGTTTTTACTCCCGGCGTATGCATGAGCAAAAGGATTTGAATTGGGGATGATCAATGTTGGTGGACGCGATGGAAGTCAGGGATTCAGCTATCCTCGGTGACGGATATCAGCGACACCAGGTGCATGCATTGCACGCAAAGAATTGTGTGTGAAATGGGGGCTTTTGTTCATCAAAGGAGTTTTATATTTTCCCACTCTTCTCGGGACGGTGAATGGAAATGCGCGCTTCTCATGAAAAGGACGTCATCTTTGGTGATGGATTTGATGTATGGCTCGGTCAGCCCCGAAACATGGCGACGATGCGGACGCCAGACGATAAGACTATTGCGCGGCATCCGCAAGATGGACACCTCATCCTGCTGGCCTAGACCAAGACCAGCAGAATACCATACTCATCATGGCATCCCCCTTGCGTGCATCCAGGTCTCCCTCCACGACGAAGTCGTCGGTCTGTTTTCCTAATCACATCGTGTGCCTCGTCGTGTCTCTCCGTACCATCATCGTTCCCATCTGATACTGTAATATCAGAATCTACCTGCATCGTGATTCCAACCAGCAGGGTATTGTGTCTTCTCCTATAAAGATCCGCTGGTAGAAAGGTCTTTCATTACCACTCATTCTGAATTTTTCAGTCCAATACCGTTAACGAAACCAGTAATTTCATTTTGGGGACTGCAATAAATATTTATTGGGTCCACCATCGTGAGCGTAGGCGGGCAACTGCTGGACTCTCGTGTCTACCGTAACTAAGGTAGGTAGCCGCGAATGCTGGATGTGCTGTCTCCGGAGTCGTGACTTCCGAGAGATCTGGACAGAATCACATGGAGTGATCTGGGCACGGCATGGGATCGTTTCGTCGAACATGACGAAGGCGCGAGAGGTGATGCGATTGTTACTTTTAAAGTTGGTTCCAAGGTTGGGGCTATCATTAGGGTTGACATTGGGGGCAGAATTTTTGTGTTCGAGATGAGATGCATATCGAAGCTCTTTGACTATCGTAAAAAGGTCCGATGAGCGTGTGTTGAGAAAGCCAACTTCGCATCGTATGGACAGGGAAATGAATGACGGAAAAACACGCGCCTGCAATGTCAAAGACCGGTGTTAGAAGCTCCTTATGAACGGCGCTCGAGTGACTTGATGTTTTGCAGTCAAAATAGATCCAGGTCTTCCTAGATTTCACCATGGCCTATAGGGATCACATTGTACACATCTTTTCGACAATCTGAACAGAAGCGTGAGAGCATATAGCCTCGGAGACGACACAAGAAAAGATTCGGTATGTGAGAGAATATTTACAACTGTCTCGAGTGACTGGTCAGGCACTTCGCAGGTCAACTTGGAAGGCAACATCAACATGTCTGGCTCCTAGTAGCATGCTCGCCCTACCAAGACCACATCATTACTGCATGATGCGTGGATGTCTATCGTCGAAAGCAGTAGGGATTTGTGATTTCCTTCCTTTCCCATTTGGTTCGAGAATCGGGCGGCATTTACTCGTCCTTCTTGTGATAGTTGACCTTCGGGTTCCAGAAGAGAGTCTGAGCAGATGAATCATGTTAGCGGAATGCGGACAGAGAGTGACTTCGAGTGGTTTCGTGCATGTGCTACTGAACGAAACGATATTTGATGCTCGTCCCTCCGGGACTGAGCGCTCCAAGTTGATCCCAGAGATATTTGGCATCACCTTGCGTGATTGGGATACAACGTACCTTGTCTCCGTCTCCCCAGAAGAAGTTCTTGGTGCGGATGTTCTGGAAGGGGTACTCGGTGCGCTCCTCGAGCGGGGGCATGTGGTCCCAGTGCTCCCAGTGCTCGCTCCACAGACGCCAGGCGTTGACGCTGGCAATGCACAGGGCGGGAATGACGACGCTAATTGAAGAGGCCTAGTTAGAACGATGTTGTGATGTTTCCGGCGAGGTTCATATTTACTAGATGGAGAGTTTGCGCCAGGTGTCTGCACAGAGAAACCATGTTAGCATTTCCTTCATAATACGACATGCTCAATATCATTGCGCCGAGCGCTATAGATTCGAGCGGTGTTATTCCCATTTCCACTTCAGATGCTGCGGCAAATAGTTCCGTCCCACTGCTCTTCTCTTCATCCAGCCTTCGCGTCCGCCCGGCCCAGATCTCCACGCGTTTCACATCCATATTACCACCACCATCCTTCTCAAGCCCCTCTCTTACAGCATCTGAAGTATATTTTCCTCCTCAAACAGTCTTCTGTTCGAAACGTACCGCTTGACTCAGCAGCGTGGGCCTTGACAGCCGCTCGCTCGCGGTTGAAAGCATTGTCGGCAGCACCCTGGAAGTTGCTACCACCGGACGCGAATCTCCGCTGGGCGACCTGGCGCATGACCGGTGCCGACGAGCGGAAAGCACGAACTGGAAACATGGTGGGCGTGTGTTGCGGAAGAGTGGAGAGTGGTTGTGTGGTGAGGATGCAACTCTCTCGTCCAATGGCTCCTTGTGCTCCGAGGATGTCGGGCTTGTTAGGCGAAGCTGGCCGGGAAGCTGTGAAGCTTGGCATGAATCACGTGGTGCCAGCCAATTGTTCTTGCCTGATTTGTCGAGGCATCAATTTGTGTCATTGTCTAGGGCCGGCTTGGACGATCACAACGTCATCTCTTGAAATGTATGAAATTATTACTTAAGCACGAATCTGAGGAAGGACTATTCACAAATATGAACGATGTCTGGAACGCAAGATCACGTCCAGGTTTGAGTCAAGTCTTATTGGAGCACCAGTGTAACAGAATATCAAGAATCTGATTGCCTTATACAAAAAGCCCTCCTCCCAATTAAGATGGCTTCACTGATCATTAATTGAGGGAATGGTCTCGTTTCCATGGATCGTCATCATTCATAATACATCTGCTGTGTGAAGCAGAAGTATATCGCGATCGCAGACGTGAGCAAGGAATTGATCTGACGGCGTTCTCATCTATTGGACGAAGAGTATGTGTGAACGTCTCGATATTGTGTTGCCATGTACTAATGTCGTCCCTACTGCAGTGGCGCTCGATCAACAGCGGAATTGGACTATCGCAATGGCCGAGAACTTCGAGAAAGTCATGTCGATAAGCAACAAAGAAAATTCCAAATCACCGTCGAACAACGTATCGCAAGTGACGGACAAGCCAGGTTCACCAATCGTCGAGTGGAAGAACGATCCAATACATCTGCCCGACGAAATCATAGCGGGCATCATTTCCTACATCAACCCTAGACACGACCGAGCGACGCTCGTGTCCTGCTGCCTACTCTCCTGGCAATGGTATCAAGCTGCTGTTCCACTTCTTTACGATCATGTTTCTCTCCACGGTCAAGATTTCGAGCCCTTTGTCAGAGCCATCTGTCCGTCGATCAATTTGCACGTCCGGCCGAGCCCTTTGGCATCCTTAGTTCATGTCTTGGATATGTCAAATTTGGTCCATCAGGGGAGTCGAAGCACTACAGCAAGGATACTTGGTCGCGTCAAGACTTCACTCAGAACTTTCGTGGCACCTCAAGCGTCCTTCCACATAAGCTGTCTACCGGCACTTTCGAAATGCAAGCATCTTCAAGTTCTCGACTTATCCCTCGTTTCAGAATGTCCCCCACTGGCAGATCTCTTCCGAACCGTCTCTCATCTGCCTGTCCTGGAGGACTTTCGACTTCCGCGCTCAGCAGGTTTCGGACGACATGACTTCAATCTTTCATCTATCGCCTGGCCGCCGCGACTTCAATCGCTGCAACTATCCGGAGGAATTGACAGCCATTTCCTAGAAGGAGTTGTTGGTCTACCGGCAACCATCACCGCTCTGTCAATTGTACATTGCCCCCATGCAAGGACTGCTACAATTCTCAAATTCCTCCGCAACGCTGTGCAACCACTTCCTAAGCTACGCACCATCACTCTCGCCAACCTCCCGCGGCTACACGAGGGCTCACTCGACAGTATCCTGGGAATTCTCCCACAGATTGAAACCCTCAGTGTCAGTATAGACTACATCTCCGCCGACCTCTTCGACTTCCGCCTATACGTCTACCACGAGAAATCCGCCGAAGCCTGGCCCATAGCGCCGCACCTAGCGGACGACGACATCGACGACGACGCATTCCCGAGCGGCATCACATCCGCCACAAGAACGACCCCTCAGCTCTCCAGCCAAGTCGACCGAGCCGGCAAGCCCCTCCCACAGCACGCCGCCCTCCAAACCCTCATCCTCACCAATTCTGGCAACCCAGGCGCATCGGATCGCCTCACACCGGTGGACATCATGCTCGCGATGGACGAAGGCTGTTTCCCTGATTTGGCGACGGTGCATGTGGCGAATAGTCTGAATTGGCAGAGCGGCGTGGAAGAGAATACGCCCTTGGCAAGAGAGGTGGCTAGTTTGGACGAGGCGCTGAGGAGTTCCGTTGGATTGTCGGAACGGACGAACGGGAACGAGGATGGTGAAAGTGCGGGATGGATCAGTCAGAGGGAAGAGGCCGTGGATGGGGATAAGCCGTCGACGAGAAAGGGAGCAAGGAAGGCGGGCGTGTTCTTTTTTCATGGTTGATGAATTATTCGGAAACTATAGACTAGATGCCGATGAAAATTTGTCATGTTTCATTTACGGCAAGGCCGCTCCTCTCGTTCAGTCGCGCATTCGAAGATGATTGTTTTTGGAATCAGAGTCGACAATCTCTCCGCCACTATGGAGATTTCCCACCGTTAAGTCGAAACGATTACCAGAGCCAGAAAAAAAGATCAAGACCTTTTCAATGACAGGCCATGACATAGACAAATCGCAAATGCGCAATCAAAAACAGGAATTGCCTCCAACTCCAAGAGCAAAGAACGCTCGCTGATTGCACACATTCATTATATCATTTCTACACTACGCTAAACAAACTTCCAAAACCCCCCTAGAGATCAATCAGTCTCTCCTCCCCCTTTCCATGACCATCAGCCGCGGTCGTCCCCTCACCGATGTTATTTTTCCCGGATCGATCACCGTTCGGAGGCCCAGCACCTCGTTCGCCGACGATAACAGAAGCAGAATCGCTACTCCCGCCGATCTCCTCCTCGACAGCGGAGATCGCCGAAGGGGGGATCTTCAACCCGGTGGAAGGTCCAAGGTCGATGGCGGTGGTAGAGGGCGAGGCGATGTCGCCAGTGCGAGCAGCATGGTTGGTCTTGGTTGACGATGACTGCGGTGGAGGAGAGGGAGAAGGGACGAGGCCGAGGTGGATGTCCGCCAAGTCCGTCGACGCAGGGACGGATGATGAAGGCGATGGGTGGGAATTCGAGACTTGGCGAGACGACGAGGGGATTGGGATAGATGAATTTTCGGGGGACATCATTCCCGAAACCGGCCTTTTTCGGCGAGCGGGGAGTGCTGGAGGGATTTTCGTCTGAGGGGGGGAAGATGATGACGATGGGCCGTGATTGTTCGAGTTGTTGGATGGTGGCGGTGGCGAAGAGGTTGTCTCAGTTGTGGTATTTGCCGCTTCTGTGCCATCTGCAGCTCTTCTATTGTTTTGAGAAGGAGGATGCGATAGAGAGAAGATGTCCTCGCGGAAAGCATGCTGTTTATTAGAATTGTGCGTATGATCATCATCATCGTCGTCGCCGTGGTTGTGGTTGAAAGCTCCATAATCATCATCATCATCGTCGTCGTCAACATGTTCATCATGTTTCTCAGCAGAGACCTTCATTGGAGGCGGCGTCGCACGCGAATTTTCCGCGACGATGCTCCTCCTCTTTGCCGAATTGGAATCGAGATAGCCGCCCACCGAACCCCTTGCGCCTGCGCCAGCAGGGCCGCTACCGCTGTTCATCCGCCAGGGTCCGAAATCGTCGACGTCGGGATCGGAGAGCATTCCTTCCATTGCTGGGGAGGGGGATCTTGTGCTCGGCCTGGATCTGATTTTGGTTGGGATGCGACTTGCGGGGAGGTCCTGGAGGAGCGTGGGGCTGTCATTCCCACGATTGGACGCGAGACTATCCGAGGAGGGTTTGCCCCGGAGACCAGACAGGGAAGACGATGACTCGGTGTCGTTCAGCCCGGTGGAAGGAACGACCGCTAACGTTGGAATAAGTGAGTTACGCTTCGAGGCTTTGGGGCGCTCAATCGGTTCGATGGAATCTTCGGGCTGCGTTGATTGTTCGTGATATTGTTGCTGATCGGGACCGGGCGTTTTACCCCTCGCAGACATCGTCCTTCCTGGAGACGGCCCGCCTCCTATCCAGCCGCTTCTCCCGTTCTTCTCACGTGGGGGTCCAGGAAGTGGAACGCCAGGCGGTGGGAGGGGCTGGCCACGACCGTAAGGCTCAGAAGGTTGGGCAGCGAGTGTCGCGGCAGCACTAGCGGCAGCGGATGGGGATTTATCGCGCTGCTGGCGAGCAGTGTTTTGCTGGCGGGGAGAACGTGCAGATGCGGCGGCGGCGGCAGCGTTGCGCTTTTGGAGAGCATTCCAGCCCCAGTTTCGAGCAGCAGTGGCAGCGGTAGCAGTAGCAGAAAGGATAGTAGACTTCCTGTTTTGATTTGGTGTCGTGTTCGCACTCTCTCCACTTGTGATTCTCTTGCCGCTTAAGACAGGCTCGCCGTGATTAACATTGCTGTCAGTGCTGCTGTTGCGGATGTTCGGTGAGGCCATGGGGCTAGTTGAAGATGGGACAGTAGGATAATTCGACGATGACTGAAGTTGCTGTACTGTTGAGGAGGATGAAGAGAGGGTTGAGGATTTGGAGATTAGTGAGGGGGAGCGAACGGGATAATTGTTCGTTGTTGAATCAACCGTGATGTCCTCGGCCGAGCCTTTCCTGTCGTCTTCAGTAGCGATGATGTCGTGATCAGCTTCGTCCTCCACATCAGCTCCAGAAACGCGTTCTCCGGCTCCAGGCCGTGTAGAGCCTGGCTCATTCGACTCATCCTCGCTTTGAGCTGCGATCAACTCTGCCGCCTGAGCCGCAAGCATTTCCCTCTCAGCCAAGTGTCTGAGCTCCTCCATAGCGTCCTTTTGCGAGGCAGGGGAATTCCTTGTGACTGCAGCTGCCACGCCTGCTGCTCTCCTCCAGAGACTGTTTCCCGAGGACGCACCGGAATTTGTACTTCCAACGCTGCTTTGACGCGAGTGGCGGTATTGCGAGGAAGAAAAGGCCACGCCGAGACCTCCAGGTCCCACACCTCGGAGGTCAGAGGTACTGTTATCGGCGGATGATACTGGGGTGGCAGATGATGTATTCACGTGATGGCCGGCAGCGGTGAGAGCGACGACGGGAGGTGCAGACGAGGGAGGCGGCGGTGCAGAAAGAGAAGGTGACCGAACAGGTTTTCGACGAGCGGGCAGAGCAGGAGCTGCCGGGTCGACCAAGGTGGAAGAGGAGCTTGTAGATGCAATCGAAGCTGTCGTAGGACGCCGTCTCAATGAATCATAATCTTTCGGATTCGAAAGATTAAGCTCGGACGCGGTGGCAGATAGACTAGTTGTTGTGAAGTCATCTGTTTCAGCACCTTCACTGAGGTCCGGAATTAGGGTGGGTGTCGAAGCCGATCTACCATTTTGCTGACCAAGTCCCGCCGTTGCGCTGCCCGAATAAGTCTTTCTCGTGATCCTCTTTGACTCGTGGGGTAGAGGATCATCATCTTCGCCTTCCGAGCTCCACAAGCCACCTCGCGCATGACTCCCCAATGTCTCCGTTAGAGGCATCGGCGCGTCATCCCAGTTCGGCTTCACGAGACCTTCTCCAACAGCATTTCGAATTCTCTCCTCGATAGCGCGAAGGATGAACCCGTACGTGATCTTCCGTTCGCTGACGACGGGCTCCACGCGGATGCCCATGTCTGGCATGGTCTCGAAGGTGAACCAGATTCGATTCGAGGGCGGAGGCTTGATGCGCAACAGAAGAGTGCCCACAACGCGCTGAAGTGAAGTCTTGAGGGCGAGGGTGACGGATCGAGGTTTAAATCGGGGACCCAATCCGAGATCCAGCGTGGCGACGGCAAGCAGAGTCAAAGCCAGAGTTCCTTCAGTATACCGGAGATCCAGAGCGAGGGTCATCTCGCCGGAAACGGCATTGAAATCGCGAAGACGTGGCGCCGAAATCGTCGGAGCCGCATCGCCAAGATCGAGGGACTGCAGAGAAAGACTCGGGATGAAAGACGGTTTCGGGATTCGGTCAAGTTTTCTTTCAATCTTTGAGCGTATAAGGGCCGTGATGTGGTCGGAACGATGAAGAGCGAGAAAGATGCGTCCCAAAAGAGCACTGAAAGCGCGGGTCTCGGGCGTAAGTGAAGAAGAATGCAATGCTTTTTGGAGTTTAGTCAGTGCGTCCGTGTCCAAAGATCGAGGTATGGGCGGCGAGGGTCTGGTGGCGAGGAGAGCATGGTAGAAATCCTCCTTGTCAATGTTCGACGGAGAGAACAGATAGAAAGGTTTAGGAGCGGCGTGGCCAGGAATTTGTGGTTGTAGCGAGCCATTTGGTAGCTCGATAGGTCGAAGAACAATGGCTGTGCGTTTGATGAACAAGTCAGGTTCGGGAACAAGTCGACGATCCTCTTCTTCCTCAATGCCCACTCCCGATTGTAACCCAATCGTATGATGCGCGAGACTGATGACATGTTTGACCTCGACTTGTGCAGCCGACTCGTAGATCATCAGATGACCATGCCGGAGGAGGATATACAAGACATTTGCAGGGACTGGTTTTCGGCGAATGTTTTTGGCAGGAGTTCCAGTTTGCCCCGGTTGTGATTGATCTCGATCATCATTCCCATCCCCACCTCGCTGAAGCAATTCTCGGGTACTGCTGGCCTTGTTGAACACGGACCGATACATGCTTTGGTACACCGACTCGCTACCGGTGGTGGTCCCCGGTTCGGCTCCAGCACTTCCGTCTCCGCCGGGAACTCCATTGCTCGAGTTTGGATTTTTGGCATTCAAGGCCGAGATGGCCGCTTGAAAGTCATACTGTCGCAGCACAGCAAATGTGCCACTGGCAGCGGTCTCCCCAGTCAAAGATCTTGATCGCTTGTCTCCCTCGCTTTTACCGTCGACTCTGCTGTCCTTCTCCAAGCTCTTTACCGAATTCGGCGACGCTTCATCCTCTCCGAAGACGCTTGGCTCTTTAGACGGCTCCTTTGGGAGGAGATGCCATGCTGGAACGATCACAGCGAGCAAGAGCAGCGGGATGAAGGTCAGTCCGCCGAGGAGATAGGTGAAAAGGAAGAGTCGGAGCCCCATCGTGGCGATGTTGTTATGATCGCATGGCTTGTTTATTTGGGAACAAAGAGTCGGTCACAACTCTTCTTCAGTGAGAGACGGTGCTTGGAATGCACGGCGAGCAGGCAAATGTCGCATTCGTCGGTCAATGTACATTAAACGTGTTGCATGGACCGAGACGTTGTGCTACGTCATACCTGGAGCATTCCGTACACAAATTCACGATCATAGTTACGGGATGCGATAGGATGCTGGAGCTGGATGATACATTTCAGTATCACAACTTCCGATCACAAGTGACCATGTCTCGTAACGTCTCAAACACGAGAGTTTCACATTCTCCCAACTCGTTCTTATATTGATGTATTCATCGGATCAATCGCAGCAATACTATCAAGTATGAGCGGTACCGACAACCCATTCCTTTCCTATACCCCTTAACAAACGTCCTCAACAGCGCCCTCCTCCCCTTTCGGCCCTAGATCCCCTCTCAAAGTCCTATCAAACAACTCCAACAACATCTGAAAGCAAATTCCCGCAACGGCCGGATCATACCTCCCTTTACTCAACTCATCTCTGATGAAAGCATGCTGTGCCCCGGCAACCTCATACCACGAGAAATCCGCCTTGGCATCATGCAACGTCTGTCTGATGAGATCCCTCCCTTGGGGCGGGACATGATTATCCTTCTTCCCAAAGATCATGACAAGTTCGCCCTTGATGTCTCCCTTCGAGGCCCGCGCGAGGCTGTCGTCGTTTTTCCCTTCGCCTAGACTCCTAGCATGGATATCCGTCGCGAAATAACACACGCCGGCCGAGATCCGGGTGTCCATGGCGCAGCGGAAGGCCAGGTGCCCGCCGAGACACATTCCCGTCGTGCCGAGGCGGCCGGTACAGGTTGGCAGGCTGAGTAGAGTATCGATAGTGAGGGTGCTGTCTTCGTCGTAGGCGGAGAGTTTCTTGGTGATTTTCCAGGCGTTTCCGTCGTCGGTGCCGGGACCGTCGTATGCGAGGGGTTCCGGGCCGGTGAATTCGTGGTAGCTGCTGGGAGCTGCGACGATGTAGCCGTGCGAGGCGATTTGGCGGGCGAAGCGGGCGACGGGGCCGGTCACTGGGTGGCGGAGAGTGTTAGTGGAGTTGGGAAGGAGATGCGAGGGTAGTGAACGAAATTTTGGGTTGTTCTTCCAAGGTTCGAGTTCATTCCTCGTGTAGAACCTAGCGTTGCGTTCTAACCATTTCGGAGAATCTCTTCTTCGACCGAGCATGAATCTCTGCCGAGAAAATTGCTCAGTCCAGTGCCACCTTGGACACATGATTCGGAATCATCCTCACATGATTCTTGCAAAATCGCGAATTCCCGCCGCTGAACTCGAAAAAGCCATACCTTGGTAAATCTCGCTGAACAGAACGACACCCGGGAACTTGGCCTTGGGATATCCCGGCACAGTGGGATGGAAAATGAAAATGCCTAGTGAATTTCCATAGACTATCAGATATTCGCCTTGTCTTTGAACCATAATCGATTCCCGTGGAAGTTGTGAAACCCACGCATATCGCCGCCATGCTGGGTCGGCACATCTCGATGAGATTCTTGAATGAGCATCCTGAAGCTTGATCTCGGTCTTTTTGGGTATGTGTGAGAGTACTACTTTCGTAACTCTATCCCACGTCGGACGGTTCTGATATTCGTCTTGTAATTGAGATACTTGAGAAATAGTCTTTGTCGAATATGATCCCGTGCTTACAGCTTCAGCAGGTTTTTACTTCCTGTCAACGGACAACGCTTCAGTGAGATCGGTAGTGACTTCAATGATAATGAGAAGAGGGTAGCTATACACTCAGACAAGGGATGACGAAGCTTTTCCTCGTATAGCTGTATTACATAATTCGTGTCGTAGAGCTTTCAAGGAAGGTCCGGTCTCGAAGGAGCTCTCCCCATAGCTCTTCTTTATTATGGATTCGAGCAACACCTCGGGTGAGGATCAAGGAGAAGCACGACTACACAAAAAGAAGGAGACTTTGAGATTACCTAGGTATATTTGACATAAGGCATTCTAAACAACGATTGCATATCATCAACCATATGGCCTGGCTCTATACGAGGAGTGACGATTGTCCTCTTGGTGAACAAGGGCGTCATGACTCGGTCCGTGTCATCTGTGTGTGACATACCGATTAATGTTCAGGAGTCTCGGTGGTTGTCCTCTCCTTCCTCTCCTTCCTCACCATTACCGCCCTGCACATCATATATCATCATCTATGGGTCACACTGCGACGAGATGCTCCACTTGCCGAGGAACGAAGGAATGGAGCAGGAGGAGGATGGGGAGCAGGAGGATCATGTGATGAGAACGGCGTGGTCATTCTCATGACCAACATGTTATACTCAATCTCCAGAAACCATGGATCAACGACTGGACATGAGTCTCCCAGTGGATGCTCCTGTTCTCTCGTCGACACAGCCAATGATCTGGTGAGGGACCATCGCGTGGCATTTCAGATCGAGCCATATATCGCATTATCGAGGGGTTGTCTCCTCCATTGCCCAGTTGTAGACGAAGACGGATCTTCCCGAACCGCGGGCATACGAAACCGGGATAGAACGGTGGTGATGGCCGGGACGCCGGATTGTCCCTCATCAGCAATCGTCGTCATCCTCTCTCCGCTTCGTTCTCTTGTCTCTCTCTCGTCTCTCTCTCTCTCTCTTCGCCTTCCTCTCCTCACCACTCAAGGCCCATTCGGGTTCGCGGGCTCATCTTTCGGAAAACACTGACTCCAATCTGCCTGCTTATGTCTACTTGGCAAAGGAGCGCTCCCTTGCACTCTGGAATCACCGAAGAGTCCGGACCGCATTGCCCTTTGTGAGAGGAGCGGAAATCTGCTGAGTCATCATCGTTTCCCCTCAAATTCTGGACGCCTCAGGCACCAAGCGGCAGGTTCCATCAATGTACCCAGCAGCCCTGGAATACAGTACTACTGACTGTGACTGACGATCGGCTTCCCTCCGCCACTCGTCATCACCTGCATACTGCCGTCTCCCTCCCTCATCGTCGACCTCCTCCACTGCAGATCCGCACAAACGTGCATCACGTATTAGAACAAATTCCACCACATTAGACCTCGTCTCCGACATCCGCTCTTGCCACCTCATATGCTGACGCCTTAATTGGCTTTTGGCATCCTCCGCTCCCTTATCGCCCGGCTCTCCCTCTCACCATGAGTCAATCACCCGCGCTGTCCAACAAAGTAGCGACCTCGGCCTCGAAATCGTCCAACGCCGCTTCGACTTCCAACAACAACAACAACCAGACCGGCCCTGCTGTCTCGCAAGCCCAGCAATTCTTCACTCACGACTCTTCCTCTCGCAGACCCAACGCTCCCACCCGAGCCGCTACTGCTCCTCGTAACGTCCAGTCCTCGAAGCCGAAGCACAAGCACGGCAAGCGATTTCAGGCGCTGGATGAGGATGCCGAAGCGGAGACATTCAGCATGCAGAATCCACACGGGCGACGAGGTCAGCAAAGCATCACCCATCTGATGCAATTCGCGCTGCCACCGCGTCCGAATGCGCAGCAATACGGCGGTCGGTCTCATGGTGGTGGCGCTCGACCTCGACAGCGGAATAATCCCACCTGGGGATTAGGAAGTGGTTATCATTCGACAGACAAAGCCAGGTGAGTAGGTGCGAATGACGGGATGTCGGGAATATATCATAGAAAGGGCGCCGGTGTTGACGAACCATGTCTCTGCGACAGGTATATTCACGCCAACTACCGGTTTATCGTGGACCCGCGCGGTGACTATCATGTCCAAACCGAGGACGCCGATGTCCATCTCGACTGGGCCAATGTCCTTCAAGTGGTTGCTTCCTCACAATCCCAAACCGCCTCCTGTCCTATCTGTCTCGGCGAGCCGACCGCGCCTCGCATGGCCAAGTGTGGTCACATCTTTTGTCTGTCCTGTCTCATTCGGTATATGCACTCCGAAGACGCCTCTACAGCATCATCGACCACGCACAGTGCATCACCTGAGAAACGGCCCCGCTGGAAGAAATGTCCCATCTGTTATGACAGCATCTACATCTCGGAAACCAAGCCGGTCCGGATGTATGCAGGACAGGAATCCCCTGTCCCACCGACTGAGGGGTCGGATATCGTCCTACGTCTGGTGAAGCGTAAAGCTCACAGCACATTGGCCATGCCACGTGAGAACGTGGATGCCACCATCTCCAGCGACGATGTTCCGTGGTTCTTCGCAGCGGAAGTGATGGACTATGCGCGGGTCATGAAGGGAAGCGAGGAATATATGCTCGCACAGTATGATGAAGCACTCGAGGCTGTTCAAGAGCAACATCGTGAAGATGAACTGATGTTCGGCGAGGACGACGAGTGGACCAACCGTGCCGTGCGGATGCTCTTGGAGGCCAAAGAGAAGACTCGAGGGATTGGCAACCCTCCCAAAACAATGATACGGAAATTAGAAGCTGCCTCTACAAATGGCACCTCATCCGAGCAACGACCTCCGTATTCCAGCCCGACCGACGAGAGCACCACTCATGAGTCCTCCGCCGATGAACCGGCCATTCCTCGCACGATCCATGACCTTCACGCACGACAACAAGCCGAAAAGCCCCCTCCTTCCGAATACCTCTTCTACCACTCTCTCCCCCACGCCTATCTCAGCCCTCTCGACATCCGCGTTCTGAAAACTCATTTCGGCAGTTACACCACCTTCCCGACCGCACTCCTCCCGCGCATCGAACGCGTCTCCACGGGGCACGTCGTTGACGACGACCTGCGGCGCAAATGCAAATACCTCAGCCACTTGCCGCGCGGCTGCGAAGTCAGCTTCCTCGAGTGCGACTGGAGCGACGTCGTCTCCGAAGCCGTCCTCGCCGAATATGCCCCCGTTCTCGACCGAAGACGCAAACGCTGGCAAGACAAGGTGTCCCGGGAGGAGAAGGAACGGCTGCGTATCGAGCGTGACGCCGAACGGGAGGTCTCCGCTATGCGCGGCCGCGGTGTTGGAAGGAGACCTGGCGATGACGACGACGGCTTTTTCTCCGCCGTCGACCCTAACCTCCTCCCACATTCCCCTGGTGGCTCCGCGTCATCGTGGTCCCACGCTGCTGCTGCTGCAGGTGCCGGCGGTAACAGTCTTCTCCCGATCACGCCTCGTCCGGGCTTCACGAGCCTCGCGAGTCCCTCCACATCGCCTAACCTCGGCCGTCGAACGGTCTGGGGCACCGCGGCCGTGGCGCCGGACTCAGGAACAGAAGACTGGGCTGCTGCGGCAATCGCGAATCCTCGCAGTGGGATGAACGACGACGATGGATGGTTGCAGGGTTGGGAGAAGGACCTTTTGTTAGAACTCGACAGTCCCAGTGGTGGTGGTGGTGTTGCTGGCGGGGGGGAGCTGGTCGTCGACGGAGACGGCGCGGTGAGGAGATTGGATGAGATCTCCGGCGGTGATTTCAGGGCTGTGGTCGTCGAGAAGGGCTTCTCCGGTGCCGGTGGGAAAGGCGGGAAGAATCATAGCAGTGGTGGTGGTGGAGGAGGAGGTGGTGGTGGTGGGAAGAAGGGCAAAAAGGGGAAGAAAATCACCCTGATGAGTACGGGTGGAGCGAGGAGAGGCGCTTGATTGATTGATCCGCCGTAGATGATTCTAATGAGCTAAATGTCTCTTTTCTTCTCCCTCCCGTTTTCGGATGACTTAGGGACTTCCCGACTTTGTCAATCTTTCCTCTCCTCGCGTGATACGCACATCTTAACCTAACGAGGCATCTCGTGCACTCGGCCTTTGCTCAACTTTCATTCGATCTTCCGTCCATCTGACCGAAACTTACTCAAACCCACTTCCCCCCTCCCTCCCTCCCTCATATTTCATCCTCAATGATAACAATAATATTAATAGCAACAAAATCCAATTCTCGATTCTCAATTCCACTCCCATCCCATCCCATCCCGCAATCCTCCAACCGCGCTACTCCCCATAGAGCCGAGAGACGAGAGCCGAGAGCGACGAAAAGTACGGCGGCCAAAACAAGGGGGTCTCTCATCTCATTGATGGACTAGTCTCGAAGGATGGAGGACGACAACGACGACGACGATGATTGATGGTAAGCGAGCAGGGCTTTTCCCATACGCTTTCTCCTGTCGCCGTCGTCGTCGCTGGGTGGAATGGGAGGTCGAGGAGCAGCCGGGGGCGGATTCCGATGGAAGCGATTCCTGTCGTGGGGGGAGATCTTCATCGTCTCGTCACCATTGACTTCTTCGCGGTCGTCGCGGGTGGAGGTAGAAGTAGCGGCATCGACAGGAGCCTCTGCAGCTGTAGCAGCAATAGCAGTAGCAACGGCATCAACGACTCGGAGGAGAATCCCGAAATTCCCAGGATGGCTTTGCTCGATTTCGGATTTCTGTGGCCATGGGAAGACGTGTGATGAGCGAGAGAAGAAGCAGAAGAAGGAGAAAGGCAGATCTTCTCCATGCTGCTTTCCGATCGACGGCCGCTGTTGCTGATCCGCCCTCCTCCCATCCTTCTTCTGCTTTTTCTCCGTCAGCATCGCCATCGTCTTCGTCTCCTTCCTCAATGAGGAAATCGGATCGCGTTGAGAGAGTCCCGCGAGGACTCGTTCGGGGAGATGGATCGGCGAAGAAGCAGAAGAAGAAGAAGTTATTGAATCCTTGTTTTGAGTCGGACTTCCTCGGGGCCTCGTGGGAAATCCTGGAGGGCCGATTCGCGGACATGTGCACCAGATTTGGCAGTCGGGGAGATGGTCGTGAGATCTTGCTGCTGGAGGATTGAATTTTGGAGGATGGTGTTGGGGAGATGAGAGAAGAGGCGGTGGGGAGGGAGAGCGGCTGAGGGTTGAGAGGGGGGAGCTGGGTGCGCTGCTGAGGTGCAGCGGTGGTGAGGATGCTGTTGGTTGTTGTGGTGGTGGTAGAAAAGCCATATTGTTCTGCTCCATTCTTTGGAAGATGGTTGGTGTTGTCGTTGTTGTCGCCTCTTGTGGTTTGAAGGGTTGATGGGAGTGATGCTGGAGGTATGTTCTGAGTTGGGAAGAAAAAGGATGATTTCAAGGAGATTGTTCTGCTCAAGTTAATGTGTCGGATCAATCATCTCGAACATTTGTGTGTATGCCGAGTCTTCTTTCTTCAAATGGTGTCGTGTTGCATCTTGATACCTCGCAGGCACTTCTTTCGAAAACACGACACATTTTCCGAGTCACAGAGCCGCGTTAGATGCCGAGATTCTTCGCTTTACGCCTTGGATCTTTCTGATTGTGCCCAATCTGTTCATACTTTCGTCTCTCATTTTTTCACATGCCAGTGCTGTATCAGAAAGAACACCCGGAATAAAATCAAACCTCGATTTCCCGACGAGCAAGCAACTCTGAGACGACCGTCCTCCATTTCCGAACGATCGGATGCGCAACCGCAACATCGGCAAAGGTCACCTGCAACGGCCCCTCATCCGCGGTATCCTCCCCGACGACAGGAAATACCCAAACGCCATCCTCGCCGAAAAACTCGGGAGAAAACAAGCGGGAGAGACTCAACTCCTCCCTGGCCGATCGCAACAGTTCCACAACATCGGTATCAGCACCTCCACCGTCGTCCTTGCCACCGACAGCACTCTCCTTCATCACCTCAACTTGCGAACTACGACGATGGAGCAAACCCTCCAGAACTCCAATCACACGTCCCGCTTCCCGCCCGATCTCTCCGCCTAGACTATACCCTTCATCGAAGCCTTCCTGGAGATATTTCTCCTTGCTGACGGCGATGCCCTCGCGATATCCGCTCGTCACGTGGACGCTGCGGAGGCGCGGAATGTCCGAGGGTGCCTCCGCTGTTGCGCCGCCGCCTGCATTGGAGCTTGTGTTGGTGGCACGATTGTGGTTGATGGTATCGCGCGCGGAAGGTTGCGATCCCAAGCCGGTGGGTGGCGTTGACGGTCGGAGCGCCGGGGAGGAGGGCGCCGAGCCGAAGATGTCGTCGAGACGGTCGACGTGCAAGACATCGTCAGTGGGATGGGCACCCATTGGAATGAGGTTGTTGCTATTTTCTTCGTCTTCTTCGGCGAAACTATTGTTGCCCGCCAAGGAGAGATCTCTAAGCATGGCTTTTGTCTGGTATCTCTTGGTTAATATTATTAGGAGGTTTTTGTTGTTGTGGAGTAGCAGTCGTGGTTAATTTGTTTTGTGCGTCACATGTGAAAATCCCAGAGTAGACATGCAAGGGGCGCAGGTGAAGTTGAATGAACCTTTTGAGCTCTATCTAGCATCGCCACTACTGCACGTGTCGTTGTCCTGCATGTCGTGCAACATTCTGTCATTGGAAGAAGGACTTCACTTCATTTCTCGCTGCTGATAAAAGTGAAATTGTATTCGAGCATTCCCAGATGCTTTTGGTTCTATGCCTCGCTGTACATCTGCATCAATGGCTGTTGTGCGATATCGGAATCATGTCCTGCATGCCCAACCAAGCGCACTCCAATGCGGGAGTCACGGATTTGGGTCGTCGACGGAATATCAGGCACACGGAATTATATCGAAAATGAATTTTGAACAGCTCCCACATCCATGTGCGCGCCCTGCACTTCTCAACAGTGGAGGCAACCTGACACGTGCGTGTGCGGATTGGACGATGAACGGCCAACGAGAAAAGTGAAGGGATCCTCCCCGTCATTGTCCCGATCATCTTCTGCCCAGCTGCAAGCAAGCGAGCCGCGGTATGACCGACTTGCACAGGATACAGACTACTGATTCCGAGTTCCCGATGTACCGCGCCGAACCATCTTCAGACATCTGACATGCAGGATTGCGGCGCAAGCGCATCCATGCGCCACAATCACGGCCAAATCGTTGGGAAGAAAAACCGGGAAGCGACTAGAGGTTGTCTGTCGCATCGTCATCATCCATCGTGAGAATCTCGAACGATCGCCCAATTTCCCCAGATGAGTTTTGTCCGTAAAAAGTTTGAAATTTATTCTAGCCAAACGGCTCGGAACTGTACGGGCGCAGGAAGTCAAAGTAAGCAGGCTCATGAGGAGGAGCAAAAAGTCTAATCGATCGGTCTTTCGGAGATATAGCAGCGTCATTCCGATTCACGTAACAAAGAGAATGTCAGCAGAAGTACAACGGTCCGGAAGCATGTCGGTGCCGCGGTATTGACTGAAGGGATGTCCCGACTTTGGTTGAGATGATGCGCCTGTTCGGGTGCGCGTCTCTATAAGGATCATCCTGGACTCGCTTGGATCGCATTGTCCCATATCCGTCTCTCACATTGATATCACCCCTACATGAAGAGAGGAATTGCGTGCGAATTCTCATCGTCCCGGCCATGCCTTTTCTTTCTCTAGTCAGCCGGCCTCACGCTTTGTTGTCGCACAATTCCGAACGGGACAAAGGGTTTGAGTTTCACCTGCAGCATATGGAAAGTCTGACGCAGGGCGCGCACATGAACTGTCCATCGGTTCCGTCTCACAACTACTGTACCTGCACTCCGGATCTGTCTTCTCCCTGCAGCAGCGACTTCCACAATAGGAAGGGCAAATGGTTTGCATCTAGGTCTCTGGGCATATTTACATCAGGAGAGCGCAGCGAGGTTCTAGACGCGCGGCAGGAACGCGTGCGTGGGCTAGAAGGATCGACCAATAGTGACCACCACACAGCCATGGCCGTCCCGCTTCAATGCTGCTGCGTAAGCAGGAGGGTGAAGGAGAAGGAGGAGAAATCTCCGAGAGTCTCGGTGACATTTTCTCATCATCGAACCGTATGCTTGAAAGAGGTGTCGGGAGGGAGAGGATGCCGATGCATGTGGTCCCGTTCTCTCTTTCTGCAGTACATGTGCGCACAGATCCAGATCCAGTCCAGTGCAGCAGGACTGTAGTATGCACTCCGCACACCGGACGAAAAGTTGTTTCGCTCTGGTGCACGCCCTGACCACCTGCATGTCGTATTGAGCGAATGAATGGAGGAATACGCGTTCGTCGTTCACAGCCCGCCGTCTAGACTGCTGCTGCTGCTGGTGATGATGGACGAGGATGGTGATGATGGCGCCCAACAAGCCGAGCCGACCAAGAAGCAAAGCTCCTCCGAAGTGCCGCCCGCCTTGCCGTCCACACCCTGCATGCTATGTTGTACATGCCATCATTGTTGTTCCCGGTCGTATACGATTTACAGTGCAATACGAAATAATGATGAGAAGCTGGCCCATGTAGTCATCATCCTGTAATCCCCACGCTTTAGCTTCCGCCTGCTTCGGACCTCTCTCCCACCACTCGCTCTTGTCTCTATAGTACCTTACCTAGGTATCTGCCCTCTCGTCAACCGTAACGTAACGTACGTCCACGGCATTTTCGAACTTCCCTCGCTGTAGACGAGTGATTGGCTTCTCCATCCTCTTCTGGTAATTTCACCACCGCCGCCGCCACCATCACCACCAGCATCATACGTCCACAGTGTTCTCGCCTCGTCCGCGCGCTTCTCCCACCAGGCGCGTGAAAGGTAAAAAGCACTGGACGCACCGGTCAATCAACCGACGACGATCGCCAAACTGGCCGAGTAAGTACATCTCTACACTATTCCACACCTCGCACGCTTCGACCGTTTCATCGCTCGTCAACTTCCTTCTCACCGGCTTGTCTCATCTTATCCAACCTGGCCATTACATATCCGTCGACCTTACCAAGAGCCTTGCCTTCCTCGACACCCTTCCGCAACAATACGCACACAAACATACACAGACACACTCACCTTGGAGAACCCTCCCTCTAACGCTTCTGCAGCTTTTTGTCTTTCCCAGGCTGGGGCCATGGCTCTTCCGCCGCCGTGAATGCCAATCGTCCCTCCGTCCTCGCGCGTTCCATTACGCCCACGACGACGCCAGCTCGGTCGCGCTTTGGATTCCCTATCCGTCTGGAAAAGTCGAACTCGTCGCCTGATATTCGGCGAGGTATGGCGACAGTGGCCTCACTGCCAACCCAGTCTTCCGCGACACGCACCCACGACGATCACATCATGGATACGCGCACTCCTTCGCCAGGCCCCGCCTTGACCAGCGGCAGTACCACGACCCGCGACGACAAGGTCGACTCGGACGTCCAACAGGACCTCAGCTCAGAGGTCGCTCTGCTCTCAACCAAACTCGTCAACGCGATCAATTTCCAGACCAGTCTCGACGACTCGTTACAACAAACTCGACACGAATTGGAACAGTCACGGCAGCAGTGTCACGCGCTCTCCACCGAAAACGATCGCATCACGGCCATGATCACGAGTGGCATACTCATGAAGAAGAGCGTGGTGGACGAGAACATTTCTCGCCTGAGGAGTGAATTGGCAGCCGAGAAGGTGGCGCGCGAAGCGGCTGAAAAGGCAAAAAAGCAGACGGAGAATGAACTCGAAAACCTTACCACGGAACTGTTTGAAGAGGCGAATGCGATGGTCGCCGTGGCAAGGAAGGACGTCGAGGCGATGGAGCGCAAAAATCAACAGTTAAGATCACAGCTGCAGGACACGGAAATGGTGATGGCATCGCAACAGGATCAGCTGCGTGAGCTGAAGGAATCGATGGAAAAGGCACAGGCAGAAGCTTTGCATTCGCGAGATCCCAGCATGCCGACCACCCCGACTGCAAGCTCGGGGGCAGCATTTGAAGCTCTGCACAGCATCATCTCGAACAACGCTTTAGACCCGGATCAAGCTCCAGACCATCCGCTACATTTCGCGCATTTGGTTTCGCCCGTCCTAAGACACGACACTGCAGCATACAGCGAATTCACGGACCTTCTCATATCGACACGGCGAACTGGTGCCCATTCGCGGAATAACAGCAGCAGCATGAACAGCCAATCCTCGCCAGGTCAATCTCAAGGTGCGCCAGGCACATCATCGCCGGTCATGCCAGGCGGCTTTTCCTTTTCCACCAGTTCCAGTCCTTCCTCGTCCACCTTCAGCGGCGCAGCAATTCCACCTCTCAAGGACAGCCGGTTTTACAAGCGAATCCTATCGGAAGACCTCGAACCTACACTCCGCTTGGATATCGCGCCCGGTCTCTCCTTCCTCAGTCGGCGAACGGTACTGTCATCGTTGTTGAGCGGAAGTCTGTCCGTCGAGGTGTTTCCTCCGAACAAGCATTACTACGCTTGCGCGCTTTGTGGGGAGAGTCGGCGGGATGAGCCTCATGTGCGCAAGCACCACTTCCGGACTTCCGAAGACGACACTGCGCCGAAACCGCTGTGTGATTACTGTCTCGGCCGATTACGCGCCACCTGCGATTTCATAGCATTCCTACGAATGGTTCGGGAAGGCCACTGGAAATGTGACAGCGAAGATGAACAAAAGTCTGCATGGGAGGAGAGCGTACGCCTGCGAGAGCGCATGTTTTGGTCAAGGCTAGGTGGCGGCGTGGTTCCGTCGTTCCAGCATTTGCTCGGCAAGAATGCCCCACCTACTCCGCTATCACCCACGGCTGCGAAAGGGGAACGGCAAAGTCTCGAAAGCATCCCTGAAAATGGAAATGCTGCCGGAACCAGTGAAGACGAGAAAGTAGAGCAGGCCGACTTTGTGACGCCGCCTTCAAGTACTCACCCTCAACCTGTCGACGCGATTCCAGAGGAGGTCCCGCCGCAAGCCAATTCACTCGACCTAGGCGCTCCCGCCACCTCGTCGGAAGAACAGTCCAGCGCGGACAAGAGTGATGAGCCGACTCCCTCTGATAAACAAACCCCCACCACCACCGGGTCAGCCACAGCACTCGCTACTCGTCCTCCTCCCCAAGAAAAACAACAACAACAACCAGAGGAATTCATCAAACCGGTCCTGAAAAAGACTCCTTCCTCCCTCAGCCTCTCGCCCGCCGTCGAGCAAACCTCGTCCCTCCCCACGCCCATCAGCCGTTCCTCCAGCACGACCTCCATCCGCTCCACCGCCACCACTGGCGGCCAAAAGACCTCCTCGGTCCTCGCTCGTGTGCGCGCAATGGAGGCGGAGGCAAAACGGCCCATCACCCCTCCTTGATCTCCCCACCTACAGCCTGTGTTCCTCAAATCTAGACTTTGGTGTTTTTGTGTTCTGCTCTTGTACAACTACGACATGTCCTGTTTGGAGCCCCCCCCCCCCCTTTTCTCATCTCTGGGCTTCCTCTGCTGTTTTTTTTTTCCTTAACGCGCGCGTGTGCATAATACCTCCTGCTGCAGATCTTGTTTTTCTCTCACCTTTTTTGCCGGTTCGATTTGGGTTGGGTTGGGGTTGGGTTGGGATCGAAAAGGGAATGACTCTTTCTCCTCCTCGTGGAAAGAGAGAGTGTGAGAGAGGGGAGCGGAAGTCCTTTCCGCGGCGTCCTGGTTCTGACTTGCGGCGGCGCGCCTGGGGATATCAATTGTTCCTCTTGCGGTTGCTGCTCTCTGTTTGTTTGGTTTTTTCTTTGCGAATTCCCGATTTATCGCTGTATCTCTTGTATGTGTCTCGCTCTCTCTCTCGCTCTCTCTCCGCTTTCTGAGTTGCGTTGAGATGAATCGGACAGCGTAGGCTACCTTATCACCTACGAGAACCTTTTACAATAGAGAAGATTTATGGGAAATGGGACCTTGAATCAATCCCGTCTTGGATTTCTCTCTCGGGTACTGTGTTTTCTTGATTGTTGTTTTCCCCATGGTTTCGGAGAGAGACGACGTCTCTCGTCTTCCCTGATGCGACGTCATTTCATTCCCCTTCGTTTTTCTCTCGCTTTATGTACTATGGTTTTGTCTCTTACTCTCTTTGAGCTCGATGGCTCTCGAGGCCTAGCGGAGGTGGGATACTGCACTTGCCGCGCATCTTGTCAAGCAGGTAAGAGGTGATGATCATGAAGTCTGTCGCTCTCCTACTTCTTTTGACACATGTAAATAGGGTAGTAGAGGAACAGTCGTGAGAGGGAAGCCATCACCAGTGGTGACACGCATTTGGCTATTTCGCACGGCAGTAAAATCCGCTTAGCGAGGCCGACAAGACCGAGCGGCGATCCTCGAAGACACAGTCATATTTCGATGTCCGATTCCGATATTATCTACTACGTATGTGTGGATTATCCGACGTAGAAAGTATGGTGATGAGACTACACTCTTAGGGTTGTGCCCCATGCGGCAGAAACCAACGACTCCATGAAGCCTCTAGTCCCCCTGCCAAAGACCACAGTACACAACGACAAGCGACAGGATGAGCCCTTCATACCGAGATCAAGATCGGAGGCCGCCAAACGACTACCGGAGAAATGGTGAACAATCAAGATTGATTACGAAATGCGCCGTCTGCTAAACACACGATATCATTAGGTAATCGCCCGCAGTATGATCAAGAACGCGAAGGCGGCGACGATGATGAATTTCACTTCCGAGGCGCATCCCGAAGAGACCGATCTATAGGTCATGTCCAAGAGTATCGGGATCCTCCCCGACAGGGGTACAATGATCGAGACTACCATCAAAGCGTCGGTTGCAGTAAAGCCTGTCCGAAGTTGAAAACGATGATTGACGACTTTACAGAGCCGCGACACATATCGCCACTCAAGCAGCTCCGACCGGAATCACGGTCGCGGCTGGTCTGACAGAGACTATGTCGTGCGCGAACCCACTCCACCCTTCCAAGTCCAACATCCCACCGGTGAAGACGACATCGCGCAAGGTCCGGACTCCCAATCATCAATCCTCCTCATCCGCCGACTCAAACCGTCCACAAACCGACAAGTCTTAATCAAAGGTCTCAACAAGAAACTCTGCAGAGACGAACATGAATCTGAGGATGAGCTTGGCGCTCACCCACGAAGTCTCCGTGCCATTTACTTCATCTGCGACCCGCACACCGATCAGAGTCTGACATATGCATTCGTGGAATTCCACTCCGTTGCCGATGCGCGGTCTGCTTTGCGTAAAGCCGAAGTCCTCGGGGAGCAATGCACCGTCTCGTCGCAGAGATTCGTCGTCGACTTTGCCGATCTCAATGCTTTTCCGATCTCGGATAAATCGAGTTTGCAGTTCCGCGACGATGTCCGTACGAAGATCTTTCGCACATATCGGGATCAGAGATATTATACTTCGCATGAGCTGGTCAACGAAGAGCTTCCACCGGGCTACGAACTTCCTCAAATCGATGATGCCCCAAAGACAATGGCTCCGTCGGCAACGACGGTGGAAGCTCCGACTTTGAAGAAACGTGCAAAGGAATCGGACAAATCGGCCGAGCCCAAAGTGAAGAAGGCCAAAATCGAGACGACGCTCCCCGGACAATTCACCACCTGGACGCGCAAACAAGCGGAACTGCGCGCCGAAGAAGCCATGGACCTAGATCCTGCCTCGACCAACATTGACGCCCGACAAAGTTTCCTGATCCTGACCCGAATGAGTACTGCGGGAGAAGCAGAAAGCGCCGAAAACTCAACCTCCGAGCCACCAGAGGATCCCCAAATACACGCCATCTGCTTCCTCTGCGCCACCTCCTTCCCGCAATCCAACGTCATCGCCCACCTGACCCAAAGCCCGCTCCACAGACAGCGCCTGGAAGACACACACATGCTCGACAGTGCCTACACGCTGATGAAATCCCTGAACGTCTCCGCCGAACAGACATACAAGGTCCCCCACGATCTGATCACGAACGCGGGCGAAAGCGGCCAAGAATACCTCGACCGGGCAAAACTCCGGCGCGAAGCGGAGAAGCAGCGACGCAGGGAGTTGAAAGCACAGGCGAAATCCGCGCCGAAGATCAGGATGGTCCTCGGCGGGAATGGAAACAATAATACCAACAACACTAACAACGCAGATGAGAACGACCACGGTTAGTTTTCCCCACCCCTCCTTCCTTCCCTCCCTTCGAATTTCCCCAAAACCAGAAATCCTCAACTGACGGTCCTCTCTTCCCTCCACTTCCAGCATCCTCTCTACTCACGACTGGCCTCGGCGCCTCCATGCTCCAAAAGCAAGGCTGGGGGAAGCCCCCCGGACCCTCCACCTCGGCAGCTCCACAACAACAGCGAAACCCCAGCAGCAGCAGCAGACTCCCCGAACAAAACATGTACGCCGCCGGCGTCGGCCTGGGCCACGAGGACAGCAAGCGCGGCGACGCGCTGGAGGTCGCGAACGCGTTGACCCGAGGGGGAGGAGGGGACAGCTTCGCGGACAAGACGCGGGAGGGGGCGAGGAGGCGATGGAGGGATATGAGTTGATTCTTTGGTTTTGGGGGGGGGGGGGTTGGAATTTGTATTTTTTGGGAAGGGGAGATGGGAGGGAAATCCACAAACCGTATGTCATAAGCGGAGATCTTGCACGGGTTTCCAAGACAAAAATGATAAAAATCGATTTTCTTTTCGAGTTTCGGGTTTGTTTCGGGGAGCTGCCGAAGATATCTAGCTCGATATCCATCCCCGTTTTATCTCACACACACACTCTCTCTCTCTCTCTCATCCCTCGCTTGCGACACTCTTGTTCCCTTTGCTCTTCTCTTTTCTCCCCTCTTCCTCCTGTCCGTCGAGTTGGCTAAACCAAAGGAAAGGAAGAAAAAGAGAAAAAGAGAACAAGGAAAGGTGGTCAGCGAGCGAATGAATGAATGAATGAACGAACGAATGAATAAAAGAGAAGAAGACGCGAAATGGAGGGAATGCCGGGCGCCCTGTTCGTACAGCGGACTGTTTTTATTACCGATGATAATAATAAAAATAATAATCACGATAATATGAATATCGATGGGAATCAAATAAATACATCCTCCTCCTCCTCCTCCTCCTCCTCCTCCTCCTCCAAGATCGAATTGATAAGAAAGAAAAAAAAGGCCATCTCGTCTCGCATCCCGAGAATCCCATCTCTCACGGAGACAAAACAGAACCCAAGAAAATCGCTTCGCCCTCGCCTCCTTCCCGTGCGGGCGGGCGTAGTAGGCGTAGGCGTGCGAGACCCTCCCCGGCGGGACTTTTCGCCATCGGACGGATGAACGGTCAGATGGCCGGTCAGTCGGTCAGCGCGGGGGCCCGCGGGTCCCCGAGCCATGGCGGCCATGTGGTGGGAAAGCGATGATGTAAAGGCGATGGTGGAGAAGCAATGATGTCGCAACCGAAGCGGAGGAACCCCCCCTCGCTCGCAGCACGTGTTCCAAGATCTCCCCCCTGTTTCTTCCCCCTTCCGTCTTCATCTGTGCATCTTTTCTTTTCTCCTTGGACGGAGAACAGGAGGGAAGAAGGAGGAGAAGAATTTCATCTTCGGGGGGAGGAAAGGTGGCGGGGAGGGGAGAAAAGCGAGGTGATACACCGCGAGCGAGAGAAAGAGAGAGAGAAAACGCCTCTTGAGTGGTGGCCATCTCGTCCCCACCATTGTTCAAGGAAAGAAATGCACGCTCCTCTTCTCCTTCTTCTCCTTCTTCTTGTGCAGAAAACAAAACCGCCAGCGCTGTCATGAATCGCGAGCCGTTTTCAAAAATTGAAAAGGAAATTGAGAAAGGAAAGATGGAAACATCGTCCTCCAAAAGGGGGGGTTTCTTGTATTCCCCCGGGACCAAAAGGGTATCATCGTCGCACGCGTACATGTTTCATGTGTGTGTGTGTGTGTGTGTGTGTGTGTGTGCCGCATAGCAGCAGAGCAGCAAAGCAGGAAAGCAGTAAAGCAGGAAAAGCAGGAAGCAATCGCGGCAATTTTCTTTGTTCTGTCCCGGAAAATAATGTCAAAGTCGTAGCACAAGTCACAGTCGAAGTCGAAGCAGAGACACGGCTCCGCTAAGAGCGGCGGGGGAAGGAACCCGCCTGGCTCCGACTCCGACTCCGACTCGGACCCGGATTCCAGCGCGGAGTCTGGCGCGCACGAGGACGACACGGCGGCGGCGCGGCGAGGCAGAAATTGGTGCCGCCCTTCTGCAGCGAGATCTTGAAGGCCTCGTAGACGCCGTAGCACTCGAAGGTGACGCGGGCGAGGCCGGCGGGCGGGTCCGGCACCACGGACTCCAGGGCGCCGAAGTGCCGGGTGCCGAGGGTGATCTCGTGCAGGGTGGGCGTGCGGGTCTGGCCGGTGGTGCGGTCGAGCCAGCGCAGGCGCAGGGTGCGGGTGGCGTGGGAGGGCGCGAGGCGGATGCGGCGGCCGCCGAGGAGGAAGTCGGGGAGGTAGCGGAGGGAGTATTCGAGGGCGTATTGGGTCTGCGGGTTTTTGTTAGGATCTTGGTGGGGTCGGGTGGTGAGGCAGGGAGGGAGGGAGAGGAGAGGTCGGGAAGGATCTTACGGTCAACTGGACGAGAGCGATCGGTTTGACGGTGTGCTGGTCGAATTGTTTCTGGATGGTGAAGGTCGCGCGTTGGTCGAACTGGCCGAAGATATGGCGGAGCAGGACGATGAGCTCGCAATCGGTGTAGTCGGCGGTGAGACTGTAGAAGATTGGTCAGGAACACCCGTCTCAACGGAATCGATGGGCAGGGGCAGCCTCATGGAACTCACTTTCCGACGAACAGGACGAACCGACCCGGATACCTGTTCTGACTTATTTTGAAATCCGCGTTGAACTGATTCAGGAGCTCCGGTGCGTTGCGAGTGTATCCGTCTTTGAGGAGGTTGGCGGGATCTTGGTCGCCCAGGTGGACGGGCCGGTGGATGTGGCCGCGATATTTGACGGTCCCGTCGAAACTTAATTCGGAGAGCGGGCGCGGGTATGGGAATAGCAGACAATCGGAGGCGGCGGGGATGAAGATCTGGGTAGGATCATACGCGAGGCTGGAGACTACCGAACCTGGCCCGGCTGAGCCCTGGGCGTATTCCGTGATGGGCTGGAGAGGCGAGGGGAAACTCTTGTAACCGGAATCTCGCGATCGGGAGAGTCTGTGGGCTCTCACGAAATCGGAATCGCACGGTGAGACATTCAAGGGGTCCTCGCTGGACGTCGCTGGGGTTTCGAAGCTCTCTGGGGAGAGCGGACGGCCGTGAAATCGCTCCATCGGGGTGAGCTGGGACCATGATTCATCGTTGCAGCTTTGACTGCGGGTGAGCTTGCGGATGAAGTCGTTGTTGTCAGCCGTGTTGGTGGACGAGTCGGGGCCGTCCACGAATGGATCATCTCTCGTATTTGATCTCGAATCGCTCATGTCGGCCACGCTCTTGGTGGAGCGTTTGAAGACACGACGAGGGTTGCCCAATACCTCTGCGAATGTGATGTGGAATTGTCGAACCGGAGCATCGGGAGGATATTGAGGTTGAGGCGGAGGCGGTGGAGTGCCGAACAATCTAGATGCGTCTCGAGACATACTGTCGCCCACGACGCGCGTGAGGATGTCCGGTCGCGAGGTCAGTTCGGGATTGGCTTGGAACTGGTGATGTCCGAGTGGTGGTAATGGTGAATGCTCGAATAGCGATGAGATTGTGGGTAGTAGTGGTAGTGGTGGTGGTGGTAGTAGATGTGGAAATGTATGTATCTGCGGGTAAAAAAAGAAGAAGAAGAAGAGGAGGAGGAGGATGTGAAGGAGGAAGAGGATGTGAAGGAGGAGTAAGAGGATGAGGAGGGATTGAATGTGGTGAAGCAATGTCTGCCCTTTTCCTTTCTTTTCCCTCCCAAGAGAGTCTGGCTGGTCTGGCTGGTCTGGCCGGGGATGTGCAGTGCAGCGAACCTTGAAATGTCGAGAAAGACGAGGGAGCCTCTCACACCTGTTGGGCGGTCGGTGGTGGTGGTGGTGGTGGTGGTGGTGGTGGCTGTTGTTGTTTTTGTTTGGTTGTTTACCACACTAGACGGACGCGCCCGAACGTGTTGTTATTGGTGTCATTATTATTATTATTGTCATTATTATTATCATGATGGCTGCTGATGGCCTTGGTACCTGGGGAGTGTTCAGTGGGCGATCTCACTCGCCGATATTATCTCCTCGAATTCTGCCCAAGTAAATCCATCGCCGGTGACTCTGTAAGCGATGGAGCAAGAATTCCCCGACCGGACCGGTAGAGGCCGCCGTCTCGGAGTGCGCCCGAGAGCCATGATTTTCCCCAAAGCCGTGTGTGGTGGTGCCTGAAGGAAGACGATGAGACTGGACAAGACCATGGCAATTGAAGCAAGACCACGGGAGTTGAAGGGAGACGATGAGAATTGAAGCAAGACGATGGGGATTGAAGCAAGACGACGAGACTCAACCAGGCGTCTCGGCGGTTCCCATCTTTTGTCTGTGGAGAGACTGCTGGTCCGGGCATGGTGAATGTCCAAACCTCCTCCTTTTATTTCCATCCATTCGAAGCCTGTTCAGTATTCCAGTCGGTGGTGGTGGTGGTAGTGGTGGTGGTTGTTGTGATGGGGGTGGTTGTGATGGTGGTGGTGGTGATGGTGGTGATCGCGCGCTCAATCATGCCCCGTCCTCATCGGTTGCCGTCAACCACTGACTGCGACGGGCGCGAATGTCACCTATCCCCATCCCTCTCCTCCGACTCTCTCTCCTCTGACTGGGCGACTTTCGGCGCCGTCGCTGTCGAGCATTCGTCACAGAGGCGCCCGCTGTGATGATCGACTGGCGTGCGTGAGGTTGGAGCATGAGAGACGGATGTGTTTGTGAGTACGTGTGTGTGTGTTTATGTCGTGAAGATGGATGAGGAGGAGGAGGAGGAGGATGTCGTCGTGGTTGTCGTCGTGGTTGTTGTTGGTGGTGCAAAGATGGCGACGATGCTGCTTGAAAACGCGGCAGACAGACAAACCATGTATGCATATGTGTGTGTCGCGATCTGTAGTAACTGTAGTAACTGTAGAACGCTGCTTCACTCCCAAAGTCGGTATCAAGGAAATGTTGGTATGGGCTTCCTCGCGGGTGCAGCCAGGCCAACGTCATCGCTGAAGCTTCTTCCATGCCCAGGTGAGTTCACGATGATCCAACGCAACGCAACGCAACCTTGGAATCGAGGCAATCCATCGCTTCGGTCGAGCCGTGGGAATCTTCGCGTCGGTGAACATCGACGTCGGTGAACATCTTCCCAAAAGCACTCCAGCTACATCGATCGCTCTTCCCACCGAACCGGGATCGTGACTTCCTCAAAACACTTCCACGACCGACGTTCGTCACCGCCGAACGCAATGTCGTCTTCGTTGTCGTGCCAATCGACTCTTCCAACTCCGGACAGACCATCATCACCATCCAGCATGTCAACCGCGAGACACATACCGAAACTTGAGAGAGCAGACAACGATGTTCTCTTCCTCTTCAGCAACCAACTTCTCTGCTTTCGATTTGCATATTCATACACTTCCGAGCCATCCCTCGTAAGCGTACAACATCTTGGATTCTCCATACCATTCGTCATCGGGCCTTTCCGAGAAATAAGTCAACATGTCCGACGCGGAGAATATCGATCCAGGTGAGAGAGAGAGAGAAAAAGAGAGAGAGAGATCTGGCGACAACATCGCATGAGAAGTCCTCGTCGGCCACCGAACTGATATCCTCGTCTAGCATTCATCCCATCCTCCAATATCAGCCATGAACAGCTTGTCTATCCGACCTTACCAGATCTTCCTCCGTTGTGCCCAGAAGGCGAGAAGTGGTCTCCCATGCCGGCGCTACCTTCGCCTTTCCTCAACAACAACAACAAACATCTCACCGCTTCACCGGCGAATATCTCACGGCGTCGTGTACCGCTTTCGGAATGCTTGGCCCATTCTCCGGCGCGGCCTGGTCGCGCGGTCAAGGTGCAGAGCATCTTCAAGAAGGTGGGTAGATTCACACCCACAGCACCGACCATGTTGGCGAGCGCCCGTCGTAGCGAAGTCTACGAGCGCACCAGCGAGGAGCGCTTGAAGGAGATCGACGCACCGAGCTACAGTCGTCGTCGTAGTCCGCCCAGCGGGATATATCACTCTCGCGACAGCCGTGCCGAGCGGAGGCACTCAAGCATCAATGAGAGCTCGACCGATATGACAGTGGGAACACCGAAATGGCAAGGGAACACAAAACTTACTGAACGGCCATTCTTGACGCCGGTCAGGTCAAGTCAAAGCAGGGCCAGAAGCGAGATGCCGACAGCCAGCATCAAGGTTTGGGGCGACTCCAGGACCTCGTCTCCGCGCATTTTCAGAGGGACCTCGAATATGCGTGTCGCCAACACAGGTCCCTCATCCTCATCCTCATCTGGCTCCGATCTGTGCGACATGTCGACGACGGGCTCCCACGAGCTCTCCTCCGACGAGCATGAGACACCCCTGGAGCGCGCCATCGCAGCCTCGCTCCCGCCGACACCGACCCGCAGCGAGCGACGCAAGGCGTTGAACCTCCTCAGCCATCTGCGACCGACCACCGACACCCGAATCTCTCATGGCTTCCGATCCGTCTCCTCCGAAGACTGGACCGACGACGAAGTCTTCTTCCCCGATGGGTCTCGAGCCGATGGACATTCCCATTCGGGCTCGACAGCTGCGCCGGCCACGCCGCGAAGGCAGCGGCAGCAGCAGCAGCAGCATACGCCAGCGAGCTCCTCCACGCTCGGACCGGCCGTCGAGAGGGACGTCTCCATCAGACATGTCCCTGCGACTCCGACACGTGGAACGCCGCGCTTCCAGTCGCCGAAATCCTGCCACAGAAATCACACTTGAGCGAACTGCATGACATGCACAGGCGAGGGCGTCCCGGCTCACGCTCTTCGATCATCAACGTCCCATCGAACAGGCTGTGCTGCACGGAATCTTCATCCCTGCGCCACTCGTGAACACACTGCAACATCATCATCATCATCATCAGAACGAGATGACATGAGGTCCCGCAATCGTCCCACTCGGCTTCCCGGGCAGTAGGGCCCCCGCTAGCCCGACGATGATCTTGTCCAATGAGGGCTCCCGCGCTGGGAGCGATCGAGCACGGCGAATGCAAAGCGAACAGCGCCGAGACCGGGGTGGTGACGCCCTGTGCATGGGTAACGACATGGATTCGTGGTGGGACGGGTGCAAGGTCGAGGAGGATGCGTCCGACATTACTTTTCTCATCATGCATATATATGTACATATATGTGTACAGCCTGTATGGATTTTTAAGACAGGCGTGGAACGTCCCTCCTGTACGATGGCCCGCACATATATACCTTCCCACTCTTCTACTCCACGGGCGTTGGGATTGGAATGCCCCACCAGAGACGAGATGGCCATTCTCAGGCCAGATCGAACATCATCCGTCCAGGCAGGATAAAGTCTCAGCAGCAGTAGGAGCAACGCATCCTCTTGAGGGGTTCATCTGCTCCGGCCTTTGCGAGCATTCTCCACTTCCAATCAATGCCTCTTTTTCTCCCGGAAAGGCACTCCCTTTTTTGCCCAGGACCCCTGTGGCATTACACGAAGACGGGCGGCCAATTCTCCCTAATGCCAATGTCTCCCCACTGCCAATGCTCGTTTGGTGGACGAAAGCGGAAATACCTAGTATACAGTATACGTGTAAGGGTGACGTCAGACCCCTCAAGCGGTCATCAATCTCCAGCACCAGCGGGGGCCAGGAAGCATCACCACCACCACCACCACCACCATCACCATCATCATCATGCCATCCATTTTCACCACTCGACCAATACATACCGTACATCGTGGAGTCGCACTCCTCGCGCGTATGAGCCGCGTCGGTGATGCTGCAGAGAGTGCATGAGATCGATCGCGTGTGCGGTCAGAAAACGCCCTGCGCGTCTTTTTCTCTCTGAGGATCCACATGGCGCATCGCATGCTGCACGAGGGCGCCTCTCGTAGACCGACAGGCAGGTAGGTCACAGACGTCTTTCTTTGCCATCCTCACACACACCACGGCACCTCATTGAATGCCTTTCTTCCTCCTCCGCCTTCGCCCTCCTTCGCCAACCGTCCGATCTTCCACCCGCCTTCTCTCCCTCCGAGCGACGGCGACCACCATGTCCAAACACGCGCGACCCAGCAGTTCGCGCGAGCCCAGCGATCCCGCCCTGAAACACCCCCCGACCAAACGCGCCAGGGAGATCGACGCCCATCCGCCGTTCCACACCCTCGCCGAGCTCCTCGAGGAGAGGGGTTCCTCCGACTCCGTCAGCCCCAGGAATGTCCTGCATTGGTTCCGCAGCAAGGACCTCCGCGCCGAGGACAACCGCGGCCTCCACGCCGCGGGTCAGAAGGCCCGGGAGGGCAAGGGCCATCTCATCACCATGTACCTCCACAGCCCGAAGGATCTCGAGTGGCATGGCACGTCCCCCGCCCGCACGGATTTCATCCTCGAGAACCTGAGGATCTTGAAGGAGCAGCTCGCAGAGGAGAACATCCCCTTGGCCGTCATCGAGGCGCCCGAGCGGAAGGACAAGGTCGACAAGGTGTTGGAGCTGGTGGAGAAGTACGACGTCTCGCACGTCTTTGCGAACATGGAGTACGAGGTCGACGAACTGCGGCGCGACGTCAAATTCGCCAAGGAGCTGAAGGAGGACATCTCGCTGGAGATCCTCCACGATCAGACCGTCGTCGTCCCGGGCGAGTTGAAGACCGGCGCAGGCGGACCCCACAAGGTCTTCACGCCCTACCACAAAGCCTGGCTGGCAGAGACCGCCTCGGATCCCGCCCTCTACGACACCGTGCCCGCGCCGAAAGGCAACAGCAAGGACGCCCAGAAGGACCTCAAAGCCCTCTTCGAGACCGCCATCCCCAGCCTGCCCTCCGCCAAAACCTTCGCCTCCGACGAGGAGAGGGACCGTCTCCGCCGACTCTGGCCCGCCGGCCACAAAGCCGGCATCGACCGCCTGCAGCATTTCCTCGACGAGAAAGTCCGCGACTACGCCGCCTACCGCTCCCAGCCCGCCCGCGACCTCGGCAGCCGCCTCTCGCCCTACTTCGCCAGCGGGGCCCTCAGCGTCCGCGAAGCGCTACAAGCGTGCAAAAAGTCCAACAACAACGACTCCCGCTTCGATGCCGGAGACGCCGGCATCGCCGCCTGGGTGCGCGAGCTCGTCTTCCGGGAATTCTACCGCCACACCATGGTATCGACGCCCCACGACAGCCTGAACCTCCCACACAACCTCAACTTCGACAAGGTGCACTGGGAAGCCGACGAGGCGGGCTGGGAGAAGTGGTGCGCCGGCACGACGGGCGTGCCCTTCGTCGACGCCGGCATGCGCCAGCTCCGCGCCGAGGCCTACATGCACAACCGCCTGCGCATGAACGTCTCCAGCTACCTGTCCGGCAACCTGCTCATCGACTACCGCCGCGGCGAGCGCTTCTTCGCCGAGAACCTCGTCGATTGGGACCTCTGCAATAACACCATGGGCTGGGAACCCAGCTATACCATCTTCAACCCCGTGAGTCAGGCGGAGAGGAACGACCCTGATGGGGAGTATATTCGGAAATGGGTCCCTGAGTTGAGGGACGTGCCCGGCAAGGCGGTCTTTGCGCCGTGGAAGGTACGTTTTTCTTTTCTTTCTTCTTTCTTTTACCTTTCTTTTCTCCTTTTTCACTCTTTCCCCTTTTTCACTCTTTCCCCTTTTTCCTTTTCCCTTTTTCGTTTCCCTTTTTCTTCCTACTTCTTCTTCCCTCCCCCCTCCCCCCCCCTTCGGACTTGCCTAAACTTTCTGAACGGCGATTTGGCATTCGGATTGACTGACTGACCGATTGACTAACTGATTGATTTCTTTCCACAGCGTCTCTCCGAGGCCGAGTTCGAGAAATTGGGTTATCCCAGACCCCATGTCGATTATGACGAGACGGCCAGACGCGCGAAGGACAGGTATAAGCACGACTTGCACGAGGCGGATCCTTGATGAGGGAAAGGGAGAGGGAGAGGGAAAGACATGTGGTTTGTCTGTGTGTGTGTGTGTGTGTGTATTGATATTTATATCGCGAGGCGAGGGGGCTGAGATGAGATGCTGGTAGAAACAAAAAAAGAAAGAGAGAGAGAGAGAGAGAGAGATGATCCCTTGGCGAGAGATTGAGGTAGGGACTTATGACGGAGAGATTTATATCATGGAGCAGCTGAGGGGGCTGTTTTATCTGTTTTATCTATGTGCTTGGTTTGTTCTTTTTCTCTCTTTCCCTCTCCCCCTCTCTCTTTCTCCTATCGAAAAAGGAGAAAATGGGGAAAGGGGGAAGGAGATGTTACGAGGTCCGGAAACGGTGGTTGAGTAGGTGGGAAGCCGCGATCGATGATAGTCCCAGAGTTCTTCTCTATGGGAGACTATAGATCCTCCTTGTTGCCAGTAACCCACGATCCTCCGACTTCATATTTGATGCTTCCGCACTATCGCCCGCCTGCGACGAGAGAGGTTTGTCTCGACACATGGGAACCGTAATCTCTCGACGAATCCAGACGGGAGGATTCCGCCGGGTTGTGTGGAGTCTTCCAATGATATAGTGGTACTTTTTGATAGGATGTATCGACGATTGGAAAGTAGGAGGGGGTTCGGATCTGTTGGGATGATCGATTTTCGATGTCTTCGTGAGGGAAAGATGGAATCTCCGTCATTTCCGTTTATACAACATGTTCTAATATTATCATATCATGACTGATCGGGAGCTCGAAATACTCGCAGTGGAAGGAAGGACGGGACGAGATAGATGAAACGTGATCTATTCAAATATTGGATCATATTTCGTTACATCCTCCCATCGTCATATCGTCGACATCGCGAGGTCCTTACTGCCCCGTGGGAAACCACCGTCCATGACGAGACCTCCCTCTTTCTTTCTTTGTCTGTCGTGACCGAAATCGTCAGATGAGAAAGACCCCGAATGGGGGAGAAAAAACAGGTATCAAAACATCGTACAAATCGTCCACCGTTGTTCCTGAATTTTCCCAAAACAAAAATCCCTGGATGCCATCGGTCCAAAAAGCCAGAAAAAAATAACGAAACAGGAAATCTCGCGTGCGAGATTGCAACGAAACCATGAGCGCCCAAGATCATAATCATCAAATCTCAACAGAAAGAGGAAAATCCGCCACAAGCCAGTGGCCCATGGGTGGTGATAGTCTCAACGGAGAGAGAAAAAGTCGTCACCACCACCACCCCAAGGGAGACAGAACAGACGGCGGAAGAGGGTCAAGAAAAAAACCCGATCAACATCTCAACATCAAACTCGCGCCCTGCGCCAAGCCCTGAAAGAGCGAAGGCACATTCTCCTGTGCAGCCGCGACCTCCTCCGTTGAAGAGGGCGATGAGGATGAGACGATGACTTCGCGGATCGGCCGCTCGACCTCGGCGGTCTTGGAGTGGTGCGAGCGTTTCCGCGCGAAGTTGTCGGTGATGAAGATGAGCGCCAGGATGAAGACCGTCCAGCTGATCAGGCTGCTCGTGGAAAGGTCACTGGTGTGGTTGATGCTTGATGAGGCGGGTGTTGGGAGGTTGAAGAATGGCTGGGGGGTGGAAGGTGTTAGCCAATCGTTCATCAGGTGGGTTGAGGACGGAGGGTTGATGGGGTGCTTACCTTGGTGGGAGTGTGGTTGGAGGACCAGGGGGCGGAGTGGAAGAGTGACTGAGACATTATTGTTTGGATAGTTATTGTCGTTGTAGTTCGTTTCGGGTTGTGTTGGTACTTGAAGTTGTTGGTCGAGTGATTATTTGTGTGATGAATCAAGGTCGTCCTTTTCGTTCTTTTATAGAGATGTTGTATGTCACGGTTGAAATATGATAGTAAATCAGAAATGCGATGAGGGAGGGGATCCGTCTTATTATACAACGACAGCGATGCTCATCCTACGAGATCCTTGATCGCACAATGCATAGCCTACCTACGGCAACGAAAGTTCCCACCACACCCTTTGCTAGGAACGAAACGCATCATCATCACACCACATCCTCCATCATCATGCAGGCGCGTATAGCACCGAGTGCCGTCCCACGGTGGAGCCCGGCATGTGATGGATCCCAAGGCTTACGGTGTGTGGGTGTGTGTCAACGTGTAAGAGCCCAGGCTAGTAGTGTCCCTGGGCGGCAGAAGTTACAGCAAAGGGCGGCGTAACATGTGGATGGTGGTGCACCGAATCTGAGTGCGGAACGAGAAATTTGTGTTGTGATATATGCAGTGCTAAGGGAACCCTCGAGTCGGAAGTACGGTCATGGTTACCTGCCGGGCGGCAGAGTCGGGATCCCGGGCATGACTTCCTAAGAGAGAGGGCACAGGTCCGCGAGGAAGGGAACAAAAATCGGCTATTGTGAACCCTCGCGATGGACATGATTGGTCTACAGAGTTCGCTGTGACACAACCCTTTTCTTCATAATCACCCAGAGAGAGTTGACTTGTCTGGTAAAGAGTTAATTAGAAGGATTGGCGCCGGGTTGGTCGTGGTGCGTGGAATGGGTCCAGTAAGCCCATCAGAGCCAAGTAGAGGCGATGACGCACGCCACCAACGGCCACCGGAGCCGCATTGTGCATAGGGCTCCACAATGTGCTTGATCTCACCACTGGTCGCACACGAGGCTGAACCGGGATTCGTCGAACTTCATGTCCTGTTGTCGGTCATGCTCCTTATCACAGGGTGGCGGTGTTCTGGACAGTGTAGTGCTTACTCGTGGGAATTTATTCTTGGACATTTCGTTGAGATGGAACACAATCCTTCTCATTTCTTTACCTGGTGAAGGATGAGAAAGAGGGACGTCGCAAATCGCAGGTCCGTAGTGGTTCTCCTGGCGCAATCACAACAGCAAGTCGGACACACGGTATATCGTATAGATCGTGTCTCATCTGATCGTCTACGATAGAGCAAAGGGGTCTCTCTTCCGATCTCTTCTACTCTCCCGACGATGTCGGTGTCCTGGTGCTAGCCTCAGGACAGCTTCTTTCGCGCTCTCGAGAGCTGTGAGATGACGAGTCCCCTCCTCGACGGCCAGCAGCGGCGGGTGATGATGATGATGATAGCGCTGCAGTGCCATGAATACCACCGCGCGCAACGACCCAAGGTTTTTTCTTCCCTCGTAGGTGCAGCAGGTTCAAACGAGCGAATCCCAGTGGTGACGTAGCGCCACACGGCTGGGCTGGGATGCTGGGCATGCACGCACGCACGCACGCAATCCACTGGAACGCAAATAGAAGCAGGGTCCTTGCACATGACGCAGAAATCTCGCGATGATAAGCGAATGAATGAGACACAGCTGGCGTTTGGCTCACCTTGAGGCATCCCATCGAATACTCTAGTCCATGCGGAAATATTGGCTTCATTCAGGCATCCTCGAAGCTGCTCTGCCTGCGGTGTGCACCCTGAAAGTCAAAAAGTGTTCTTCGCAGATAGTGGTGAACTATCTCTGAGCCTGCTATTTGCCGTCTTATACGAAGCACTAAAGGGGTGCCTGGGAGATTATCCGTAATCGATTCGTGAACTCGTCGGCCATCTCCAGGGCGGTCTGAAATGTCAGGCGTCCTGCCGCTGAAGATTTGATCGAACATCGTGTATTTTCCAACAGGAAGCAGGAGCACGTGGATGGACATTTGGTACATGTCGTTGCGCGTTATCGATATCAGAATCCTCGGGCGACCGGGCAAAGGAAAAGAAGAGAAAGACATCATCAGAGCTATCTTGGCATCACGAGAGCAGTCGTGCAGCAGTGACGACATTTCTTTTTCCCGATCGTACATGCGCGCGATATGCACGCCTACTCCGGCGCACTTCCCGCTCGACAGAATTGAACAAACATGTGATGCAGAGTACATTCGCTGGAACGATTTGTACACCTGCGATACTTCTCGCCTTGTAGATATCGTAATTCATCTGATGAATCGGCAGCGAGAGTCGATCTAAATCCAGATGCACGTGAGCCATCGCGACGAACTCGACTCTAGTGGTTTATCGACAACGCCCCGAAGCGAGCGGAATAATGACCTGTCGTTGTGGCTCAAGACGTTTCATAAGATCTTGTTTCCACGGTCCGGAACAACTTCACGCCTTCTCTCGCTCTCTCTCTCTCTCTCGGAAGGAAATCTCCATGGATGTTTGAGAAAAGTGTGTTCGAACCCTGATGGAAAGCCCTGAACATAGCCCTGGACTGAACAGTGAGTGGACAATCAATCGCCAGTACGCGTGGAGTTCCACATGGTGCCGTTGCAAACCACACGGGCTATGGCGTGCGAAGATGTCGAGCTTATTAGACAGATAATAGACAGATAATCCAGAGTCGATCAGGAGCGGCGGATCCAGCAATTGGTCGAGGTCCCGTGATCAGGCATCGTCATGCATATTTCGAAACTGCATCGGTAATGTTTTATGCATTGATCAACGATGCTATTGCGCATCTATCTTTCGTGGGTGGTTGTGGTGGTTCCCATCTGGTACAGTGTAATAAGAAGAAGACGATGATTGGGGCTGAGCAGTCGTCGTCAGCGGACCAGCGCAGCACACACCGAAGCGGCATCACCGATCCTGCCCAGGTGGCTTACAGTATTATCATTGTGCGCTTTATCATTCATTTTTGGATCCCCACCCGATATTGTCACGTGCTGTTCTGATCTCCGGGTAAGTCATTGTTACAGTATATGTATACTGCTGACATCAGTTGAGAATGAGCGTTCATTTCGAGATCTGGTGGGAATGCCAACGTTGTTGGAATATTCATTGTCGTTGCGGCGTGAACTTGGAAGTCTGGCCGGTGTATTATACCCAAGCCAAACCAGTCCGACGAGGTAGGTCAGTTGTCGGAGAAGGCAGCGCACAATCACAACATTGTACACTCTTCTACAATTATCTATTCCCGCACAAGTCTGTCCAGATCAAACTTAGATGAGTCTGTTGGAGACTATCAAGTTCACGACCTCAACGTCCAAGATGCTTGCGTTGATGAAGTCCTCGTCTCATATCTCGACCGGACACTGAAAGGCTGTCCTCTCCGGCATGAATCGTTCGGGTGGTCTAACGTAGGCCTCACCCTGCCCATCTGCAGCAAGTTCCCGACAGGTCGCATCGGGCGTGTTTGGTGTTGAAGGACTCATCACCCAAGGTTTCGTCGGCTGCTCTCGTCATGCAAAATGTTATCAACGTAGAAGAAATCGCGAGCCCAGACGAGGAGCAGCCAAGCAGAATGATCAAACCAGACGCTACAGCGCCATAGTGAAGCAGCGCGCCATTGACTTCGGCGATTGAGCCACGGCAGACTCATACTCGTGTCACATTATTCTCGGGTTCTCTGAATCTCAAGTGCAACATCGATAAACTATGATCCGCCATAGCTCAATGCTTGTTCCTTCGAGACAATCGTGTGGTGTGGCCTAAGTACAAGCATGTCGGTTGATCGGACCTCAACTCTTGACGAAATTCACAGTGCAGCCGGATCAACGCACCGCAGCATTCCCTCAGATAACCATGAAGATTCCGAGGACCAGAGTTATGGCAACGATGCAGAAGATGACGACTTCTACTCAGACGAGGGCTTTGACGACATCACGAGATCCATCTCGGACGCGCCATAGCAAGCTCCACCGCCCATCGAATGCTCCGTCGACAGGGCCGATAGCGCCACATCCGACATCACAGACGATATTCAACCCCCGGAACGCAGCATCTATCGCGATCTGCCCATAGTCGAATCATCAACATGCGAGCCCTGGATCCGCCCTCTTCGATTCAGTCCGCAAGACGACGCTTCAGAGATGCGTTGCGAGCTCATTCGTCGACCGATCTTCGATGCACCAGAATACACCGCGCTTTCATATGTACGGGGGACTGATGATCGATCTTCGAGCACTTCCGTCGGCAGAAACAAGACGCCAGCCGCTTCCCTTCCGACTACAGACGCCCTTCTCCCGAACTCTGGCTCCAGGCGATGCAGATCTGCATGGCTTCGCTGCAGTGGGACGACGGCCCACAGTGTACCCCCTTGTTTCTGATCTTCTTGTTTCATTTCCTCTCCTTCTACGGTTGTCTTGACATGCCTATTTTTGCATGCATGAGATACTATGACCAAGATTATATAGATTTGTACCTGTTTCTGACATGATGTGATGTTTTCGCCTTGAAACATGCACACAGCTCCGGCGATTGAACGAAAGAACATAAGGATCCGGGACACCATCATACATAGTCGAGAGCAATTGCATGATAGCAATCATCCGGTTCATCGAGGAAGAAGAGCAGAGATCAAGGACTGAATTACAATTTATTTCATCTGATAAAAATCCCCTTCGAATCTCGAAGTCATCGTTGAAAGTGACGTGTCGATTTTATCGTCGTGTGTGGTACGGAGATAATCAACGTCACCTCATGTCTGTTTCCCGTTCATTCAAAATCGATCTTTATGGTCTTCTCGCTTCTTCTTTACTCATCATCCGTATGCTCCCTCGTCTTCATCGGCATCATCCTCCGGCTCGCCGAGGGACCTCCTCACGCCTTCGTATTTTGCAAGGTTGACGCACGTGTCGCAATGCCGCTCTGCTCCCGCTCCCCAGACCTCTCAAAGTGTCGTTCCGTTCAAGTAAAGAAGCGGCAATGATGGCGATGGTCCTTTGGCGCATGCTCTTCGTGTTGCAAGCGATTTAAGATTGTGCAGCATGAAGTGACGATGCGTGGTATGCAGTAAGACTAGAGCCTCTGGAAGCCATGCACATCCGTAGCAAGGGCTTCGGAATGCATCGAGCCTTGTATTTTCTGGCGCCAGGTGACTTCAAGTTCTGAGCTCGTTGGCTGTTGTAGTGATCCGCGTCGCCTCCTGTCGGCGTTGCAGATCTGTTGACATGGGCAAGCATTGTTGGACATTATAACACCGACGCGACGGCGTGTTGTATGCTGTGGCAATGCTGATGTATCCATATCTCCGGTGAAGAAGGAACCCAGACCCAGAACGGGTGCTCTCTCGGTGCGATCGGATCTCTGGTCGGGATTCTTCCCCGAGCATTACATGCACATGAAGCGTTCTGCATGCCGGCGAGTCGAAGCGCCGGTCGCACATCTAGCCCATCCTCGATGTTTTTGATACCAAGTGTAAGGTCCACCTGACGGAGCGTTGTTCATGAATCAAACCAATTCACCCCTCTGATCCCGAGCTGTTTATAACACCTCCACTTGCCCTTCCTCCTCCTCCACGACAACACCGTGAGTGACTCCCTGCGGATATGCGCCGGGTATCCCGTAACGGTCAACAGCGCCCACACCGACGCAAGGCCCTTCTCATCGTCCACATCCGCCGAGACGTTATCCACCTCGTACACATACTCCGGGTGCGCCAGATGCAGCATCTTATGGAACTCGACATGCTCGTCGAAACTGCGCACCCGCGCTTCCGCGTGGTCGATGTACGCGGAGAAATTCGGCGTCGCGAGACTCAGGAGGGGATTCTCCCAGTCCTGTGTGCAGAAACATTCGATCAGTCGGCGAGAGAGCGATTCGAGTAGGGCTGCGTCTGGGCTGACTTTGGCCCTGTCCTGCCGGGAGACCCAGGGTTTGGGACTCAGGATGTCGAGAGAGGAGGAGCCGCCGCCGCCGGAGAGGGTCATGGGGTGGTGGTGGGTGTTGGGCGCAAGCGATCCGTCGAAGAAAAAAGGGTCCTCGTCTTCTTCGTCTTCGGCGCCTTCGTCGTCGACGAGCATGGGTGTTGCGTCGCTACATTGCGAGGTGGAGGGTGTTGCTCGAGGATTCTCCTCCGAAGCAGGGCAAGGATCACTGTTGGGAGGAGAGAATTGCATGATAGGAGAAGTTGGGATCATCATTTCTTGGGTATCATATTCGGGCATCGTCGTTAAAACACGCGATTCTCGCTCATGTATTTATCCTTTTTGCTGGCCGGGTTTCTGTTCTCGAGTGGGTGCTCATCTGCATGCCCTAATCGTGGGGATTTTTGCGCACATAACCAAGCACCGAGCCTCTCGGACGTTGCATCTGATGATGTTGTTGTTTGCACCAAATGTAGAGGTGAGAAGGATTCCTCTTCGCCGAAAGGTATAGCGCATGGTGATCTCATTTCTTGGCTCATGAGATTTGCTTAAAGCCGCGGCAAGAAAGGTTATTTTAGGGAACCGAGGGCAAGAACAGCCAGCCAGGCGCAGCCGCGCAAAGCAACGAAAGCCCCAGGCCCATACCTTACTGGCTGACCACACGCATAACCACGCAGGGCGAGCAACGTGCTGAAGGATTCAAGCAGTACTAGCAGATCATTTAGGACATTTCTTATAAGAGATGTAACGTTGGCATTGCATTCCCATCTGACATCAGAATCTCGTGTAATAGTGACAACGTTGTACGCTGATGGCTCAGTCAGAACCTCGCCATCCGCCAACTTTGTGACTCACGCATTCGAATGATCAAACCAATGGCAATGGAGAATGGTGTTCTCAGGAGTATCATCCTCAAGAGGCGAGTTTGTCCAGAGGGATCTGGAATGTTACAATGTGCACTGCAGAGGGAAACGATTCAAGTGTGTGTCGATCGTCATGTCTTCTTTCAATTTCTTTCTCCGACAAGATCTATTAAAAAATTATAACCCGAAGTGGAGCCCTTCCTTATGCCTCAATCATACCGGCCTCGTAAGCGCGATGCTCACGAGCCATCTCATACTTGACCCAGAAGAACGTCACAAGCGCCCACGTCGCAATATACGAGAACAGCACGCCGAAACTCAGGCCGAACGCAATCTCAAACGGCAGCGTCCAGATGACAGCGCTGACCGCGCCCACATAGACACACACGCCCAGCATCCACCAGAGCGTCAAGTTGAAGAAGAAGTTGCGGAACATGCGGTTGGTCTCGTACCGCTCATTGTACCGCACGCGGAATTCGCGGTCTTGTAAGCCGTCCACGGCGATGAAATCCTCCGCCGCGTAGTAGATGAAGGGACGCATTTTCGTCCCGCGCGGTTGCGAGTTGAGGTTGATGGGGAGGTTGAAGGGAATGAAGGCGCTGATGGCCATTAAGATGCCGAGGAAGCCCATGATAAAGGTCGGCGAGTAGAGATAGAGGTGGGTGAGCTCGAGGGTGCTCGAGACGACGAACGGGATGAGAGCGAGGATCATGGAGAAGCCGTAGACCCAACTCGTCGCGTCCAGTTCCCAGCGGTGACCGCTGAGTAACGGTGCGCATGCCTCCTGGTGGTAGTAGAGTCGGTGGACTCGGGCGAGTAGGATCCATAACTCGCCGAATCCGAAGCAGATTACAGCGTAACCCATGATTTTGTCATTGTACGCTTTGAGCTCGATTGGGCATTGTTGTAGTGTGAGGTTAGGATATTCGGAGCGACATTGTGATTCCCAATTTGAACGGCGTTCGATCCACCAGACGTAGTAGATTATGCAAGGGATGATGAGATCGAAGAGGAGGACCATGGGCCCGCCGAGGGTAAGTCCTATATGTTGCCTGTGAAGGGAGTCTATCAGTATCCTTTGTTTTTTGAATACAACTGGATCTCTTGTGGACTGCGACATACCATGGATGTGCTTTCTTCTGCGCCAGTTTGGTCTCTCGCCGTGTGAGTTCGGGTAATGATGCACCCGTCGCTTGTGTCCGTATAGATTCTCCTCTGCTGGGAGGATGTGGTCGCACAGCGAGTCGCTGTCCGATTGATTCTCGAGGCCGGTCGAGATCGAGACTTCCGTCGTCTGAAGCCATTGAGAAGCGCAAATCCGGCACTTCGACGGATTCTTTTCGCGACTCATCTCGAGGTGAAGGTGCGTGGAGATTGTGACCGTATGCTGCACTCTTTTCTGGATCTTGGGAGCCGATCCATGACCGATCACTATTGTGATGTTGTGCTCTGTATATTTCGTCTAGGTCTGAACCTCGCCCCGTCCAGCTGCCCGTCTTTTCTGGATCCATTGTGTTTATTCCGAGGAGCGGAGATGAATTGATGTGGTTTTCGGTGGATGGTTTTTTGATACAGCAATGTGCCTCGCACAGGCGAGTCTGCGCTGCAACGCTACTTGTGTTCCTTATCCAAAAATCTGCAATGTCATGACCGTCGCGTTGTCATTACGGAAAATCGTAAGATTGTGCAAAAGTCCCCGGGAACTTCACAAGTCCGTAATCCCCGCCTGGAAGGAATGTGTCGGGTCCGATCCAACTCCGGGGGTGATCAGCAAGCTGTCGGATGACGCGACGCTGGTTTGTTACACGACGATGGTTACACAAAACATGGAATGAGGAGAATACCACGATTCGGTCGAAGCAGAAACTGAGGAGAAGGCGACGGTGAGGAGAACGATGTGTGTGTGCTAGTGGACAATGCGTAGTCGAGCAGTGATCTTAATAAGAAGAAGCCCAACGTTCGAACGAGTCTCCATCCAGCTTAAACCGTAAGCAGATGCCGCAGTCGGGACTCTCGTTAAGTCCGCCGCGATCCGGCATTTTCTTGGCTTCCCAGGCGCCCATCGTGCATTTTGCTCTCGATGACCATTACAAATGCTTGCTTTATTGCTGTTTCGCTTTCACCGAATTCATACACGTACTCTACTGTATATCCAAGGCTGCCAGCGCGCAGGATCGGCTCATGTTGTCAGCAGCGCAGTATTTCATGATCCTTCCCAGTCCTACGTGTTCGATCGCGTTGCCTAGACCTCGGTGATGACTTGTGAGGGAACGGGCTGACGAGCTGGCTATATTTGTCCCGGATCTCACAGGATTCGCAGGTCCATGGCTGACGAAAGATGGGACCATCCAACACGGAAATCGGCGTCTTCCGTCCCGAATCACGTGTATCGCTACCCTCACGATGAATTATTCAGGCACCGGATGTCTTCCAGTAGATATTCCGAAGAAGCTTCCCGTGACACTGAATGATCGATATATTACCCACGTTTTTCGTTCGCAGCAAATCACAGGGCTCTTGCTTTGGAGTACAGCATGATGACATTTCTTGTGCATAAAAATCGACGATCTGCTCAGTAGGAGGTGTATCTAACGCTCGGCGTTAGCGACCGTCGCAGGAAAGTGGCTTTCCCGAAAATATCCGCTTGAGACGGTCTAGCTGAGGAAGAGTCCATGACGTCGATGTCTAAGACGTCGAATCGGCCCCAGGAGGGCGTTCACATCGCATGTGGCCCTCATACCGCTTTGTCTCGAAGGCGTAACCGAGCGACTGTGTGATTGTCATGGATTCTCGATTTGTTAGTGGTGAGCAATTGTCGTCGAACGAGCCCTCACAACGCGAGAGTTGCGCTTACTCAACGGAGAGCTGGAGGATACTCACTTCGATGTCATTAGGGTTGGGGTTGGGGTTAATGTATCGCGGCATGCGATGCTTCTTTTGGATGCACACATTACCTGATATTGTCAAGGGAAAAAGCAGCATCGTTGATAAGGGACCGAGCATACGGCCGAATGAATTAAAACTCTAGTGGAAGAGCACGAAAACATGGGCGTGTTGTAGCAAAGGTTAACGTCAGCAATTGTTGGTCTTCGTGGTCATAATCCAGGAGGATTTATCTATCCTCGTCTCGAGAACCGCCCACCCTGTCGTTTGTCGTTCACGGCTAAACGTTTTCACGAAGTCAACATGATCTAAGTCGTTCATTGTCATGAAAAGTTCAAGCATAAAAGATATCGTCTCCTGCCTCGCATTCCTACCCTAGGCTCAAATCAGCATCAGATCATCGAAACTCAACACAAGAGAGTTACGCCCAATGGGCCTGTAACAGCACTGCAGGAACATGGAACGATACACGGCAACGAAACGCAGGTACATCAAACATGAAGAGACAGCCATCAATGAAATATCTACAAGGTGAACGAAGTCGCCATCAACGTGGTGAACCAGTACTGTTCACGCTGTCTTACTCTCATCGAAACGATATACGGATGAGCTTCGAAGCATGAAAATCACAGAAACATCATGTTGGCGTGTGCGGCAGGGATAAGCTGTGACAAACATGCTGCTGTGGCCCGTCCAGCAGCCACGAGGACGCCGTCGCGAAATAAGTCATATCTATAATGCTCTTGGCAGCGGCATACATCAGTGATGAAGTGGCTGTCAGAAGCTCGAACACGCCGGAATCGAGCCCGCATCAAGTTCGCGAGGTGGTGTTCGAAATACTGATACACACCAGACAGGATGTATGATTCGGCTGTCGAGAGAGGTGTGATGAAGGAACTGTGTGTCGTGTGCCATAAGCCTTTCTCCGGATGGAAAGCCTCTTCCAAATTCTCCATGACAGGGGCCGTGACAGACGTGTGATTCCCAGGAAAAGACTCTGCATTGATGGAGTTTTCATGGCATCGTCGTGGTCAGGACTCCTCCACGATTGTTGTTGAAATGTCTTTTCCCGAAGGAGCCTGGCGCTCGAGCATCTGTCGAGGCCCATGGCTCATATCCCCAAGACATCAATTTCTGGCCGCGGTGACAAGAGAGAACTATCGAAGCACGGATCACGGAAACAAGTCATCATTGGTTCCAGTGCATCGTCAAAGCTGAAGACGGAGATGGATCGTTATGCTGAACACCCCTCATGTCTATCGAACAAACTGGAAAGTGTAAGTATTCGGCGATGAATGACTTACCAACTGAAGCGTATGCCAGACCATCCTTGCTCAGTGTCCCCCAAAACAAGCATCGATGAGTCTCCGAGATACCATATCGAGAAGAAGACTTGAGCCAGGCAGGACCGGATGGTGTTTGACGGTCAATGACCAGCAGAGAATTTTGCGAAGGAGGAAGAGGTTTGCAGAAGCAAAATCATACGACACTGCTGGGAGCCCATCTCTTTGACGAAAGTGCACACTCTCAAGTCACCATCGATCATAATCATGCTTCACCCATCTCGTTCTTCACCACTCGCTGCGATGCCGGTTGACCTTCGAGCTCAATCGTCAGATCGGGTCATATGAGCCTTCTTCCTACTACGGCGTCAAGTGCCTCGGAGCACTCGCGATCGAAGCTGGGCAGTCGCCGGGGATCTCGAGAATGCATGCGGACGAAACAATCGAGACGATCACAAAAACAATGTGTCACAACCTGACGATGGAATCACTTCCTCGGAATATTTCAGCCAAGTTTTCGCCACTGACGAGGGTATCCCTGCCCGCGTGATGGGGATCCTGACGCCGATTCTCGCCTAAGCGTCCGCCAAGATGACGGGCAACAAGGAAGAGAAAATCGGTCAGTATGAATACTCAATATCCACTACTGTCGATCAGCAGCCATTGCATTTCGTGATCCTGCACAAGAAGATGGCTTGAAGCAATCTCGGGGCCAGACCCCGGTCGAGCCCATCTTACCATGTCCATGTTATGTGGGTGGCTTAGGAGGAAGGCTTGCTAAGACAATACGCCTTCAGCATGCATGCTTGACCACTAAGGAGTCGCGGGCGGCCTAGCAAGAGAAGACGCCATCATCACTCGTCTAGCCGCCTGAATACGTGACGAATTTTCTTGGAAAAGAAGGCTGCATCTCGGTTGCGAGTCTGATGTCGCTTGATCACCGCTGTGTGGATTGTCACATTGGACATATGCAGAACATGCTGTCAGGGGGGAGCCCATGTGGGCTGTATGATACCTGTCAAAAGATACAGTCGTGTACCCACATACGCAATCAAGGCGCTTGTGAAGACTGCGTTTCAAGAATCTGCAAAAACTTATCTCACATTGGCTTTTGCACAGCGTCAAGAAATTCCAGGATCAAGACCTTGGGCAGATCTGCGGTCCCCTGGAGAAGATCGCCGCTCTATGAATACATGGCGGATCGATAAAGATGACAAGCCGCCCCGGTCGAAGTCGTGCGCGCGGACAGAACTCAAATCACGACGACGACCGGGTTTGCACACCAGGGAGATGTTCTGTTCGATTTAGGCAAGCCTTCGATCCATGCCATGACACGTTATTTCCGGCTGCGGGGATAGTCTTATGGCGCTTTCGCCACATCCTGGAGTACCTTCCACATTCGACTATACTCAACCAGCCGCAGAAGACGGCCAAGCGCGATCGGGGAACACTATGCTTGGCCCCGAGAAGAGGTATGCACAGCAATATGCTCCCACCGAGCTGAAGCTGCAGAAGAATGGAAACGAACATGAGTCTTGTCGTACCGGTGGTACATGCGGAGAAGGTGTAGGGCACGAGCGGAACGTGGCGAACTCAGTGGCGGTTTTTGGTCGAACATGGCTTCGTCAGGTCCAAAGTCCCTCGGCAATGTGTCTCCTTCCATCACTCCGGTCAAGGGAGCGTGCGGTATGTGGTTGTTGACGAGAGTTCTTGGGTGGGCGTGGATTTCCGCGATGGCGCGAGCATGCATGAGAGCTCTCTAAGCCACACGTCTTGTCCCATTGAGGTGGAGGAATGAGCTGGCAAAAGGGCGCCACCATTTCCTGTCACAACAGCGAGCCCGGCCAGTCGATGGTGGAGGGCTGGAAGTGCTCGAGCGCACATGGCGGAGTTCGTACACAGTACTCGACGACCGGCGTTCTGGAAATTCAGCAAACGTGTGGAGAAGAGAAGATGGTGTGCGGTGTGATGTTCTGGTGGCACCCGCTAACCGACTAGACCAAGGTCCTGTGTGATTTGGGGGCGACGTTCTATTGGATTCTATGGCCACAACAGCTCAAGCGAGATTCGCGATGTCGAGAGACCGGTGTCGCTAATGAGTAGACAATTATCGAGACGCAAAACCATTCTCATCGGCGCCTTTCTCGCCACGATGTTGCTGCATGGTCCTGTGATAGGGACGCAAGCTTGATCGGACTTGGACCAGACTACTATAGAGCCGTAGACGAGATGGGCACGGCGACGACTCTGGGCCTCGGAGCAGTGATGGTGAGCTTGCCAAGGATTACCTTGTGAAAGGAGCTCTGTGTCGTGATCACCGAGATTTGTATTCTCGTGACCTCCAGTATGCAGCATACTTTGGTAGTCGCTTACGAGGCCGGGAACTTCATCACTGCTGCCGCTGTACTCCGATGATGTTTTTGGCGACCCGTAAGGCGGCATCCAGCACGGCTTCTTGGGAGTACTGGAATGGCCCAGGCGAGTGAACAACGTCGAACGGAGGGCGAATCGCAGGTCTTCGAGAAGGTGGGTCGGGTGATTAACATGCATGGGTACAGTAGAGTGGCTTGAATCGGGCTTAGCCCGTCCCCGCACAAAACTGTCAAACAAGCATTTGAGTTTTGTGATGATGGAAGCGGCAGAGGAAGAAGTTTCCAGGAGGAATACATCTGGTATGTACCTACCTAGTTGGGGATGTTTGATGTTCTCTTCATGGATTGTAATGGTACGATCCTTTCCAGCGCAGAGTTTCAGATTAATTGAAAGTTCAAAGTGGGCGGAAAGTGTCAAGACGAGCGCTGGCATAATGAATGGGTTATTTCTCCACGGTAAGTGCACTTATATCGTCCCATGGCTTCTTCGGGTGTAGGACTTCCCCGCCTTCATCTCCAAAAATGCGTTGTCCACACCACTGACGGATGCATTGAAGTCGAACTCTTCGAGACAAATCTCGATCCACAAAGCACTTTTGATCGGACAACGCGATGGTAAGCGGAACACGGCGGTACGAGCATGGTGGTGAGGCGAGACAGCCACCGCAACACTCGCCGTGAAAGAATCCTTGCATTCATGACTTTAGAGCGGCAGAAGGCGGCATCGGCGGCCGCCCGATCCCATTGGAAGCGAGGAAGGAGTTGCCGACAAATGCAGAATCTCACCAAATAAGATTACTGTTTGAATACAATAATGGGTTGCAGATGAGCCAATCCGCCCATCTCGCAGAACTGCCATGATGCCGCCGCCGTTGTTGCCCAGCAGCCTACACGTGCATGGTGTGCCAACAAATTAAACGCCTCCTCGTGATGACGACGACGACGATGTTTATGATATTTGTTCAGCTGACAACGACAAGGTGCGTTGACTACTGCATCCTACTGTACCTGCCTATCGTGATGTGTCTGGGGTGAAAATACCACCAGGCTCCATGGGCGTACGCGCTGACCCATGGGTGAAATGGAATTGATTCTGATAGATCCATCATCATCATCATCATCATGGTGATGGAAGGGGAGGAGGAAAAAAGGTCTGGCCCGTGTACAGTCTATGCCGCTAAGCAGGCCCTTTCTCTGATCTGCACCTGGATCATTAAGTCCTTGGCGCGATCAAGGTTAACCAAGACACAACGGATGGACACAGGGTCGGGGCCACTCAATCCTCTGGCGTTTTGTGGGGTGATCGGAGGGCAATCGCCATGTCCATCACTTTCTGGTGAATCCTGGAGCCACCCAGATCAAGGTACAGTACTGCACATCATCAGTATACTCATCACTCGTACTGTACTATGCGACAGTCATTCTTCAATTCTTGTCGTCCACTGGTCAGACGTGTAGCGGGCTATGTCGATCTGACCTTTTAACCGCGCGCCTTTTGGCTTCCAGAACGAATGTCGCTGTACAAGATTCTCTGCCTGCGAGTCAAATGCACAATCACATCACCTAATAAGCGACATGGCTTGCTACATTGCACGCCCTTGTCCACAAAATTGACTCGAATGGACCTACATCGCTCTGCCAATACCGCCGTCGTGTCGCCCCCCGTTTGCCTCTGCCCAAGCCTCGGAACTGCACTACCATAGCTGTCAGCTTTTTCTCTCCTTCTTAATTAGTGAGATGCGGACGGTGAGAAGGACCTTACGGACTTGATTCTTGGTGTGGGAGAAGGCTGTTCGCCCAACGCCACGATTACTCCGCACTAGAACCCACATTACACTAGTCCACAAAAGCGCTCGTCACATGGTCCGTCTGGAGACCAACCAATTCCGTGAGCGGATGGACAGGGGTAAGCTTACTGCGAGCATCAGCAGAGGGTGATGATGGCGATAATGTTGAGGAGAAGGTGCAGACAGTGCACACGGGGCCGGAAGTTTTCACCACATCCAGCATGAAAACCATGGGGTAATGCATACACTGACAAAAGGGCACGCATAGTGCCTGGCTGGGTGCTTCTTCCAGCAGTGTCAAATATGTCCATGTGCGGAGTACGTACAGCACATCTGCACCACCATTCATGCGCATGAGTAATAAATAAGAGCGCGTGCGGTACGACTAAGCGTGGACGGAGGCGGGCCGTCCCCTGCTCAGGTACCACGCCAACTACAGCTGCTCTCTTGTCTATTCTAGTAAAAGATCGACAGCGAACAAATCTCTTGGAAATATTGGCATTGTCCCATCCCTGTCAATGTGGAAGAAAGAGATGATCTTGGCTTGTACACGCATCTCAGGGACGACTACTGCGTGGAAGAATTCCTCGCTCTCTTCTGGATCGACTCTGATCGTCGATGAGGCAAAGATCTGCGTTGATCTGGTCGTCCGACCCATATTGCCGTCTCACAATGGAATAGAAAGACATGTTGTACCTTTGCTGTCGACACACACCAAGCAAAACGCATGTTTTGCCACGTTTCGATCGTCGAATTCGGAACCGGTTGAAGGTATAGCACTTTCGTCTCGTACGAGCATGAACCATTTTGTGGTGTTTCCCCATATTCTCCACCATCTTTATGCACGTCTTCGGTGACTCTCACCCTCGGTTCCGTATGGATAGTGGAGTACTTCCCACTTGTCTGTTCAATTGTTCCAGGGGCGATGCATCACTCGATAGTCTGGGGAGCAGGAGTGGGTGTGTGCGTGTGTCATGGAAACTCTCGAAAACGTTCTTGGTCAACGGTGAACGTGCGTGGCATGGCGGTTGGAAACGTGTGGGTCTAATTGTGTGCCAAAGCCACAGAGGAGAGCGTGCTCCTTCAGAATTCGGAAAGGCTAGACGATGGAGAGGAAATACGAAGCTACCACATACCGCATGTTCCATGCACACGCATGTTGGATGTTAGCAACGAGTATAGCTAGACATATTGCCGCCCTCCTTTTGGCGCCGGATTTCGAGATCTCAAGAGGTAACGGCCACACATCGGCCTCGACGAGACGGAGGCGTACCTCTCGGGTCTGGACGAATGAGCAAGCGGAATATCTTCTCATGCAGAGCTCCAGGCTCCTCCCCAGGTCTAAGCATGATGAGGCGTTCACAAGTGTCTCGGCACCTCGATAGCGTGCTGTCCTAGCCTGGCTTTCTCCGCAAAGTCCATACTAGTTAGGCCTAGACGACTCCACCGTCTCAAGCACGAACAAACCCAGTGCAACAACGTCCCTGCTGTCGTCAATCCCGAGGCTGCTTTCACGATGCATGACAAACGACACCATCGTGACACAAGCGAAACGCCATCTGGTAGACATGTTGTGTTTGACAAACGATTCAGAGACCGTTCGAACAACATAAATACCTCCAACCCCGACCGCAATTCAGAATATTCTCTTCACCATCAGCCATCAATTCCAACATCTTCAACAATCAACTCCATCTTCTTCCACTTCCACCACCAAAAACAACAACACCGCCAAAATGGTTGCCATCTCCAACGTCGTTCTCTTCGCCGTCTCGGCCGCTGCTGCCCTCATCCCCCGTGATGCTGCCACCGCCAAGGCCGACCTCCAGACCGTCAACTCTGACATCCAGAGCTTGACCACCGCTGTCAACAACTACCCCGGTGGTGGCCAGAACCTGGTCCCCGTCGTCCAGGCCGAGCAGAAGCTCGAGAGTGAGTTTCCGCCTCATCCCGCGATCGAATCGTCCCTGAGCATCCATCACTAACAAGTCTCCCTCTACAGACGACCTTGACGCCGCTGCCGGCCGTGCCAAGGGCCAGCCCGTTGTCTCCGCCACCGATGCCCAGTCCATCATTGACTACATCAACAACACCCTCGAGCCCAGCACCAAGGGTTCCATCACCGCCCTCCAGAACAAGAAGACCCAGTTCACCAACGACGGCCTCAAGCCCACCGTCCTCAACAACTTGAACTCCATCAAGAACCGCACCTCCGTCCTCGGTGCCTCCCTCGTCAAGTCTGCTCCCTCCACCAAGAGCTCCGCCGCCCAGGCCGCCCTCAACAAGGTCGTTGCCGACATCAACGCCGGTATCACCACCTACTCCACCTAGATTGCTTCTCTCTCTCTTCGCGCGCTCTCTCGGGGATGATCTCCATCTCATGAAAGTATTCGACTCAATTCGAAGAACCCACGGGAGGCGATCATCGTCTCAATGAGGAGATTGTGAACGACGGGGATTCGTGGTCCGCAGTTGGAAGGATTTTCACTTGGAGAGTGAAGGTTTATGGGAGGATGAAATTGATGATTGAAACGGGAACCCAAAAAACAAAAAAAAGTTGACTGATCTCACCAAAAAGTCTACGAGTTCATGATTTCGTATAGTTAGCATTTCTTGCAAATGAAAACCACCTTCATGATCCGAACCGATTCTTCCAATCTTCCCTTTCTCATCGTGCTTCTTTGCGACTCTCACAGTATTTTGAATTCTCCAATTTACTCCCGACTTACCCCCCCTTTGACTTCCTTCATAACCAATACTCTCACATTCAGCAAGCAGAATTCAGATCCACATCTTGAACACCGCCACGGTACGGCACGGCACGAATTAATCAATGAATCCGAAGTAGTCCGAAGACAGCACTTTCCTCATCAGGCCAAGATCGCCTTCTCCTTCAACCCTGCCCTGCAATAAGAAGTAGACATCACTCAGAGCATCGCACCTCATCAAGTAAATCCACCAGACATTTCATTATCGTGCGCAGGGCCTCCATTCCAATCTAACTTCAGAAAATTTCTTGGGGCATATTCCCGCTTTGTTCATGTCTCTCCGCAAAAATGCAAGCCCTCATCAACCAAAACCGGCTCACACATCTATCCATAATGACTCGATCTCGATTTTTCTTTTGGAGGGTAGGGCGTCTCGGACATCGTCTCAGAAAAACCCTAGGTGAGAGACAAGGGCTCTCGGGCCGAGAGCCTGTATGAGGACAAGCGCGCCGACGTTACGCGAGAGACAAGAAAGGATTGCGGGAACGGGGGGCGCAGATGGTGCGGAGTCGGAGGCGCAAATGTCTCAGCTGTGACGACAAACGGGAGACAGACATCGTTCTAGATTTGTGTGGGAGAGAGGATGTCCTTCTGACCGGCATGGGACGGGACAGGCAGGAAGGAAGGAAGGGCAGTTCGTAGTCCGGCCCTCGTCTTCGACATCATCAATTAATTTGAACTCTCACGCAGAGAGGTGGATTTCGTGCAAAATTTCGGTAGAAAACAGAGCGTGGATGTTCGTTTAGTCGATGGTAAGTTTTGATGGTTCAGAGGCGGATGAGGAGGGAAAGTGATCAAGAGCCGATGTCTTCCAACAAGAGAAACCCGTGCACAACGTCGCCGATACTGTAGGTAACAAAAAAGATCAAAAATCAAAAGACTATGATCATCCGTACTCTTTGGCTCGTCTTCGACCGACAAAAAAACAAACTTCCCCATCTGATCTATCTCGCGACAACGCCACGACACCGGTCGAAGCGATAGGTTTCCCGACTCCGTTCGATCAGAAAAGCAGAAATGAGAAGAAAAAAAACAGACTCGTATACATTCTATTCTCATGATCCGTTTCACTCTCCCCCTCACTTCCTCCCTCCAAAAAATCAACCATCCATCCACCACCTCACCATATCCCCCTCTCCCTCCCTTCCCCTCTCCTGCTTCATGTCACGACTACTGCTTCTTCTTTCCCTTCTCCTCGCCAAGGTATTTGATCGTCAAGCACCAAATGTCCAGGTAATCGCAGATGTTCACGATGACGTCGACGACGAAGCTCGCGTACACGCCGACCGCGAAGCCCAAACAGGTGAAGAGGAAGGCGACCTGGTAGACGCCGTCGCCGAGCGCGCTGGGCCAGCCGAAGCCGAATTTCGCGGAGAGGACCGGGCCGAGGGAGTCGAGCACGCCGTAGACCAGCGGGAGGACGAGCACGTTTTGGTAGGGGAAGGACGACTTGGTCAGATGCTGTGTTTTTGATTCAGAGGTTAGGAAATCTTTGTCGAGGGAGGATCGTAGACGAGGTGGGGCGATGGGGAAAAGAAGAAGAGAGACTTACTGCGGTGATCATCTGGCCTACGCTGTATGCGTTGATCAGGCCGACGTAGAGAGTGAAGGGGATCAGGTGGTTGTGGAGGATGCTGGGCTGGAGCGCTAGGTAAGATGTGATGAGGGCCCAGGTGGTGAAGAAAGGGACGAGGCCGAGGAGGGCGGTGTTGGCGTTTTCGCCGCGTTCGCGACGCGCGGACATGACGTTCGATGCGCTGTTTCGTGCGAGAAAGAGAGAGAACAAAGGTCAGCATTTGGTAAATCCTCAATGCGCTGGGACGATGCTCGTGAGGATGATGAGAAGGATGATGATGGTGATGATGATGTGGGGAACACTCACGCGCCAACAGTGTTGAAGACCAAGACCAGTGCGCCGTAGAACATATACCACCCTCCGAAATCCAACTCGTACAACGAATCCGGAATGAGAGCGATCTGCGGCACCCCAAGAGCAGGCAACATGGCGCTCTTCCAGTAATCGCCGCCGGTGTACGCGGTGATGGCGTAGACCACGACCAGCGTCAGGATGCCCTCGACGGGACCCGAGATCAGACCCAGCGTGAGGGTCTTGGTGTGGTACTCATCCCAGGTCTGCACGTAAAAGGTCAAGAGACACGCGAACAGCGTGAGCACTGTCCGCCACCCCTGCCCGAACTGCATGGCGGCGGAGAACAGCAGGACTTCGAGACTCGTGTTGAGCGCATCCACGCCGTGGTCGAAGAGTTCGCCGAGCGGACCGCTCTGGCCTGTCCTCCGCGCCTGGGTGCCGTCGATGGCGTCCAAGGTCTGGTAGAGGAAGAGCCCGATGGCCCAGCTGGCGTAGACCCAGGAGGGACATTCTTGGTCCAGGGTCGGGGTGTAGTAGAGCATGGTGAGGATGTTGATGATGACGAATCCGAAGCCGGTCAGGGTGATGGCGTTGGGAGCCATGCTGAGAGGGAAGAGCTCGATGACTTGGCTCCACCAGTATGGCTTGAGGACATAGCGGGAGACGAGACTTCGATCGACGCCTGTTGTGACGGAGAGAACGGAGGAGGTGTATCAGCGAGACTGCTTCACGATGTTGTCTACTTTTATTTCTGTCTTGCCATACATACCGGAGTATTTATACTCTTTCAGCTTTGGCAGCTGTTCCTGCCGGATATAGACCATGATGGCGGGTATTTCTTCCTCCGGACTCGATGCAGCGAGCACCACAGCACGTCTTGATGGAGAATTTCCTCGAATGCCAGGAGATCCGTGCTGATGCCAGGAAAAGTCGCTCTTCCAACTGCGTGATCTTGAGCAGCACAGGAGTATACTAAGTATCTTCGTTTACTTGTCCGATTGTGAAGTTCTTGAGAAATTGTCCACCGAGGGGAACTTGCTATCGTGGTTTCCAAGTATACCAGGTAATAAACCAAGAGAAGAGCCGCCGACGTGGCAGCAGCGCAGCAAAAAGGCAGCGATGATGTAACAGGTACCTACCTGACCTTGCCCTCTGCCGAAATTCCTGGCAGACTGGAAATCCCATGGAAATTTTGTCGCGAAATTTAGCTCCGGCTCTCTTCCGAGGCGCGCGCGCACATGCAAGGAAAAGCAGGGGAAATCCCCGACGACTGTGCAGTATGTACCCTGCAAATTAAATAATGACCAGAAGAATTACAGGACATATGAAATGATGGTTCATCGCGGCTCCCATCATTTTTCTTCAAAAGCAGCATCTGGGAGACACCAGTGAGGGGATTGTACTGTAGGAAGGAGGCGTGCTGTGGGAATCGGGAGGTCTTCCTTCTTCTATAACGTGTTCATATTTCTTCTCCATTTGTCTCTCTATGTGTGTTTCTTAACAAAAGCCGTCCTACAGCAGCCAGCATATTTAAGATGAAAAAGAGGAAAAAGAAGAAAGTGAAAAGAAAGAAGAAAGGAAGAGACGAGGACAAAAGTAGAGAGACAAAGTTTAAGCATACAAACATACAGTCACATCAACATCAACAACAATAAGTGAGCCAGAGCGAGAGATGCCATCAACCGCCAATGAGCCTCTGCCTCTGCCCTCGCCTGACTTCCCCCTCCGATCAGAAAACAGTAACAGATTTTCATAGCTCGTCCTTGCCCGTCTCCTCCGCCTTGAGAACCTTCTCCTCCGGCTCCAATTTCTCACCACCTTTGCTCGCCGCAGGAGTCTTCTCCTCCTTGGGTACGGGGGCATCCTTGGGTGCGTCGCTCGCCGGGGCTTCGGCCGCAGCGGCAGGTGTCTCCGGCTCGGGCGCGTGGGCGATGGTGCCGGCGAAAGTGCCCTCGGCGGAGGCGTCCTGGCTCGCCTGGTCGCTGACCTCGACGTAGACGGGGCCGTTGTAGACTTCGTTGCCGGCGTCGTCGAGGATGCGCGTGTGGGTCTGGTAGCGGGTGGAGAAGGATTCGGCGTCGGCGCCGCCCTCGGAGGCGGCATCCGCGGCGGCCTTGACGGCCGGGTCGACTTTGTCGGCGACGTCCTTGAGGAATTTGTCGAGTTTGCCCTGCACGATGCTCGGGATCGACGAGCTGTCGGAGGTCAGCGGTTCGGCGGGGATGTCGTTGGAGGCGCCGGCGTCGGCGAGCGGGGTCAGGTTGACTTCTTTCTGGGGGTCCTCGGCGACGGGAGGTGCCGGGCCATGAGCGGCGGAGGCGGTGGGTTCGGCACCGGCAGCGACAGGGACATAGAGATCGTAGTCGGCACGCTGGAGAAGGAATGTTAGCATGGAAGAAGAAACGGAAATCCGAGGTTTGGAGGTATCGCGCAAAGGGAAGACTCACCGAATTGAGGAAAGTGTTGCAGTCCCAGTCCCAGGTCTCAAACAGCTTGACGCGGGAACACTCATCCTTGCTCCAGGTGCCACCATAGCTCAACGGAGCGTAGAGGGTAAAGACGACGATGCTCGCGGCGAGGAACACCACGGCAGTGGTCTGCGCAGCGATCGGCTTGTCGCGGAGAGTGAAGCCACCGACAGAGACGCGGCTGAAGGTGTAGTCGAAAATCTGGCACAGGACCATGATGGCAAAGTACAACGCAGGGAAGTAGTGGTGCAAGAAGAGTTGACGCTGCATCAGGTAGAACGGGAAGTAGTGGAAAGCCCATCCCAGGACCGTGGTGCCGAGCTCGTAGTCGAAGCGGCGGAAAGTCGCGTTTTCGTAATCGTTGCAAGCGCGTTGCCAGCGGATGACCGCGAGACCCTTGAACAGGACATAGACGACAATGGCGGCAGTGCTGGACCACCAGATGAGAGGGTTACCGATGAGGTAAATTTGACGATGGTCTTTGCCCCAGAAGTTGATTCCACGGGAGAGGATGGGCCACGAGGGTGGGCGGGAGTCCCAGGCGTGAGATTCAACGAGACCGGCGTTGGTGGTCCACATGACTTGCTGAAGTTCCCAGAATTTGCCAAAGAAACCCGGGTTGCGGTAGTTGACCTTTTCGGCGTCGGCGGGGAGACTCGGGTGGTTGTTGCTCTCGATGTACCAGATGCTGTTGGGGAGAGTACCACCTCGGGCGCAGGTGACTTCTTGTTGTTCGAAACCCCAGTCGGGAAGTTTGACCTTGTGCGAGAACAGGGTGCAACCGGTCATAATGTGGACGAGCTTGAACTTGGTCTGGATGGTCCGGACACGTTCCTTGGCTTCTTTTCCATCGGACATTCCCTTGACGATTTCGATGCGGAAGAGATCGTTGGCGTCACCTTCGAAACCCTCGTAACCATACGCGGAGACTTCATTTTGCCATTCAACTTCGCTGATCGGCGGTCGGACATCGTGCGAGTGCACTCGGCGATCGGTGGTGATGTGGTAAAGACGGATGATGCTACCATCCACAACCCATTGTGGCTCCAGAGCGTCCCATGCTGAAGGACCAGGAATGGTAGTGTTGCCCGTCGGATCCACTGCCCAGTTGATCGGCTGCGTCTGGTTTTCGATGAGGAAGACGTTGTTCTCGTCCTTGTGCGGGTAGAGGGTGATCTGCTGCTGTTTGCTGCCAGTCGGGTACATGTGCAAGTGTGAGTGCAAGTATCCGCCCTGGGTGTTGTGATGACGGAGACTGATGCGGGAACCAAAGGCCACATTGGCGGGCACATCTGCCATACCCTTGCTGTTGAGTGTGGCTTGGAATTCACTGCTCATGAAACCGTCACCATCGCCAGGGTTCACCAAGCAGACGAAGTGAATCGCGAACATGGCCATGTAGAAAGTGATCGGGATGACGATCAAGCAGAAGATGCGGGCGAACAAGTGCTTGAACCAGATACGCACCGTGACGTTCTTGGCATCACCGATGAGAACCCACAACTGGAGAGCAGTCAAGGAGCCGATCCAGGCAATGGTGAACAACCCGACCCATTTGACACTCGCGGTAGCACCCAGAGACAATCCGGTGAAGGCCAGCCAGAACCACCAGCTCGCAGTGAAAGCCTTGGACGGGCCCTGTTCGTGTTGATTGGTGAAGGAGATCCAGGAGAGCGCGGTGAGAGCGGTGAAGATGACCAAGGGCGCATCCAAGAGGATGAGACGCGATTGTGTGACGAAACCGTTCTCAAACGTGAGCAGTCCGGCGCCCAGCGCGGCAGTGGTGTTCTTGCAACCCGAAGCCTTGAGGGTCAGGAACATGGTCGGGATCGCGAGCACACCACAGACGGCCGCCAGCAGACGCATGGAGACGTACGGGACGTTAGGCTCGAGGTAGTCCATGCCGATATCCTTGAAATCGAAAACACCGTCATATCCGCCGAGGTATCCCGCCAACGTGATGAGAAGTTTTGCGAGAGGCGGGTGTACGTCCATGAAGAACTTGCCCTTGATGTACTTGCTGGCAAACCCGCCAAAGTGAACCTCATCGAAGACGACACTGGTGGGTTGGTAGATGCGGAACAGGCGGACTACGGTTGCGATGGCGGTGATGACACCGAGCAATGTCCAATCGGTGGATTTGAGGTTGAAGATGTTGTAGTCGCCGATTCCAGGTGAGGTGTATGGTCCAGCTGGATGCGGCGGTTTGTTGTGACTCGATTGTACCATCTCTTTCGTGGTGATTTTGCCATTGACCTGCACCGGGTCGGCGCTAGACTTGGAAGTCTTCTTTGGCGCCATGATGAATGCCAATGGGTTGTCCTCTCGCGAGAGTCTGGCGAACGTTCAGAGTCGTTCAATGTTGTCGTCGTGCTGATGACTCTTTCGAGGTCAGCCTTTGGATGAAGGAAGATGATGCGCGCAACCAAATGTCAGCGGCGCAAGCTCGGTGATGGTGATGATGCGCGACCTTTCCTTTGGTAGGTCAAGAAGTTGTTGAGCTCCACCACCGCGCTGCAGTGGAGGAGAGAGGAGATGAATGGCGAAGGGAGATGGGAAAAGGCCAAGAAGAAAGAAAAGAAAGGACTGAGGGGATTAGAAGAAGAGATGGAGGTGGAAAGTGTTGTAAGTGGTGATGCAGTCAAGGCACAGTCGATGTCCAATCCGTGATCACCGTCAGTAATAATACTTCGAGATACAGTTCCGCTACCCATTCATCACCCACCACATGCATGCACCAATACAACACAGGACAATAATGTTATTAACTCAATGAGGACAGCCGAGCGACTTCTTCTTTCCAATCTATATTACTATACACATTACGGCCCCAGTAAAAATCTCACGATACTGTGCCCCTGCTGGACAATACACTCCTCCAGTGCAGTGCTCAGCAGTACGATCCAAAAAACATTCAGGGTCAAGTACATATGGCGACCACTCAAAATTTATTATTAGGCGTGAAGCTGCGATGCGATGGAAGCTCGTGGGGAAGGAAGAGCAGCAGCCTTTCCAGATGGGTGCCCCGATCTAGTCTCATCCATATTATTCTCAATCATGTCGGGAATGGTGGAGGGATGAAATAATGGATGAGACATCCCCAGGCACAGCCGCCCAGGAGCTCTCGTTTGACCTTGACGCGTCCCTGAGCCGGGCAGTGTTGAGGCGCGTGCACCAATGATCTGAGAGAGAATATCGGATACGAGGGACAATTTCAATGGCACATCACGCACATGTGAATGTATCGCCAAAAGAATACGTGGCGGCTCGGACTCCTTTCCAGTACAGTGTGTGTCAGTCAGCCCTGGAGTCTTCTCAACTGCGCTGGATTACGCTACGCCTTCCCCCGCCTCCTGAGCGTCTTGACCCTAAGCTTTGCGACGGCACGCTGAGTAAGCGCTCATGCTCGCGGAGGTCGCGGAGGAGACTCGGGGTCTATCGGCGTTCGGATGATCAAGATAAAACTATCCGGCCTCGGATCTACCCGCTAGATTGCATGGATATATACATGCAAAAGCTTCAAGTCGCAAATGACGATCCTCATGCACGCGACTTGCATTTTCCATCGCTTCTGTTGACGCTATCACACACACAAGTCTCAATCTCCATATCGCTCTGCTTTGTTTAGCCAACTGCGCATGGGATAATTCTCGATCCAGGATTGATTGAACCTCCTGAAAGGCGACGAGGAGCCGCCGAGCGCGCCATCTCTCTCGACTAAGGCGCCGCGACTGGACCATCCATCCTATCCACATCAGACGCACTTCTGTGCTTCTCCATACATCATGGCGGAAGACGAAAGGGAATCCTACATTGCCGCGATCACCGAGCTGATCAAGACGCGACCATCTAGCGTTCCCATCCTTCCACCTAAAGATGTCTTGTACCGAGTGGAGAGGACGGCCGAGACGGTCAACCGACGTGGCAAGGACAGTGCCATGTTACAGAAACTTCGCGACAACAACATGACCAACTTTGTCGACGAGTCATCATCATATCATCCCTACTGGCAGTGGCGTCTTGACGAGATCGCTGCAGGAAGAGGTGTCAACCTTGGACGAGGTGCTGGAGGAGGAGCTGAGAATCACACCACCAGTGTCTCCTTCAAAGGCAAACAAGTCAAAGTTCCCGAGAAACCTGCAGACTTCTCATTCAGCGCCAGAATACCTCCAATGAGTGCGCAGGATTTCGATGTGATCAAACTCACCGCCAAATATGCCGCTGCGAATGGCCAGGCCTGGGTCACTCAACTGAGTCAGAGAATGACTGGCAAACCTGACTTTGAGTTCCTGGGTCGACAGCATACTCTTTACATCTTTTTCGAACATCTCCGGGATCAATACCAGAACTTGTTCGAGGCCGAATCCGCCAACGATGGCGAAGTACTCAAGAGGAGGATTGCCGAGCTCGAGGCGAACATCGAAGATCCACACCAGGTCATCGCTCGTGCGAGGAAACGTGCCGAATACAATCAATTCCAAGAGTCGCAAAAAGTGGCCAAAGAGGAGAAGATTGCCAAAGACCGCATCGCATACCAGCAGATTGACTGGCACAATTTTACCGTCATCCAGCCGGCCATTGTATTTGACGAAGAAGATGACACTCGAGATCTTCCTCCTCCCATGTCGCTACTAGATTTACAAAGTCAGAGTCTAGAGCAACGCGCGGCGATGCGCATCGGAGTGGATCGTCGCCTGGAGGAGGCGATTCCTTTCATGGACGAAGGCCAACCTTTACCTGCTGCACAAGTTCCGCAATATCCTCCGCAGGGGTGAGTTGGAGACTTTCCAAGTCCTGTATTGAAATGTGACTAACTGATGACTTCTAGATACCCGCCAATTGGCGCCTACCCTCCCCAACAAGAAGACTTCACTCAACCTCCCTCCGTCCAGGCCGAACGTGACCGCGCCCGCGCACAACAAGAGGCCGCTCGTGCCACCGCCGCCGCCCAGCCTCAACGTATCGTCACCAATTACGTCCCAGCTGCACAGCGCCGCAAACAACAAGCCACACTCGCCACCACCTCAATCTGTCCCAACTGCCACCAAGCTATCCCCAACAGCGAAATGGAAAATCACATGCGCATCGAAATGCTCGACCCTCAATGGCGCGAGCAATCCCGCATCGCCCAACAGCGCTCTCAAACCACCAATCTCTCCACCCTCGATGTCGCGAATAACCTCAAGCGCCTCGCCTCTCAACGCGCCGATGTCTTCGATCAGGTCACGGGCTTGGCCGTCAGTGAAGAAGAACTTGCGAGACGGAAACGCGCAGAGATTGGCGCGTATGATGGCAATTCACCCGCCGTGCCTGGCGTTGGTGGTTACCCTCCCTCGTCGAACGGATATACTGGTGCGCAACTTCCGCCTGGGATGGCGCCGCCGCCAGGCATGGGGCCGGGGATGGAAAGGCCCGATGTGCAGGAGCAGATCAGGAGGTTGCATGAGAAGCACGGCAATCGTTGAAGTCGTACAGCTTGTTTCTTTGCTGAAAAGCCCTGAAACTATTTCGACACGTACCTTCGGACTCCAGGATCTATGGTCTGTCGAGACATAGCTTCGCATCCAAGCAGAAAAACCCTCTGCCCTTGCACTTCCCCTGGGTATAGTGATCAAGGCATCCACCAGCGCCATAGGCGCCGGAAAGTCGTCTACTGGCGGCTAAGGATAGTCGCTTCGATCGTTTTGCTCAAGCGACTCATCCACAATTTGCTGCCAGGAACAAACACCAATCTCGCACAGGGACCCAAGAACGACGGAGGACATCGCAAAGGCGGAAAGCATATCGTTCTGATCCGACAGGTAGACAGGTTGTACCTTTCACCTCCGGCGTCCAAGGTGAGAGTTGGTCACAGATCTGTTCACAGCATCCCCACCACCTCCATGGACCTGAGTGCAATTGACGTAGGATGGTTTGCTTCGTCGTGTGCGCCACACTGATCTTCAGTAATGTATAACTTCCGCTGACCCAGAATTGAAGGCATCTGGCAACCAGAACCTGAGAAGAATTCTCCATATACAGAAGCTTTTCGATCAAAGTCATGCTGATCAGCGTTAGACTCTATGAGGAAATTCGTCAATCTCTGTGACATGTGACATATTAATGATCACCAGGAATGACCAGCATTCATTCCCTCCCTTCATAAGTCCATCTTCTCTTCCCTTTGATATATTCTTCAAACCCGCATCCTCCTCAGTATACGTCGTCTTCCCCCTTCAGTGGGAGACTCGTTTGTCAATGGAGGTATAAAAATATTCGGTTCGTCCGCAACCTTTTCGAGAACGTTTTTGACCAAATGCATCGGGCGACTCCTTCCAACCATTTTACTTTTTGAGGAGGCGCTGGCTTGCGGACGAGGACATATCTTTGTTCTCTTATGTGGCTCATTCAAGTGATGGGTCGGTGTGATGAGTATTAATGAATTGGTATGGTATCTCTCGTCTAGTCACAAATGAAAACTTCAATCTATCTACACATGAGGAAACTTGCCATTGCCTGCATCTCGGCGTCCCGTCTATTGTGTCTTGCTCGAGACCTCCAGCGCCTTGACCCATTTCAAATACTTGGGCATATTGCGCATCTCGCCCAGCTGCAACGCGACCAACGAGAACGTCGGCCAGACTCCCGGCCAGGGCTTCGATCCTCGTCCGAGTTGATGCAGCGCCCACTGCACGCCGGCGATGCGAGCCAACGGCACCGTAATCTTCGGCATGAACCACGTGTTGCACGTCAAGTGCGGCTGCGGATCTTTGCCCTCGGCCCACTGATTCGGCAGGTCGGGGACCAACCCGATCGCCGTGCCGACGCCCGCCAACCGCAGTTTCTCCGTGCTCTCGATCACCGTGTTCAGCGTGCTCAACCGACTGATCCCGCCCGTCACCAACAGCGGCATCTCCGCCAAGCCGTCCAGGGACTCCGCCGTGGTGAGGAAGTACGCCTCCCGGGCTTTCGTGCTGGCGGCCTTCTTGTGCTCCTGATCGGGCACCTCCGCGCCCATCATCGCAGGGATCTCATATGAGCCCCCGGACAGCTCCAAGAAATCCAGCCCCAGCCCATTGAGTTTTTCCACCACATACCTCAAATCCTCCGGGTTAAACCCACCCTTCTGGAAATCCGACGAGTTGATCTTGACCGCGACCCCGAATTTCGCCGAGACCTTCGCCCGGATCGCCTTGACCGTCTCGACGAGGAACCTCGAGCGGTTCTCGATGCTCCCGCCCCACCGGTCCGTGCGCACATTCGTCCGCGGCGACAGGAACTGACTGCTCAGATAGCCGTGCGCAGAATGCACCTGCACGCCGCTGGCGCCGAAGTCCTCGCATTTCTTCGCCGCCCACGCGAAGCGCTCGATGATCTCGAGGATCTGCTCCTCGGTGAGCGCGACCGGCGTCTCGAACATCCCGCTCGCAAGCTTGCCGACGTCGACCCGGATCGCGCTCGGCGCGTAGGCGGGGAACCCGGCACCCTTGCGGATCTGCCTCCCGGGATGGTTCAGCTGGAACCAGAACTGGCCGCCCTCGGCCTGCGTGCGGGCGATCCAGTCCCGCCACCGCTCCTCGTCGACCGGCGCGTCCGCCGACAGCAGGATGTCCCCCGCCGAGGCCATGCTGCGCGGGTCCAGCATGATGTGCCCGCTCAGGATGATCCCCGAGCCGCCGCGTCCCCAGGTCTCGTAGAGCCGGACCAGGTTGGCCGAGGGCCCGTTGTGGGAGGGCACGTCCGCGAGGTTCTCCTCCATCGCGGCTTTGACGATGCGGTTCTTGATGGTGCTGCCGTTGGGCAGCGTGGCCGGGGTGAATGCTTTGGACGGCATTTTGGGGTTGTGTTTTTCTCTTGTTGTTGCTGGGACGGAGGTAGCCGGGATATTTTCTTGTGGTGTTGTTGTTGTGTTTCGTTTGAACTTGCGCCGCTCGTGTTGATGCGCCTTGCGACTTGTAACACCCTTTGACCAAAGAACGTTTCTTCGACCTTCCACAGAGCTCGAACTCGACGAATGCGCTCTTCTGTGCCTGTTGATCCCCAATCAATAACCGATGCAGATGATGAGTGTGTATTACCAATCCAATCCCTCAGCGCAAAAGGAACAACAAAACGGAGATAAGAGGCAGGAAGCCTTCTCGGACACCGCCTGTCGGCCCATCCCCTATTCGGGAAATCATTGCGAACAATCCCGACGTGCTTCGTCCATGTTCTAGCCGGAGTAGCGCCCGTTGATACGATCGCGAGCCGTCCAACGGCGCGCTTTTTGGTGTGGTTCTGGTGGGGATTGGCGTCGGATGCGGCGAGTCGTTAGGGTTGGGGTAAGATTTATTTGCTGAATGCGTCTTGTCTTTGTTGAGAGCTTCCACGTTGACTTCGAGATCATGCTGATATCGTGATATTCTTGATGTTTGATCAATGAGAAGCATGAGTTGATGTTGATTTGTCAATACGGCGCCCCTTTTCTGCGGCATGATGCGTTATACGCTGATCCCTGCGACATCTGCTCTTCTAGTAATGGCACGGCAAGTGGATCAATGAGGTACGACAAAGTGTAGTGTCATCACGTTTGCACCTTACCTTTACCACCTGTTTTGTTGTGTAGATTTGGAAACAAGTACAAATCCCATACCAGGCGCGAGACTCATCAATGAAGTCTATTATCGATGATATCGTGGACACATGTTTCAAGGTGTGGTCCTTACTCGACGCGCAGAAGACCATCGGTGCTGGTAATCAAAGAACTTGACTACCCCCAAAATGACCGAACAAGCTGCTGCGGTACTCGCGATAGCCAATAGCCTGTTTGGCCCGCAATCGGAATTTAGCTACACTACCGACGTCAATCCTTATGAGGGAGGAGAATATCGTATCTACGCGCTTTTAGTCGAGCAGGGCGACCGAAGAGTTTGTTTTCGGATCCCGAAAAGCCCTTACAACGCGAACACCAGATTTCTTGTCGAGCAGGAAATTGAGTTCCGGCGGCTCATCGATGCTGGTCCAATTAAATGCTTCACCCGGATGATAGCCTCGGACCCGACGGCCGACAACCCACTCGAGACATGCTACTTGATCCTCGAGTGGGCACATGGGAACAAAATGCTGTGGTTCGATTATATTCCGGCCAGCGAGAGGCATCGGCGTAAAGTCTTATATGCTATTGCCAACGTGAGCCTAGACCTACTGGGGATCCAGAAGACATCTGGTGTGTGCGCACATTAACGGTGCCCCGGACTCAACGTGTCTTCGTCCTGACATACAGTATCGACTAGGGCCAGCAGCACTCGAGTGGATCACCGCCAGAATCGATCGCAAGATCGCCCGAGCTCAAGCAGGCACATACAATGGTACGTTGACCTCATGTCAAGAACAAAAAGAGCTCATTGCGAAATATTGGATTCCTGAGCTCGACGCATCACCTCATGTGTTTGTTCATGGTGACATTTCTGGCAACAATATCATTGTAAACCTCGACTATGACGTTCAGAGCGTAGTCGATCTTGGCTGGGCCGAATACAGGCCGCTACAGTTCGCAGCAGAGTATCCCAAGTTTCTTACGCATGAACCTACCGAAGATGCAGAGGGAGCGGTGACGTGGAGATCAGCGGACAGCGCGCAGATGAGGGAAGATCGAGCGTTCTATCTGAGCTGTATCGAGGCGAGGGCGGAGATCCAAGGTGGGATCGTGCAAGGCTACTACAGGATCTTGGCACGGCCAGATGAGGTTGCGAGGTATTGGTGGTATGTTTCTGCAGGTTGGCTTCACGCTCATAGAGCCATGTCGGCTTGTGGATGGGAACCTCCAGTGAAATGATGGTGAGGATCTCATGAAGGAGACGTGTCGAATAGTACACATTGTACTGTATCAGCTCAAGAGATTGAACGAAGTGAGGCTGTCGCTACTCAGGCGGAAGACAGTATCATCTCCAATGATAATTCTTTTAATGATAATTCGTGCGGTGTAAGCACACAAGCACGACACCTTTCACAGACCCGACACCTCGTCGACGACACCATATTGTTACAGAGACCAACAGTCCACGGCTTCAACAACAACGTAAGTTGATGTGACAAAGTATTCCATGATGTGAACCTCGCTTTCCAAAATACGAAAATGCCATCAACACGCAACCAACTCCAACAACCTCGAAGATCTAACGGTGTTCCGCGCCCGATCGGCTCCATTCTGCGTGGCAACAAGAATCATGAATACCATCGCGAACATTCTCGCACAGTGAGAAGTAGGCCATTAAGCACGGAAATCGCCCTACAAAACGCAGGCTACCGCGACTCGTCACAGAAAATATTCAGGTCGTTCCAACAAGAAGCCGTGAATGATAAAGACACGAAGAGAAACTCGTGGTGCATCTGTGATGCCTCCCTCGAATCCCTCTCGGACGCAGATGTCGAGACTCTGACGCGCTGTTCTAATCGCGAGGCAAGTCATATCGAGCCCTCGCACCTCCACTCGCAAAAGATTCTAACCTCACCCAGTGTTCCTCTCCCGGCGATGGCGTCTTTCATCTCATCTGCGTCAATCTTCCCGACCACCCGCCACGCGGCATCCCCTGGTTCTGTCCTACATGCCATGAAGAATTTATCACACCAAACTCTTCATTGTTGCGGATGGAAAGATCCGATGATGTGGCGTTTCCAGTCTCGGTCTCGTCGCATCACACGCGGCGGATCGAGGCGGGGAGGAGAGAGGGATTGAGATATCATGGGAGGGCGTTGGAAAGGTGGATTGCTGAGATGGCTGAGAAGGATACAGCTTCTGGGGAAGGGAGTCGCGAAGGTCACCATGACAAGAAGAGGTTGGGAGATGAGCAGGTGGTGGAGGGTGAGATGGAAGTCAAGATGTATGGAGAAGAGGTTATTTACGACTCCATGTTTGAGACGGACAAAGGCGTCGGTGGAGGGACTCAGCGACGAAATTCAGACCAGGTTGATCAGAGGCGATGACTGTGTCACATGACAATGACAAGTTTCCCAGACGGCGACGACGACACCTAGTGAATGAGAATAGTAAGGGCTGGCAATTTGATTGAAAAGGTCTATGTGACCTACATCGACATGAAACAATCTGGGTATCGCGCCTCAAAGATCGGCCGTTAGAGTGTGCTGTGGAGAGTAATAAAGACAATCGCGACGAGCGCCCAACCTCTATCCCAACGACACAGTGAAGGAAAATAAGCAATCTGAAGTGCCAGTGAAGGCACGAAAAAAATGTACAGCAAAATCCCCAAAGTAGAAAGACAAACAAATCAATCCGACTCTCCTTCCTCTTTTGGCCACGAGGCACAGAAGCTCAGACGCACTGCTGCCCAGTGACGAAGCGCTGCTACAGCCGGCGATGAAGTCAGGCCAGCAACAGCTACATTCGATCCTTTCCCTTCGAAAGGCTGAAGCCCGAGATCCACTGCTGCACCGAAGATGGTTGGGCCGCACGGCTGGAGGAGAAGTCCCCAATCTGCTGGCCATGCATCGGCAGCGAAGAGGGAGGATGACGATATTCGTCGTCCAGCGGCGCGACGAGGGAGGAAAAGGGCGGGAGGCTGACGAATGGGAAGGGAGGTGGAATGGTAGACATGTACGGGACAGTATTGCCGCAGTAATGGTGGCTACCGTCGCCGCCACCGCTGCTGCTGCGGTCGCTATTGTTGTTGTAGTAGGACCTCTTCGGCAGGGGAAGGGTCTTGTTTAGATAAGGAGGGTAGTATGGTGCCGCCATGCTTGCATCGTCAGGATAAGAAGACATCATTCGCCACTCTGGCACGAGGGATGAGACCATATCGTCATGATGGTAATGATGATGTGGTGGCGGATGAGAAGAAAGAATAGCCGACCGGGGCTGGTCAGCACGCTGACCCGTTTGCTCCAAGCTGGACATGGAGATATCGCCGTCGGCATCGCGAACACGGTTGGCAGGTGCGATGAGCTGCTCTTCTATGTGTTCACTGTGCGTCGGGAGGACTGGTGCAGAAGGACCAGTCGTCAACCGGGTCGATAAGTCCATTTGGGACATCGCGTTGAGGAGGGCAGAAGTCGAGACTGTTTTCGAGGTCTTCTTTGAAGTCTTCTTTGAATTATTCTTTGATCGAGTTTTGGTGACCTTGTTTTGATCAGTCTCCGCAGTCTTGGTGGACTTGTCCCTCTTCGGCCGGCGAGAGGCGTCCGTCTTTCTAACTGACGTTTTTGTTTTACCGGAAGCGTTATAATGCTCAGGGAATTTGTTGCGCATTCGATCGCGGATGTCCGTGGCAGTTCTGTTGACGAGATTGTAGGACTTGTCGGCTTTGATGGCCGCCCATGACCCATTATGCTTGTAATAACCATGGAAGATGTCGTCATCTTCTTGTTTGGAGTATGCATGACGCGACCGACGTTTACTCCTGCGAAACGGTCCGATGCCAAGCGCAGCGAGTACCTCATCGGTCATGATGTGCGACTTCCGCTGTTTCCTTTCCGGCTGAAGTGCATCATCGGAATCTTCCTTGTTGGTGGCGTCACTTTTGCCTTTGCGTGATGAATACCATTGCGGACACGAGACTCTAAAGCGATCCTTCAGGTCTAGAGCGGTCCTACAATCGAACTCAAATTCAGGATCTTTTGCAATCTGGGTCCATTTACCGACCGCATACTTTTCTGCCCCGCGCATGAGGTGGATGATCTCCTCATAGGACCAAGGATTTCGAAGGGCTGCGATCCGGGCTTTGGCACGTTGCAATTCGACCCGGTCTCTGGCTACCTGTCCTTCACTTCGTGCTTCGGCATCTGAGGCTTCGGCTTGGGGAACATCGTCGGCACTGCTGGTGTACCCACTGTCTTTGCTTCCATCTTGGACAGCTGTTGAGAGGGCGAGCAGATCCTTCTCGGTCAAGGGTGAGGAAGGCTCTTCAATGGTTGCTTCCATGTCGTAGCCAACGACTTGGTTGTCTTGAGTGGGCCGAGGAGAGTTTCTGCCAGTACCAGATTTGCATGGCGAACACGATCGATCCGAGGCCATCACTGATGACGGGGCGAGTTCTTGACAAGCAGGGCATTGTTCGGACCATTTCGGCGATGGCATCGCCGGAGTTCCGACCAAGATCGATGAAGAGGGTCCGGCCTCATCTTGTGAGTTACTGTGAGAACATTGGCAACGCTTAGTGTTACCCTCAGTACTGGCGACGGCTTCACTGATGTTCTCGTCGTCTGCGCGGATGCGGAGACATAATGTTGCAGCTGGCGTTGATGTTGTTGATGTTGGTGCAGACCACATGGTGTCATCAACACCTGGTCGACTCTGACGAAAACACTGTCAGGTAACAACAGTGGTAAATTGGTTGCTGGAACCAAGAAGAGAATCTGAAACAAGATAACCAGAAGAAACAGTCAGGGGATGGCCCGGCTGAGACGAGAATGGTCCGACGTGGTTGGGAAAGCCGATTGGAACGCGCAGTATGGGTAGGCGGGCGTATTCACCGGAATATTCTGGAGATGATGTCGGATGATTCGATCGAATGTAGCAACGATCAAGGCAGTATGTCGTGAGTCGATGTTGTTGTCGAGTTGGTTGGAGGAAGGAATCGAAGAGGATGACAACATGGTGGCAGCAAGGACGACATTTGAAGGATACGGAGGACCCACCGAGGACGGAGTGTCTGAGCAGCCAGCGTTGCGACGCGATCATCGCGTACTTCTAGACGTATCAAGTACTCTCAAGTACTTGGGCGTATGAGTGATCTTTATATATCTGGGACATAACTCCGGACAGTGGAAGGGTGGGTCTGATGGTCCGCAGCCGAGCGACCATTGAAATGGATAATGATTGGAAGCTTGTGCATCAAATATTCTACCCTGATCCTTGTCAGGGCACTATTGTCAACGAACAGCATCTTTGGAAGAACGTATAATGTCGCTGGCGCTTAAAGGTTCTATCAGTGGAATCCGTTCACCAAGTACAGTAGTGTCTCGCGTGCACATGGTTGAAAGTCGGACGATGCAGGCTTGACGAGCCACAATGTCCTTCGGCCGGTCCGGCCCGCGATCGTTAGACCTATAGCGCTGCAAGTACCGAAAACTTTATCGAAACGCCCGACGCTACATTATCTGGAACGGACATAAGGCTAAATTTGTACTTGTGTAACGTCAAACTTCGTGTACACCACCACCACCTATTACGAAGACACAAGACAATCTCACGCAGGAGGAGGATTTGATTCAAGCACAGCGATTCCATGCTGGCGTCCGGATGATCAGGACACCCCCACGCCCCCATGCTTTTCCCTCCTGCTGATCACGCTCTGGATTCCTCCCCGAGCTCGGCAGTGGGCTCTCTCTCGCTTTGCTCCTGAGAAGCTGCTTTTCCAAGATACAGTCGGACCTCGGACAGTGAAACCCCTCATTCCGATCCTGTCCATACCACATGATCGGAAGCCGGGAATGGTCGGATAGACTGTATTCATCTCGGTCCTACGTGGCCATGTGCTTTGATTTACCCATGTGATGTCTTTACAATGACGAGTTATGCATAAGCAGACATCGTGTCGGCCCGAGAGTGGTTGCATGAAAGGGTGCCGGCAAAGGGACCTTTCATCTGAATCAAGCAGTCCCTCAATCAACCAGGAATCCAACATCACCCCAATCCTCTTCGCCACCATCTTTTTTGACCAGAACGTATTTGCGGAATCTCTACATGCATTCAAGGACGAATCTAGTCAGACAAAACGAATTGTCTACGTCTGTGAGGAAGTACGCTGAATGTTAAGCCCCAATTAAACCTTTTCGTCCACTGGGTAGGGTCGATCGGCTAACTCGGTACTTGGCACATTGACGCTCGGTCGGGCGCTGCCATTATCCTGGGACAAGAAGGATGTAAGATAGGAAAGTGGTCGGATGCCCGAGCGTGGCAAAGAGTATTTACTCGACTACTCAGTCCTCGTCTATCTGCCTCGTGTCTGTGTAGGGGACAGAAATGAATGGGAAAAATCTACCTGGAATGTGACAGAAAGTCGAGGTATGCGAGATCATCCTTGTCCAAATTCCAACCAACAGGAAGCCTTCGCGCAAATTCCGTACAAACGTCGATCCGCTTTTTGGGGCCATGTGTTGTGTGTGTACAGACCTGGCGTTACCCACAGTTGTACACAAACACCATCATCGTCTTTGTCGACAGCGACCACAACTCCGGTCATGTCATCGGTGCAATGGTGGAGATGGCACACCAATTTTCCAATCATTATGGAAAAACGCCATCGTACGACATTGCTGCCAGCAGTACGACTTGATGACATACATGATCAGAAAATGAGAGGCTGATCGAATGGCAACTCATCGATCACATGGCCTGCTTCAGGCATCATCGCATTTCCGACCAACAGGCAGGTCGACAGGCATCAGCAGCCAAGTCTCCACAAGGTCCAGCAGTGAGATCAGCGGTGTCCCGAATCGCAGCAGTGACATCCACTCTGACAGCAGTAGCAGTATAACCAAAATGTTCCAACAGGATAAAATGTCGTGACACTGACCAATTTCCCATCATCTTCCTCCTTGTGCTTCCCAAATATGCCCAAAATAACCATTCGCGACACCCAAGAGCACCCAACGACAAAGGAGGAACGAAGACAACAGAGGCCATCCTGGGAGGAGGAGACAAAGTCCCATATACATGATTTGCTCTTTTCTCCCTCTAGCTAGATATGTCTAGCGGGCCTCGCAAAAAATCGTATGATACGATCTCCACCGAGAGGATGAGCAGCGATGATCGAATCTCCCTCGGCCGGAAGATAATGCTAGAAAAGAAGCCCCCACATCATCTGTCAAGTCGATGTCAAGGAAAGCCAAAACTCCCGCGTTGATCTGCCGGGTCCCAGAGGGGGCCAGGACGTGAACCATCCCCCCACCGCTGAAGTCACACCCAGAAGCCGGAGAATTGCGTATTACAGGGCGGTGACCATGACAGAAGTGGCGATGGCGGCGGCCAAATGACCAACACTTGAACCCAGAAAGGTAAAATCGGCACGACATGCTGGCGACGTGGGCACTGCAACGCTGTACAGGGGTAGGGAAGGGCAAGCAAAAGCTATCCACCTCCTACTTTCCCCGGACTATTGACGCAACCTGCATGTACGGTCATCCATATGCATAGCATAGCATAGCATGACGCCGGCGTTGGTGCTGGTGCTGGTGCTGGTATGCTTTTCTTCTCGCACCGGTGTTGGTGCTGACGAGCTGTTCGGAGCATCGGCCGACCCTGCATGAGTGGGTGTGCACGCTTGGGCTCGGCTGACCGAGGGGAAAAGCCAAGTACCTAAAGGTACCAAAACAATTCTGCCGAGGAACGGGGGCAAGATGGAAAGGGATATGGGGGTTAGGCATGATTCATTCACGATGCTGACAATTTCCCGGCGCCTCGTTTTGTGCACCTCTGGTTCGCTGTCCGTCCGCCTTGTGCTGTACTGCCCAACCCAACGACCAGCTCCTTCGCGTACCCTCCTTCGGTCTTCCTCGTGTGGATAAAATTACCAATCATCTATCGTCGCGATACAATGCTCCGTCACATGGTGCACCATAGCCCTTGCCCTCTCGCTTGCCCTCTCGCTTCCCTTGTCGAAGATAACCCATGATCCATACGCTGGACCCATCCCATCTCGCACCACAAAGCATTCCCTTGCCCATAGAACTCCCCTACCCGCAACGTACATTCTTCCATTTCACAATGGAAAAATTGAAACCGTCGCCGTAAATAATCGTGAGAAGAATTTCAAGCCGCCGTCCACGCTTCTGATCTCATGCACCTAAATGAGAGATCTCGACAGCGGCATCTAGACACTGCCGATAGCAGCAGTAAAGTAGCGGCAATTAAGGCTGCACGAGATAGCAGCATCGACCCTTTTTCAACCACGACCCGCCCGCCGAGATGCACACAATCAGATTAGAACGAATCATCCGTGCGCAGCCCGATGATGGGCCAGATAGACCTCTTACGCGTTAGCTCTCGCAGACGACGCATCAAATCACACACATCGGAACACCCATTCAGATTCAAATGTTGACTTCTATGTTTGTGTTGAAATCCACAGCTAACCACCCATCATCATCTTCGAGCCGTCAGAGCGCCGCGTTATGAAAGGAGTTCGCGGAAGCGTAGATTCAGCGAGTGCAATCCTCATCTCGGAGATGATCGAATAAGCGGACACTCAAACCCAAGCGGCTACTGGAGGAGACAGAGGAGGGATGGGGAGGCTGAGCTATCTCTCCTGTATGCACGCAACATCGTAGACTCCATGTACGAAACCCTGGTAGACAGAAAACGGTACATGACAAAATATAGGTGTGTGCCTCCCAGCCACCGAATGGGACAGGAGGAAAACAGCATGGTGAATTGTAGATACTTGATGTGATGCGATGTGATGACTTTGCAGGGACAGTAGCAGCATCAGCACTGCCCAGGGGGGCGCTGATGTTGTCAACTTGGGCAGACTTAATGCGAGAAAGTAAGTGAACCAGCATGATGGTTTTCGTTACGAGGTTCTTGAATGTGAGGCCAGGTTTAACTCGCATGGTGACACGATTGTGTGTTCGCAGATTCCAGGTATACGACAAAACCTTCGACGGCGTGTTGGCTCAATCGCTGCTCCATGGTGGAACATGAAAACCCTCTCTACCCAATCCTTAAGGAAAGGTAGAGAGAAAGCGCAGGAGAGAGGGATGGGGGTTATTGCCACGCGAACCACAAGTAAGCGCCTGAATTCAGAGAAAACCCTGGAATCGACTCCGATGATGCCCTCGAGTACCTTTTCATTCCTCTCACCGGTCAACGACGATCCTGGGTTGTCCAAAGCCTCCTTGTTACATTCCCAGGCTCTCTGGGCAACACCGGTAGGAGTCTGATGAGATTCATAGCTGGGTGGGTGGATTTCCTCTCATCCGATTGGCGTCGAGGTGGACTTCTTGTTCGATTGGCTGCCACGCGCGTACCTCGGGGCGTGTGACGCGAAGGAGCGATTGGATGGGTCTGCGTGGACGATAGGCACGAGCAAGACAAGAGGCCGCCGCTCTTTGCCCGGTGTCGTCAGTGCCCGTGGTGTGACTTTGAGAGAATTGACGATCACAGGCTGTTGGGGTCGTACGAGTGGTTGCTGATTTGTTGTGGATATGGTCCTGTGATGAGCTTCCATGATCGCTCATTTCGCTGTTCATGATCGCTTGCCTGTCCCCCGGACGTTATACTCATTTCGAAGGTGGTAGGTGACTTTGAAGAGATTATCATTCCCGTTACCAAGATCATCCTGGTTGCCCTGAGCGTATTGGAGGTGGTGGTGGTGGTGGTGGTTGTTCAGCAATTCAGATTTCATGGCCATGCTGCTCGCCTTCATTCGTCCTCAGCACTCTGAGATCCTCATCTAACGTCTCGGTATCGCTCGCTCGCTTGCCCCCGGACGGTATGCTCATTTCGAAAGAGGGAGATGTGACCATGGAAATTGTCTTCATGGTCATCCTGGGCGGCTTGAGTGTATCAACGTAGCAACCCAAACTCAACACCAAACTACCCGCCTAGTCCGCTCGCTGCCCTGAGTTTGGCTCTGTGATCCTCATCTCGCCATCTCGAATTAGCTCCCTCCATCGGCACTACCCTGTGATGATTCCAGTTTTAACGTCCAACCCTTCACACCACACCATTCTTCTCAAGCGCCTCCAGCCTCCTTCTCTCTCCCAATCAATCAGGCACCGCCGCCCTTCCTCGCTGCCCATTCACGACAACGCCCCAGCCAGCCTCCACCGACCCAGCTTCTTGCCGCCCAAACCCTCCCTCCCTCACTGCCTCCCATATATCTTCACATCACGCATCACGCCTCCCTGCCTGCCTGCCTACCTATATTCCACCCCGTGATCAAAAGACGCACGAATGAGGACCCCTCCCACGCCACGCCTCGTTCGCGAAACAACGCTCAGCAAAGGCAGAGGAAGGGAAGGGGAGAGGGATCGACCCCCACGCATTTTGCAAAGCCCTGACTCAGTCTTCCTTTGCAGCACAGCACATTGTACCACGTGCCGGGCTTGAACAGCCGTGCCTTGCGTCATGGTCCGTCTGCTGCGATTGCCCAACTCAGGTCCTCATCCGCGCGTACAAGGGGAGGGAACAGGGAGGCAGCTGAGTCCCTCTCCCCCCGGTCCTGCTCTTTCCCACGGGGAAGCTCAAAGTCGGTGTCAAGCTGCAAGGTGAAGCCCGTTGTGTTGCGTCGAGAAGAAAGAGGGAGAGAGAGGGAGGAAGAGAGTCAACCCTAGCACGCTCTCTGTCTGTCTCGTTCATCACCCCCTTTTCGTCCTCCATTTCGAAAACCCTAGAGCTGTGAATCCGGACGCAATACGCCGTTCGGTGCAGACGACTAGATCTGTGAGACGGGCACTTCTTTTTCTTTTTGTAAGACGGGACAGCTAGATCTGTTAGACAGGACAACTGGATCTGTTCAACGGACAGATACGTATATATATGTATGCCCTTGCGACAGGTAGGTCAGGCAGGTCAGGTAGGTAGCAAGACAACCAACAAAAGGGGAACCTGAGGAACGATCTCGCAGAAAGCCGCGCGATAGAAAAAAACACCCGGAAAACCGCAGAGACGCCCATGCCAGACACGAGAGCCCCTGACTGCGCGGTTTTCTTCGTGGTGATGTAGAAGAAGAAAACAGCCATTCGTTTCGTTTCGGTCCGTTTCGTTTCGGTCCGTTTCGTTTCGGTTTGTTTCGTTTCGTTTAGATCGTTTCGTTTCCGTCTGATCGTTTCGGTCCGTTTCGGTCCGTTTCGTTCTGGTCGTTCTGGTTGTTCTATCCTTTGTAATCCCCTCCCTCAACACTCAACACTGAACACTCGACGGTAGAGAAACCCCGTAGGATACAAGGGGCGGAATGTAGGAAAATTACCGGAATAGGAATACCTTCGGAACGGGAATATCACAGGACAGGAACGGATATGGTAGAGGTATGGTAGAAGTATGGTAGAGGTGAGATATGGGCATGAGTCTGGGTATGAGCCTGGCTATGAGTATAGGTAGGGGTATGGGTATAGGTAGAGGAATGAGAGAGCTGAGGTGAGGTGAGGCCATAGCAGACGGAGACCCCCCGGTCGAGAATTCCCTTTCGCGCCGAGATTTCCCCGCGCGCGCGCGCGAGAGAGAGAGTTCTCTTCTTGCTCTTCTTGCTTTTTAGGGTAGGAGATACCCCCGGGACCTTTACTGTTTCGGGGATGGGATGATGGATAAAACACGGAGAGGAAAGGGGAGGAGAGGAAGGAAAGTTTTGGAGTTGGGCAAGAGGGTGGTTTTTCTCTTGATATAGTTGGGGAATTTTTGTAGGGAGAGAAAGAGAGAGAGAGGGAGAGCTTTCCGAGGAAGAGAGAGGCAGAGAGGCAGAGAAAAATAGACACAGAGAGAAAGAGGGTAGGAGACCATAGTTTTATTTATTCAGGGGGGAGCGGCGGCGACGGCGACGATCCTCCCCGTCTCTAATCTACGTATGATTCCCTACAGAGAGAGAGAGAGGCGACACGAGACATCGGGGGGGAGGATGGCCTATGGTCAACATCCACGAGGAGCTCGTCGAGGGGAGAAACCGCCGGGGGGAGAGGGGGGGCCGGAGACTGACTCTTCTTTTCTATGTCTCTTCCACATGGTTTCCCCTGTCATCATCGTGTGTCCGTTTCCTGCTTCGCCTGGCGGTGAGGGTCTCCCTCCCGTGCCGACGGTTCCTTCGACCTCGAGGTGTGATGTTTTGCGTGGGTTTGGAGGAGGGCGCGGCGCTTCGGGGGCGAGGTGTGTCCGATTCGCAGGACGGACGGATGGATGGATAGAGGGGGGAAGGGAGGGGTCGTTGCGTCGCGGCGTGCAGCGCGAGTGTGATCGGAAAGGAGGACAGACAGGCTACAACGCTCGCCGGCCGTGCCGGGTTCGTCCATGCAGGCGTTTCTCCCGACGGTCGCCGTGGTCGTGGTGGTCTTTCATGAGATGAGGCAGGCCCGCTTACTTCAACCGGAAGCCTTCACTCAGGAGTGGATGCGTTCGTAGAGGAGGATGTAGGCGACCTTGTTGTCACGGACGTTCTCCTTCCGCATGTTGTTCGACGACGAGGATGCAGAGGTTGGGTTGTTGGTGGAAGTGATGTTGTTCGCGCTGGACCCGCCGTGGCTGTTGCTGCTGGTGTGGTTCGTGCCGTTGACCTCCGACCACGGCCGTGATTCGTCGTGGGCGTCAGCATCGTCATCGGGGTCGTCGTCGAGACCCTGGTAAGGGTTGCGTAGCTTGGGGGGCAGGTCCGCCTGGTCGGCTTGGGATTTCTGCTGGTCTGCGAGAGCTTTGGCAAGGACTTTGGGATCCTCTTCGGCGCCGGCCTGGGCGACGTCACTGGGCCGCACGCGGCGGATGTAGGTATCGTCCATGCGGACCCATTCGCGACCGTCCTGACGAAGGACGTCAACGGTGTAGTGTCCACCTGCGGCGGATTTCCCGTGGTGGTAGACGACTCCATTCAGGCGGTAGCGAGGAAGACCCCCTTTGGCGGAGAGGCTCTTGCGTTCGGCGGGCGCAAAGACCTCCTTTGGAATCTCCAGCTCGAGGGGGTAGCCAACCTTCTTCCAGATCTTCTGGGTGCCAGTGAGGTTGTTGTCGTATTGGAAACGTTTGAGGTGGAGAATGAGGACGGGCGGGAGATCGTGAATGAAGACTTGCTTTTTGGCTGTGTTGGTACGACCTCCGAACTGACCGTCCAACGATTCTATGCGGGTCAAACCCTTCAGTGCGTCGACGATGTTGTTGACATCCGGAGCGCCGATATCGAGCTGTAAGGGTTTGAACGGTTCATAGACTGCCGATGTCTGCAAGCCCGGTACACGGAGCTCAGAGCGAAGGTGGCCGCCGAAGATCTTCGTGATCGGTGACGGCGCCTCTTCTTGACCGGCGGTGCGCGTCAAAGCCGCCTTCTGTTTGGGACCGACCTCCTGCCATCCATCGGCAGTAGGCGGGACCTGTTCAGTGCTCGACGGCGCGGTGCCGTTGGTGACAGGCACTGGGTTAGATTGTCCCTGCATGACATGTGCGCATTCGTCATGTAATCCTTCCAACAAGAACCCCAAAAACTCTTCAGCATCTTGCTGATGTCCTCTCTGTTTCATGGTGGTTAGCGTAATGACCAGTTGATTGTCGATCCCAAGGTACAACATACCCTCATGCCCGCAAATCGTGGAAGACTCCGAATCACATCATAAACATACTCCGGCGTGACTGGATCGCCGTATACCTCGAGCTGATCTTGCTTGAGCATTCCCCGAAGAACATTCACCGACTCCGCGCTCGCCAAAACATTAAACTCCCTCATGAACATGATCATCGCGTCGACCAAGGGTGTCTCGCTCTTGAGGGAGTGGACAGTCCGTTGACGAACCTGGTCTAGAAAGCTGTAAAAGGGGACGCAAAAGACAAGAAGTTGAAGAATCTATGGAAGTGGTGGTCAGCATGATGCGTCAGTCGCGAGAGGATCCCCGAGGCACTCACGGAATTCATATAACACATGTTGCCCGTGTTCACCAGTCCACGAGGTTCCAAGAAGGAAAGTTTGGCATCGTCGCGTACACTGTACTGCTTCAACGCCTCGGCCAGTGAAGCACTCTTGGACGCGGCGAGTCCATTCGGGAGAGCATTGCCGTTGATCGCAGCCCCAGCCGCAGACGGCGGAGCATTGCGACGGACCAGATCAGCCCAAGACTTGGCGACAGGGGCGGCTGCAGGTGGTGGGATTGACGAAGCTTGTGACGCGGTATCGGCTGAGACGGTCTCTTCAACGGGGCTTCCGGTGACCTCCTGCTGAGCCTTTGACACACTCCCATCACTCTGGCCGACTTGCTCTTGCTTTGAAGCGGGCGATGGTGAGGCGGGCTTGGCCCGGGAAAGATTAGGAAGGTTCGGGACAGCAATGGCGCTGCGGGTGGTGTTGCGCCGAGGTTGTTGCGGTACCGAGGCTGCCGGCTTCGGCGATGCAGCGGCAGTGGATTGCGATGGTGCCGTGGGCACCGAGATTGTTGCGTACTCAACCTCGGAAGGAGCGTGCGAGGTGGCGGGTGTTTCGGGCTCGGACGGGGCAGCCAGGGTGGAAGACTCAGAGTGAGGTTCCTCGATGGATTGTGTCGGAGTGGGGAAATTGGCTGTTATTTCAGCGACAGACGTCGACGTCACCACCTGCTGGACTCCATCGGATGAACTCTCGGGTTCGGCGGTGGTGTTCTCCGGGATGGCCAGAGCAGCTTGAGGCGTTCGGCGAGAGCGCCGTCGGCGCCGGCGTGGAGCGGACGCCTTGGGGAACGTGGCTTGATCCTCACCTGGCGGGAAATACCAGGGTAGCTGTTCTACGTTAGTGCTATGCTCCTCTCGGCAATGCTGCCGAATTACCGTCGTTCCGACTTACAGGTCCTGTGTACTCCCGGGATGGAGTGTGCTTTGAAGGCTCAAATTGAGCTTTGTTGGCGGAATCGGTCTTGGGCTTGACGGTCGGCTGTTCTTGCTCGATGAGCTGAGCGGCTGGCGTGAACGGTGTCGATGTGGCAGGGTGAGGGATGGGCTGTGACGAGTAATGCATGTATTGAGCAGCGGGGCGAGGCGATTGGGTATTCTGAGGCGAGATGTGCGGCATGGTAGGAGGCCGATGCGGCGAGTGGACCATCATTGGCGAGCGTGGTGGGTATTGGGACATTTGCATCTGCTGTGGCATGTACTGCGGCTGTTGGTATTGCTGCGGGTGCCATCGCGGTTGAGGTGCGTACGGATTATGCGGCGAGTAATATGGTTGGTGATAGTTCATATATGGCTGCTGGTGGATGGGAGACTGCGGCGCGGGGGCGTAGGAGTGGTAGTCTCGGCGTGGATGGCCGTGGTGAGAGACGGGAGAGTGGACATGTTGTTGGCCGGGCGGGCCACCTTGCATGTGGTTCATCTTGAGCGCGCGGGCAGCTCCTCCGCGTGATGAGCGGAGGACAGCGGCGGCGGCGGCGAGATCGCGTCGACCGCGACTGCCGTCCGATCAGGTCGCGTGATGGTGTTCAGCCGGATGAAGCTGTTGATGGCATTGAAGCCGGAGGCGAGGTGTTGGCGATGGCGGAGCGGAGTGGAGTGGAGGATCGTGTGCGCCACGAGGACGGCGAGAGGATGGAAGGATGATGTCGTGCAGATGTGTGTGGGTTATGTTGCGATACCCCAGAGCCGATCCTCCTCCAATGTGCCGTGAGGACGAGAGGATTTATGACAAAGCGTGGCTGGAACCCTCCCAGCTCTTGCAGGCGACCGGACGTTTTCCCCGTAGGAAATTAGATGGTGGTGGTGATCGCTGTGGTGACGGTGGACTGGACTGCGGGTCTGCTGTGTCCAGTCGTCAAGGGAGGAGATATGTCTCACGGTGAGGGAGGAGAGGAAAAGACAGAGCACACGAGTGGTGATGTTGTCGCCAATTCCAGCGCAGCACAGCAGCCGTGGTGGTAGTGGTAGCGGTAGTGGTGGTGGTGGTGGTAGTAGTATGTAGTACTGTATATAGTATGGAGAGTACCGCAGATCAGAAGGCGAGAGAGAGAGACACACACACACACACGTACGTTCCGCCGCCGCCGACTCCGCCGTAGAATGATCGAAGCAACGGGTCTCGTCGTCAGTCAAGCATCAGTCATCAGTCAGCAATCAGTCATCAGTCAGTCAGCCAGCTCCTCATAACAGCAACAGCAGTAGAGAGAGAGCAGAGCAGGCCGGCCGTCGGGCGCGGAGGAGGAGGCGAGCAAACTCTTGGCGGCAACCCTAAATTCCCCCCCCCGGATCAAGTCCACCACCATCCCCATCACCACGAGTTTAATGACTAACCACAATCATGCTTCCTCTTGATGTCGATGTTTATGACTAATCACGATCATGGTTCCGTCTTCAGCTTGTCTTCAAGATGTTATGCTGGCTATGGTACGGCACCATCAGGGAGAGGCGTGTCATGACCTGCAGCCAGGAGGAATGATGGCATATCCTCATGATACATGACACACGATATATGAATCCCTTCACAGAGCCATGAATAGCCCAGGCGTCGCATCTTCTGCACCAATACATACCGTGGCATCTAAGTACATATCTACGATAGGTAGGAATGTGTGTCCCTTGACCTCGGGTTGGGTTGAACGAGGCGTGAGAGAATGCCCAGGTGGACGGAGGCGGGGAGCGGGAGCATTCGGGTCCGCCAACATCGGGTTCACTCTCATCAGCATTCCGCTCTGGAGCACGGTAATAATAAACCTGGTCACATTTCATCAAACGCTGGATGCGGGTGGTGGAACGGCCTGCTTACCTGGGGACTTATTCACATACACGTGTGCAGTCCGCGTACGTCGGGAACACCCTGCTCATTGTCACCAATTATACATACCAGAGAAGGGAGACTTACTTTGCAGACAATTCCCTACCGGTCTCCGCTGTCTCGTCAACTCATCGCAGCGTACTACAGTCCCCGGAACGTACGGTGGACTTGGGAATCCAGACCACCAGCCTCACCTAAACGGCTCCTCGAGATGCACGTCCTTCCTGGCCCGCGATGATCGAAATGTGCACATGTTTCCTCTTCGTGATAGCTGACGTGTCGTCCCTCTTGTCATACTGCAGACGAGTCTCTGTCCGGGACAGGGGAGGGGCCTGCTCAACCTCACGTGGTGGTGAGTCTTTTTCCGATCAGCTACTGGTAGTCTCCATGGCTCTTGTTATGTTTAGGGTTCGTAGACTATTAGAACGATCCATCTCTCTTTCAAGCATGCCTTTCTCAAAATAGTCAAGTCCGCGAGCGAGATGCGATAGGCGTTGAAGTGTTTGTCGCTAGACCAATATCATTGTTGCACATGCGTTTATTCCACGTCGGAGGATATATTGTGAGGGTGATCGTGCCGCCGGATGAGGCTTGACCTCTGTAGGCTTCTGCGTGGTATCCGCTCTGCTACTACAGGAAAGCACTCAACCAACTTGTGCATTCGAAGACAGACATGAGAAGAAGCACGAGGACTATGGCTCGTGGCTGAAGCGAGGTTCATGATGTGTGCGGACGAAGTAGATTGCTTCCTGCACGTCAAACTGAAATGGGTAATGTGGAAATCTCGACTGCAGTATGGATGAGACAGCGTGGGTGAGAGAAAGCATGTGGCCTGTCCCGTTGATTATTGCATATTGTTCTGGCACCGGAGATTGATGATTAATGATGATTAATGATAATTCCAAGGTTGACCGCAGCTGACGATGATGGTCGGAAGTGTCTCAATCGAACAGGGACGGAATACGCAGAGAAGAAGAGAATGCCATAGCCAATCTCACGAATACCCGGCGCAGTTCCAGCGATACGCCCGGATGGCTCCTCGGGTTTGGACGATGATAACAATTACGGGACAGACTTGCATGTTCGCCAAAGCAAAACTGTGCCATGATAAATCGTCGAGTGCCATCCAACTACCCGCACCCGCCGGCCGGCCGGGAGGAAGCGAGCGACGTCGAGAAAGACACACTACATTACTTACTGCTGTTACTACTACATACTACATACCACTACGACTGACCTCCACGACCAACATTCCATCGTACTGTACTCGCTTCTGAACTGTCCACACTCTGCAAAACTCCCGGCCTTTACACGCGCCGTCCACTGGTTGCGACGTACAAACACCTAGGGCTCCACCTCTCCTCTCTGGTGAAAGGGACTCTGGACCTCCTTCGTTCAGCCGTCAGCGAGTCTGGCTGGGATTTCTCCTTCCCTTCCGCCTTCCTCCTCCTCCGCCTGTACCATCATCAACCTCCGTCTTTCCACCCACAGCGCGACTTCCTTCTGTCGCCGACCCCCCTTCACATCTTGAGAACATATCGGAAGGAACGGGACTGCAGTATACTCGGTCGCTTGCAAGCGCAGAGACCGTGACTTCTCCACCTCGACTGCACGCGCCGCGGCCTCGCTCACGCGACCGACCAACTCTCGCCGTCCCTTCTCACGTCGACGCATTTCCACCACAGCGATAGCGTATTCTGTCGGACGCGCTCGCCATTTAATTGCAAGTCATATATACCATCCGAGAGGTCTGTCGCTGTCGGCGCTTATTCATACCAACTACGCCGCAAAGACCCCCCTGCCCGACACGAGGTCTTCTCGACAATCCGTGATCATCATCACTTGTAAAATATTGGAACCACATATCGGATACATACATCACGTCGCCAATGACTGCAGTGGCCCCTCTGTTGAGCACCTACCATTCAAACAAATGGACGTCTAACGGCAACGAGATGGATCAGCCGTCGAGCATGTTCGCTCCCGGACCTCGCAAGACTGCTCAGCGTCAGAATTCCTCCTCTTCCATTGCATCCGCCGCCTCGTCCACATCGACCATCATCGCACCTCCATCACAGACCAACGGGAGCGCCGTTGCCGCTTCGGGTGACGCAAACAACTGGGCGACTCGGAAAAAGCCGACGCGTGGTTTATGGCCTCCCAGTAAAGCCGAACCTGCCACTGGCCTTTCCACCGCGAGACCTCAAACGATGAGTTCTCTAACATCTGGTCCTACAGCATCATCCGCCATCTCCGCCCTACACGCACCGCTACTCCCTTCACAACAAATGACAAATGGCACTGCCATGCAAAATAATTCCGTCCTGCGCGACCGGCAGAACTTCAACGGCGCTGTCATCCTCCAACTGCTGCCGATGAACTCGACTTTCGAACCGAAGCGCATCACCATCCCTTGCCATCCTGATGTCGTTCGAATAGGAAGACAGACCAACCAAAAGACGGTACCGACACCACACAACGGCTACTTCGACTCCAAAGTGTTATCACGTTCGCATGCCGAAGTCTATGCGGACCACAACGGGCGAATTTACATTCGCGACGTCAAATCGAGTAACGGTACCTTTGTCAACGGAATGCGTCTGAGTCAGGAAAACAAAGAATCCGAGCCGAGAGAACTCCGAGAGCATGATGTGCTAGAATTGGGCATCGACATCGTGTCTGAAGATCAAAAGACCGTCGTGCATCACAAGGTTGCTGCCAAGGTTGAACATGCGGGCATATATCAACCTGGGAGTGACTCGGTCAATTTCGGCGATTTGGACTCCGGGGCGGGCGCCCTTCCTCTGGGAGGCCCGCAGATGTTGAAACGCGCTGGGAGCCAAGGTTCCATCAATAACGGGCGTATGAATGGCGCTGCTGGACCTCCAGCTGGGATGGTGGTCATGCAACAGTCGCAATTACCGAAATGGCTGAGTCCCATCACTACGGAACACATTGCAAGGAAGATCACCACCGAACAGAAAATGATCGAGCAGCAGTCTGCAGATCTTCGAAGGGCGAGAGAGTTGATCGAAAAGATTCTTGGCGGCAAGGTGGACCCATCAGCCAAGGCCGTCAAGGGAGGTTCCGAGAAATCGAAATCATCTCCCTCCAAAGGACGGCTCGACGTGAGATCACATTTCTCGGAACCGCCCGTGCCGCCACCACAGGCACCACTCCCCGAGAAACCCGATGTGGCTCGAGCTCTGGCAGACCCGGTCATCCAGCCGCTATTGCGAAGGGCTGACACTGCGAAAACCTCACCGATCAACGGTTCGATGATCAGAAATGATCACTCCAGCGACATTATCCGCCTGTGCGAAGAGCTGAAACTGGCCAAGGGCGAACTCACAACCCAGAGCAAGCGCATGAAGAATCTCGAATCCGAGCTTGCTCAAGAGCGAACCGCCCGGGAAAGTGCCGAGGAGCGCGCCGAACGACTCGAAAGGGCGGATCGTCGCGACTCACCTACCAACAGCAGCCATCCCGAAAACCAAAACGAGACCGCCTCCTCCGCCAGCAGCACGTCCTACGACGAAGCGGTCGCCCTGCGTGGGGAACTCGAGCGCGTGCAAGCCACCGTCGACGAGATGAAGTCGCAGATGGAAGCCTACCGCCGTCGCGCCGAAGGCGCCGAACACGACCGCGATGAAGCCCGACAGTCGCTCGCCGAGCTCATCGAGCAAAAACGCCAGGAGAACGCCGAACTGGCGCATCTCTCCACCGGCTCACGTCCCTCGTCCTCGAGCTCCAACTCGGAGCACGCAGGTTCCATCCACCTCAACGGCCGCGCCTCCTCCTCCTCCTCGTCCTCCCCATCTTCCTCGCAGGGCAAATCCCGCGCCCTCTCCCTCGAGTCCTCGACCACCTACAGCGACGAGACCGCCGCGACATCCCTCTTCTCCTCGACGTCATCCCACCCGGCCACCGCCTCCGCCCTCCTCTCCCGCGCCGGCATCGACCACTCCGGCCAGCCCATCACCGCCGAGCAAGCCCGGCTCCTGGCGAAATTCCTCGCCCAGGAGTTCCTCCTGCAACACCCCGATGACGAGAAGGATGCTGCCGCGGCCCTCGCTCTCCTGACCGCCTCGACCGCTTCGGCGCGTCCCGAGGGTTCGCCCTCCGCTTTGGTGTATTATGGTGTCCCGTTTGGAAGTTTTGCCGCCGTCGTCCTCTTTGGCTGTGTCGCGATGGGCTGGGTCAATGGATGGGCCAAGGTCGAGCGATGAATGTGCTTTTTTTTCCGGGAGGCCAGCAGTCGAAGTTCGATCCCATCAGGGAATCTCGAATGGGGGTAATTCGAAAGGAAATGCGAAAAAACCTTCTTTCCTGAGAAACAGAGGATGCCGCCGTGTCTCGAGTTCAAGCATGGGAAAATCTCATGTCGGCACGCGGTCGCAGGTCGGCCGGAGGTGTGAGAACTTCCCCTAGCGTCCCTATCTGCATCGACGGTTTCGGCGCCTTGGATGGGAGCATGGGAAGTGACACTTGCCACACCCACAAGGAACAGCCCCTTTCCTCCCCTCGACAGCGCCGCTGGGACACCGCCTCACAAGACAAGACAAGACGTCGTCTCCGTGCCCTCCTCTTGAGTTTCTCGTCCTCTCACCTCTGGAAAGCTTTCCAAACGAGAGAACGCCCCCGACGTGAAAGAACCCGAAAGCGGCGCTTTTCCTCAACCGCAGGTGATCAAGAGGGTGGAATCCTTGGCCCGAACGGCCCGGGGCAGCTTTCCAAATCGCGTTGGAAAATGTACGATGCTCAGTCCACAATGAGAAATGCAATCATCTATCTACGCTTCACGCCTCACCCACCCACCGCACCGGAAGCAACGAACGAACGATTGGACAAACGAACGAACGGACGGGTGAAAAAACTTCAGGAGGTGGACGCTGCTGCCGCCAATCCGGAAGACCTTCTCCCACGACGACGATGCCGCTCGCATATTCCTCCACTGGTCCCAAATTCGGACCACGGAAGCACCATGAGGCTGGCTTGCTTCTTCCGCGTCGCTACCGTCGCCCCCAGGGGCAAGAAATGGCCCCGATGTTCACTCGTGCGAAATCGTGCCTGCGGGAATAAGCCCTCTCCGTGCTGGGCTGGGCGGGCCTTGCATCATTCTCTTGAAGGGAACACATGATTCCTTTTCCATTCCTCTCCTCCCGCGTTCTTCCCTCTTTTCACTTTTCCTCTTCCTTCTTTCTCTTTTCTAGCGAGGAGAAGTCTCCTCGACCCTTGGCCTTCTTTCTCTTTCTCCTTCTCCATCTTCCTCCTTTTCTTTTCTTCTTCTTCTTCTTCTCCTTCAATGGTCGGTCAGTCCAGTCATATAATCCGAGGCGCACGCGAGCATCAACGTTCAAATGGGAGAGAGGGAACGCGAGGTGGTTCGCTCACGGCGCTTTCTATTCCAAGGCGAAATTCGCCTTCTGGTTTTGGTTTTTTTTTGGTTTGTTTTTTTGTTTCGGGAGGGGGGCGTATATATTCCTGTTTCAACTATGGTGAACTTTCGCTTTCGCTTACGGTCACGTTTTTCCTTTTCTCTTTTTTTCCTTTCTTTCTTGCCTTTTGAGCTATGATACTGTATCGGTGTGGAGAATATATCGTGTGGGAGAAAACATCTTTACCTCATCATCATCATTAACATCATCACAATTTTGAAGACGAGTTGCCTTTCACCCTTCCCACTGGCACGTATACGATCCGTGTTCATGAGCATCATCCTCGACCGCCACCATTACCCATCATCGTCCACGTCCATCGAGATGGAAGAAATCACCACAAGCCTCGTCGTGCCCGCGCTGATAGCATTCCATGATGACGACGATCATGACCATGATACGACACGAGACTATTTCGCGCCCCGCTAATCTTTCTCATTCTCCTTCTCCTCTCGGAAAAGGATAGCAGAGACGATTCACACATACATGCAGGCAGGCAGGCAGGCAAGCATACATGCAAGCAAGCCCTGCAAAGCACGCCTCTCCCACCGAGCCATGAACCCTTTTTCCAGAGAATCTTTCGTCTCTACAGGAAGGATCGCCCCTAGCTCGTTTCTTTTCCAGTATCACAGGACGTGATTGTGGGTGGTGCAAAAGAAAGCAGCAGACCACTTTCCTGATTCGGGAATTTCGCGCAACTTCACGCCGTGTGCGGCGGTGGGAATATGCATGTCCGCAACACACGCACTACGACTACCGGGCGACATGTATTTTCCGGTCTACTGCGGCGGGAGGGAAAGGCCTGATGACGATGGGGACGGGGGGCCCTGGACCCGTTCGTTCGTTCGCTTACTTTCATATGTAAGCATGGCGTTCGGCATCACGGTGTACAAGTGTGGAGAGTGACAGAAGGACATTGCAGGTAGGACATTGCAGATTGGGGAAACTGCGCATCGGGGCCCTATGTCGTCTCACGATCTCGTTCGAGATGCACACACACACGCGCGCGCCAATCGAAGAGGATCTCTCGGGGTGGGAAACTTCTTCCGGATTGATGTCGTGATATATATACATATGTACATATATACATATAAGCTTGAGGTTCACTCGGATCGTTGCATGTGGTCAGCGTATCCCGAAAAGAAGGTTTCGCTTCTTTTTCTCCCTCTCACGCAGATCACGAGAGAGGCCCTAAAGCACCGCCACGCTGCTCGGAAGAATCACGCACAATGCTGACAATGACATGCAGAAATTCAAATAGAGGCTCGGTCGATATTTGAAATCCGTGTTGTCTCGCCCTCTCCCCCCTCCTCTTCTCCCTCTCCACGTGGGCATCCACGAATGATGTCTCTCTCCTCGGGCAGATGGGTCTAGTGTGGTCGGCCCTAGAATCCTTCCGAGTGCTAAGCCCTAGAAGCCCTAGAAGCATGGATACCATGTGCCGCCATTCATCATCTATATCAGCATGAGACGGGATGAGACGAGATGATTCATCACAACCTCACGATTATCATGCATCATATATGATCAACGGCCGAAGAAGCGAGGAGAGACACACACACGGCCAAACGCTCTGTTCTGCCCTCTCGTTCTCTCTCTGTCAGCACAGTGGACGTCCACACGCCGCATCGTAGTCCTGTTGGCGAAAGAAACATGCGGATGTAGGCACGAATGCCACAATGCGCCATATCCTCCCTGTCCTGCCTCTTCCCCCCAACCACAAGATTCTGCCGAATCCCGTCTGTCCATGGCGTATGAAGTTTCCACTCCCGACTGGGTCGCGGACGGGATGAACGTTGTTATCAGCATGTCATCGACATCCCTCCATTCGTCACCAACATTCTCCACAGTCCTTCGCTCTCTCTCTCTCCCTCTCTCGCTGTCATCAACACCCACGGAATCGACCGCTGGAGTGCAGGGCAGAACCTCAATCATCGTGGAATCCATTCCGCCCTGGCGGCCATGCGTCCACTATCCCAGAGAAACTAGTCCATTGAACTCCGGCTTCTCTTACCCTCCCGTCTCGGTAGCGTTTTCCTTTTCTCGCAGTTTATCGTTTCGGTCTCCCAAGACTCCAACGGCCCGATAGGGTGATTGCTCGGTGGTCGCTAATCATGAGCGCGGAAAGGCGTGTGGGGCACACATCCATCATCATTGGAAAACCTCTCGCAAAATCGGTCTCCATCCGTGCCCTCTGCGCCACGAATCGATCCTCCTCCCCTCACCGCCGCTAAAACAGCCCTGAGATCTCACTTTGGCTTGCTCGCACTTTTCACTATTCCCACCTGCCTCCGAATCAGACATGCCGGTCATCATCAGGTGATACTAAATGGATGATGCGGTGGCATTTCTGTTCCTCATCGACGAGGCCCCCTAGAGATCGGGGGGACACTCTTGACGATACGACGCGGAGGAGAGCGCAGTCAGCCCTTGAAAGCGGCGAGAGAGTGGCGTCTTTCTCTCACTCTCTCTCACATGATCGTTATCCTCCCTTGGCATTTTCGATCAAGTCCCGGTGCGCAGAGAGCACGTCGTTATTACAGATTTAGGGCAAAGGTCTGCGATGCGTTATCGCGGCGAAAAAGGCGTTTGTGGAGTTCCACGGCTGGCTCGCTCGAGTTTGTATGTGTCTAGGTGTAGGCGGGTCTGCACGTCGGAATCCTCGCAGCCGTTAGACGTTTTAGGGCAACGACCACCTCTATCATTTGTGATCCTCCTGTTGGTTGGTTGGTTGGCTGGGACTTCCATCCCTCCCTCTCTCGTTCTGTTCGCGATGCCTGTCATCGGTTCAATGTCTCGTCGTGAACTGGCTTCCCTCGGTTGGTCGAGTTACCGCTTTCTCTCTCTCTCTCTTCCTACAAGCAGCGTGACTTGTTTGGCTCGGCTCCGGAAAGGTCCAGGGCTAGGTCCATCGGAGGAGAAGCATGTCAACAAAGTCTAATCTAGGTGGTCTCCTCATCCACCTCTTCCCGCGAGCGAGCGGTAGGTGCGTGCGTTGATGCCCTATCGTATGTATGCACAGGTTTGTCTATCATGTCTTCTGGAGCGTGTGTCGTCAGCAGAACATATATGACTTCGGAGGGGTCTGCTCCCGTTGGGTGTCTCTGTTCGCTGGTGTTGGGTCCGTCTCGAAATTTAGTCGACCGTGTCTCGTTTGCATTTATCTTTTTGGGACAAAACATCCGACCAAGGAACAAGGGCAGTTGCAACAACAATAACGCCCACTTGTCGATCTCTCCTGGTCGTGCCTCCGACTCTCGCAAGCAAAGACTGAAAAGGCAATCACGAGTACAGTACAATATACATGACACCGCCGATCCAAGTCCCCTGTGCCGAGCCATTGCACCCCGTCCCTCTCTGACGATCAATCCCGATAACTACTACATCCATCGAAACAACCAGACCAGGACCAGATACACCCAATGGCGACGTCCCTCGAGATTCTGCTCAACCCTTGGCCCACCCAATCAGCCCTCCACAAGCAGCAGCAACAACAACAACAACCGTCGCCCTCCTCCTCATTATCCTCACAGCATTCTTCTTCGTTAAAGCAACACCTCCTCCTCTACTACCACTACCAAAACCAGCTCCATCTCCAACTCTCCCCTACAGACAGATACCGCCCTCCCCCAGGGACCACCGCCCACGATCTCGAACGCCGATCCATCGCCCTGGGAGAATTTCTCTTTCGGAGACGATGGCGACATCCCGATGTAGCCGGCTTTGAAGATCTCATCATCCCTTCTTCTGCTTCCTGTTCCGGGAGATCACCGTCTCCCGACGACCACGAAAACGACGACGATGATGAGGATGAGGATGAGGATGAGGACGACAACGATGACGATTACCACATGAACCACGATGGCTCTGATGATGATGACGATGATGACGACGACGATAACGATAACGACCCTCCCTCCTCCTCCTTCTACTACAAAACTCTCACCGCAAGCGTCAACCTCGACGAAACAAATTCCCTGGCAAGCGTCTGGTTACTCTCGCGAACCGCCTCATCATCATCATCCTCCTCCTCCATCACCGGCGCCGGGAATCAACATCATCACCATCATGAGGAGATCGTCACGGTATTACATTGGTGGCGGAGAAAAGGGGTCTGGGAATGTTTTCGGCAGAGTGGGATGGGGGTCGTCGGCGGTGAGGGGGGAGCAGGTTCGTGAAAAACGATGAAGACCTGGCTCTTTTTCGGTCTGCTTTCTTCTTGACTTCCCTTCTTTCGGAGGAGGAGGGGGAGGGGAGTTCTTTTCTTTCTGCCCTTTTCGGTCTCCTTCCTCTGTTTCTCTATACCGCATGTTTTCTGGCAATCGCAAGCGAGGCGGAGCGACCTGTTCTTGGATTTCCCTTTAGATTTCCATGATCCGTTTCTGGAAAGGGAGGGAAACCCCAGAATGGGGTTCTTTACTCTGTTCATTATTTTTTTGAATCTTCAGGGGAGGAGGCAAGGGCGCCCGGAGTAGCTGGAAGGGAGCGAGAGGAATGAACAGGCCTGATCAACAAGCTTGATGAATAGCAATGGCAATGATGATGATGATGATGATGATGATGATGATGGTGATAGGCCATTTCCCCTTTTCCAACACAAGAAATGAGAAGGAAAGGGAGAATCCCAACTCCCCTCCCTGCTGCTGCTGCTGCTTTTATTGGTACGTACGCTGATGAAGGAGGACCTCTTTGAAATCACATGGAAGAAGGCGCTTCTCCATTCAAAATCCTTTTCACTTTCAGAAACCAGAACTCTCGGTCTCTCAAAAGGAATGACATTGTAGTGTTTCCCGACACATGTACTCGGATTTACACGAGTCTGTTTCAGCCTCGTGCTGCCATGAAAAGGAAGCACTTCTCTAAACGAGGAGGAGGGTAATAGCGATTTCTCGACGGATTCACCAAGGGATCTCGAACATAAATTCGATAATGAAATTTATCGAAGAACGACAGGGCAAGTTTCACCAGCAACACTAAAGTAGCCTCCCTTCCTTCGCTCGGTGCCAGTCAGTCAGTCGGCATGCGTTCCTTCTGATCAGAGAGGGAGAATGATGGTGGCCTCCTTTTTTTCTGATCAAATTATTTCTTTCGGGCGAATTTAGGAAACTCATTTTCACGATCAGGACATGTAAATAACAACTGGGTCATCGTCATTTTTCTTTTAATTCTCAAATCTCCTACTCTCTCTCTTACATTCTGCCTGTCCCACCCGTCGACCTCGTAAGGCTCAAATAGTTTCCGAAAACGACATCATCTGTCATCATCATCATCATCATCAAACAAAGGGCGAACGACGGCAACTCGGGAGCGTGTCGCGATTGCACGGAGAAGAAATAGCGTCCTGTCCCGCGCGCGAAAGAAACCTCCCTCTCAGCGATGGGAGGAGACCAAAGCGAGGAGACTTTCTAATTCTCCGGCCATCGTGCAATGTTTTGTTTATTTTTCCTTCACCTCGGCGGGAATTTGGCTCCGGGGTACCAACCCGCTGTCCTCTTTTCTCCAGCAGTAAAAGAGGGAATGTCCAGCTTCAGTCTCCCCTACTCCGCATTCAGCATTTCTCTCTCCACAAGCTCTTTCCCTCCCCGACTCCTACGTCGTCACCTTCCCCCTCCTTCCTCCAAGCGAGAGGATCCCCCGAGTTTTTCTTCTCAAGCGACGATCGTCTTGAACCAATCGCCCGCGCGCTTGGCCGCGACCTGGGCGGTCTTCTCGAAGCCGATGATGGCGCCGACGAGGATGGTGTCGTGGACGGCGTTCTCCTCGATCTGGAGGGTGACGTTGTTGCCCTTGACGGCCTTGAACTCCTCGTAGAGCTCGACGTCGTCGTGGAAGAGGACCTCGTTCTCGCCGGTGGAGATGTACAGCGGGACCTCGGTCGCGAAGGGTTTGCCGACCGACGAGATGTAGCCGTCGTCGATCTTGAGCCCCGTCTCCGGCTTGGGCGCGTACGCCTTCGCGCCCCAGCTGCCGAACGCCGCCGTGATGTAGTCGGTGTTGACGTGCGGGCTGTTGTCGAAGGCCTCGCTCGTGATCGACTTGGACGGGTTGCACCAGGGCGACCACAGCCAGGCGGCGGCGGGCTTCTCGAGGCCAATGGACTTGCCGTGCTCGGTGAGGTAGCGCACGAGGGAGAGGACGAGGTTGCCGCCGGCGGAGTCGCCGGAGAGGATGATCTTGTTGGCCGGGATGCCCTGGGTGTCGATCAGGTAGGCGTAGGAGGTGATGGCGTCCTGGAGCGCGGCGGGGAAGTGGCAGTTGGGGTTGCAGGAGAGGCGGTACTGCGGCGCGTACACGTGGCTGACGGGCGTGTGGGCGAGCAGGGTCTTGGCGGCGAAGCCGGCGTCGGCGGTGCGGCCGTCGCCGATGACGAAGGCGCCGCCGTGGAAGTGGAGGACGACGTATCCCGGGCGGGTGTTGGTGGTGGGTGCGGCGGGGTACCAGGTGCCGCCCATGGACTCGGGGACGATCTTGGGGTCGGCTTTGGCGATGGCGACGAAGTATTTGGGGTTCGCCTCGGGCGAGACGGCCCATCGCAGCTTCTCGGAACCGGGGGCGAGGGGGACGGGGGTCTTCATCTCAATGTAGGCGGCGGTCGCGAGGAAGTTCTTGACGACCTGGACGCGCACGGCTTGCTTGAAGGACCATTTCGGGTTGGGGCGCAGGGACGGGAGGATGTAGGAGATCAACCAGACGGGCAGGCGGGCGGCATTGATGGCGACGGCGATGACGACGGCGACCGCCTTGAAGGGTTGGTAGTGTTGGATGGCCATGATTGGTGAAGTCGTGATCGGGTCCTTGCTTGTCAACAAGGGAAGAAGGAAAGAAAAGCAAAGGGAAGCAGAAGATGAAGCTCGTCGAATCGTCCCGCTGTAGTGAGGTCAATGGGGTCCGGAGCTAATCCACTGCCGATAAAAGCGTCTGCCTGGTGGTGGTGGTGGTGGTGTATACAAGTCACGGTCCGCGTGTCAGGGAGCGACGAGGGGCACGGCAGCTGTGATGTGCGTGCGATTGCGCTCCAATGGGCGGCGAGGGTGGAAATGAGCCTGGGAGTAATAGTAATTCAGCTGCGAAAGGCTCACGGTCTTCAGGGCGAACCGGCGGGGATTCGGGGCATTGGACCTCGGCACCGCTGCTTTGTTCGGCTTCCAAGGTTGTTTTGGCACACCGGACTGTACCGTCCTGTACAGCACCTGGCTGCACGTGATGAGACTTATATGAATTCACAGAATGATCACTTCCATGACCATTAGACGAAGGCGATGCACAATGTTAATGTGCAAGAGAATAACTGAGAAAGAAAGATTAATGCAGGTAGCTACGTGATTTCGGCGCATTTTCTCGACGTAAAGCGCCTCGCCTGGGCAATGATATACATCCCTCGGTGGACTACAGTAGTCATCATGACCCATAACCACGACCACTTCGAAGAGCGCCGAGTGTTCGCCCGTCATCTGCCCAAGACCATCCTCTAGGAAAACGTAAAACGAAGAGTTGAATGAAAGCTCCCGCATAGATTCCTATACTGATATAAAATGTCAGGGCGATGGGATGGTCGTCACGCCGCTGGAGTACGACGCTGACGGCACATTGCAGTATAAAAATTTCGTCTATCGCATCGATACTCCAAGCCCGGTGAAGGGAGGATCAACTATCTGATAGGGAGACAGGTTCGGAAATCATGTCGTCCTGTCCCGGTGGGGACTCGACTCGACACTCCGTTCTACGTATTGCCAATGATCTGGTGGAGATAGGGAATGCGTGTCTCGAATCGTACCGAGAATGAAGTCGTGGTGTTAAGCCTCGCGCCCGCGGCCGTCAGGGAGACTCGTCGTGCGTTGATTGTCCCCGAGGTTCTATGATTTGGCACACTGTAGCTACTGGATCGCCGTTAGGGTGGATTCTGCAGCAGCTTATGACTGTGATCACCTTGGAGAAATATCTTGAGATGGAACCTCCCGACGGTGCGGCCATGGATAAGAATCTTCACGCAGGTAGCAGAGATCGTGTCCGCTATGCAGCGCTATGATCTTCCTGGTGGTATGACAGGATACGGTGGTGTCACTTTTGATGGCCAGGAGGAAGTCATCAGCGACCAAACACCGAACGTCAGCGAGGGTCTATAGTCGACATATGAGGAGTCACTTGTAGCTCGAATCCGCAGTCAAGCTCCGAGAGACCGACGAGAATAAATATATTCCAGGTTGGCGAGGAAGCAGCATACGGGAGAGAAGTTGAGAGTGAAGGTTCGATTTGGCATCGCCAGCTTTGGTTACAGGCACTGCTTCAAAAATGTGCAGTAGAATTGTGCCGACGATGGAAGGATGTTTGGGAGCCTCCAGCTATCTAGAACTCGTCTGGTCGTCGAGGAAAGCCCGCCAGGGTTGATGTATAATGCAGCATGCGCATGGGAGTTTTTAAGCTTTTTCCTGCATACTCCGCAGTTCATGGATAACACGAAGCTGCGAGTGGTAGATACTGCCACGAATTGAGTTGATCGATAATGCCCGTATTGGGGTCGTTAAATAATCAGAACAGTGAAGCAGCAGCAAGAAATCGACCAACAATGCAAAATGAAGTCGGAGGAGGCTGATAATCGCCGCGCAAACATATCCGCCAATGAGCGGTCTCGCGTGGCGACGGGGCTATTTTTAACATTACCGCGCGTCTCGCATTCGTTCCAGAGATTCCACCTCCACTCCCACCAAATCAATTCCCTGGACAATTCCCTGGACGAGTTCCCAGGACGGACCCGGACCCGGATCCGCTCGTATTCACCGATGATCTGACAACCAGCGCCGTTACCTCTCATCGTCTGAGCCACGGCGGGAAACGAATGGCTGTGTCGTCAGCATTTCTTCTAGGCGCCAGCAAATTCCCCAGCTCGTTTCGTTCCTGCGCCTCAATGGGACACGCCGCCCGCCACGTGAGCGACTCAGGCATGCGGCATGGAATAGATCACACACAGCCGAAATGTTGGATGAGAAGCATACCCGCAAGCTAGACGGTAGGCTGTTCGTTCGTTTCCTTCTCGTCGCGTCACCGAGACCATGATCATCCTCCTCTTCCAGAAGTGACGTATCATCAACTCGTGCCTGCTTGTTGAAAACGCTGCCTACTTCTACTGTATTTCGCCGTCGATCGGACCGTCAATCAAAAACATCCATCAAATATATACCACTTTCGCCGATCAAATCTACTTTATCACACACAGAGAGAGACAAACGCAACACCGAGAAATAAAAGGCCAAACGACGTCCAGCCCACCACAACAACAATGGACGACAAACCGCTCCCGCAAAGACGACCCTGGAAGACATTCACCATCTCCAACCCGGCCAGCTTCGGCCCGGACAACCTCGAAATCCGGCTCGACGACCGCCCGCATCTCTGGTCCACCACCCGCAACGTCTTCATGAAAGAACCCTGCATCGAGATCGAACCCGCCGCCTCTTCGTCCGCCTCCTCCTCGCTCCACCCAGCAAGCCGCGCCCTCGTCGCCAGCGCCAAACTCATCCCGAAAAGCCACGGCTGCCGGATCCGCCTCGGAGGAGATGATGCGTCGAAATCGGAGAAACCGTCGGCGCAGTGGGAGCTAGTCGCGTGTGCGAACCCAGAGCAGGGGATCTACATGTTCAACATCAGCGGCAGCGCCGTCCTGTGGCGACGTCTCCCGCTAATAATGAGCAGCGACGAGGACGTCGAAGCGGGGCCGCACGACGCCGACTTCCACGGCGCAAACTCGGCCTCCTACGAGCTCATCGACGCAAGGTCCTCCACCGTCCTCGCCCGGTATACATCATCATCGTCGTCTTCGGCGCCCCTCGACAACAACAACGCCAATGAGATCCCCACCAAAGACCAAATCGCACAGTTGGATTTCCTCCTCGAAGTGGGCCCCGCCGCGGAACTTCTCGCATTGGCGTCGATCCTGGCGATCCAGCTTCGTCTCCGGAGGAATCGTCGCAAGAAGCGGAATCTCTCCATGTCTTCGATCGGCGGAGGCGGCAGCGGCAGGAACCGGAGGAAGGATTCGAATCTTTCTGTTTCTTCTTCTTCTCTGGGGGAGAATAACAGGGGCGAAGGGGCCGCGAGCAACAGTGAGATGGAAGATTGAAAAAAAGCGAATAAAGAGAAAAAGAAAAAGAAAAAGATCCAACGTTACGAGGATGGAATCCCCCATTTTCTGTTTTTCGGATTTCTTTTGGCGCTTTTTTAACCCTACAAGCTGGCGGCAACGACAAAGAGGGAGAGGCATTGGCACGACATCGACAGGAAGAAGAACGAAAAGAAAAGAAGAAAAGGGTCTTTTCTTCTCTATTCATGAATCTCCTCCTCCCTCTCCCACTGCCCCCGCGGCTGCTTGTACAACTCCCACGCCCGCTGCGCGATCGCCTCGGGGCTGGTATTCCTCTTCTCCGGCGCCACCACCCCTCCCACGCTGAGCAGCGCCACGTGGATTTCCTCTCCGTACTTGGCGTGCAGGGATAGGACCAAGGCGCGTTGGGCGCTCTTCACCATAGAGAGCGAGACGAGTTCCGGGACGGGTTCCTTGTAGAGTTGCGTGGTGGACGTCACGAAGAAGGAGGGAGAGGAATTCTCGTGGTTGTTGTTGTTGTTCGATTGTTGCAGTTTGGGAAGGGCCCATTTGAAGGTTTCGTAGAGCGCGAGGTTGGTCAGCTGGATGGGGAAAGAAGAGAAATGTTTTTGTCAGCTGAAAAAGAAATTCGGAGAGAAATTGTGACCCGATTGAATGGACGGTGGAATTTCGAGAGTTGTCGTCGTTCTCCTTCCGTTCGACTCCAGTGACGACGAACGTACACTCCTTTCCTCTCACGAAGAGAAACGAAAAGGTGAGGAAGAAGAAAAAATAAAATGGAGAGAAGGAGAGAGAGAGATTGCCAACCAAAAAAAAGAATAACTCACTCTAAAATCCCTCTCCATCTCCTCCGTGCCTTCCTCCAAAGGCGGCTTCCCGCCCACCCTCGCCGCATTGAACAGCACGCATTCCAAGCTGCCAAACGCTTCCACCTCACCTAAAACTTTCCGCAGAGCTTGGAAATCCGTCAGATCGCAGCTCCAGGTCTTCACCTGGCAGGTGTAGCCCCTCTCTTGGATGGCGGAGAGCACGCTGTCTTCGTCCTGGGAGAGCCGTTGCGCGTCGCGCGATATCAGCGCGACGTGGGTGAAGCCTCGGACCGCGAAGGCCGATGCGATGGACACGCCGATGCCCGGGCCCGAACCGAGGACCTATGTGGTGACGGAGGGGTTTATGTTTAGCGTTCGGTTGGTCCGGAGGGAGGTCTGGAGGGAGAAGCGGAGAAGGATTCTCGAGATGAAAGAGAGGCAGGAATGCCCTTTCTTTATTTTTTGTTTTTGCAAGGACAGACGTACCACGAGGGTTTTTCCAGGCATAATATCTCCCTTTTTCGGATGGCTCGGAGTTCTTGGTATTGATCTTCGGGTGATTGAGCGGACGCTTGAATTTCGTGGGTCAGACTCATTGATGTAGTAGCGTTTTTGAGTGGACTTGATCCGTGGGGGTTGTTTAGGAGGCAGTCTTTTGTTCACGCACCGAATAAATCTGAGATCGCGTTCGTCTTGTTCGAGATATTATTGTGGGAGAGTAGTCGTAGAGTGATGTTATGTAGTTTGCGTGAAGTGACCTCTTCTGTGATATACGTCATCATTATCGATAACAAGCTCGCCAGAAGAGCGAGTCTCTTAGGGTTATCCTCCAGAGTCTCGCTCCGGCATTTATATGACCATCGATCGATGATGATGTTACTGAATATGGCAACGACGTGTCGGCCTCCCACGAGAGCTGGTATTGTTGATCCGCGTGAAATCCTCTGTAACTCGTACATCTTCTACACGAAGGATGTCCTCATCCTCCATTCCTCGTGATGTCATTAGGTTTTACGTCGGCGGCAAGCCATGAGTGTGAGGAAAAGCTGGATGCGCAGAGAGTAAAACGAGTGCATTACTTCCGCGAACGACGGATATAAAACATTCACGAGAAACGTGCCAAACGCAGGAAAGAGTCGCCCCCATTGAGGTGTATTCTTCACAGAAAGATACAACTCGAGCTGTCGATAGGCTCCTACGGCAAGAGATCACGATGAAAGGATGTGCCAAACCGGTGATACGTTCATGCCATCTCGAAGAGTCAACGTCGAATATCATGCTCAACTCCTCCCGCGTATCCCCGAGAGCAGCGGCGCAGTGATAAGGCGGAGGCGAACGACCAGACCGTCTCGCCTTCTCGGATATCCTGACAGTCTCTGTGTCGAGAATGGCCAGGCGCAGGCGTGCGTCCCCTCAAAATGGTTCGCGAATCCTTGCCTTTTTCCTTTTCCGACTCTCTCTCGCTCTCGTCCCTGTAGCTACGGAATTTACCTCGGCGATTTGTCCGATCAAACGGCCAGGTTTGGAAAATGACTCGATGCCTTTTCGTGGAATGAACAAAAGCGGTGAGGACGACTGAAAGGAAAGACCGTGCCTCGAGAAAAAGCATCGTGGGGCAATTCGACCGACTCCCGTGGTTATCATCTCCCAAGGTAGCGCTTGTACGTGCATACATTCTGGTCCATAGCCTGTAAGAAAACAAGAACTACAGTGTGTTTGTGCCTCGCCGGCGCTTGTGTAACTTTATTTTCAGCACTGTTGGCGTCGCGCAAAGGAGACTAACTAGCAGATGGATGGAATGTATAGTGTGATATTGTGACATCGTGACATCGAGGAAGACGAGAAAGAGGAGGCGATTCTATTGTTGGCTTCTCGAGTACTCCAACATCGCACGGCGGCGCGTAAAAGAACATATCCTTCCCTTTTCTCACTCCATCTTCGTCACACGGAAGCGCCGTATCATATCGTTGGGAATGCGCGCGCACCGATTTCTCTCTCTCTCTCGCCCTCCTCTTGTCTCATCCATGCGCGCCCGTATACGCGGTACATCGTTCTGCGCGGTACATCATCATCATCATCATCATCATGCAGCAACAACAACTTGACCTGACCTGACCCGACCCGTAGGCGTATCCCTCTGCTCCTCCTGCATCTGTGCTCAGATCCGAGAAGACTATATCCAAGGCGAGCTCGCTGCGCCCGAGAGAGGGAGGTGTACGAGTATCTCGCTCGCTCACTCTCTCCGGAGGAGGAGAAGGAGGAGGAGGAGGAGGAGGAGGAGGAGGAGGACAAAGAGGTTAATCACTCGAGCACAGAATAGGAATATCAGGTAAGATGGCTCTTCATTAAGCAGTAACACCCAAGAAGAAAACCACAACTCACTCACTCTGGATCAGAGATCTGAAATTGTCCTGTTCCCGTCCTGTCTTCCCACCGCGCAGTGCGCACCTACAACCACCACCACCACCATCACCATCACCGATTTTTTTCCAAAAAGAAAGCCGACATTAGCGTGCGCGAGAACCGATTCTCACCAGTGCAGCATGCATGATGTTTAGCCGCGTTCGACAGACAGAGAGTGCCGTACCGAGAAGTTGCGGCTTGGATCTCTTCTCGCTCCTCGCTCCTCGCCAGGGCCACTCCATCAGCCATCAGTCGGTATATACGATACATGTGCAGTAGATGTACCATGCATATACGTTATAAACGCCTCTGCCGGCCAGTGATAGCAGGAAGAATAACCATATTACAACAAGAATGCCATGAATATGGTACCCGTGTAGTACAGTAACGGAAGAGCGGGGGGAACCGCGGACCGTGTCCTTGTATTTCTTGACCGGGCGCGTCGCATGGATGTGGGCGTGGGGGGTCGTCGATAGGGCTGGCGGGCAGGAGAAACGTCACTTCGTATCTAACACCACAGTCCAGTGATGGTCTCTTCTCGAGTTACACACGCACACATACACCCATACATACATATATATACATCTGTGTTTACCCTCCAGGTACCCGAGATACACAGTAAAGCGATGTCGGCCACCTCTGCTGTCTGCAAGTAAGTTGATCTTCGCCCTTCGCAGGGAGGGAGGGAGGGTGGGAGAGGAAATGCGCATTCGGAAATACCATATTACTCTGGTGGTGGTGATATCGGTTCGTGGTCATAACCGTGTGTCTTCGTGAGTGTTCACCTCGCATTTCCCTCTCCCTGCCCTTGCTTTGTGCGAGTGTGACGACGGCGGCGACGACGAAAGCACCGTGATACGTGATGTGACGCGGATGATCACGAGCGATCGATAATGATAGAGGAGACTGGCATCTTCCCAGGATACAACCTCGCGGGGAGATGATGTGAGGCCTACCTAGCTCAATCGCGGCGCCACTCTTTTCCCTCCCCCTCCTCCATGGACTGCGTACCTATAATAAAGACCTTGTACCTGGAAGAAGATACGGCCAGGTTTCTCCCGCCGACGGAATCTCGGAGGAAACTGTGACGTGACGTGACACAAAGTATCCCGCTGTGACACACCCCCACCAGGTAGAAGGCCGAAGAAGGGCGAAGGGAGAGGAGCAGCAGCAGCAGCAGCGGACGAGGAAAGAAAATCCCAGGTTTCTGATTTTTGGGTTTGACTTTTTTCGCGCCCGGGTAGCACACCACCGACCGTCTCTTGTCGGCTTTCTTTCTTCCTGTCGCACAGATGCCGGCGCGAAAACGACCAAATGAAGAAAAGAACAGGAAAGACAAGAACAGAGAAGAGAAGAAAAGGAAGACGGCTCCTCGTTCCCCAATAGAATATCGATCTAACAATTAAAACACAAAGAGGGAAGCCAAAAAACAGATAATACATGCTGCACTCGAAAACCCCAACGCCTCATCTCGCTAGACCCATGCTCCCCAAAAGAAGAATAATACTAATCCCTGCAGAGCGGATACGTAAACGCCGCTCATCTCCCTTTCCCTCCCATCTCCATCTCATCTCATCCGGCATTCCTGGACACGTGCACCACGTCAGAAATTTTTTATCTCGCGCTTCCTTCCTTCCCCATGCATGTCTCCTTTCTTTCTAGTCGACTACAAACCCACGAAGAACAGCGACGGGTGGGGCTGCCACCATACATCCTCGTCGTTGACGTACTCCTCGAGGAGGAGGTTGAAGGGATCTTCCGCTTCCTTCTCCGCTGCGGTCGTTAATGCTGTTGATTTTGATGTTGATGTTGATGTCGTTGTGTATGATTCGTCGTAGGGAGGTGCGGCGATGATGTTGTCGGGGATAGACCTGCTGCCGCTGAGTGGCTGTTGTTGTTGTTGCTCGCGGATCACGGGCCGGAGTTCGCGCTGTTTGCTTAAGCTGCGCCATGTCTTTGGCGGCAGTATCGTTGTTGATGCTGTTGTTGTGCTGGGAATTTGAGAGGCCGGCGCGAGTAAGTGCGACATCGCCCATGAGGCGTGGTGTCCTTCGATGGGGTCCTTGCGACGTGGGATATCTTCGACGTCAGATTCGCTTTCGAATCTTTCGCGCTTGATTTTACGCGGTGGTGGGGAGCTTGAAGTTTCGCGTTCGCGCTCGCGTTTAAGCGTTCGAGTGATGCGGGAGCTAGAAGGTTGTGGGCTTGAGATGCGCGCACGTTTCGTCGGGCGAAGTCTTGATTTCGATTCTGATTCGAGTCGTGACGACGATGAGGAGAATTGTTCCTTCTTGCGGCGTTTCTCGAGGTGGGCTTTGACGCCGACGACGTCCCCTTTCCAGCCGAAGCCTTTGAGATGGGCATGCAGAGCGTGATTGCTACCCTTTTCGAGTTCTTCCAGTTTGGCGTGGATTTCCTCGACCGAACGGAGAGGATGTTGAAGGCGGATGAGTTGGGCACAGACTTCGCTGTATGAATCGCCCGCCATGCGGCAGTGAAGACAGTCTTGTTCTTCTTCGTCACTCCATGGGAGGAGTGACGGCGTCGCTGGTGGTGGAGTTGATGGGATGGTTGATGAGCTTGGCAGTACCAGTTCGTCGCTTGCAAGACGAGATTTCAGATCCATGCTGGTGAGATATGCAGTGGTACGTGGGTGCGTAATGGGGTTAGGGAATTTGTCAAAACTGGAAGGAGGAGTTCACGGTGCGATTGGATCTGGGTTCAATGGACCTTCCGTCGGAGAGAGAGGAGATTTTGCTCTTGATAAAGGAGTCGATGGAGAACCACATTCCAGTCACAATGGACGGCTCAACCGCTGCTTGTGTCTGGTGTGGTTGCGCTACCTCTCTATACAGCCGGGTACATGGCTCTGACTGGTGAGGATGAATTTAGAAAACAAGCTCCTGCCTGTGCGTCAAGCGATGAGACGGCGGAGTGCGCGCCGAAACGTGCTTCCATAGCCGCTTCCCGCCTCATGTGACGAGTGAAGCGGATTGGGGTCCTCGCACAAGGTGGTGGTCTTGTGTGCCTCGAGGTAAGATGCTCAATCGATGGATTTGGCGCGAGAATGCTGACGGGGTGGAGATTCGGTCAAATTGCCCTGTCATATGCGTGTAACAGTGGGTCGTACCAACATGTATTCTTCCCACGACGTGTTGGTTAATCGTCATGTGTCAGCTGGAGGCAAGAACAAGAATGCAACATATTTTCAAAGTAACCACTGGCGGTAATCCGAGTAATTGGATGAAGAAGTCTTCGTGATGTGAAGTGAAATTGTGTTCTTGCACGATATGGGCCGCTCATCGTGGTGGGTTGAGGTCCATACCAGGCTCGAGAAGTGGATTCAAATGCAGCATCAGACGGTATGTGCTCAGTCTTGGGCTCTTCTCCATTGCAGCGGCGCAGGGGATTTGATTTGGTCCTCGTTGTCAGACATGGTGAAGATGTAGGTTCCTAGTGGTGTCTGATGAGCAAGTGTATATAGGATCTACTTCGCTTGGTCTGCCGACGCAGCAGCGCTTAGTCATGCATACAATCAAGTTGGAAGCAGCCTACTTCCATGTCGTTACCCACACACTCGCGAATCCACGTAAGGCCACTGTACAAAAACCCAAGCATGTTGAGGAAGAAGAGAAAAAGAACGAGCAACACTTGCCGTCCAATATCGATTACTCATCTTGTCTGCTTCACGAACGATTGAGTAAAGAGCACGTGATCGGTAAGGAGTCTCGACAGTTCTCCGAGACAGACAGAGGAATATGCCAGTATTAGTATCAAAGGGAGATACTGTACACTGTCCGGAAACGCCTGATGCACCTTCAGTCAACGCTGCAGTCCTCCTCCCAGACGAGATCAAAGTCACATGTCACCGCCATTGAGCGGCTCATACAAGTGTAGAAGGGCATGAATGCCCAGGAAAGTGTGGATTTTGCATGACTGGCTGCTTCACTTGGTCAGTCTCGCCCAGTCCCCGTCACTGTGCAATCATACAAGCAAAGCAAAACCTTTTGGCGGGCGATGGCAGCAAGTCACATGCTCGCACCCACGACGGCCACTTTGAATTGAAAATCCCGATCCCTTCCAAGGCTCGTCACTTGTTTGTCTTCGTTCTCATCACCTTTGTCAAGCTTCATCTCTCAACTACAACAACACATTCGACGATCCCAACACCAACGCTTCATCACATTCTTGGCCGATCGCCATCTCAACAACCCCACCGTCGACTTCAACTACTCACGACGTTCCGGTTTTTCACAGACTTGCATCGTCACGTCACTTCACGTCACTCACCTCCAAGTGCAAGTCACTCACCGTCAAGCACAAGTCACCCGCCTCCAAGCACCAGTCACTCACCTTCTCACAGATTCATTCCAATCACCACAGCTGTGAATCAATCCAACGACATGAATCATGGCAAGTCCAATCACGAGTCCGATTCGGATCAATTGAATGGTAGCTCTGGTCAGCACGCTGGCTGGTCCGCATTCATCGCAGAACACGTCGAAGAAGGCGCTGCTCGCAACCCAGACTGGCTTGGCAACGCCCAAGTCTATGAGTGGTCTGACGAGTACGGAAATGTTGCTCCTCGCCATCCGGGTCTTGAAGAAGAGCTCTTTGGTGACATGAAGCCGGAAGGCGAATACCGTGGTGTGCTCGATATCGAGGTGCGAGTCGAAGGCCCAGAACGTCTACAACCGATTCGGAAGGTGGGTACAATACCTCAATCTCGTTGTGAGCGACACTTCCTCTGACACAGCTTTGACAGTTCGAAGATGCGGGCCTCCACCCAGTCCTTCTGGAGAACATTGCTCTGTGCAGATACGGTAGCCCGATGCCAATTCAGTCCTACATCATCCCCGCCGTGCTTACCGGCCATGATGTGGTCGGAATCTCTCAAACCGGTATGAATAACGTGTTGAGACTTGTGTACCGTGTCACTGACGAGGCTACAGGGAGCGGAAAGACGGCTGCCTACCTTGTCCCGGCAATCTCGAAACTGGCTGGAAAGGTTGAGCTGATGGCATGTTCACGACGCAAGGGACGCGCGGAGCCTTTGATCGTGATCATGGTGCCAACACGCGAATTGGCGCTGCAAATCTTCAATGATGCTCGTCGACTCTGCTATCGCACAATGATGCGTCCTTGCGTGGCATATGGCGGTCGAGACGACACTGCCAACAGTATCAAAGAGATAAGCAAAGGCTGTGATATTCTCATCGGCACGCCTGGGAAACTGAAAGACCTCATGGAAAAACCCGACGTGCTGACCATGTCTCGCGTGAAGTAAGCAGCTACACTGCTCGACGTGGAAGGGTACTGACCAATTGTGCTGCAGGTATACAGTCATTGATGAAGCTGACGAACTGCTGAGCCCGGACTGGGATAGCGAGTTCTCGATGCTGATGGTCGGAGGAGGTGAGTATTCAGCAATACTAGGAATGCATCTTATGTCTGACCGTGTTCAGATACAAATGAGGATGCGGATCACGTATTCATGATGTTCTCTGCCACTTTCCCAAAGGAGGCTCGTTCTCTGGCACGTCAGTACATGGCTGAAGACCATTACCGCATTCGTGTCGGTCGCCCAGGTCAATCCCACATGAACATCCGGCAAGACATTATCGAGGTCGATCACTTTCGCAAGAACGAAGCAGTCTACGACCTCCTCGAGTCCGTGGAACGGACCCGAACGTTGATATTCTGCAACTCCAAAGCTACGGTGGATCTGCTTGACGACTACCTGTATAACAGAGGACTGCCTGTCACTTCCATCCATGGAGAACGAAACCAGCGAGAGCGCGAGGATGCATAGTGAGTTTGCGAGATGATGTTCGGCAAAGACTGCATGACTGACCGCAACAGCACCGCATTCAGAACGGGCAGGTGCCCAATTCTCATCGCGACGGGACTTTCGTCTCGAGGCTGGGACGTGTCTAACATCGGTCACGTCATCAATCGTGATCTCCCAGACACCCAGTACGGTGGAATCACAGAGTACGTACATCGGATTGGTCGCACCGGTCGCATGGGTCACACAGGTCTCGCCACATCCTTCTTCGGCGACCGTGATGAAGGTCTCGCCCAGGACCTGGTGAACTGCCTGGTGGAGTGCAATTGCCCGGTTCCAGAATTCCTGTCCCACCTCACGCCTCAGGAAGGACAGATTGACTTTGGTGACAACAGCGACGATGAAGCGGACGAAGATCATCCCAGTGGCGATGACAATGGCAACGCTGATGGGGATGTTGACGAAGCTGCCGACGAGCTTGCCCGTTCTCGACTTTGAGAGCCGGACCTCGTCGCCGCTTAGAGCTTGGTAGGAGTTCATTGCGATTCGGACATCCTCGAGATGCCATTCTGCTTTCGGCGGACGCGAGAATTTGGTTGTTCGGGTGATGTGGTCCGCCGGCTGACGCAGAAAGGCTCATCATTAAGATTGATCTGTTGCTTATGAAAGCGTGACGATCGATGCTCAGTCTCATCACTCACGGACGGAAGCAAAAGCGACCGAACGAAAGTTTTGTTTTGTGTTGTATGGTTCGGAATGTCAACTTGATGAGTAGTGATTAAATTTCAAAGATCTTCACTGTACCGACAAGTGCGTGCCAATGGAGGTGAGACTTCACGATTAGAGATCCCCGCGAGGGATAGTGGTGACTGTCATGCGCAGCAACAACATGACGATCTGGCGGGCTCTTCATCAATCGTCTCCATCCGCATCAGCCTTCCTCCTCCGTCCACCCGTTCCCTTCTTATCCCTCTTCTCCCGGATGCCCTTGACCTTCCCTTTCCGCACCTGCCCCTTCCTTCCACCCTCATCCTCAAACCCCACCTCGAAATCCTTCCTTGAAGAAGACGAGGCAGAAGAAGAAGCCGCCCACTGCGCCACCAACTCATCCGCCGCATCGAACTCCGCCCCGTCATCCCCACCCACCGCACCATCTCCCCGCACCACCACCTCGCCCGCGTTCGAAAACCGGCCCTCATCGCCGAAAGCCCCCTCCTCCTGCTCGTGCCCCTCCGCCACCGCCTGATGATCCCTCTTCCTGGCCCCCTTGCCACCAGCCATCTGGCCCTTCACGGGCTTGAGGTAGCGGACGATCCTGGACTTGGCGCCCAGGGCCCACAGGTCGCCCCAGGAGCTCTTGCGCGCGTCGCGGAAGGCCCGGCGCGAGAAGCTCCGCGGCACGGTCCAGCGCTCCAGCGTGCCGGCGGGCGTACACACGTCCAGGATCACGTGTCCCGTGCGCTTGAGCGGCGGGAAGACGGTCCGCGGCAGCGAGAGCGAGTGCGCCTGTGGGGGGGACTGTGGCGAGGCGCCGTTCTCGAAGCCGGCGAAGGCCCGGTCGGTGCTGGCTTGGTTCTGGTGGAGGGGTGGGGGAGTGGTGGCGGTGTCGTTGTTGTTGCTGGCGAGTAGGGACGAGGAGGGAGAGGCGGCGCGGAGGTCGCGGCCGCGCATCACGCTGAGGTAGGAGAATTGCACGTCCTCGTGGTTCTTGCCGCTGCCGCCCTTGAGGTTGGCGGTGAAGACCTTCTGGAGGTATTCCGGGCGGTGGTAGCGCTGGGCGAATTTGCAGATCGTGTTGCGGCCGCGGACTCGGCCCTTCTGCACGTACAGGGGGCAGCCGACGTGGTTCGTGCAGGGCGCGACGATCATGCCGGTTTCCTTGCGCCCTTCGCTGTCCGGCGGGGCGTCGATGCGCTCGTGGTGCTCCGGCTTCCTCTCGGCGTCTTCGGGTGGAGGTGAGAGGATCCGGTGTTCGAGGAGCATGTCGCGAGCGCCCGCGACGGCCTCGAAACCCTGCGCCACGCCCTTCTCCAACAGGATCAGCACGCCGCCGTCATCCTTGAGCAGGCTCCATAGGTTGAGGACGTGGTTCTTGCGAGCGTAGTCTTCGCGGATCTGCCAGAGCGTGTAGGGCGCGATGACGATGTCGAACTTGCCCTTGGGGTTGGGGTCGGTGGCATGGATATAGTCCGGCAGCCGCGGGATGAAGGTGGTGTTCTCCAGGATCGAGCTCGCCTTTTTCCGGAGCGTATCGGAGCCAGTCAAGACTACGCCCTGGCCGAGGGGAGGTGCTGCGGCCTCTCCCCCGATCTTCCCATCTGCTTCGGCGACCTGCATGGGCTGACCGTCTTCGCCGGCACCTTCCCCGTGCATACGCTCCCACTCGGCTCGGAGCACTTCTCGTACGGCGACAATGCCCGCTCCAGCACCACCTGCATCTAGGATTCGGAGATTGTCCTCTCCTGCTTTGCGAACCAATCCCTCCGCCCATGCGCTTCCCAATCTCTTTCTCGTCTCGACGAGTACGCTCGTTGTCGCAGCCCAGACTCCGGGAAATAGTACTGACATGAAAAGTTCGGCTTCTGTGGGTCGCATCTGCTCGTGGGCGGCTGTGATGGGCGTGGGCCGCTGCTGATCGAGACCGCCGCTTCCGGAAAGCGTGGAGGTACTCAGTGGGAGTCCGAACCCGCCGAAGACTCGCAAAGCTTGCTGTGTGTACTGCGCCGTGGTGGAGGTGATGAGTGCGTTGATCGATTCCGTCATGGGCACTTCGAGGGTGGAGGGGAACGTCGAGAACCGGTTCGCCAACGTGAGAGGGTGTGTCCGTTCGTAGGGAGTATCGGCGTCCTCCTCCAGAATGCTACTCGAGAGGGCCTCGTCGGGGTTGCTGATGTACCCGCCGATGGGGTTGAAATTGATCAATTGATCGTTCTCGTCCCGAAAAGTGACGCCATGATTGACGCCCGATTCCGTTTGCCTGGAAGCATTCATGATATCCTGCTCCAATTGCTCCATCGCGCTCGGCTTTTCCGCCTCGGGGTTTTCCGTCCTCCTGCTCGTTGATGCTGTACGCTCTCTCTTTCTCAAGGCCAGCCCGCCGCCGAAATGCCTGCTGACGACAAGCGACCCTCCACTTCGGACGAGAGAGGTGGCTTTTGAGGAGCGGAGTGATACCGAAAGTTCGGACTTCCTCAACACGGATGCGCTGGAGCTGTGTGATCGAAAGGAGCTTGCTGCCCTTCTCCCCAACCGCATTGCCGCCATGGTGCTAATGACATCCCTCAAACGGCACCTTGCGCAGTCACTCGAGACCCCTCTCAACCGCATTCCTGCAGGCGAAGCGGCAAGGCGATTGCTCGTGATGGCCTGCATCGTCATCCCGAAGCACCTCCTTCAACCCGGAGGTGAACTGGTAGTAATGAATGCGTCAGGCCCGGTTCCGATTCGAGTTTCGCCGAACTTGGAGATCATGCGATGGAAATTCTTCAGATGTGATCTTGATGTTTCAGCTGTTCAGATGCGAATCCGATCTCGCGACAAATGGCAGGAAAATCTGTCTCGGTCTTTTGGCATCAGATGGCAGTGAAGAAGTGTTCCGCAAGATAATTTATCCCAAAGAGGAAAATACGCGGAGAGCGCACGCGAGGCGAATGCACGCGGAGGCACGTGCCATGGATTATCACGAATTAACAGGACATCGCTGAATGGTCAGGTCGAGGGACGATTAAGTAATCCACCGTCAGCACCTCTGGCCATGGCCATGGACAGCATTGGGCCATTACAGAAGTGCCCATATCACATAGGTCATCACGATTCTGGACAACAACGAGCGCGGGAAGATATAGAAACTCCTCAACTCCAGTTCAATTTAGCACTATGTGTGGAATGTCACCAAGAAGCAACACTCGGCCCAAAAAAACACAACGCGCAGAACCCACAAAACTTCTCGGTAGCAATTTGAATCCCCCTCGTTCCCTTCTTTTCAAATCCACGGCTGAGAGTACTCGCCAGCACTGGGAATCGTTGGATGATCCTAGCCGCTTTCCTCGATCAACATCGTGACTTATTCCTCCTTCCAATTCCAACCCGCTTGCCCATATGCCTGCGCGCCCTTCCATAGGCTTCCCAAATGCCGTATGCCCCGACGACTCACTGCTTTGTCCATGGAGTCCAGGAGCGCACTCGATCAGCCAGGAGTGACGAACTTGCAGTCAAACCAGTCCAGGGTCCTTCAATCGAACAATCCACGGCTTTCGCCGTCCACATCTCCGCTCCTCGTCCCCTTTGTGTGTCAGAACAGCCCCGGACACGACACTTGACAGCTCGGATTCGCCCGCGCCGTGCCCTGAGGACATGACGTTCCACCTCTCGCTCAAGAAGAAAAGGAAAATTCGTGAAGGAAAAGAAATTGCCAACAATAAGTGATACCCGCGCCCTAGGAAAATAAAGAGATTTGTGTTGTTTTTTGTTGGTTTTTTTTGGTTTTGCTGTGTTGGTGGATGCAATGTCGTGAGAGGAGAATGACCCTGATTCGCACAATCTGCACGGAGGTTGGTCATGTCGTTGAAGCACGCCCGGAGCAGATCGAGAACGATTCATGAAGTGTTCACAAAGTTGGCTCCTCTCCTGCCGCTCTCATTCCGAGAAAATGGTCGATAATCCTGTGCAAGCAATGAAACGTTCTCCGCAGTATGATCGGTCCTTCATCACCATGATTTGAAATTTTCCGGAGCCGTCATTGTTCGTTTCCAGGTATTTCCGGCTACGAGAGACCGAAATCCTGCCGAGTGACACTTCCGAGCCCAGTAGATGAAAAAAAACGTATGCTGCGATGTGGATTGTTGCCAGTGACGATATGTGATGTGAGGTGAGATTCGTTTGCCGGTCCTGCATGATCTTGATTGACAGTGAGAGCTCCTGCGCCCTTGGTTGAAGTCTGTGCACGAGAATCGATCAAGTGGGCAGGTCCATAGAACAAGCTGAAAACCATGGTCGAACTAGGTTGGTGTTCGATCTTTGAAAAGTTGATGCCCATGGTTCTCAGCGTAGAACGAACCTTCCTCGATCACATAAAGTCCGAAATTGTACGAAGAGTGGCGAGATGACTGTTGAAACGCGTTGACCAGAACTTTGCTGTCGTCAACGCATGAATGATGATAATGATAATTGGCGACCCCGCCGTGATTGCATGCACTCATTCAGTAGGAGGTGTATTGTTGATCGGCACCGCCGCGTTTGCTTGAACGGAGTTGCCTGGAACAGAGATATATTAGTCTTCGGTTCGCGAGTCCTCCCAGACTTTCTCTCCAGCACCCTGTGCAGCCTCTTTTACGCAGAAATCCACACGCAGAGGAAGAAGGCGCCTTACAAGAAGGAGAAGAAGGCAGAGTCATGTGTATGTGTGCGCACTCACATTCCCGTGCCCTCAGCTCTCGGGTTAACGGCGCCGCGACGATCCTTGGAGAGTCCACCGGTGGCGGCAGTCTGGCCGCCAGTGGCCTGGGCGCTGCGGTTGCGGGCGTTCTTGTCCTCGGGGTCCTCGGCGGCCTGTTGAGCACCTTGAGCCTGGGCGATGGCCTGGGCGTTCTTCTGGTACTTGTACACGGTCCAGTCGAAGACATAGTCGTACTGGAACCCCTCGCGGACGAACAGATCACGGAAGATCTTGCGGAGGTAGGAGTAGTCCGGCTTGTCGTCGAAGCGGAGGCTGCGGGTGTAGTTGAGGTAGATGGCGAACTCGTTGGGGAAGCCACGGCAGAGAACCTCGGTGGGAGTGGTCATCTTCTTCTCCATGATGCGGTCGTACTTCTGCTTCTTGGTGGCCGCCTTAAGACCCTGCCATGGAAGTGAACCACGGCAGAAGTAGAGCATGACATATCCGAGGGATTCCATGTCATCACGACGAGATTGCTCTGGATAAATAGTCAGTGATTGAAGCTTTGCCAATCCGAATTGACCATCCAACACTTACCGACACCCAAATGGGTGTTGATGGAGGCGTAACGGGCAGTGCCAGTCAAGTTCTTGTTCTCACGGTATGGGATGTGGAAGTGAGTCTTGGGGTCGCGGTACTTCTTGGCAAGACCGAAATCGATCACGTTGACCTGGTTTCCACGCTTTCCAATCCCCATCAAGAAGTTATCCGGCTTGATATCACGGTGGATGAAAGATTTGGCGTGGATGTACTCGATTCGGGAGATGAGCTGATCGGCCAGCAGCAGAACAGTCTTGAGCGAGAACTTTCGGTTGCAGAAGTTGAAGAGATCCTCGAGGGAAGGTCCTAGGAGATCCAGGACCATGGCGTTGTAGTCACACTCTGTGCCGAACCATCGTACAAATGGAATGCCGACACCACCCGCGAGTGATTTGTAGACGCGTGCCTCATATTCCAGTTGTGGGTGCTTAGCCTTGACGCTCTCGAGTTTGATTGCAATCTCTTCGCCTGAGATGATGTTTGTGCCTGTACGAGGAAGCGGACTCGGTCAGTCTGGCTCTCTCAATTATTGCTGAGAGTGTGCGTATTCGCGAGCATACCTAGGTAGATATCGCCGAAACTTCCGCTCCCGATTTTCCGACCGATGCGGTATTTATTGCCTACTCGTAGATCCTGCGACGGAGAGTCAATACCAAGTCGACGCAAGCGGATGCGACGTTCACGTCGTCCGAGTCTGGTGGCGGCCAGATAGACGTAGGAAAGGGCGTACCATGGTCGTCATGTCTGTGAATTGACCTCTGACGAGGATTTCGTTACACTGGGACAGGTGTTGATTTCGAAGTCGGTAGCGCTGACAGCGGTGGTGGTGGTCGTCGTCGCTTTTCGTCAAAGGGTGTTATCGGCGACGGACGAAGCAAAGTCGTGTACAGTATCTCTACTGGCCAACGACGAGCACGAGATGTGGTGGTGGTGGTGGAGGAGAAGTCGTCACGACGAACGAGCGGGAAAGATGTGTGAAGAGAGAAGGCAGAGAGAGGATGAGCAAAGCAGGTGTGTGCCTCAAAAGTGTGGTGGAAGTCAAGGAAGGCGCGGGCGTGGTCGGTGAGGGAGGGCGGGGATAGCCGCCTCTGTGTGTGCCTGCCTTCTTTCTTTGGCTGTGCCTGCTGACGGATACTCTACAGTATACTCTGCTGTAGGTACGTTACAGACTCTGTAGGCGAGCGAGCTTTAATTCTTCACCAGCCGGAATCGCACAATACCGTACGTTACTTGGCTCTCTCGAGTGCAGCGGTATTGAATTGGATCGAACTGGGCGATGCGAGCGATCCGCGGGATTAAAATGGGGGAATGATGGTCGGTTTGTGGCAGAAATGGCGGGCGTCGCAGCGGTGGGTGGGCGACTCCTGGAGTGAGCGGTCAAACCAGACGGAGGCGCTGGCATTTCACAGCTAATGCGCCTCGCTGCACACGAATTACAATACACATCCACACAGCATATATATTCACAAATGGTGGCCGGTCTGTCGGTCACCGTCGTTATTTATAGGAGGATGCTTTGTCCCAGTGACACAGCACACTATCATCGGGCAGTTCTGGCATTGTTGGTCACACGAATGGGGAGAAGTAGCAGAATGAACAGCACAATAACAACACTACTAGGTAGTAAGCATGAGGTAGCAGGCCGTCATCCAAAAGTAATACACCTGGGCAGCCAGCGTTACATTACAGTTGGGCAGGAAGATGTTGCTTAGTGGGAAAACTGTGCCACGCCCTACCATTGGAAATCCTATTCTATTGCAATAATAATAATAATAATGATAATAATAATAATAATAATACGACAGCGATGATGATTCCAAAATAGGCCCTCCGGCCCACGATAATTCACAAGTGACATTCTGGCATTTCAGCCCAATTCAAAAGGACACAGACTCCCATCAATTGAAAGAGACGCCGGCACATGTCGGGTCTCGGGCGAGAAGCATCAAAGGGTATTTTTGGTGGTGGTGGTGGTGGTGGTGGTGGTGGTGGCGGCGACTATCCTCCTCTCACCTGACCGGCACCGAAGTGTACCCGGACATGGCCACAGGGCAGACAGACAGACAGACAGACAGACAGACAGTTCTCCTAGACGATAAGTGAGACTCGTTGAACTTGGACGATATCATGTATCTTCCGATGCAGGAGTATTCTAGTTGCAGAAGAAGCGTTGATCTCATCACATGCACTTCGCCCGCCGCGAAGAAGTTCATTCATTGCCCCGGGTCCCATGAGCTATATCCCGACAGACAGCATTCCATTGGATGGCAATGGCAAAAAAACAGCGATATGTGGCAACATGAAGGTGAGAAGGAAGGCACTGCCCAGGTGATGATTGGGAAGGTCTATGCAGAAGGACGATGGATCACATCTCCCCTCCTGGATCCATGCGTTGGGCGTCGGATATGTCGCACTCGCGAGACGTGTCGGCGAATGTATGGAACGGCCCTGCTGGCTCCTCTACACATACAGTTTCATATGAGGGAGGGAACCCACGCACACGTGAGCAGACCGCCAGCTCTCTCTCCAGCTCTCTCTTCAGCTCTCTTTCTTTTCCTCTCCTTTTTCACCTTCGGTTGTCTCGGAACTGGACACGTCGTTTTACCCCGACTCAACAATGATGATCAATCATAATATCCTTCTGCGATGATCCCAGTGTTAGTGCGATTCCCGACCAGCGGGAGTATCGGGATCATGGGCACACACGGATGCCCAAAAGCCCTCCTTTCGAAAGATGCTGGTGGCCTCTCGCGAGCGATCAAGATCTTCCTCACATGATGGTCCCAGGTGGCGCGGCTGGCGGCTAGTTGGGAGCTGAAGAAGGCACACTTTCCTTTAGTGTGAAGTCTCAGTCCCGAAACGCTCCTCCTCCTGTCGGGATGTGGGAGTGGAGTTGCTTCCCCGGGAGGACATTTACCGTATCTATATAGGCACTCCTCGATGAGCGATGTTGAACCTCAAGCGTGAATTTCGGCTCCCTCCTTTGTCGAGCGCCAGGATATGGAGATGATGTGCCCAAAATGGGAGACTGTACCCTGTCCCGGAGGCGGATCTCGAGACCAAAGAATAAAGTTGGTGGCGGGACGCCTGGATCGTTTTTCGCCCGCGGGCGCGAATTTCGGAGACTGCTGGCGGTGGTAGGCAATAACAAATCGTACCATGGCGTGCATGGTCTCATCACACAGCCTGCGAGAGATCCCAACGCGCGAGAAGTATGCTGGTTTTGGTCTGACGTGGCATGGAATCATTCACACTTTCCTTGTCGTCGGCCGAAACGTGACCCTACACACTGTGCTGAATCGTAGGGCGTGTGGACGCGGCTTCTTGTGTGATAATGTTCGGAAGCTGACCCGGGGTATCAATACATAATCCCTTACTGCGATCCTCTCGCAACGTGGTTGGTCACTCAATATACCCCGATGCTGTTCGCACATGAACGCGAAAGATGCTCATCATGACGTGGACGTCTCTATTGCTGCACGCAAAGTGGACATGCTCGACAGTCCGCACGGGGAAGACATTGCGTTGACTGTGAGCACTAGATCCGAGGTCATTCAGCCAGCACGATTTAGCAGGAAAGTTCTTCACCCGGGAGGCGCTCCTCGTTGCATCTCGGATGACATAGACATGCGATGAAGCTTTGTAACAATGACAGGATTACTCTGTGTCACACCACGTCAGTGCGAAGCCGAAGGGTGTATGAGATGAGGATGTGGTCTATGGAAGCGGTTGGGATCTTTGCCATGATCCACGGACTGCCCTCCGTTCACTTCGCGAGCAACATTCTATGCTTCTACAATAGTGATTCGCATGGCAGTGTGTACGGCGAGGTGTAGTGCCCTCATGAGATAGCGAAAGTCACGCCTGCAGCGGCATTCACGATAGCAGAGCCAATCGACTACGCGTGATCGCCATAAGATGTCGGAGGACGTATGACAGCACTTTCCGGGACGATTCTTCCACAAAGGAAATTCAAACTTTCATGCTAGAGGTACATTCTTTCGTGCCAGATGTGCCGAGTCTCAGCTTGCTGTTCGGGAGATATATGTACAGTTCTGGACATAATTCCCTGCTCTACCGGTGTCATTCAAAATTGACCACCTTCCATCTGCTCGTGTCTTTTCCTTGCTGCAGCTTTTCTTAGCGAAGTGCCGTGCGCCATGTCGATCTTGAGGAGAAGCAGAATCTAGTGCTTGGTGGCAGCGGCCTTGTTGGGGTTGCGAGGGTCGTTCCTGTACTCGTCGGCTGTGGAGATATTGTGTTAGGGAAACCAAACTCGGATGTGAGAAGTGCGTTCGTGAGATGTGCGTACTGTTTGAGAGAGTGTTGGCCAGGCTGTTGATGCCATAGGCGACAATCACACCTATTTCGCGAGGTTGTATCAGCAAACTGTTCCTCCTCATCTCATCCTTCTGTTTTCCCATCTCCTTTTCTTTCCCCTTCCACCCATGCTCCTGTCTCATTCATCCATTTAGACTCGATTGGCGCGTTGACATACCAGCGGTGTAGAAAGGCCACATGGTCTTGACTGTATGATGGATCAGCGAAATGTCATCTCCAGGAGAGCTTGAGCCATTGATTCTCGATGACGCTTTTTGCGCGGATTCTCGCCAATGGCTGGAGGTTCAGTACGTACGGACCGGTGCCGGGAATTTCTTGCCGAGGAGTCCAGAAGGCATCTTGACTGATAGACTGGATGAGTTGATGATATCAGAGTTCACGAAGTCGCGATCAATGGCAACAGTCCAGCTTTGCGCGCATCTGTCGAGCTCTGCTGGGACTTGGCACCCGCATCGGGTATCGTTCGGGCGGCGTCGGCTGTGAACTCGCTCACGTAATCGGCCACAAGCCTTGAAGCTTCAGGCTTGACTTTCTCAGCCCTGGAAGCCTGAGGCGTGTGGAATGTGGCTGGACACGCTGGACTTAGCCTGTCGATGATCGTTATGTCAGCCAGATTGGACGGCCCGTCCCCGCTTCCGGTTATCGCGGGCCGTCGCTTCGGATCAAGGCAAATGCCAGGGCACGGTGCAGGGCGACAAACGCGGGGGAACAACGGGCGCGCTCTTCAAAGTCGGTTCGTCATTTCCGTTTTCAATGGTTGACGAGATGATGATATCCGAAAACACACACGCGACACGGCACGATCCACCAATATTCTCTTCATGGTATCAGACATTGTCCGACCGCGAAATACAATTGTCTGAAGACCCCGCGATATGGAGATGTGCGACAGTATCAGATCGCGCGAGAAGAGGAGATCGCCCGGGCGCGAACCAGCCACACGCATTCTGGGTCGCGTTCTGACATACCAGCCTCTCTTTTTCGTCTACCCGCCACGCACATGTGGGAGGATTGTCGATTTTAGCTTCATGCAGGTAATACATCAAGATGCAGCATTACGCACATCGTTGAGATCCGATGTTCAACTGTCTTCCAACGTTTTTGTGAACACTTTGCCTACCGTTCGCATCTGTTGTGCTCCGGTCGCGATTTCGCGATCCCAAAGCTCGGGAAATGTCGACCGTCCATGAACAAGTCCCAGTACGGGCACAGCAATCCACGCTGCAACCCGGACCCGACACTCTACACCATGAGGAACCTTTGCAAATCCGGTCCACCAGTTCCAATACCGCCAACGTCATCCACAAGCACTCCCAGAATTCCTTCGCCGCGTCCGTCCAAGATTACTACAGCCTGAGCGATTCCTCCAGCGCGGATTACGCCGGGGAAGCAATCCACCGTCCCGCGGGTCGCTCGCAGCAGACCATCGTCCGGGTCGACACGCCGCCGGAGCTCTATCGTACCCCGATGCAATCCGCGTTGAATCTGTCCAAGCACGAGGAACTTCCACAGGACTCCGCCGAACATGCCCAGTACGACGACTCCGAAACACAACCATTCAGAAAGACACCCATGCGAGGTCAAGGAAAAAGAAGGTCAAGTGGAGAGGAACAGCGACAGATTCCCACTGCGATCCCGACTTCACCGGGCGCCAACTCAATTCGCCGAAAACCCGTGCCTGTCAGTCCTGTGATGGAGCAGCGAGAGTCAATGGGGACCATCTCCGCTACGAACGCTCGCAGCTCTGTGGCGAGAGGATTCGAAAACGAAAAAAGCCCGCCGACACCGCACATGGATGACACTCCATACATTCACTTTGCACTCGATCAGTTGACTCGGGACGAGGATGTCCGCGGCAGCCGGCGATACATGTCCGGAGCAGGAGACGAAGATGGACAATACCCGTACCTCACACCATTACAGGTGCAGCAACAGTCAACACCGCTCACGCCTCAGCGACCTGCGCCAGTTCAGAAACAGCAGTCATGGTCTTCGCAGCGTCGGCTCGCCTATCAAGCACTCGCTCAAGAAGAACAGCAGGAACGGGAAGCAGAACAACAACTTTCGCAAGTATCACAGCCCAGAACCCCCGCTAGGGAGATTCAGCCGGTTCGATCAGCAGATCCGATCAACCGCCCATCAACAGCCAACCTTTTTGTACCAGTCGCTTCAAACAGTGACCAGCCTCTGAAATTCATTCCAGGCACTCTTCGCTCGTTTCAGCTGGGTGCATTCATCCTGACAGTCATGGCATACTTACTATCCTTGGGAGTGACCGCAATCTGGAGTCGCATCAACACTGGTCTGACGCCATACGGCTCGTTCGGCGATGGCAAATACTTCCTATTCCGCTATCTGCCGATTATGCTCGGAATGATTGTCCTACTTTGGCTGTTTCAGGTGCAGGTAGCACTTCACCGCATTGCTCCGTTTATCGCAATGGCTTCTGACTCGCCTAACGCGCGAGCTGCTGGAGCCAGACTCCCTCTGCGACCGCGCGGTCTTCTCCTCCCAAGCTTGGTGCATTTCAAGGCTGGTCAGCCCGTGGTCGGCGGTTTCATGATCGTCGCTTGGCTACAACTTTTCACCATCCCGCTTTTGGCCAGCAGCTTAAATGTGTACTTCCAAGGTGCACCGAGTACTGGCCGTTGGGTGTGGATCGCCGTTCAAGGCGCCATCTGGACCACCATCGCCCTCTACCTCCTTCTGGTGGCGGCTCTGTTGACATTGTTCGTTTGGCTCCTCCAACGCAAGTCGACTGGTCTGAAGTGGGATGCTCGTACCCTCGCCGATCTTATTGTGCTCTTTGAGCGCAGCAACGCTCTCGATGACACGTCAACGACCTCTGATGTCCCACGACTCGGGCTCTGGCGCACGACCAACCGCATGAACGAAATCTTCCACACTTTCGGCATTGCAAACGAGTCTCCTCGTAGTTATGCTGTTGGTGAGGATGGTCGCATTCGTGAAAAGGTGCCAGCTATGTCTTCTCCCGGCCAATTGAGCAACAACCGCTACTCTGACCCTTACGACAACGACGTCGAAGCTCAACGACCTGTCTCCATGGATGCGATTCTACCCAACTCGCAGAAACCTGCTGGCAGTGCCATTCCCTGGTTCCTCAAGCCGGCTTTCGTTGTGCTGTGGCCAGTCATCTCTATCTTGCTGTGTCTCGCGTTCCTCATCGTCAGCTACCTCCCCAGCACCAACATTGTCCGCGGATTCCTCCCCGATGTCTCCTCGATTGTCGGCCGGTTCGGTTTCAGCAGCGGCAATTTTTTGTACAGCTTCCTGCCGGCTACCATCGCTATGATTGTGTTGCTGCTCTGGATCGACATCGATCTCGCGCACCGTCGCCTTCAGCCATTTGCCAGCTTGACCGAGACTGGCGACGCCGATAACTTGAATGAGAAGGCGACCACCTCCCAGGACGGCGACATCCCTGACCGCACTCTTCTCGCGAACTACACCGCCTCCCCAGTCTCATCAACCCCCATCCTCGCCCTGCTCAACGGCCACCTCCGCGTCGCACTCCTCTCCACCGTCACCCTTCTCGCCCTGGCGATCCCCATCCTCGCCGGCGGCTGCTTCTGGTCCCAATTCTCCATCCCCCAACAACGCGTGCTCATCTACGTCCACCCGGCCGGCTACTACGCGCTGACCGTCTTCGTCGTCCTGCACGCCCTGGCCTACCTCGCCATCTTCCCCGAATCCTCCCTCCGCCGCGCCGACCGCCACCTCGGGCCCTTGGAATCCTTCCACGACATCCGCCGCCTGATCGCCCGCTCCCAGATCCTCGACGACCTCGCTTTCCACAGCCCCCGCGACCGCACCGACCTCATCACCCGCCTCCTCTCTGGCCGTCCCGTCATCTCCTCCCTTCAGCCCACCCAGAGCAAGGTCAGCCTCGCCGACAGCCTCCGTGGCTTCGTCCGGATGCGCGCGGCGAACGGCGCGCCTCAACGGGATCCCGTCACGGGTGTCCTCGTCGATGCCGACCCGAGATATGCTTTTGGTCGGCATGTCGCCCGCGATGGCGGCGAGTGCTGGGGCATCGACCGCGTGGGCCGCTGAGGCGATTGAGGATGTGGGTCCGCCTCCTTTTTTCGTATTCTTCCGACGACTACCTTTTTCGTCTTTTTTTTTCCGGGATTAGTTTTTTCGTGGATTTTTGATTCCCCAAAGTGTGAGCTTTTTTGGTTTTGGATTTGCTCTCCTCACCCCCTCTCTCTCTCGGTGATCGGGCAGAGAGAGGAGGCTTGTTTGTTGCGACACATGATTACGATATACAGCGGGCATGATGATCTATTGGGATACACGGGGCTTGTTATGGGGATAGATTTATTATGCGATGGGAGATGTGTGAATGTAAAACGAGTATGACTTGATCGGAATGGAAGATGATGGGACGAATTGGACGATGGGTCGGGAACGGGATGGATGAATTAGATGATAATGTATTTTTTCCCTTCCTCTGCTCCAGGGAGAGGAATGAATGAAGAGAACTCTTTTCTGGTGCTTCATGATTGTCATCTCGTCCTCCTGCTCTTCGATAAAGCGAATGCGCGAGCTGGGTCTTGTGGATCGTATTATTTTTCGTTTCGTTTCCATTTTCCCGCCGAACTCGCTTCTCTGCAAGCAAGATCGCACTCAGGGTTACTGCGTCTCTCTCTCTCTTTCTCTCTCTCTCACTTCATGGTCAACCCACGCGCCCGTCCTTCAGCTACACTGAAAGACAATGTGCATCTCAAACCCCAAAACTTCCACATCACACCCAGCAAGCAAACCCTCGCCAGACCGCCATAACAAGAAAAACCTTCCCCTCCTGATCCCAATTTTCCCCACTCAAAACTTGTGGATCTTATCCACCCCCAACTCCGCCAGGATCCCTCCTCTCCCCACAAGACTCTTCTCCATAGCCTCCGGCCCACAGAGCCAGACCTTCGTGCCCTTGTCATCGCCCCATCGACCGCTCTCCTTCGCGATTCCGACAATCTCACCCAAGATGTCCTCGTCGACGTATCCCCTCCGGAACCTCATCGCGTCTGAAGATAAAGATGATGATGATGACAGCAAAGAGGCCCGATCCTCCTCCCGATCCCCACTGACGCAGATCGTCACCCGCAACCTCCCGCTGGACCGCCTCTGCAGATCCTCGAGTTCGGATCGCAGCACGACATCCCTCGCGCCGTTCACGCCCCAAACCAGATGAATCCTCGTGCGATCGTTTCCCGTTCCTTCCTGCTGGAGCAGGATACTTCTCGCCAGGCTGTAAATCGGCGTGATACCCGCGCCGCCCGCGATGAAGATCAGTTCACGTGGTGAGCTGCTGCTGGGTGGTTCGCTGTATATGTAGCCTCCTGGGAGGGGACCCCGGATCGCCAGGGTTTGCCCGACGCTGAGGTTGTGTAGGTGGGTGGAGGCGGCGCCGCCGGGGTATTGCTTGACGAGGAGTTGGAGGCTGCCGCGTTGGCTGGGATCGCTGATGGGTGTGTAGGGACGGAGGATGGGGAACCATCTTCCTGAGGGTGAGTGTTGGGTTAGGATTGCGGCTGAGTTTTTGATTCTGGTCAGAAAGGTGATTGGTCGTAGTCGTGGTGATGAGGGTGTGGTTTTTTGTATTGCTTTTTTCCTCTCTGTTGATTACTTACATCCTGCCGGAACACCGCTGATTTGGTTCTCGCCGCCGGGAAGAGAGAATGTGATCCGCTTGGTGTCATGGTTGATTTGTTCCGTTTTGGTGACGGTCAAGGTCTGTGGGAACAACATCGACTTTGGGAATGTTAGTAGCTTTGAAGGCGCATTCTGGGCGGAATCGAGTTGATGTCCGGATAGGGTCGTCTTGGAATATGTGTATGCCACTGCTGCTGAACCGGCGAGAGTTGCACCTGCGATTAACGGCAGTGATTTTGAGGTGCGAGCGAATAGAGCTGCCATCTTGTCGCAAATTGTGTTGTTTGAGTCTTTTGGGTGTGTGGAATGATTGAGGCCTATGTTGAGTAGAGGTGGGTGAGTAGAGATGAGTGAGGCAGAATGAAGGAAAGTTCACGATGCTGGAGCACGACAGCAAGTTGAAAGAACAGGATCGGATTGTGTCTTATATCATAAGAATCACATCCGCATTTGTACTACACACACCACTTGCCTATATATTCGTAGATGGTTCTCCCAAGTTACCGTCTTTGCCGAGACCAATCGTAGTCTTGACTAAAAGTGAAGTCAACCCGGCCCGACGGTCTCGCGGACGTCGAAATGTCCGAAAACACCGGAGTCGGGGGCCGAGACACCAACAGTCGAGCTGTGCACCATCACGACGAGTTAATCTGGCGATCTTTGACGATCCATTTGAGCCCGATTGTCTGGAATTGCCATATGATGCTCATGCTCATCGTGTTGAACAGAGACGAGTTCCACCAACCCGGTCATGCTATTTCGGGAGGTTCTAATGAACTCGCGGAGGAATTCATGTCCCGACTGGCCCGTCTCATCGTGCAGTTGAGGTGGAACAAGACAATGCCGAGCACCGGGCATTGCATCCCTTGGCTACGGCGATCGTGATAAAAGTAAAAATGGCTGCTGGTCCGGTTGAGTACACGAACAGTCAAGATATCGTGCATTGAGATGTGATCTTTGAACGGCAGGCGGGTCTGTTGGAATCTGTTGGAATCTATTTACTATATGATTGATCAGGCTTGCTTAGGGTTGGTGTCGATAGATGCGGAGTCGCCAGGGTCCAACGCGAAGTGGGATAAACAGATAAACAAATGCGCATCGTATCGCATGAGCATCACTGTCCACGAGTGCGAGTGACTGACAACAACCACCACATCCGCCGTCGTGCGAAACTCCTCACATATCTCAAAGCCGTGAATCGCCACATAACACGCGATTCACACAATCACAGTACTCCGTTCGATTCGACGCAATTCAAGCCCCATCATGACGACCGCCAACATCTCCACCACTCTGGAGCACCTCCAACAACCACAACCCCTTTCGATCCTCAAACTCTCCAAACCGATCCTTCACCCTAAAGAAGACAGCGGCAATACCACGACACCTTCCATGCTAGCCGCTGATCTTGCACACTACCGCGATCTTTTCTCGAAACTACGGTTCAGCTATGTCGAGCAGGTCACCAAGGAGCGCTTCCTCCGCACAATCTGCGCAGAACAACCCGAGTTTGCGACGGCCGTAGAGAACGCCGAGCTTCAGACGCGTCTCCTCGTGGACAAAGCGCAGCTGAAGGAGAAGAAGACGGAAGTGGCGGAGATGATCTCAGCCTTGGAAGCACAAGGGCGGGAATTGGCCAAGAGTATGTTTTCCACAAGGGCAAGATCACGGATCTTCCCAACGATGACAGAGCAACCTTCGCTGACATGACTCGATCAGGATATGAACACATCCAACTCCAGACCGTCCAACTCGCCGCCCTCCCCGCACAAATCACCGACCTCAACCAGACCCTCCTCGCGCTGCACGTCCGCCAAAAGGAACAACAGACCGCGCTACATTCCAGCTCCGCCTCTTCCGACCCAGACCTCCATCTCCCATCTCTCTCCGCGACGCGTCAACGACTCAGCGAACGCGAGCAGGAACTCCAACGCATCGACCTCGAAATCGCCCGCCTGCAGGCCGCCCTTCCCGCCAAACAGGCCGAGACGAGGAGACTCGAGGAGGAGCTGGCCCCGGTGTGGAAGAGTCGCGATACGGCGGTGGAATTGGCCCTCGAGGCCAAGAGGAGGAGGGAAGAAGGTGGTATGGCGGTGGATGAATTGGAGGAGCGCGGGAGGTGGCTGAGGGGGGTGGAGGGCGTGATGAAAGGATTGGAGTTAGAAGCGTGATAGGAGAGGGACATGGGTCGACGTGGTTGAGGATGGACGTGTAGGATTATAGGACACTGCTCATGCTGCCGCACGTTTTGCGTGTCCGACTCTGGCAGAGACTCGGCGTCACGAATGATTTGGGAATTGCAGGGATGCGGAGATTGTAATAATGATACCCGATGTTGTCATCACCGAAACAATTATATCTTCCTTGAAGATCGTTCGTCCAGGAGACCAATCTAATCCATGTGTCTCAATTGCAGCGATTCCAACCGCCAAGAACCATCACTTTGCTGAGCTTCGTCTCGTCTCCAACTGGATTTCTTTAAGTCGACGGTCGGGGTCGAGATAGATAGCACAGCCATGTCGACGAGCGCTTGGCATACGCGGAAGATACCGTCTCACCAGCCGTCTTGTTTCCCCTCGTGCCTCGTACCCGAATACGTCCACACCAACAAGATGTAGCGTACAGATCATGGATAGGCAAGAAAGCCATGGCGTTCGTCAGGGTCGCATCAGTTCCACCAGCGCCTCATCATGCGAGATGACATGAAGGCGTTGTGCACAATACGTGAGAGGAGAGAAGGAAGCAAGAGTGTCGTCGTGATCCACGCAGAGAGATCCCCCGCAATCCCGGGAATCTGCCAAGAGGGCGCGTCGGGACGTTTGCTTGCTTGGGAAATCCTTCCTCGTTGCTGGCGGCGGATACAGAGATCCTTGATGATCAATCGCAATCGGACGTAAGAATCCTAGAATCAACTTCAGGATCGGGACTGCGCTGCTTCTGCACCGCCCTCTTCTTGGCCGCCCAGGACGTGATCGATCTGGAGTCTTCCCAATCAGCCCGGTGGACAAGATGGCTCACTTCACGACACGCTCTATCTAGCACGTGCACCACGTGAAGAATTACGGTCGCCGAGTCTTCACGCCGAGCCTACGCCGAGCAAAGATGTCCGGATCCTTCCCTCACGTAGACACGGCCCCATTCACGATGTAATGCCTTGTTCTTTAGCAAGACCTGCTTCTCACTCCCATCGTGTCTGTATCGTGACAGAGTACGACGACAACAACAAGCCAGGCTTGGCTCACACGTCGGCGGCGTCGCATCTCCATGATGCTAAGAGTCCATGTGTAAGACGAAGCCGCCACCCAGTCGCTGTGGCTTACATCTCGAACAAGCAGAATGACCATACGACCAGACCAGGACCGTATCCAGAGACCAGCAATGTGATAGACCGAGACGGCCTGAAAAGCCATTCTTCGCGCGATTTGCTTGGGACAAATCGTCTTTGGACGTCAAGGACTTTCCACACGTCTGATCTGATACATGATGTCTGTGCGAAAGCGCCCCGATTCTCGGCGTCTTTATGAGCCTCGCAAATGGCCCGGAGTCTTCAAAGTAAGAAACCTAAGCCTAGGATGTTGCGCGATTGCTGCATCCACTAATTTTCGGGCTATTGAAGGAATTTGCCAAGAAAGACCGACTCGATGCAAAGGACGGAGTCGACATCTGCTCTCCTTTTCTAGCTTTAAAGTGTGGTGATGTTACCATCAACGTCATTACGATTGGAACGATGGCCATATCGTCGTCTGAGATGTGACAGTTCATCGCCGGGCTGTGCTAGAATTTCTCGATGTACTTTCCAAAGTCGTGGACCATCGACCCGGTCTTGGGGCATCGTAGTACCCTCGGCACTCCCTTTGTCAGGATATGTCAGGATATATAAGGAGCCATGTTACTCCAGTGGTCTCACTGAACATCCGATCAAGCAGCATCAATAGCACTAAAGCAATTTAAACGTCCATTCTACAATCGTTCTTCGCAACTTCAATCAAGCAACTTATCAGCCTCCACCTCATCCCGAATCAAAGAAGTTCAGACCTCCAATCTCTCAAAGATGCACTCCCCCAACCTCCTCGCCCTCCTCACCCTCGCCACCGCCGCCCTCTCCTCCCCAATCCTCACCATGCCCCTCAAACGCCAACTCGGCAGCGGCGGCGGCACCCTCTTCGGCCCCATCACCTTCCCCGGAATCAACTTCTCCAACGCGAGCATCACGCTCGTGAACTTCAACGACGAAGTCTTCGACATCTCCTCCATCAGCATCTTCGGCGACATCAACGACGGCGGCTGCACCGAGGCCACCCCCGAGTCCGACGCCGCCGCCAGCGAGCAGCCCACCCGCACTTCGGTCTTCGGCCCCGCGCAACTGCCTTGGTCCGCGGTCGACGTCTCGAGCGCGCAGATCACGTTGGTCAATTTCAACGATGAGGTTTTCGACATTTCGAGCATCTCGGTTTTCGGGGATGTCAATGATGGGGTTTGTCCTTCGCCTTCTGCTTAGAGAGAGCGCTGTGGATTTCTTTTCTTTCCCTTTCTGAAGGAGTGGAGTTTTGTTTTGGAAAGATCTCTCGAGTCGGATGAGGGATCGCTGCGATGGTCGTTGATGTGGGATCAAGTCATGGGATTTCGGTGAGATCTGCTTTTGCTTGCGCTGTTTCTTTCGTTTTGCGGATGTCGTATTTGATGAGGAGAATGTTGGCTGGCGAAAGGATATGTGAACCTTTCGAACTTGATGGAGTGTTCGTTCTACAACTCGGAGATCGACGAGGTATTTGATAGTGGGGAGCCCGCTTTGCTGGATTCAGTCATCGGTAGATCAATGAGAGTAACCATCAATGCGACGAAACGATGAGCACTCTATGGTTTTCATAATGCTCATTGATTGTTTCGATAACAAGCATGAGGCTTTGCATTGGTGACTAGCTTATGGCCGATGTCAGATGCGAGTCGGACCACGAGACGATCCAAGGCCTGGCGAAATAGTGTCCTAGCTTAGGTAGTTGCGTCGAATGCATGATGATTTGGTGGAACGAGCTTGCAAGAGTTTACGAACATCATATGACAGTTATTCAATTGCTCTCCAAACCAACCCTCCTCCCCTCTTTCGCCCAAGACTCAGCCGTCTACTTCTCGCACGGGACTCGTACCTGCGCAATGTCGAACCCAACAGCAAACGCTTTATGCACAACAGACAAACAATCTATGGGTCTCCGATCCAGCCTCCGTCAACAACATACTGGCTCCCCGTCACGGCGCTCGCATCGTCCGTGCACAAGAAAACCACCACGCGCGCCGCTTCGTGCGGGTCAATAACCCGCTTGATCGCCTGCGCGGCAATCGTCTCCGCCTTGTACTCGTCCGTGAGGACCTCTTTGATCTGACGCTCCGTGGCAATCGATCCCGGCATGACGCTGTTGACGCGGATGCCGTGGGGTCCGAACTCGCGGGCGTGGGTGCGCGTGAGGCCGACGACGGCCGCCTTGCACGTGGTGTAGATGGGCAGTCCGACGCCGGGCACTTTCCAGTTGATGCTGCCCATGTTGACGATGGCGCCGGATTTCTGCGCCGCCATGTGCGGGAAGATCAGCTGCGACAGGAAGAATTGGTGGCGCAGGTTCACGTTGATGTTGAACTCCCAGGCTTCCGGGGTCACGTCTTTGGTTGCCACGCGGGCTTTTCCTGCCGAGCTCGCCGCGTTGTTCACGAGGATGTCGATGCGGGAGAATTGGGCCAGGGCGCGGTCGACGGTGGATTTGAGCGTGTCGAGGTTGGTCACGTCGCACTCGTAGAAGACGGGCACGACGGGTTCCGGACCGATGGGCCCTCGGGCGGTGCCCTTGATTTTCTCGATGAGCTTCAACGCGGAGTCCTCGGCGATGTCAGCAATGATGACCTGAGCGCCCTGCAGGGCGAATATCTCGACGATGCTGCCGCCGATGCCTTCGGCTCCGCCGGTGACGAGGGCGATCTTGCCGAGGAGAGATGGGTAGATGGCATATTTGTGGTGGTCGCTGGGCCCGCCGGCGGTCGCCATGGTTCGGCGCTGGAGGTGGAAAAGAGAAGGTTGGGCGAAGATGGATGAGGACTGCTGCGAGAAAGGTCTCGTGTGGGAACGATCAGATCCACGGCGGGACGCTGCGGATGAAGCTTCACGGACTGAAGAGCTGACGTTGTAGGTACGGACGCAGCTTGTTGCAGTGGTGGGTCTATAAAACGATGCTGCTGATGTTGGATTGTCGACACTGCCGCTGAGAGGTAGAGACCACGAAGATCGTGTCGGTAGGAATGAGCGACAAGAATGAAAGGTTCTCATCGCATGACGGCGGAAGCGAGATAGCTATGGAGGATAGCTCAAGGTGTGCGACAAGAGGCTCCATAATACATTTTCCCTAGTCGGGAAAAGTTAAGGTAGCCCATGATGGTGGTGCCGCACGCAGTCTGTCTGTCTCCCTTTCTCTATAACGTATCACACAGGACACACGACTGGGTCTCGCAGACCGGGCAGGTCGTCCAGTGATGGATAGTATGGCGTGGTGCAGTGGATGGGCAGCAAGCAAATAACCTTCCTGAACACAGTCGGCCCGCGCTTAGAAGGGATGGTCCACCGCTATTCTAGCAAGGTACAGAGCTCCATCATTCCCTCGTCATCGTGGTACGGGGCAATGCGGTCTACCGATGAGAACAACTAATTCCAGCAGGCATCTCTTGTCCTGGATGGTGACCAGTGGACTACTTGCTGTGTGTGAGACGGTTGTCGTGGTCCGCTCAGGCTGGATCGGAAGGTGGGCACGCACGCAGACACGCATGCATGCACACACTGGCAGCTCTCTCAACCATTTCTAGAGAACCGTGTGTAAGCTTTTCTGCGAGCGTAACCATCGTGAGCGGCTGCTCGTCATAGGCACGCATCAGCTAACATGTTTATGCCTAATCGGGTACCTGGGCACGTAAAAATAATGATGGGAGTGCCCAGGTGAAGTCGGCTAGGCATGATGTTTCGAGACTAGACTCGTTCGTCTTTTCATACAGCACTACGCATTAAATTCCGTTGAATGGTCTGTCTTTCTCTGTTTCGCTCGCGCCGGTCCGTCGAGGCGGCTAATAGCATCGATCACCGATGTATCGGTTTGCCGATGACATCAAGTACGATATGCTCATCTTACGGGAATACCTCAGATTAGGTAGGTGGTGCAGTACGCCTAAAGACGGTGAACGGAATGTGCAACAGGGCAATCAGGCCCGGGCAGGTATCGTGATATCCATTTCGGCAATCAGAGATCTGTCAATCCACCGAAAATTGAATGACATGAGGTCGACATGACCCCATTACTTCCCAATGGACCATGACAAGGCGAATGACGTGTGAGGGGTTAGATGTTGTGATTGTCTTGTCTTGGGAGACGAGACGAAGATTCAGCATCATACCTACATGGGAATTTCCAGATGCCCCGCTCACCAAACAATGGATGAGACGGCCTATTTGCCCATCCAACGCGGGTAAATCCTCCGTCCCTCTCTTTTTCCACAGCCGGCTCGGTTTGGCCCAGGATTTAACTATTTTCGTTCATCATCTCCAACGGCACAACGTCACCGCACGTGGGCGGTCGGCTCAGCCGCCAAGATCGACACCGCCTCTATCATGACTGGGTACCTCTGGAGTGATCGGTTGGAATAATCAACGATCAACGCGAACATGGTGAATTCGAATTCATCGCTTTAATGCCCTGGTGAATTTCCAGGCTGAACAGTAAAATAAAGCGGAAGGAAACGAGATCAGCTTCGAAATGCCACTCAGAATTTGGTGCAAAGTTATGTGCAAATAAATTACAGAGATTGTACAGATTGAATCGCATGAGCATCGCATGTCCTTCTGAGCGTGTGGGAGCTTTGGCTCGTTCTGACTTCGCTCTAATGGTAACAAAGCTTCGCGTGAAGCTGCGACGAATCCCGCTCAGTATCAGCTCATGCGTCTTCGACCACCTGCGGAGCACGTAGCGTGCAATGGCATCTGGCGATCAGGAAGCGCCGTAGGGCCAACTGTGCACATGGCGACTAAGAGCAGATCATTCATCTCAGGACACAGTCGCTGCCTCAGCCAGCCAGTGGTAGAGTGTAGCTTATTGCAACATCCTTCACGATGAGATCGTTCAGATTCGTGGAAGACCTGCCGAATACCTCCGATCATTCCGCCGATCGCTGACGCACTAGGCGATCCTTGAGCACAGCGACACGAGCAATATCGGCCAATAGTGATTCCTCGGTGTGATCTGCAGAACCTTTGCTGCGGCCGAACCAGCTCTTCTTCTCCGGCGTCGCATGTGTCTGTTCGAGCAGGCGCTCCAGCATCGTCTCCCAATTTCCAACAGCCGTGTTTAGACATTGCTGGCACTTCTTCTGGTTGTCCGCTCTTGAGCGCGGCGTGGATCCCGGGATACTCGCGTCTTGTGTCAAATTCGCCTCGGCGACCGACACGGCTTGTCGCGTCCAGGAGAGGCCCTGGTCTCGGTTCGCCGTTTGAGATTTACCTGCAGCCGAGGCAAACAGTATCTCGCCAATGTAGATCATCAATTCAGCGTCGTCACAGGTGGCTTGCTCTACAACTCGCGTGATCGGAGTGTCGCCCGAAGGAGGTGGTTGTGTAAAGTCAGGTTCTCGGAAGAGGGTCGACCAAATCCATGAGAATCGCGGGGGAGGATAGTCACTTAGTGACTGCGAAGGGGGGCGGCGAGTGGAGATAGGAGCGGTTCGTCGTGCGCGTAGCACGGATAGTAAGATGGGCAGCGCCTCGGAGACGTTCCCGACGATGGCGTGATGTTTCGCCAAAGCGGTGCTGGCGGTGAGAATGTTTGCTGTCGTTTCTGCTCCAGCTTTGAGCACGCCTGAGTCCTCATCAATGACTCTTGATGCATCGATTCCGTCCGGTAGTGCGCGCAAAGCAATGTCCACACCCCATTCGTACATCTCACCGGCACTGTCATGCAGGTTTTGATATTCCAACCAACTAGCATATGCTAGTGCCGCATCTAGTTTGTGCTTCGTGGTGAATCCAGTGCCGGTGAGAATGCGCATGTAGTATGTCTCGGGCGCGTCGAGAGGCCGTATGCAATTCTCCTCAAGCGGCGCCGCGCTCGATCCCATTGGTACAGGTCTTGGGTCGGGATTTGAGGGGCCGATTATGACTTCCCGAGAGAAGACGATGCCTCGCGTTGTGTCCAAGACCAGCTCGTCACAGTTTTCCGCACATTTGCCCAAGCTCATCACTGTCTCCACGTATCCTGCTCGCCATGCCCACGATTTGGCCGAGAAGTTGACTCCCGCGGTTCCTACTCCAGGAACGTAAATGTCACCACCGTTGTCCAAATCTTGACCGTCGATCTTGTCATCCTCCAACCGACGCAATACCTCTGCGAAGCCCAATCCTGCTCCAGCATAGTCCACAGCGTTGCCAATATTCAATTTGCGCGTGTCGTAGATTGCTCTTGCGTCTCTCAACGACTGTCGAGTCCAAAAAGTCCATTCTGCCGGAGTCGGATTCTCTTTCTCTGCCCATTCAAGCTGAAGTCCGAACCAAATTACTCCTCCAAGACCGAGAGCAGTCCAAGCTATCGTAGTCCATTTGATTGCAGCACGAGTCTCCGAAAGAACCCAGTCCTTCGTTTCTGTAGTGAGTTGTCGTGTTTGCTGATACGTATGTGGCCGTTTCGATCGTCGATATGATGATCGCGATATCCGGACGATGCTCGCTGGTCTTGTGAAAGTTGGCGCATCTCGAAGCTGTGAAAAGCTCCGGGCTGCACATCTGAATGCGCCGGACATTGATCTCGACGGAGTTGCTTGGACAGCTCGCAAGATATTTGGTTTTATCATTGTCCGCATATTGTGATTGACACCAAGTCTTGATGCCATTTTCTAGTTATTATCCATCGGGCCTCGTTGACCGACGAGCGAAGCCTGATACCTTTCTGATGAGACTGACTCAAATTATCTCCGACATCGAGCGGAGGAGAGCGGTTAGGGTTGTGTAAGCCCAATCTCATAGGTTGAAAGACAAAAGTATTCCGGCACTGAGAATTAATGCGTCGTCTTCCAATCTAGTGTTCGGAGGTATAGTATCAAGAGTACTATTCTCTCTTGTATTAACCTTTATTGAAACATCCAGACTGACAATGGTTCCGGCGGTGATCGAAGACGATACAACTGCGAGAACGCAACAGCAATTTGTGTCAAACTTGGGGCTGCATGATCGGCTCGATGATCTCTGGACAGCATTTCTGCACCAGCTAGACAAATACCAATCAGCGCAAGTGGCAATTCAAAAGCAGCTGTCATCCGGATTCTTTGCATTAGCTCAAGCAAATTTTGGCAAGGTCTCAGGGCGACCATACGGCCGCGATTATTATGACCAGCGAGCTGTCGCCAGCATTCGTGTCCGTGTCAAGCAAAAGCTGACTTCAGGGGATGGTCATCACGAATCAGAAGGGCCCGAGGATTTAGAGATCTACGATCATGCAGAAGGGGGCATCGACAGCGCTCTAGCTCATGACGTGAAGAAGTTTTCGGTTGATGACAGCCTCGACTCTTCTAAGGTAGCTACGAATATGGCCACGAGCGGAATTGCAGGGAGCGAAGCCGGGCCCAATTTGCCAGGAAAATCTTCACATCGTTCTCAAGAGGAAGAAATTCCAAGGGCCCAGGATTGCAATGGTCAATCAAAAGAAACTGGGCATGATTCGCCCATCGGTTCGCTGCATGACAATGAAGAAGTCGTCGAGCGGGATCCTACCGATCCTCTCCGCTCGTTTGCTGGAGGAATCTTGATACCGCCTTTGCTACGTAAGACACAAGGCTCCTTCGCGACGCTGTTCCGAGCAGAGAACAAGCCAGAAGTCGATGAGACCGAGTGTTTTATCTTACAAGCGGTCATGGCTGCAAAATCGATGCGACAGATAGAGACAGAGATCAGGAGAATGAGGAAGACCATACGTAAGGCGGAGAAGGATGCCGGGATGAATTGAGAATCACGACCATCAGTTCGACACAGCCCTCTTCTTTCACGGACACTGGTCTTGGCCCAAGTGTCGCGAGCACCGCTCGTCCTGTGCCAAGCCATGTCTCTTTACTTGATCAAGTCGGTTCAGAAGAAAAGCAACTCCACTCCTTTATCGTCGGCTTCTTTTGTATACTTCTCCTTCAAGTCGGGTCGTGTGAGGAGTTGGACGAGTTGCAGTGCCGTATCCTTCATATCCAAAATACCCCGCTTCTTCTGATCGATATGTGATGCATCGATCACGATGCGCTCGAGATCTTTCGTTGATAGCGCACCTATGGAAGAAGCGTTAGTTTCATTACGTACCATAACAAAGCACCTGCGCTGTAATAACATACCGTCATTCATTAGATCGATGAGCCGCTGTGGGGTGCCAACGCCAATGCCCATCCTCGTCTTTGAAACCATCTCTATTGCCTCCTTGATCTTGATGTGCTTAGCGAACAGCTTCGCAACCATGGACTTCTCACTCTGAAATTTCCTCAACGCTCGTGTGACATCCGCTGCTCGTAGCCCAGCTCCTGCCACTACCAATGTATGCGGAGTACCATTCTTTGGTGGTGCATCTGAGAGCTTCTTCGCTCCTCGGGTGTTCGTTCTCCTCGGTGCAGCAAATTGCTCGAGGAACGGTGCAATGTTTTCGGTTGTCCGAGGCTGTTCGTATTTTGTTGTGTCGACAATTGCTCCCCCTGTTCAACTCAGACTTAGTCAGGGTTTCTGTGAATAAGAAAGAAGGACTCCAAGCAGCGCGTCTTACCAGGTACAAACATGTCCTCCAGTTCCATCAAGCTTAGATCGGGTTTGAATCTCTTCGTCCGTTGCGCAAGATGATCCACCAGCAGCCGACTATCCATGTGCGCAATCGCATGATTGACACCCAACTCAGCGTCCAGACTTTCGTCCTCAATGTCCTTGGGCTTCTTCAATGTGCGCTTCTTTTTCCTGGCGGCTTTCTTCGCTTCCGCAGAGTCCTCATTGCTGCGCTTCCTCTTCTTCGTGGCTTGATCGTTGTCGGATGATGAGATATCCTCTATGAGAGGCACACCCGCTTGGTCGCCATCAGAGTCTGACATCGAGATATGTTGCAATTGTCATTGATGTGCCGAGTGCAAAGGACCTTCACGTGTCAAGTTTCATGATTTTTTTTTGGAATTGACAGTAGGGTTACGTGTGACGTCGCAAAAGCCCCGATGTGGCATAGCCACGCGATGAACTTCGATGATCGCCCGTGCGATCCTTGACACCTCACGTTGACACTCCTTCATTCTTTTGACCTTTCTTATCGCTTGCAGTGGAAATATGAAACGGATAAGGTCCAACTCTCAAATCGAATATTTCGCGATAGACGTGATCTGCGACTTATGAACCTTAACGAATACACCGAGCATTATGTTGCTCCGCAATTCGAAAGCGCTCAAAGCTGCCTGTAATAAACAGCACCACAGCGCAGTGGGACAAATCCCCTGCAGCCCGTGTACAGCAGAAATATCAATAATGGCATAACCATACTCACCGATTTACAGACCGAGGACGCCGTACATGTCGATTCTCCAGAGGATACCTGGGCAGGTAGGAGTGGATGACTTACCGCGGACCGGTTTCCAAGCCGATTGCCTTGTTCGCGAGAAGAGAAGTTAATGATTTCGTTACGGACTGGCAATATTCATGCCCAACATCTATCTCATCAGACATAACGTCCACGGCATTTGCATGTTCGACACCAATCGAGTCTTCTTTCATGGCGAATGCCGATCAGACTCTGACGGCGAATGCTGACCACGCTTTAATGGCGTCTGCTGACCACGCTGGGCTGCATCTTCACTCGCTCTGCACTTGCTATCGCCAAGCGCCAGATCTCTGCAAGTGGAGCAGCACTCATGTCATCGCTTGCAAGATGACCCGGAAGCCGAAACATGATCAGCCTGCATCACGGCCTACATGGCTGAAGACATTGCGCTGCTTGCCGAGAACGTTGGCATTTGGGTCATGACAGCGAACTGCCGTTAACGAAGTCATCCGTGGAGAGACGATTGGAACGAAACAGAGACAACATCGTCTTGGTACAGGTGCGCATAATATTTCAAGGGAGCCACCAGATCGTTCGTTGACAGCATCAGCACCAGTCCTCTGCTGCTAAACAGGAAGCTCTTCTTCTGACGGATGTGCGAGACGCCTAGTCAGCTCGCCGATTCGGTGGGTTTGTCCGCGGCCGGGACGCCCATGTTGCTCCAGCGCCCGAACCGGAGCCGACTCTGCTCGACGCACGAGATGCTCAGTCAGCCCGCCGCTCGGGTGGCACTGTTCGCGGTCGCGACGTGGAGGTTACTCTGGCCCCCGAGCCCTATAATCCAGCAGCAGAGGTCCAACCTCTGGCCTTCTCCCGATGGCGGAGACGTCGAGGTCATTCAGACTTCAACATCACTGTCCACGTTTGTCACTCGTTACGTTTAGCGGCATGATCAGTGTCAACCCATGTTCGAGCGTCTGTCGCTACGGGTTCGCAGCATCATTGATATTTTTGAGCGTCTCCGATTGAATTACAGTTCTGAATTATTCGCGGATAACACCTATGCAGGAGGCATCCTTTTCTATGCTATACCAACTTCAAGTAGAGTCAATTATCTCGTCTCCTCTCCCGGTATTTAGATGTCTCATTCTGTCACTGTAGATTTCCGGCCTCCAGAGCTGCAACTCACGATAAGGCCTGTGGTTGGACTTTGGGTTGTGTGGCAGACAACTCACAGCCCTCGAACCGAAGCAATGCAATTGATTTAGCTTTAATAATTTGCGAGAACTGGGCATGAGTACATGTCGAATGTCAAGATAATCGCCTGATCGTAGCGCGGGGGGATGCGTGCGGCCGCTGAGGATATTCTCCCAAAGAGGAGATGTAAGAGACTTCCCGCCTCTTACTAGTGTGGCAAGCAAATGCAGAAAGTTCTATGCGCACGTTTTGCTTGACGGCATTGTTCTTCCCGAGTCTGGCGTGAATGCCAAGCCGCGTGAGCTGACCACGGCCGGAGTTGTTTCGGGTGTTTCCGGTCCAGAGTTCTCTGTGCCGCACCAACCACTTTGTGATTTCCAGAAATGGGCCGAAGTCTTCACACACTCACGGCACACTGAAGCCGATGAGACAAGATGTCCAGAACATCGCAGCGAGCGATGTTCTCGGAGCCAACCTCGGAACGAGAGTAGGATTGCATGAAAATGTTCGCTGTTTGAAAGTAGGCAGCCCGTTCGGCGGCAGAAGCCGGTCCCGCAGTCGAGCGAACATCTTGGCGAAGGATCTCGCCACGCCTCGCGGACGTCACCGCAACTTCCTCCCTGTGCCAATGGACAGAAATTTGCTAATAATAACGGATTGAAATGACTGAAATGGTCTCGCCGCATTCTCCTGGTTGATTCGGGCGGTCAAAGGATTCGGGATTGCTGCTGATCCGGCCCGTGGGTCCAACATGACTTCCTTTTCATATAACTTGTTGCCCGCCGATATTCGAATGGCTTCCATGGAAGGTGTCTCCCGAACATATCACGCCCGAGCTGTCCCGCACCAAGTGGAGAACAAAGAGAACATTGAAAGCATCTGAAAAGTTCTCAAGATTACCCGGGAAAGTGCCACGATGTCGACATGCGCTGAAGGTTCTCGTAAAGAGGACTACAACCTGAGCCTTCATGTCGGCGCACTATTCATAATCCTCAGTGTCTCGGCCGGTGCATGCGCGCTGCCGGTCCTTGCGACACGCATTCCACAGCTGCGAATCCCAGCGCGAGCACTTTTCGTCTTCCGTCACTTCGGTACTGGGGTCCTCATCGCGACAGCTTTCGTACATTTGTTTCCGACAGCCTTTGTGAACCTGACAAATCCATGCCTTCCGGAGTTTTTCAGCAAGACGTATCCGGCGCTTGCTGGTGCGATCGCCCTGGGAGCAGTCTTCATAATAACGATAGCGGAGATGATATTCAGCCCTGGACGATCACTTTGCGCGGGGCCAGAAATGGAGCAACACGTTGCGAACGTCTTGAATGTACCTACGGTGCGCGCCTCGATGGAAATCGGCGGTCTGGGTCTGAGTAAGGTATCATGAAAGCGTGAAATCGAATTCCGACACTGACAAAACAACGCAGCACCATCGCCTGTCGATGCATCAAGATTTGGACGTAAAAATAGCCTACTTTCGACCCCTGCCATTGCAGTAAGCACGCCTGGTATAGGTGCGCCATCTGGGCTCGTGGACGGGTCACGCCGATTCAGTGACGACAGCTTCAGTAGCATTGAGGCAGAGAAGAACGAACGGGAACGTCGCAAGCTCGTCGTACAATGCATGCTACTCGAATGCGGAATTCTGTTTCACAGCGTCTTCATCGGGATGGCATTAGCGGTTGCCGTAGGTAGCGAGCAGGTCATTCTTCTTATTGCGATTGCTTTCCATCAAACTTTCGAAGGTCTCGCGCTCGGCTCCCGGATTGCGGCAATTGGCTGGCGTTCCAAGGCTCTCCAGCCTTGGTTCATGGCCCTGGCTTACGGATGCACGACACCTTTAGGTCAAGCAATTGGAATTGCTACCAGGGATCTCTACGACCCTGACAGCGAGACCGGCTTACTGGTCGTCGGGATTTGCAACGCCATTTCTGCAGGGCTCCTCACCTACACCAGTCTAGTCGACCTGTTGTCAGAGGATTTCTTGAGCGAATCTAGCTGGCGGATTTTAAGGGGAACAAGAAGGGTCATGGCGGCATCGCTAGTCTTTGCCGGAGCTTTCTGCATGAGTTTAATCGGCGCATGGGCGTGAGGCCCATCATCGACTGTCTTTAGCGACGCCTCATAAATGCATGACTTTTACTTGTTCGTTCCCGGTCTTACCCATCACAGTCTCTCGAAGGGGTCGTGCTGTCGCCTTCGCTCATGCTTCCTGAGATCGTTAAGCCTTGATCTTCGCAGTCAGAAGACCTCGCTGTTCGAAGCTACTCGCTCAAGGGGGAGGGACGTGAGGGTTACAACATATTTTGAGTCGATTTCCCAAGCATATCGAATCTACACCCGAACAGAAGGAAGAGAACGACAAAATCACTGTAAAGAATCTTTCTACTACGCGACATGTTATGTTCGAAATATTTACAAGTCATTGAACAAGTCGGAAGAGGTGGTATCCTTGGAAATGCCCAACTTTCCGTCAATCCGTCGAACAGCACTGCATCTAACAACTCCCATGTCCCGCTTATGGATCAGATTACCCCCGTTGAAGGGGTTTTGGATTTCACCAAGCCGTCAGGAGTTGCACCAAAGCTGAACACGGACTAATCGCCAGCGCTCTACGGGGTGGGCTCGGCTTGAGCTGCTCGCTTGACCTCGCGCACGGTGGGAGTTGCTGGTTCAGCATCGCGTGTAGTGATACTCTGAAGCTCAGCATCTCGTCGAGTGGCGACCTGGGGCTCAGCATCGCGAGGCCAGCCCTTGCCTCCGACAAAGTTTCCTTGTGCCTCAGCCTCTCGTTTTCCAGGAGCGAAGGTGACTTGTGGTTCAGCCTCACGTCCCTGGACGATGGTCTGAGCCTCACGCCTGAGAACGACGGTATCGAAAGTAGTTTGAGTGATTCCGTCCCGCTTTGAGCAGCAAGGAAATCCGGCACTTTGAGCGTCAGCCTCCCGCTCGAGCAGGGGAGCTGCTGTGGCTTCCGGGAGAAAGTCACGTGCTGAGATAGGTCCTCCGTCGCTTTGAGGAGCGGCATCACGAGCTGTGACTGGAAATCCGTCGCTTTGAAGAGCAGCATTACGACCCGAGATAGGAAATCCGGCGCTTTGAGCAGCAGCGTCTCTCTCGAGCAGAGGGGCCTCTGTAGGTTCGGGACCAGCGTCGCGACCCGAGCAGCATGGAATTGCGGCGCTTTGAGGAGCAGCATCCCTTTCGAAGACCTCAAGCGCAGTCGTTGTGTTGGCAATTGCAAGCAGTGTCGCTACAGAGAGGATCTGTTGATAACGCATTCTGAGGGTCGAGGCTTGATTCGAGGGGGGCAGGGACTTTGATTGAGTCTGATTGAGAAATGATTTTGCTTTGAGATGAGTGGTTGGTAATCAAGACATTCGTCGCCTTCTATATATCCTCCTGCAGACTGCTAATCGTCCGCTCTTGGAAGAGATCGTAGCTCCTAGCTTGCACCGATGATGTGATACTGATGACCCGACGTACCGTTACTTTGAGGGACCGTCATGATGTCGGACTCCCGATGCACTTGGAGGTCGGCGCGCTAGAAAGTCGGCGCGCTTGGAGATCGGCCCGATGATAGTTCTAATGCCTCGTTATCCTGTCGCTGACGTGCTCAAAATCACGCCTCACGGTCGCGGTATCGTTGTAGATCCCGTGAACCCAATGATTCTGGATGTTCAAGAGAAGTTTAGCTCTTTTCTCGGAGTTTGGCTGAGGCCATGACGGCTGCGAAACAGGCGCGCCTTATTGCCATTTCTGTGCTTCGGTCCGAACAGTAATATCCGATATTCGCTCGTCACCTAGCGTTGATTGGTGCAGAGCGCATCCAAGTATCTCATGCGAGAGCCATCGTCTTGGGCTACTTCTTGCTGCATCTTGTCGGTCCAGGTGAAGCCGTAGTGGAAAAGGGTGCCCATCCGCCTTGCTAGGTCAATGGCGCCCTGTTTCCGGAGCACTGTTCCGTCGTCGGCCACAGCACCATGAAAGGTGTCCCAGAACAACGCCCTCAATTCGGTGTGCCTATCAAGGTAATGCCAGCCGTGCGCGTCCATGTAGCATAGAATATTCTCCAGGCCCCAGAGATTCAAGCCGAATGGAAGAATCTCTGTCTCGGCCCAGTCGATGACTCCCGTGAGACTCCCGCAGGAAGTCCAACTTTCACGCCATTTCAATACGCATACCAACCGCAGTATCATAGGTTTTCGTCCATTTTACAAGACATCTCATGCGAGCAAAGAAGCAAGGAGCCGCAGAATCAGAAGGCACAAGCTTCACTATCGATGCGCCGACAAATGTATCATCTTCGATCGCTCCTCTATTTCGAATAAGTGAGAAGAACACATGGGAGGTCACGCCGCGTACACGGATCGCACAGGACACTGTATCATGGCGACGTAGAGGGTAATTCATGTTCATGTCATTAATCATGAAAATATACACATCCGCCTTGTACAACGTCCAGCCATCATGATCACTCCGCAAGTATTGCCGGAGATGAGAGAGACAGGTTTCACGTTGGCCCACAAGTGGATCATCCAACACGACGTTTCCATCAGATTCCATAGTTTCGGTTGGCCAAGTGATCGCCCGAGAATCTCTTCCTCCATGATGGCCCGAAGACATAGACAAAAGGCATCATAAGGCCAGAGAAAGCGATGATGCCGAGATAGATCGAGAAGGTTGGGAGATAGCCGAGGTCGACGATCCAGTCCGATGCCCACAAGATGAGAAAGAAGGCCATAATCCAACGGAACGTCGCGACATTGACCAAGACTGGGCCCGCGATGTGCGGGTAGCTCTCCAGAACGTACACGGTCGTGATGGTACTTACTCCCAGGAAGCCGAACGTAGTGAAAGCAAGACTCAGGAGGAAAACCATCCAGTGGTACTTGGTCTGATTGCCACCGCTAAGACCGAAAAGCAAAGTGCCAAGCATGCTGGATGCCCATGGTAGAGCGAGGTTGATGAGCTGGTTCTCTGGAAGTCGTCGCCCCCGCGATTTCGCTGCAAGGTTCGCTGTCCAGTCGGCAAAAGGCCCAGTAACGAGGACGATGAAGCCAGCGGCAATGAGGATCGGAATAAGGCATAAACCGATGTTTTGAAAGGGCCACCTTTGTGTCAAGAGTCGTTAGTATAAAGCACGGGATGCCTTAAGAACGATGCACTTACGACCAAGGTTGAACAAGCAGAGCGGGAGCCGCCGAAAATCCGGCGGCGAACCCGCCTGCAATCACAGCTCCATTGAGGATGGTGACGAAGAAGATGGACGGGTAGAAAAAGGTCGAGATTGTGTCAAGCAGCGCTTGGCCTCCCTTGTTGAACTGGAAACCATTGTACAGGGACAGGTTTGTTTTCCAAGTTCGCGGTGGGTAGTGGACCTCTGCATCATCGCGCGGAATACCATCTGTCGAGCGGGCGTTAGCAATAAAACTTTCATTCACTCGTGGCGCATTGAACCAAGGTGAGGATAACATCGCTGCAGATGAGTCACAAGACAATAGTACGAAGACTTACCCATTTCGTCTCGGGTGCGGTACCATCGAGTCTCAGGTAGGAAGAAAAATACACCAACGAGAAAGAATGAGGCAGCAATCGCAGTGGCATGATAGATCCAGCGCCAGGAGAGGTTGACAATCATGAATGGCGCCGAGAAGCCGATCGCAATGATAATGACACCCTGGGCGGCGAACGCGGCCGAGATCCAAGTGTTTCGCTGGTGTACCGGCACGATATCTTGAATAATGAATGGAATCAGACTCTCAACCGAGCCAGCTCCAATTGCCTGGAGGCAACGTGCAATGATGTGGGTATCCAGAGAATCGCTCTCCCCTGCCCACGCAGCTCCAGCAATTGCGACGAGCCCAGCTATGAGGATGACAGGACGACGGCCGATCGAGATGCCCAACGGCACGAGGAATAAATTCGCGACGCTAATGACCAGGAGGGGCATGGTTGCCAGGAAGTAGACCTTGAAAATCGGAGGACCACCGAGATACTCGAGCGCCATGAGAGGGTTGCTTCCGGCGGGAAATCCACCAGCAGTATTGGCGAGGGCTGGCAAGAACGTCGAAGGGTCAATCCCGGCGTATTGAATTGCGAAAACGGGGAGCGCAGCACCGAGGATCAATTCTGCGGACATGATCAATGCGCCGAAGAAGGAGAGACATCCTAGTCCAAGGATTTTGTGCCATTTCGAAATGTTCATCGGATCTCTGGGATCTCGAGTTGCTGCCGGCATGACGACGATGTCTCCATCTCGCTTGAGGTAGCTTTCGACGATGGCTCGGAACGTCGTCGGCTTTTCAGCAACATCTGTAGACCCATCGCTGGGCGCAACACCAACAGCGGCGCCGACCTTTTCGTTGTCATCCATCGTCATAGCGATGGGTGTCGAGGTGTACTAGTAGAAGGGAGACAGGCAATTGAGCAGACGCAGCATGCGAGCGTCGCAAATGTATAGATTCGAGAGGGATGTAGGACGTGGGCGGGGCCATCCATGATTATAACCATGTCGATTGTAGTAGTAATTTCATCTCGGCGGCCAAAGTATCTCGACCAGGACAGCATGCCGCAGTTTTGAATTTGTAGCCACTAAAGCTCAACCGGGATACCAGACCGCAATGCACAGGGACAATTTGCTTGCACATGATTGGACATTGGATCGTCTAGGCCAATCACGATGCTTTCCCAATTCGAAACCAGGTAGTTTCTCCGCACAGCGGAGATCTCCAGGGTCCCCGGCATCTGGGCTTCTGGGGTATTCGTTGGAAGAGTCGCGACTGTGAACGGGTTTGGGACAGATCGGAAAGCCTATTCCGGGGCTGATGTGGGGTAGAACCCACCTCGGCACGCGATATCGAGAGTGATTCCTTCGCGCTCTCGTGACAGTCCTGGAGCATGGCGTTAGGGTTATGTAGGTGTAGTGGATGTTGGCACCAGCTGGGCACACGCCTGGATCGACTTCTGCTTTTCTCCCTCTAATTACAGATGTCTGACCAGAACGGCTTTCGTGAGAAAGCAGATTGGTGGCATATGATGTCATCGCTGGTAATTTGATGGCGAGAACGATGCTCGTTCTTTGATACCTAGGAGTTCTATTATCCGGATCTTCGCTCGTGCGATAAGGCTTCGATCGGAGGCCTTCTCCAGTGCGGATGAGACCCAAATCCTCACAAGAAATCATCCTTGTACACTCGGCTTGAAGCATTCGACGCGGACGTCGTTAATATATGTCTATCGTGACGGCATTAACGTCTTATATCTTCTATCTTCGTCCTCGAAAGGAACATGCTCCCTCGCTTAAGTACATAGCATCGTATCGAACTACAGTATTGACGCTACACCCATCCTCGCTAGTCCTCAGGGCCGTACCAGCAAGGACGCGCATCCACCTTCAACACCAGCTGTACGCTTGTAGCGCTCGCCCCCTCCGCGTCGTCCTTATCTTCACTCCCCCTCTTTCACGTCGAGGCGTCCTTGCTACAAGAAGTCCCCTTGTTTTTCCCGCGCGGACTTTAGACACGCTGGCGGAGGGTCGTTTCCAGCGATGTCCTGTTTCATCACCTTGACGGTAACATCCACCGTGCGTGACAGTCGTATGGCGGTGAAGAATTTGTCGCTGAAAGAGAGCCCCGAGGTGATAAAGATGCCGAAGTCAAAGAACATGGCAAGGGCAGTGGAGGAGATCGCGAGGCTGCAGGATATCTAGAGGAAGAAAGCATCGTAACGGTAGATGGGAATTTAGGAATCGGTAGTGACGTTGGAAAGTCTGGCCGGCGCGAGCCGGGAGCTGTAGTTTGGTCTGAATAAGAAGGGGCCGAGTATTAGTTGATGTTCACTTTACACGAATCCCGAATCCCTCCGTTGTTGGGAAGTGACACAATACAGACGCGAACGAGACTGACAGACTGTCAGACTTACTGAAGGGGATGTTCAGACAGCAGATTGAGGGTCTAATTTCGGAGGATGCCCTTGAGAACATCTTTGCGTTTGCCTCGACTCACAGCTTGGCCCAGCTGCAGACCCGCTGACTTGCTAGCCCAAAAGGCAGCAAACATAGCCCGTATCTCATCCGCATTGCCGAGGACCGTTTGTGCGATTCTCCAGGGGTCTAGCGGGGCGTCAGCCATATCACAAAACTCGCCTAGCAGATCGGGGTTGAACGCATCCAAAGAGGCTTGGTTTCAAGACATACTTCCAAGGCCGCCAATTGGGCTACAGACACATTTTACCCGTCCCATGATAGGAAGGTTCAATCACAAAGTTGCTCCCGGACAGTGCATCCCTAGACGCTTTGCACAAATTCTTGACAAGGAACAGCGAAGGCAAGCTATTAAAACCATTAGCACAACTGTCGATACCATCTCCTCGCCACGATCGCGTATGGAGTGGTATTTCTTTTCACCGAACACGTCGTTCGCGGCAGTCAGAGAGATCATGACTCTGGGCGGGCAAGTACAACACGATAAACTCGAAGAGCGAATGCAGGGCTTCTATACTCTGATCAAGCTGATCATGGGACTACCAGGAGATTTCCCCGAGATCGCAAACATCTCATCCGCCTTGGGAACATCTCACCGTTCTGACGACCAAGAGGCAGCTCCGGCACATCTGCCGGGCTTCGTTTACTACTTTGATGTGGCAGCTGAAGGGACGCTTCCCGATGTGAAAATCAACATCCCGCTAAAAGGTTTTGGCAGGGACGATCTTAGTTTCGCGCAGGCAATATGCACCTGCATACAAGACCATGGATGGGGCAGGTACTGTGATCGATACTTGGGGATGCTGGCGAGGCTGTCGCCATGTGGAAATCTGGAAACGTCGCACTGTCTACTATCTATCGCAGCTTGCTTGCTGATACCGAACAGTCAGCTAGATCTTACCTCCTTCTTGGTAGCTCAGCAATAGTAGCATTTATGAAAGGCACAAAAAGCTCATACGAATTAGAACAATGGCCACGAAGCCCAGGTTCGCGCTCGGCGTTAGCCCTTTCAAGCATCAACTCCAGATTGGATGTAGAGTTGTCCGGGACAGTTGCGCATCGCAGCCGTATTGGATTGCGAGTCCTAGATTTGTAAATGCGCTGTTGTTATCACGAGTTCAATAGGACATATGTCGTCAGGGTTGGGAATATCATCGATCTTCTCATCGTCAAATGGCCACACCAAAGGACCTCCGCCCCCGCTTATTCCATGATGTACTTTGATTCTTGTATCCGGAAAGAGATTCGCGTATAACTTCATAGGGAGCCGTCAATATTTGATGACAACTGGATGAACTCTATTACTGTATCAGTGGTCCATGCACGCTGTCAGGATTTTCTGTGAGTGATTTTCCGTGAATTCATCAATATTTGATGCCAATTTTATGGTAATTTGACAGTCACCCAATGGTAGTCGTGATGGCGATTGATGGGTCGCAATTAATATGGAATTTTTCGTCAGTTATCCGTGCAAACGATCAAAATGGTCATATCATGATCACGTGACAGTCTTCAATACTTAGCACTTTTGGCGGATGGCCGCCGTCGGCCGCTGTCTGACTATCATTATCATAGCAATTAAATTGAAGTCCGCCTGACAGATTGATCGGCCGAAGCTGCTCTCTCCTCTGGAATGGACCAGCGCTACAATGATGGCTGCGATGCTGGTCCGGTCCAGCAAGAGAGCATGAGCTATGGTCTGCTGTCGGCACCGCACATGCTCTGTAACGTATTCTTACACCTTCCGCAACAGGATCTGTTACTGATCCAACGAGTCTGTCGCGTATGGCGTGGAGTAATCACCTCCAGCCGAGTGCTCCAGGCAGCGCTGTTCCTCCAACCGCCAGTAAACGCCGCAGTGAACGAATCGGTTCGAATGAACCCTCTCCTAGTGTCCCGCTTCCCGGCATTCTTCGACAATAAACCGGATCACATGAATGTAAACCCAACGGCACATTGCATGGGTCCCTACTTTACGACTCACTGGGCCGAGAGCATTCATCCCTGGGCACGATTCAGCCCCAAGAATGATCACTTAGATGGTGACTGCTCGTTCTCTAGAATCTTCTATCCTTCGCCCTCCGAGGCCTCGGCCCTCGACGAATTGTTCTTGCATCGTTCGTCCTTCCATGATTCGCCATCCGATAATTCGCCATTCAATGATCTGCCATCCGATGATGCCGAAGACCCAATTGTATTGGTATCTGATCCTCTTGTTGGAGTTCCGGAGCACCTCGACACCGACCGCACAGCAGCCTATCGACAACCTGAGGCGAGTTGGCGACGCATGCTCCCCTGCATCCCGCCGCCTGTAGAGCTCCAGGCTAGGTATCAAACCAACTCGTGGCCAAGAGCAGGCACAGTCCGCCGTCTCGGCTTCGATATTGAAGACGATTCTCGCCGCGACGAATGCGAGCGTCGCTGGTTGACATTCGGTCTTGTCTACGATGTCTTCGAGGCGGCTTGGTTTCGAAGCCAACCCTCGGCTGTCAGTCGGTGGCAATTCGACTGGACATTTCACGACCACCGGCCACAGATGCAAGTCCTTTCCTTCGACGATACATATTCACATGCAGCGACTGTAGAGGAGATGCACAATTCCGAGATGTATGGCGACCGAGAAGAATTGCGGGACTGCCTCCCAGACACACCCATCGGCGGCACCGGTCGTGTGCTGATCATGTTTTCGAAATACTCAAAGAAGGAGCAGAAATCGGCAGATGGCAGGAAACGATTCCGCGCAGACTTGGAACTCCAGCGGTTGGATGAGAATGCCATCGATTGGGACGAGGTGATACCCTATGAGATCGAAAACGACACCTCGTAGCCCTGTTGTTGAATAATATCCTCTACTCAAGTTCAGTTCTCACACATCTAGGAACCCCCTGCAGTTATTTCCCCGAGAGCACCGCAGATTTATATAGACATATCGAGGTGCGAACGTCAACATTGCCGCGCAGAATGCACGTTTGGAATTCTTCTACTTCTTCGCTATTTCTCGTACATTAGGGACAGTATTCTGTCTGGTAGATACTAGCGAAGATGCCGCAGTCGGAAGATCGTACCGGAGGCACCGTTAAACGAATCTTTCTACTCGACACATGGAGTCTCCCTTATTACGAATCTCGGATTAGTGAGGCTAAGCAGGGCCGAAGAGATCAACCGCGACTTGAAGCCCGCTTTGAATATTCTCCCAATCCGCGACAGTTGGATTTTTTTATCAAGATTTGATGGTTTTGTGTCTGCAAGGATTTGATGTTTCTGAATTCGCCGTAAGAGACGACCGCATTGCGTTCGGCTGCACCGATGAGTCACTACTTGCCTTTGAGATCGGTTGTACATATCTACAAGCGCAGGCTGACCATCGGGGCCCTTCTGAGGATAATATCGAGGGTTGAGAAGACTGGCCATTAGTTATCTTGATTCTTAAACACATAACTTATATCAATATGCGAAGTCTGTCCCGTCAGGCCCAGATTTCGCGCCGATGCTCCACTTCCTGTGTCTCGCTTTGAGTTAATTGTGGGTGTGCCCAACATCATCCAGGTATCGAAGCAAGGCCGCGCGGAGTCGCGTCCGACCGCGCAGCAGTCACCGCCGCTATTCCGAAAGCGAACATGAGGATTCAGCCTAGTAGCATTGGCCAGAAATTTGTTTGCAGCTGGGCAAAGCGACTTTCATTTGAACTCGAACAATACAACGCGAATCCAGTAGCCCCTCTAGGCTCGCCTGAGTACCTTCGTCATTGGCATAAAAATTGGTTGTTCATACGGAACCAGTGCTTTAGGTCATGTTATCGCATGCATGCATCGAAGCCTGCTCAGTACTGTCGTGGATGATGTCGTGGACGATGCGCGTACTCGATCGCAAGCTTTGATTTCCTGTTCGCCGCCAGTATCTACAATGTGAGGTGTGCTACCCTTCCACCCATTCTATCGCCGAACGCATATCGCGCTCCGCCCAAAATCTTGTCTAACGTCTCTCCAAGTGTCGCGAGCCACCCAGTGTAACAAGCTGGCAGTTGACATTATGGTCTATAACACGCTTCAATGCTGTCGCAATAAAATGATACTAAAGCCACATGATCGTTCGCAATTCTACCATCATATGCTGTAGTTCGCCAATAAATCCATTGTCTTGTTACGCCGCTATGTACGAATCCGCGTCCGAGCAGAATTGGACTTCGTCAGTTGATCGCATCGTTTCCGACCCATCTTTCCTTTTGTGTTTGTCGATCTCCTACCATACCTCGTTCTGTACTTGGTTAATATCTACTCCACACCTGCTCGTGAACATTGTGAAGCTGCGCGATCCCGAGCACTCCCGTAGACAAGTGTTGAAATGTGAGGAAGAAGGAAGAAGATTCTTTTTTTTCCCCTTTTTTTCTCGGAGGGTGGACAGACCCTATTTATGTACCCCTTGCCTGTCCACGCTATGCACCATTGCCACCAACATTTAACACTCCCCCTTGGTGGTAATCGATACTCCCCCGGATCCATATTTTCTATCCTCTTCATAAATCAAGTCACTTCACGCCCAACGCCATCCTGAATTCAATGAACTTATCCTTGTTCAGGGCCTTTGTCATCCCATCCGCGACCTGCTTTTGTGTTGGCACGTACTTCATGTCTACTGTGCCGTCTGCCACCTTCTCGCGTTGGAAGTGGTGTGTAACGTCGATATGCTTCGATCGATTGTGGTGCTCCGGGTTCCTCGCGAGGGCCATGGCTCCTTGGTTATCGCAGTAGATTATAGTTGCGCTGACCTGTGGTTGCTCTAGCTCCTTGAAGAGTTCTCTGAGCCATACCGCCTCCTTCGTAGCCTGGCCCTGACCGATGTATTCCGCTTCGCAGGAGGACAGTGCAACGACCGATTGTCTCTTGGCCTGCCAGGAGATTGGTCCACTTCCGACGTTGAATACGAATCCAGACGTGGAGCGTCGTGTGTTTGGGTCCCCTGCGTAGTCTGAGTCGGTGAAGCCGGTCAATGGCTGTAGTCGTCCCTCGTAGACCAATTTCATGTCCAGCGTGCCGCGCAGATACCGTAGGATTGTCTCGACAATCTTCCAATGCTCTTCTAGAGGGTTTGACCCATACCGACTGACGAGAGACACTGCGAATGCAATGTCCGGTCGTGACCCCAGCATTGCGTACATCAGGGATCCAACAGCACGTTGGTACTTGCTCCGCAGGGCGTCGGGTGCGGTGTATCCTTCTGGGATACGTGGCGGTTGAGCTTGATAAGCGGATATCGGTACTACGGCGACTTTCTGGTTCATTAGACCGAATTCATCAATGATCTTCTCGATATAGCCCTTCTGTCCAAGATAAAGCTTTCGGTGCGGCCGATCTCGATGAATGGTCATTCCCAAGTAGTAGCTGCACGGTCCGAGATCCGTCATCTGGAATCGCTCGTTCAGGCGCTGTTTGATCTCGCTAATGGACTCCTTCCGTGGTCCCAAGATCAGGAGGTCGTCAACGTAGACGGCAATGTATTCACCGTCCCTTGCGAAGACACTGTGGTCGGACGTAAGGGGCTCAAAGCCGAGCTCCTTTAGGTAAGTTGATAAAGTCTGGTACCAGATGCGTGGTGACTGCCGAAGCCCGTATAGTGCCTTCTGCAGGTGGCATACTGTGCCGGAGTTTCCATATCCCGTTGGATGCTCTACCCATACGTCCTCCTTAATCGCTCCGTATAGAAACGCCGTCTTGACGTCCATTTGTTCAATTTCAAGGTCCTCCGCAGCGGCAATAGCGAACAGCGCTTTGTAGCTCATTGGCTTTACGACCGTTGCAAAGGTTTCTGCGTAGTCGAGTCCCTCTTGTTGCTGGTCTCCTCGAACTACCCATCGAGCTTTGTACTTCAGGATGGAGCCGTCTGGTCCTCGCTTAAGCTTAAACACCCATCGTCCTGGAAGGATTCTCCTTCCGTGGAATGAAGGCTCGCTACGGTTGACCTCCTTCCACGTTTGATTGTCGGTCAGCGACTTCAGTTCATCCTCCATCGCTGCCTTCCATTCTTGCCACATCGAGTCCTGTTTGGCCTCCTCGTAACTCTTTGGTTCGTAGGGCTCGGCCGCCGTGTTGGCATGGTACGCGAGTAGGTGTAGGTTGCCGTCGATCCGAGAATTGATGCCTCGACCTATTCTCGTTGACCGACGAAAGCCTGGTCCTTCCTCGATCGTCCTGCTGTGCACGACCCTGGGGCCTGGAGCCACTTGTATAACGTCGTCGTCATCTGAGAGGGTCGCTGAAGGGATCATTACTCCCCCCGCTCCTAGCTCATCGGATTCGTCGCTATTTATGAGGTCTCCAGGTTCATTTTGACTCGTCGATGGGTCTAAGAGGGCCGAGTCTGGTACCCTCCGTGTATCCTCTCCCCCCCAGCTCGGCGACTCGGCTATATCGACGTCCTGTCGAGCTGTGGTTCGGGGTTCAGTTCTATCAATCACTGGGTCTACAGTGCTTCTGTGGTGCTTGGTTGGGGGCTCCTTATCGGAGCTTTCCTCCTCCTCACCAGCCCCGTTATTCTTTTCATCGAATACTACGTCCTTTACCCAGAAAGTTCTTCCGTAGTCATCAACGACGCGATAGTGTGAATCTTTCCGAAAGGCAAGAAGTCTTACGGCCCTTGACTGGCCGAACCTCGGTCGATCCTTCTTCGGGATTCTCGCCCATCCTTTAGATCCGATAATACGAATATGGCTCAAGTCTGGTTGTACCCCTTCCCATGCCTCGTAGGGTGTTGTTCCTAATCTCGTGCTAGGGCTTCGATTTCGGAGGTAGTTGATACCCTGGACGACTTCAGGCCAGTACTTGTCCGGGATGTTCTTGTCAATCATCGTTGGACGGAGCTTATTCTTGATTACGCGATTGAGGACTTCCGCGGCTCCGTTCTCCTGATGCTGGTCCGTTACCGTGAGCTCGTGG